AGAAATGTGCTGTTGATGGCCGTTTAGAGCGGGAGCGGGCCGCTGCATGGAGCAGATACTTCCTAGTAATGTGTAGAAATCTCAAAAGGAGTCTCGCAACCAGAACAACTGCAGTTTCTGAGAGTGGAGGATAGCGAGTGTTTGCACAGCTCCAAATTCCGCGAGCATAACCTTGCAAAATATAAAAAGAATCACGGCACGAGAAACGTCTGGTTGTAAAACACCACCTCACTGCGGTCTAGATGAGAAATTATAGTTACCGCTCCCGAAGACATCTAGATATTGTCAATCACCAGCGGGTAGCAGAAAGCCCAAGCAATCATGAGAAATCCGAGGCATGAAAAAGATAATCAGATTTGGCGACAAGTTGCTGTCTCGACGGCGGCCCGGCCACCTCCCCCTCCCCCTCCCCCAAAGAAAGAAAATCAGACAACCTGTTTGTATTCCTCCAGTCCTCACACCTCCATCATTGTCTCTGCGCCGAGGTGGTAGCCTGAACCTGTGTAAATGTCCTGCCGTTGAAGCATCGATCCCCGTCTGCCTTGTGCCTGTAACTGCCCGCCGTTGAAGCATCGATCCCCGTCTGCCTTGTGCTTGCAACTACCCGCCGTTTTCGTTGTCGCCGTCGCCTTCAGTGGCGAGGCAGTATAATGCGGCGTTGCGCATGAAGGCAAAAAACTGCGGGAGGCGCACCGAGCCGCTCTGGTCAATTGGAGAGGATGCAAATCCACGCATCAGATAGCGTCGTAATCCTCCATCATATCGCCGCCAAGATCGAGTGCGCGCTCTAGTCGGTGATATCTACACTGGTGGAATTTCTTACCGCAGACCGCCCGGTTGCTGGGCCAAGCGGCTGGCGGCGTATAGTCCTTCAAAATCTAGTTTAGATTGAGGTCGCCCTCGAGTCCCTCGCAGGCGCGCACGAGCTTCTCCCGGTTGTCGAAGCTGCCGGTGTCCGCCAGAGGCACACCGAGAGGTGCAAGCTAGATGACGAAAAAGAGTGTGTCAGCAATCATCTAGCGAAGCCGGAGGTTTTCGCTTCAGAAATAGGAAGGGGTAAGTTGGCTTACCATGACATGCTTGTATTTCCTCTTCGTTCAAAAAGGTGCTTCAAATGAGGCACATAACGGTGTACACGCCCGGTGCAGGGACACAACTCTCTTCAAAATGAGAAGAGGCCCACCGATGCTGACGAATCTTGCGGCAGAAGGACTCGTTGCCAAACGGAGTTGTGTTGCGCGGTCTGCGGAAAGAAAATCAGAACGACGGCGAATGACTAGGACGGAGGTGCGAGGCGCAAATTTGAGAGGCTGCGAGGGAAACCGCCCAAGTTCTTAATTTTGCTCTCCCCCGACCTAGAGAGCCCACGTAGGTACCTGGTAGGTACTAGCACTTTACGTGGACAAAATTGGATGGAAGGCACCTGTTTCTCGCTGAAACGCAGGCACGGTCCACCACTTGCTGCCTGGTTTTCCAAGGCGCACGCCAGAACATGCGCAAAAGCCCAACCACGACAAGCTGGAGGACGCCAATATGGCCTGTGTGGCCAGCTTCAGAATAGGGAGGCAGGGCGCGAGGCAAAGCCGGAGAGTATCTGTTGGAATTTGTCAAGCAGAAGGGCCTCGAAGGTTTTAGATAGAGACTTCGCCACCCACTTCGCCACCACAATAGTAGTATAAGAAGGGGCTTCTGGCACTGCCAGAAAGCTAGAGAGAAGAACACACATCTACAATCCATCACTTGAACCACCAGCTTTCGGCGTACAGTTACGCCCTGTTGATTCCAGTACCGGTACCCTGGTGAATCCAAAAGTATCAGAAACATACACGCCCGGTCGGCACAAATACCCGGGGCAAGTGGCCTGATTGTAGGATGTACTCTCGCCCAAGCTCCGGCTATGTAATGAAAGGATCTATATGGCTATCGACGTGAGTCAGGTATTAGAAAACTCACACTTGAGCTTGCCGTAAAAGGGCCGACGCTACCACGACCAAAACGAGCTACACCAGCCAGCGACGCAGTGTGCTGCTCGCGGCGAAGGGGTTACGAGAGCCATGTCATGGCAAGGGGCCCGTGACGCTGCTCAGCGTCGAGTTCCACAGACAAGCACATGTGTTCGCGCGAGAACCGGTGCTTTTATAGTGAGGTCTTATAGTGAGGTCAAGTTTCTAAGATCCCTGATTGCTGACCCGAGTCTGCGGTCTTTACCCTAATCACCTCAGCTGGATGCCCCGGAAGCCGACAGACGGGACGCAGAACCAGTTTCTCGGCGCTACATTGTTTATGGACAATAGGACGCGAGAATCATTGGAGAAGATTATGAGTCTTTATCAGGCCAACAGCTAAGCCGGCTCGGCGGTTGAGGGGAATTGATTAGTGGCTTGGGAAACATGTAAAATTTTTGGGCCTAACTATGTTAGAAGAAATTGTGTGCTTAAAATATCTGGGGAATGTATCCGTATGATGCTGGGAACTGAAAATGCCGTTGCTCTTGATTAGCTGGATATCGTACCAAGCCGAGCGTTGGCTAAAGTCTGGGAAAGGCTCGTCGGTAAGTTCCCAGCGGAAAAGAAGGTAGAAAGCCACTGCGCCGAGAAGGCAGAACTGGAGATTCCGGTTCCGTAAGGCACCAGCCGTCTCGAGCCGGCCGTGCTGGTTTTGCTTGCCGGCACGAGTTGTCATGATGGGCGGCATACAGCGGGTAGGGCCTTCGTCAACAAACTCGAAAGTAAATAGATCCGAGAGCTCTAGAGCACGACGGTTACCACCACGAGTAAGCATATAGTGGCTGAGAAGGATATCGACCATTGTGCGGAGGTGGCACTCTGGCGACTCGCTAGACTGTGCCCAAAGCTCCTGGCACACCCGTAAAAGCTGTGGCTCTGTATACCCATCGAGGAGTGTATCGCGGCCTTGGTCGGCATAGTTGGCCTTGTCGCGTGCCGCATCCCGGCGCTGCAAGGCCTCGATGTAGTCTCGTACGCTGTGCTCGCGGGGGGACGGGTGGCTGTTCATCCCTAGAGCCCTCTGGGCACAATAGAGGTCGGTAACGGCCGTGACATAGCTCCGGACCGATCGCCATGCAAGCCGAGTAGCCGCACGAGGTGTCTCGGCAGCCGTTTTGTAGCTCTTGCCTCTGAGTGGCCGCTGTGCCACACACTCGACGAGGAAGAGGGGCTTCCACAGTTAGATTTATTATAAAATATTGAGGATTATAATTACGACATCCGTCTAGTACATGTTGGAAACCTTTCTCTGGCTCAGAACTGGCATTCATTTTGCTAATACAGAAGAGATCGAGCCTCTATGTTTATCCGGCAAGGAAAAGGGTGGTTCTGAGCATTTCTACCTCAAGCATGTTCGTTCTCTTTGTCTATTCTAGGACCAACTGCAACTGCTATATGTATTATCAAAGCAAAATGGTTTACATCTAGTACTAAGTAGATACTGGATGAAGGAAGTTAACTATGTGCTGCGGAACAACAAAAAAGCCAAACAATTGAACGGCTTCTGAAAATTCATGTAATTAATGAGATGGGGCTCATCAAGTAACACGCCGTGGCCAACATTAGTAACTAGTGCCAATGATATGACAGCATAAATCTGACCCGCAACTGGGCAAAGGGTCCAATCTACACTCGATAGCTGCCTCGCGGTATAGTTTGTCTTGGTACGTGTGACTCAATTTTCGACTACCTTGAACGGAACAGCAAAGTTCTGGTTGCCCCTATTCTCAATTGGCAGGGACCCCACAGTCCTCTAATTGGAACCTGGTAAACAAAACAATCACCTGGCATGGTTCTCTGCGGCTGCGGACATACAATGCCCCTCGCGTATTCGCAAAGCTAAAGTAACAGTATTTTAGCGGAACCCCCGAACGCATTTCTCCTTGGCTGGACACAAATCACCATTTGAACGTGGGGGGTGGTTCATCCCGAGTCTTGGTGGCCGTCGAGCGACCCCTGCCGTGTCCCCACATCCGCTCGCCCAGGCAACACCATGCCGCTGGCAGGGCACCACTGACCTCGAAACGGGACCCACCCACACGGGACCAGACCCCTCAGCCTGCCCAAGTGTGGGTGCCCGGGTAAGGGAAGCAGCACGATTGAGGGATTGAGGCGGCACAGCCGAAAATCGTGAAAGATAATTAATTATTGTTGGAAAAAGCTTCGGTGACGAGGTAAGGCGGACCGGTTTTCGGCTTCAGGTATCGTGAAACCAACATTCCATCTTCGCACGTCTCCAGCTTCGAGTCCAAGGGACGGTCTGAAGTCAACAAACTCAACACACTTCCTCGGGTGGCGCAACGAGACACTACACCCTGCCCTCTCCCGTATGCAGTTTCAACCGAGGGACACGGAGAAAGATATAACCTTGATTCCTTCACGAGCCTTGTTATAATGACAAACTCGACCACTCAGAGTGGCAAACAAGGCAGCATCTGGCAGCTGGCAGCCGTCGGACATTGGGACGGGGTTTCATGCTAAGACAGGGGCTGTTTATGCTTATTACCTTATCGAGCTCGAGTTTTTGCGGGAATGGGGGTCTTTGGGAGACTGAGACGGGTCCCTGTAAATAAAAGGTTCCCAGGGGCCTGGTCGGTGGCTGCATTTGGCAGTGCGGCCGCCGTTTGGTGCAATGCTTGGCCTGCCAAGACGGAAGCCCGAGGCACTTTGGAAAGCTTTGCTGCTGCCTCTGCTCCTGCTGCCTCTGCTCTTGCTGCCTCTGCTTCTGCTGCCTCTGCTTCTGCTGGCCGGCCGACCTCGACGATGTCATAGGGCCGTGGAAAGCACGGGGTTGCGCTGGTGCGGTCTGGACACTTTGGAGAGTCTCAGAAGAATGCGCACACCCGCGTCTTGCCTGCATCTGCTCCAGTGATACTTTTGGGGATGGCAGAGCCAATTGGCTGCTGGCGCGGGAGGGCAGGAGACTGGTGTGCAGCTGCAGGCTCCCATCTGTCTGGGGAAGGAGCTAGCTGGCAGGAAACCATGATGAGTAAAAATACCCAACAAAGCCGACGGGCGGACAGCCTCGATATCTAGCATTCGTCCCTGCCCGAGATATTGAAAGAAGTTCCTGGCATCTAACCAGAAAAGCCCGAACACAAGACAGACGACACAGCTAAACGGTCCGAACTATCCGCAGTGCAGTGCTGCATGATCGGTTGGGCGTGCGTGATCACCAAAACACCGCCGAGTTGCACTTGAGATGATGAGCAAGCGAAAGAAGGATAGCGCGGATTTCCCACCGCGTAGGGCGGAAACAAGAGCTCGTCTTGCGGACCGTGTGCGCGGTGCGGTGGAGGTTGTAAGGCGACTCGAAACAAGAAACCGGAGCGTTGCAGTTCCAGGCACCTCAAATCTCTCCAATTCCCCTGAGGTGGAGGCGGCCCCTGGGGATGGGCGTTTGGACGTCACAGGTGGAGCACAGACCAAGCCCCAGCGCAGGGGCGGTGGGGGGGTTTCTTCCCGCCCGCAGTAGCGGCGAGCTTGCTTTCCTGTCGTGCCTGCCTTGATGAACGTTGACAGCTCCGGACCAGCTGGGAACAGTTGCAGAGCCCCCCAAAACCACCCCGCGGCAGCTGACAGCCAGCCTGTGCAGGGGACACACTCCGGCCGGACAGGCACCCCGTGAAAGTTGACGTCGCAGGCCCCTTCTCTCCTGCTCGTGTCTGGGACTGCCCCGCCATGTCCAATCCAATCCACCCACAGTGCACACCAAAGTCGCTTAGCCAATTCGGACGACGAGAAGTCGCTGCCCCATCGTTTCGCATCTGGGATGCCTTTTGCTGCCAGCGATGCTGCGCCGCCTCTAGACTGCCATCCAGGCCTTGCCTGACGTCGCCGTTGAGTCGAGTCGAGTCTAATGCAGCCCTTTGCGGCCCTTTGCGCCATCCGAGTCTCAGGCACAGAAATGCGGAACGAAATGCCTCCGACATCATCACCACCGTCACTCACCATCAACCTCGACACAGCTAATATGGCCATCGCCACGAATGGCTCTCGTCACAATGGCATTCGAGCTCGGCCACAACGGCCGCTTTCCACCGATCACCTTCTTGGCCCGCGGTGATCGGCCCTCGCTCGCCTGGTTTCTTGCGCACTCGAGGCTTATCCAGAGCCCACACCATGCAGGCGAGGCGGCTTGCCTCGAGAGCACCCCGGCGCCGATCCGACTCGGCGACCCGGTGCGTCGCATCCTACATAGTACACACAGCAGCACACAAGCTCAGTAGGTACGTACACACAGCAGCACACGAGCTCAGTAGGTACGTACACACGCCGCTCGGCCTCGATCCTCCCGTCGCCCAGCAAGAGCTGACCCCCTCGCCCATCCCACAGCCCCGACCTCAATTCACTGCAGGGCGCCCAGCAACTCTTGGCATGTCTGGAAGCCCTGCCCAACGTCCGGGTGTCATGTAGCCGCACTGAACTTGAGCTCGTGGAAACATCATACCGCGATAAAGACTATGGATCACCCGGGCACTGCTGCGATGATCGCCTCGGCGTTTCCTCTGGTGTCCTTCTCGTCCGTCCTTTCCCTTTCTCCCGCCTCGCTTCTGTTCTCTCTCTCTTCCCTTCTTTCCTTGGCTCAGTCCAAGCATCACCGAGTCCGTAAACATCCTCCTCTGGTGTGTTGTTTGCGTTCGACACGGTGATATTTTGTCATTCTTTTCTTGTGCGGAGCCGGATACTCGTCAACCATTTGTTCCTCTTCTTCAGAGCGCCAGTCGTTCACTTTTATATATCGACTTGACTCCTTCGACTAGTCTGTCTTTGCTATCCACCACCCATTTCATAATCTCAGCCAAGACGCGGCTCTCAGCCAAGATGCGGCTCTCAACCTCCGCTGCGCTGGCCATGGCCGGCCTTGCTCGCTTCGCGACGGCTACAGAACCGATGATGCCCGCCCCGCCTATGCCGCAAATCATCACCTCGACCGTCGTTACCACAATGTATGTCACCATGTCGACCACGATGCACGAGACTGTCGTCACGACAAATTTCTACACCGTCTCGACCACGATGCATGAGACCGTCAAGGAGACAGTTCACATCACCGTGCCTACTACGATCAAGGAGACAGTGAAGGAGACGATACACGTCACCATACCGACCACGATCAAGGAAACAGTGCACGTCACAATCCCGACCACGATCAAGGAAACAGTGCACGTCACAATCCCGACCACAATCAACAAGACAGTCAAGGAAACAGTACATGTGACCATCCCGACTACCATCAAGGAGACGGTTCATGTTACCATTCCCACGACAATCAAGGAGACGGTCCACGTCACCATCCCGACAACCATCAAGGAAACCGTCCACGTCACCATCCCGACCACAATCAAGCAAACGGTCCATGTCACTATCCCGACAACCATCAAGGAGACGGTCCACGTCACGATTCCCACCACCGTAAAGGAAACGGTCCATGTGACTATCCCCACGACAGTCAAGGAAACGGTCCACGTCACCATTCCTGTGACCAAGGACGTGGTGAAAACGGTCGACATCCCGACCACCGTCAAGGAGACCGTCAAGGAGACTGTCCACATTACCGTCCCGGTCACCGAGGTGAAATCGCAGCTCGTTACGACTACTATCAAGGAGACTGTCAAGGAAACCGTTCACATTACGATACCCATCACCAAGACCGAGGTCAAAGAGCACTTCGTCACCTCTCTCGTCACCAAGGTCGAGGAAGAGCTGGTCACCAAGACCGACATCAGAGAGCAGCTGGTTACCAAGACTGATATCAAGCAGGAGCTGGTCACCAAGACAGACGTCAGAGAGCAGCTGGTTACCAAGACTGACGTCAAGGAAGAGCTCGTCACCAAAACCGACATCAAGGAGAAACTTGTCACCGCCATCGTGACGAGCATCCACGAGACGATCGTCAGCGTCCCAGTCACGGTGACCAAGGTTGATGTGCAGAAAGAAGTCGTCACTTTCCCCGTCACCAAGGTGATAACTAGCGTCGAGAAGCAGTTCGTCACGGTGCCCGTCACGCGGACCGAAACCGAGCACATGGTGGTCACGAGCGTCCTGAGGCAGCTCGTCACCGTCAGCGTCCCTGTTGTCCAGACCGAGATCCAGACCAAGGTGGAGGAGAAGATTGTCACCAGTGTCGACGTCGAAAACAACACGATCGTCAAGACTGAAGTTATTCACAACACCGTCGTCCAGACAGAGCTCAAGGAGAATACCGTGGTTCAGACCGAGGTGGTTCACAACACCGTGGTCCAAACAGAGGTCAAGGAGAACGTCGTCACACAGACCGACGTTGAGAAGGCGACGGTGACGGTCCCGGTCACGCTGACTGTGACGTCAGTCAGGGAGATGATTGTGACCAAGGTCAACGAAGAGAAGGAAGTTGTCACCATCTCTGTCACAAGTGTTCGTGAGATGGTCGTAACGCAGACCGAGTTCAACTACCGCACCGTGACGGTGGAGAGCATGGCTGTCCAGACCGAGACCATGCATGAGGTGGTTACCGAGGTTATCAACGAGGCTGGCTACGTCAGCACGTCCACCGTGACGGTTCACATGACTGTCACGGATGTGCGCCAGATGGTGACAACCAGCATCGAGACGATGCACGAGGTGGTCACGGAGACAGTCAACAACGGGCTTGCATACTACGGCACTGGATACTCCACCAGTACGGTGACGGTCCACATGACGGTGGCACCCCCTGAGTGTCTCATTGCCACTCACGTCATGCCACCGCCCTCGCACCACACGGTGGTAGTCGTCACCGAGGAGGAGTCGTTGCAGATTTCCCATCCCGTGGTTGGGCCAGTCCATGTCTCGCCTCCTCTGGTCGTGGGTCCACACGTGGTGTTGCCTCCGCAGGTGGCACCGCCGCACATCATGCCTGCGAAGGCTGCAACCCCGCATCTTGTGGCTCCCCAGGCCAAGGTCACAACCGAACACGCCATGCCGCCGCGCGCAACAGCGACACCCCGCGGCCCGATGCGAGCGATGCGCTTCTTCCGCTCGTGAGGAGCACCTAGTAGGCGATGAAGGCTGTTGATGTAACGATACCCAGTGCATATTAGTGTGTGTGTGGCCCTTAAACCTTCTTGATTCTGTTGTTGTTTATCTGTGCGCTAGAGGACAGACTTCACAGAGGATCCCCTCTTTTTTGTCGCGGTAGGAGACGGACGGACCCTGTTATTCAGATTGCCAGACAATGGCGGCGGCCCAGCGGCGGGCTCGCTGGGCAACGGATGGAGGACTCTTTCTTGTTTCTTTTGTGTTTTTCACCTTTATGCTTTAACGAGTAAGTACATATAATCCATGTCTGTGCGTGTCGGAGTGTAGGCAACGGTCTTAGACGAGAATTCTGGGGCGAGGAAAAGGTCTACGTTCACTTGGCATAGCGCTGGGAAAGCTCAACGACGAGCACCTGTGGACGAGATAGAAGTAGATATCGACGAAGTATATATAGTGACACGGTGTGGGTAGGTCAGTCGAGAAAAGAACGATAATTTGCTTCTACGTCACCCAAAAAGCGAGCGAGATACATATACATGTACTTTACCTCGGCTGTTGCCGGTCGGTAGTCGGCTACTAATTTATATGCTTCCATGCTGATCTGCGCTAATAGGGAATCTTGTTCTTCATTATCTGAAAGTGTTAGATTCACCAGGGTACCGGTACTGGACTCAACAGGGCGTGGCTGCACGCCGAAAACTGGTGGTTCAAGTGATGGATTGTAGATGTCTGTTCTTCTCTCTAGCTTTCTGGTAGTGCTAGAAAGCCCGTTCTTATACTACTATTGTGGTGGCGAAGTTGGTGGCGAAGTCTCTATCTAGAACCTTCGAGGCCCTTCTGCTTGACAAATTCCAACAGAAAGTTCTTTCGACGAGACGGTGGAATTGTTTTTAATTTTCGACGTACTTCGAGAGCCTTTGAACACTCATCACAGAAAGTACACTCAGCCGTATAAAATCCTTCTATATCCCTTTGATATACCATTCTGGTGGCCATGTCGTTCTAGCCGGAAATGCTCCATATCGACCCTTTACCCGTCTAAGAGAAAATTTTAAGTGCTCTTCAGTTCGATATATTCAGCATCGGAGAGCTGTGCTATGGGATTGCTGTCTTTTGATTTCATCGATCTGGCCCCTGTTGGAATGTGGGCCTCGAAGGAGCCAGGCAGAGGATTTGCTGCCCACTTCGCGACCTACCTCGCAGCCTAAATCGCGACCTACTTCGCGACCTACCTCGCAGCCTAAATCGCGACCTACTTCGCGACCTACTTCGCCACCTATTTCGCCACCACAATAGCAGTATAAAAGGGGAGCTCTCTTGCACTGCCAGAAAGGGAGAGGAAGAACATATACAGAACAATCCATCACTTGAACCACCAGTTTTCGGCGTACAGCTACGCCCTGTTGCTTCCAGTACCGGTACCCTGGTGAATCCAACAGCCCCTAACCCATTGTAATCTAGTGTTTTTGTTGGAATTTGTCAAGCAGAAGGGCCTCGAAGGTTCTAGATAGAGACTTCGCCACCAACTTCGCCACCACAATAGTAGTATAAGAACGGGCTTTCTGGCACTGCCAGAAAGCTAGAGAGAAGAACAGACATCTGCAATCCATCACTTGAACCACCAGTTTTCGGCGTGCAGCCACGCCCTGTTGAGTCCAGTACCGGTACCCTGGTAAACCCAACAGTTTTTCTTTTTGTTGCTTATGATCGAAGATGACAGCGCATTGAATTGTCTATTTAGGCTAGACGAAAGGTTGAGAGAACGAAGCCGAAGGCTCCCTTATATAGACCCTGTTGCCCTGCGCCTCCTGCCGCCGCCTCCGCCGCCTATTGTTCTGTTAGAACGTGAGATGACGAAGTCGACTGTGGCTTGAAGGGGGGGTTAAAGTGGCTCAAATATGGGCGACACTTTTCTTTCCTTTTTTCTCTTGGGCGACCATGATATTGGCATACATGCCCAACTTTTTCTAACGCGGTGGCGTTCTTTTTCTGTTATACTAGGGCCACATGACAACTCCGGCAAGGGATAGATGAAAATGCAAACTAAATACGCATAGAACCTATGGAATTATTTGTTCCACTTAGGCGGAGGCGGACTCCCGTACAAGTTCCGAGGAAAGAAAATTAAAACCGTTCTCCCGATAAATCGGCCCTCAGTTCAAGTTCCGGTCATGTTCATAGATGTCTCTTCGAACGTAGACACCAGCCAGATTTGCAACCATCTCGGCAGCCGCCTGCGGGTCCGCGGCATCCATCAGGACAGGAACGACGCATAAGCTGGCGGCAAAGGCCATCGGGAACCAGTTGAGAACTCCCTCGATTGTCGACTCTGCGCTCTGGGACAGCGAGCCGAGAAGACTAAGCGTCGAGAAGAGCACGGTTCCTCCAAACAGCCTCCGCTGCAGGTTATTGGGGCGTTGCATGAGCTCTAGGACGAACAACACTGACACTGCCGTGCCCCAGGCCGCGTAGGCCATGGCCCAGTACCCGTTGTCAATGAAGTCGCTGCTCCGTAGAGGTGGAATCGCTGCGCTCGCCGCGACTGAGATCCCGGCGGCAAGATGCTCTGCCACGTCGAGGGCCGCGTGTGGATGCCGGACCGCGGCGGCCATGGGGAGGGCGGCGATCCCAGAGCAGATCGCCGCTGTGGCGGCTATCTTGCATAATACTCTGGGCCTGCTGGCGTTCGGTCCATGGTACCGGCGGCTATGTGTGGTTTCGCGCATGGCCTGTCTCAGAGCTGGACTTGGCATTCTGAGTAGGTTGTATGATTCCACGTGTCTCAATAAGTGCATGGCAAATGACAAGCCACCCTCAAATGCTGGAAGCTCTTCACACGCCAGCAGTGTATTCCTCTCACATGTCCTCTCGGGCTTGTCTAGGTGGTTGCTGTGAACCAATGTCAGCGTTTGTTTGGGAAAGGCCACCGGGACATGGCGTAGACGACGTCTGGGTAGAAGGGCGTAGGAGGAGGCCATGGTCGCCAGACCTTGTGCCGGAAAACAGACGGCCTTGGATTTCCGGGGCCCGTGCCATAAAGGGGAGAGGAATGTCGTAAGCAAGGTGTCCGTTTCGGTAACCTTGAAGGCAAGGTGTCCGTGTCGGCACCCTTGGAGGTAAGGTGTTGGTATCAGCAACCTTGGAGATAAGGTGTCCGTGTCGGTAACCTTGGAGGCAGGGTGTCCGTGTCGGCACCCTTGGAGGCACCCTTGGAGGCAAGGTGTCCGTGTCGGTAACCTTGGAGGCTAGTTGTCGGTATCAGCAACCTTGGAAGCAAGGTGTTCGTGTCGACACCCTTGGAGGCACCCTTGGAGGCAAGGTGTTCGTGTCGGCACCCTTGGAGGCACCCTTGGAGGCAAGGTGTCGGTGTGATGCAAAAACAAGACAGAGCCCTGCACGCTTGCTGGATGAGGCCCCGATCAAGAGGTTGGCAAAAAGGGCAGAGAGCTATTTTGTTCCTGCCCGGAACTTTGCAATTCCAATTCCCTGGTTAGGATTAGATGCGGGGTATGCTGATTTCTTGTCGACGCAAAGCTCTGTTCCCGGTGCTGTTGCGGCGTGGCTCGGGGTTTTCAGCTTGCGCACCAGACTGCGTCTACTCAACTTCTCCAATCTATGGGCCACTTCGCCATCTTGACTGCCAACAAGCCACGACGGGCAGCTATCTCGAAACCTACAATGGACCCTATTACCGTCGTTGGCGCAGCGACCCAGATCTTCGGTCTGTGCAATGCTATCCTGAAGACCCTTAAAACCTCCGCCCAGTCCAAAGTACTCCAGCCGGGCTTGCGATTGAGTGTTCAAATCCTTCACCAGACACTCGAGAGTTCGCTAGCGGTATATGAAGCCCTCGCAGAGGAGCTAGAGATATTAGACGAAGACATCAGCCAGCAGCTCCTACCCGAGCCAACTAGACCGGACACACTCCCCGACCTCGTCTTCGCGAGCATATCGACCCTGGAAGAAATGAACTCCCTCTTTCTTCGTCTACAGACCCAAAGCGACAGCGGAATATCCAGGTTGGCAGCAGCGCGGATAGAAGAGCGGTGGGAATCGAGAGAGAGCATCCGCGTTGAAGCTGCCCGGCTGGAGGAGTGGTACATCCTTGTTCGGAGGTCGAAGTGTCTCTATCACGCTGACAGCCTCCATAGCTTGCAGGAACTCGAACGTTTCGTCGACGACAACCGCGCCAAGAAACTCGCTCTCAGATCCGCCGACGACGTCTACAAAGCATCCGGGGCATTAATATGCCATGTGGGTAGACTGGGCGAGACGGAGCACAACGATAAAGCGGAAGGGTGGGCGCCAAATAAAATGGCCTCGTTCAAGCTAATGAAATATACCTTCAACCCCATCCTCTTGCTCGCCGCGGCCGGGGCCTGCGTGACGAGCGTCTGGGGGTCCGATTTTTTTTGCTCTGCGGAGACGGTTTACCACGCGTCGTGGATCACTTTGGTAAGACATTGCACGTTGCTATACCCCCTCGACACTAGAGAAAGAGTAGAAGGACTGACAACAACTCCCATCCCTCTAGACGCCCCACAGCTCCCACCTCAAACTCGACTCGGCCCTCCACTCGCCGGCTACCCTCGTAGCGGCCATCGCAACGATCAGCCTGTCCCTTACGTTGCACCACTACAAATTACAGCAGGCTGGGAAGCAACGAGATGGAGTTCTTGCTGGCGTCTTAGGGGGCGGCACGGTGACGGGCCTGGTGCTGGGCCTGGACGGGATAACCATTCTCCTCCGCGTGGCGCCGTGGCTTGCCATTTCGGCGTTCCTTGTCTCCGCCGTCCTGAACGCCGCATCTTAGGGCCTGCGGTTGGCAACAAGCGCAACGGGACGACAAGAATGATGTGATTGGTTGAACGGAGATCATGAAGGGACAGGGGTAGGGCCCCAGCCCAGGATGCTGCCGTTGTTGCTCATAGCTCTTGAAATTTTACTAGAACGTTCTGGGTTCGTCTGGAGAGGCAATCACGCTAGAATTGCGGTTAGCTTATCTACTCCGGCAGTCCTGCTCGTCAGGCCTTGTTCAACGCCTGTGATCTAGTTTGGTTCTAAGTAGCTTAGCCCTGCGTATCAGCGCATTTACTTAGAGCCTCGGAGATCTCGTGCTCTTTTTTCTAGCACCGGTTTAGGAGTAATATGATAGTTCACTCTGATAGATAAAGAGCAATCAGGCAGTTTTCAAGTGGTCTCCGCAGCACATGAGCTATCTAGGGACTGCTTACCGTCCTCAACATGATTCAAGGCGGGCAACAAAACACGACGAAAAAAACGAATAAGCCTCTATATGCTAGGTAAACGAAGAAGCACACCCGCCCCCTCGCTCAATTAGAAGGGCAGGCAACCTTCCTTATACAGGGGATTATAGAGCTAAATCTTCACAACAGCCGCAAGGTTGCTTGTCTAATATGGAATGGGGAAGGCCAAACAATGGATTGCCTTTTCTCTCTTTTCTCTCCGTGATTCCTGAGTCGGGGGCCTTTATTCACACTGGCCGAAGATGCCGCCATATCGCATCTCGATGCGCTACACGCCGCCGGGACGCCGGTATACCGGCTCAAGCACCAGCTCCGCATGACGGAGGGGCTTTTTGATATGGTCGCCTACGAGGCCAACTCTCGCTGCTGTTCTGGTTCTTCTGCTGCTGTGAAGGGAGGCCATCACCCAGTTGAACTGAACCTTACAACTATGCGAGGTGCACAGTTTACTGGGAAACGTGGTGGACTGCTTAAGAAAATCCAAACTATCTGCCCGCAGGCGAGAAAGGTATCGTAAGTGTTGTGGTGACAAAATGTGTAGAAAGTGCATTAGCAGGCTAACTCTAGGAGGGGCCAATCCCCGTACTAAATGTGTGGGCGAGAACCCATGTGCGAGCTGGTAGCCCAAGCGTCCAACCAGGGCTAAGCCCCGCAACACACCCCCTTTGGCCACACTCCAAATATGAAGCTATTACGAGATGTGATGTGTAAAGTAAACAATGGAAAAATGCCGTGCTGTGTTGTGGTGGGGAAAGGGTATAATACTGTACAAATAAGCTCTGCTCCTTTCTTATTGATACCAGGGAACCTTCCTTGAATGAATTACCAGCATTTGACGAATTTAATTTGTAAGTCCAGTGCAAGGGGCTTCGTGATGTCGAATTCCTTCATTTGCCACATTCGGTTCAGCGACCGTATTGGTATTGCGAGGAGGCCCTATAGCTAAGTTAACAGAGCTGTGCGGCTCCGCGGGTAAGCTCCGGGCAGTAGGCTGAGGCTCAGGATGATGGATTCGAGGCGTAAAAAAGTTGGTTGAGAATAGTAGACTCGAATTACCCTGCGTGGAAGGATTTGCGAGGCCTGAGCCCTTGTGAACAACAACTGCCATTGTTGCGCCTGAAGCTTTACGCTTCTTCTTCTCTTCCAGTGCTCTTGTTGCTATGATAACCGCATGCCTTATGTTCCCAGGTAATAGGGATATTTTCTTTACAGCCATTATAACCACAGACCTTTCTTCCTTTCCCTTCCTCTTTCTTGGTTTCTTTCGCCTTTGTCTCTGATCCTGAAGGAAGTTTGGCGAATCGTGATGAGGTTTCCTCGCTTGCAGCAATTTCCTCCAGCTCTTGGTTGAGCTTGTTCCAGGTCAGGGTCTTCTCTTTGAGGCCATTCAGCCAGAAGAGGTGGCGATCCGGGTAGGTCTTCTTGAGCTTTGTAATTAGCAGGTTGAGGTGGAATTCCTCTGTTACTCCTGCCTTCAGGTTATCGATCTTCTTGTAAAGAAAGCGGAGCCTCGTCAGGAAAGTTTGTATGGTAGTGAAAGAAGGTCTATCAATCTTTACGAATTCTATAACGGAGTCTATGACGGCTTCCTGCGTCAGGCGGGGAATGACGTGCTTGATCAGGTCATAGGTGACTTTGGGGTCCTGTTGGCGAGGATCTTAGCCTCGGGCTAATAGTCTCTCATTGTCACGGTTAATAGGATTTAAAGAACAGTGCCAATAAGATACCGTATTGATTTGGTGTAAAACTAAGCTAGAGAAGAAAAGAAAGAAAGATCGCAGGAGCTGCGGTCGGTGGAAAAAGGTTTGTGGGGAGTTTGCACGTGGCCTACACGCTAACCTAATTGGCCTTTTTCCATGAAAGAAGGTTTGCGGGCGAAGTTTACACGTGGCCCACAAACTAAGCCTAATTGGGTTTCTTGGAAGATGACGTAACACGGCCACCGACAATGAACTCACAATGCGCTGTGCCGTGACACTCATGAACCTGAGGTGAGAGGCTGTTATTGATCATAGATACTATGACTGCTCTGTTCGTACGCCACTCTCGCTTTTGCTCAGGCACGAGTGCAGCTACTACGGCTGGGGTAGTCTCGGTAACGGTAGGCTCTTCAACTTCGTCGAGAATAAAGTGATGAAGTCGTAAATGTTGAGATAACCCCAAAGAGCGCTGTCCCACTGGGTCAGGTTCTTTTCTCCTTCAAGGACTGGTATGTCGGCCCGGAGCAGGCGAGTGTTGCCCATAGTTATGGTGGAATTGAATTGGCAACCTGGTTGGTCGAATAGTCTGTCAATCTGTCGCCGAATTGACAGTGTTGGAAATGGCCTCAATATGGTCCTATGGAGGGGACAAATGAGGACTTTGTTCCGCAGGGCTGTTGCTCCGCATGCTGGCCGAAGTAATCGCTCGATTACCTCTGTTCGGGTCGCAGATCCGGCTTGTTACCTGCGCCCTGGAAAATACTGGGTAGATCAATCAACTAGACTAAACTCCCGAGTATGCGCTCTCGAATGCAGAGTATGCGCTCTCGAATGCAGAAAGCGGCTTGGTGATAGCTTCAATTTTGGAAGCAGTAGGGCGTCATAACCTGTTGTGGTGACAAAATGTAGAAAGTGTTCGTGGTACTCAAACTACGTAGGGATCCTACAGGTCGAAGGGTTGGTAGATCTACCGGGGGTAATCTTGTGTCTCCTCCATCCCTCTCTCTCTCTCCGGAATTAAGGTAGGTTCTGCGCGCGACCGGGGTTTTTGTGTGTGTGTGAGAGGTCCGCGCGCCGCACGTGCCTACTTGCACGTGCGTACTCGCGCGATCTCTGCTTCCTCCCTGCTAGTGTGCGGTCACCAGTGTCGCTATTCCAACAGAAAGTGCATTAGCAGGCTAACTCTAATCCCCGTACTAAATGTGTGGGCGAAAACCCATGTGCGGGCTGGTGGCCCAAGCGTTCAACCAGGGCTAAGCCCCGCAACAGTAAGGGAAAGGCCCCTCCATAGTTTCCGTCCATGCGTCGTCCAGATCGTATTCCCGCCATTTCATTATCCTGGCAGTCTCAAAATTGTGACGTCAACTGCTGCCTTGTGTCCTCTCATCATCGTTTGAGGGAGATAGGGAGGGCATTTCGAGATCTTGATTCTACTACCCAAGCCTCGAGCAGAGGGGGATAATTGTCGTGCTCTAATAGAAGGCTAGCAAAGGTTTTTTGAGGGCTGGGTTGGGTCGTTTGCCTAGCCTGACCCTCCTGTTGGGTTTTCAAAACTCAGATGTTGGTTGCGAGGTTTGATCGAGCCGTTGGTCGTCCTAGGAATCGCTACGCTGGGCTCGAAGCTGTCCTCAGTGAGGATGTTCAAAGGTCCTGAGCCGGTACCCATCTGAGCGGGTACCCATCTGAGCCGGAAGTCGACCCATATGGGGGAAAGGGTGTCCTTAACTCGGTAGGAGAAGGCGCCTAACCGTCTCGGAATCGGAGAAGAATCGTGGCCGTCGCAGACTGGATGTGGCGGTCCGGCATTCCGTCATTATGGATCCGGGAAATGCGCAAGGAGGAAGGAACATCTTTGCCCAGGCCCGTCGATAGGGAAATAATTCGGTTAATTCAGCCGTGATAAAGTTGATCCTTAAGCGCGGCCATTTTTCGAGATTGACCTCGGCCTTTGCCGTTCCGTCGAGGGAAACCCATGGTCGGACTTCATGAGGCGGATCTCCAGGGGTGTAAAGCGTATGGTGAATCGTCGGAGCATCCTCGTTGGCGAGCAGTGCAGAGAGATTGCCGGATTGTTTTCGGGGAGAAAACTGGGCACGCAAGAGTTAAAAAGGCAAAGGAAAGAATCTGTCGTTTCGTCCGAGGTCAGTGCTTTTCCAGCTATTGGGGTGGAGTAACGAGGGCCCAATTCCTGCCCTTTTTCTTTTCGGAAAGCCCACATACACCCCCTTTAAACTTGTCGATCAACCTAGCGCTGACAGACTCTGAAATGGAAGTTTGGAACACTCTCTGGTTTGAGATATTCATAATTATTTAAAGTCTAGTCCCAGTTTGAAAAACCCGAGCGAGCCCACAAATCAAGGCTAGGTACCAAGTAGACACAAGATAGGAGAAATCAACAAAGAGATCGCCATGTTTTCTCCTGACCTGTTTAGAATTCATCATCATTACGTAGAACCGACTCCATCCAACTCCCCAACCCCCCAACTCCCCAACTCCCCAACCCAAGCAACCCAATCAAGCCTCTCTAATCATGGCCACACCGTAGCCTCTCTGCGGCTGAATCGTGGTGCGCGGGCCCGTGTAGAAGTGGCGGCCGTGGGTGAACCAGAAGCCGACTGAGAAGACGACGACGACGAAGAAGACGACTAGGGCGTAGTTCATCTAGAGACAGGATAGTCAGCATCTTCGTGACCACACCAAGAAAAGAGGAAAGAAGAAAAAAGGAAGAAGAAAAAAGGAAAGAAGAAAAAAGGAAAGAAGAAAAAAGGAAAGAAGAAAAAAGGAAAGAAAAAAGGAAAGAAAAAAGGAAAGAAAACTCACATTCTCGGCCGTCACCGGCAGCCGCGTCGGGAGGAAGAAGATAACAGCCATGAAGGCGTTCCACGCGACGGCGACGACGTTAAGCACGACGCTGGTGCGGCGGCTGAGGTGCCAGGGCCCGCGCTCGAAGCGGCCGTAGCGCAGCTTGCAGACGAGCGGGATGGCGTACGACAGATTGAGTGCGACAGTGCACACGTTGAAGACGGCGCCGATGGCCGTGTCGCCGGCCAAGCCCAGCAGGTTGACGGTAATCTCAAGCGCCGCGTACAGCCACACGGCCGCGATCGGCGTGCCTGACCGCGGCGAGATGCGCCGCCAGATGTGTGACAGCGGGAGCAGGTCGTCGCGCGCAAAGGCGAAGATGGTGCGGCTGCCGGATTCTGTGGAGACGGGGTGGTGTTAAGCGATGGCTCTTGGGTGGAGGTGGGAAACATGGGCGGAGGTGGGAAACAGGGGCGAGAGTAAAACCGGAAAAGACGCACGCAGCCCCGGGATAGCCACAAGATTCATAACCACAAAGCCGCTCAGCGTAAAGAAGATGGCGGGCACGCGGCCCATGGCGTTAAAGAAGAGCTGCGCAACCTATACTCACAGACCCTCTGGTCAGCTCGGCCACTTTTCCCTTTCTACAAGAACTCTTCTCGGGAGTGTTACTTACCGGCTGGCCGCTCGGGCTGTTGATCAGGTCCAGCGGGTCACCCATGCATAGGACCAGAACGAGGTTGAACAGAAAACCGACGACGTATGTAAAGGTAGTCGCGTTGGCGATGGCCTTGGGCACAATCCGCGCCGGGTCCTTCGCCTCCTCGGCGATGCTTTATGCAGACTGTCAGCCTCTCTCTCGCCCCTTTCCAAGAAGAGAAGGGAAACGAAAGCAACCCACCGTGCCGTGCTGTCGGCACTCGTCATGATCCACGCCGGGGTCAGACAGCCAAACAAAAAGGCGAAGCCGGGCGGGCTCCAGCCGGACGAGGGCTGGAAATCGGTGAAAGCGTAGGCGACGTCGTGGCGGCCGGCGCGCTGCTGGGCCAACAGAGTGGCGCAGGCGCCGACGAGGACGCTGACGTGGAACACGACGTAGCCGCTGGCGAGGCGGTTGAGCCAGACGGTTGGCAGCGAGTTGACCGAGGCGTGCGCGACCGCCAGCAGCGCCATGACGGCCACGACATGGTGCGTCGTCGGCGTGTAGGCAAAATCCGACGCGATCGACACGGCTGCCAGCAGCATCTGGCTCGACGCGTATTCGGTCGCCGCGCTGCCCGTGATGGTGCCCACCAAGTTGATGTAGCCTGCGAGTGTGGTTAGGTACCCTCCCAGACTCTTCTCGGGGAGAGGGAGAGGGAGAGGGAGAGGGAGAGAGAGAGAGAGAGAGAGAGAGAGAGAGAGAGAGAGAGAGAGAGAGAGAGAGAGAGAGAGAGAGAGAGAGAGAGAGAGAGAGAGAGAGAGAGAGAGAGAGAGAGGGAAGGAGAGGGAGAGGGAAGGAGAGGGAGAGGGAGACAGAGACACAGAGCGAGGCCACGCACCAGAGATCCAGCACAGCACTGGCACGTACTCGTCGGGCGCGAGAAACTTGAGGGTAAAGTACATGGCGCCCGAGCTGGGGTAGGCCGACGAGAGTTCGGCCAGGCTCAGGGCAAGGGCTAGCGCTCCAGCGCCGCCGAGCACCCAGGACCACATGATTGCGGCCGCTCCGCCCGCCTGCAAGCCGTAGATCCACGTCGACATGAGCGACCCGTACACGCCCGAGATGCTCATGGCGAAGCTGAAGCTCGACCAGCTGGAGAACTCGCGCTTGAACACCTGGCCCGTGTCGCAATCGTGTCAGCGGGCTAGCTGCCAGACTTTCGCAGCACGTTTCCGGACGGGGAAGCTCACCGGCGTGTATCCCATGGCCTCGAGCATCTTGTCCGCCTCGTCGACATCGTCGCTGCTTGAAGGCGAGACGGGCGTGGCAGACCCGCTGGCGACGGCAGTGGCCTGCTGGGTGATGCTCGGGGTCTTTTCGAGGCTGCCGGTAGCCATTGCTGCGACTATCTGTGGGGTTCTTGTCTGGTGTCTGGGGCTTTTGTCTGGTGTCTGGAGTTCTTGTCTGGTGTCTGGGGCTCTTGTCTGGTGTCTGGGTTCTTGTCTGGTGGCTGGGGTTCTTGTCTGGTGGCTTTGGGCCAAGAGGCAGCTCGTGGACGAGCCTAGAGTCGGGCCCCCTTCGTCTGGCCGGGATTCGAGGGCTAATATCATCTCGTAGCTGCGCTGGGCGCGTGGCTGGGTGTCCCTGGTGGCTTGCCGATTCCGGGCGTCTCGATGTGTTCTCGGCCGGTCTCTAGTTCGGCAGGGGTTCGTGGAATATGGGAGAGCCGCGACAGCCAGACACGAAAATCAATCCGCAGTGCATGTCTGCCGCCCTGCTAGGCTCGCAGGTCTCTCACAACGTTGAGGCCTGCGCCATTGGTGATGCGGGGGGCTCGGTGTGGTCGAGCTGCATTCTCGTCGAAGGTTTGGCTGCAACTAGCAGTGGCTCCCGCGTCTCTGATATCGATATCTTGACCGGCCGCATGCATCATGTGCATTCTCCAGAGCCGGTCACAGCAGCTTGTCTTGGTGGAGGGGAGAGTTTCCGACGCCAGTGCTCGGATTTCGGATAGGGGGTTCTAACTCGTTGACGGTTAGCTTGGGAGCAGCTGCCTGCAGGTGCAGCAAGGTCGTGGGAGGCGTTCCGATTGCTTGGAAAGTCTTGGTCAGAAGCGGCAGAATTGCGGACAGGCACGTCTTTTCTGGATCCGGTTTGGATTCGCAAGTGGCCGCCGATGTAGGAGGGCCGGGTTGACAATCCGACGCGACTTTCCCCGCCCCCGGCACTGTCCATGGATCGGATAGTGGCCGCATATCCGGGGCTGGGCAGCAATCAGAAAGCTGCTCCTGGACTGCAGCAGTTCAAGCTTTGTTTCCGTACGGCTCTAGAGAGGCAGAGGCAGCTGGTGTAGCTCCCACACGGGATGGAACTGCGGGCTCGAGCATGCAATACGGTAATCACGTATTGGCAGAACTTGTAAACCTAGGTCACGTATTGGCAGAACTCGTAAACCTGGGTAGACCAAAGAATTAAGCAGAAAGCTCGGCTTCGATTTCGAGTATGTGAATTGGCTTGACATGTCTTGTTTATCTCGAGCAGCCGCAGCGAGGCACGCCTGCAAATGCTGGCCAAACTTGACTGCCTTCTCGAGAAGTCAGTGTCGACCAACCCGAGGGGCGTTGATCAGGTGCAGTGCCGTTCAGGTCTGGTTGGTCGAGATCGATCTCGGCCAGCAGAGTCTCGTCTGCCCTGCCATTGCTTTCCTGGGCGTTATTCGTCCATTCAGAGACTTGGGAGTATTGTCCGTCGCCCGGCAGCTGTGTCCGTCAGTGCTATGTCCGTTGCCCGGCAGCTATGTCCGTCGCCGGCAGCTATGTCCGTCGCCGGCAGCTATGCGCATTTGCTGTGCAGTCTTGTCCCAGATTTGGATACCACATGCGTGTGTGCCGGAGCTAGCTGTTAACTGCAACGGGTAGGGACAGCTATCTGGGGGTTGGTTTCTCTCCATCCATGTGCCAGTACCTTAATCGCGAGAAAGAGAACCCGAAAAGAGGTGGGCGACGTGATGTGAGTTTATCCCTGAGCTGTCGGTAAGTGTAGACTAATTCCAGCGATGCCGAGAACGCCCAGCGATGCCGAGAACAGCAAGACAAGATTAAGCTTTCCGATTGAGACAAGTAGTGGTACAACTCAACATTATAGCTCCTGATCCTAAGCCCGTTCCGTTCCATTCTTCACGGCAGACTCGATATGAATGCCCAAACGCCAGAACCAGCCGTCCAACGTCATACATGTACACACTACCCTCCAGCCCTCAACGCCATACATGTACACACTACCCTCCAGCCCCCATCATCATACACGTACACACTACCCTCCAGCCTCCAACGTCATACATGTACACACTACCCTCCAGCCCCCCGTGCCGTGGACGAATCCAGCCCATCCGTCTTCTCGAGAGTTTTTTCGTGTTTGGTGCTTCTTTATCCTTTCTCACTTGTGCGAGGGGTTCGACTTCCACTCGCCGGCGTCCTTGACGCCCTGGGAGACGGAGGCGACGCCGCCCTCGAGGCCGGAGCCGATGTTGGCGATGCCGTCGCCGAGGGGCTTGCCGAGGCCGCCGGTGGCGCCCGTGACTGTCTCGCCGATGCCGCGCGACGCGGCGCCGACGACGCCGCCGACCGTGTTGGTCAGCCCGCCGACCGTGTTGCCGACCGTCGACGTGACCGTCTTGCCCACGCCCGTGACGCCCGACATCTTGTCCTTGTTGTTCATCGTGTTGTTCATAATATGGGAGAGACTTGGGGAGTGGTGGCGATGGGGTTGATGTGCGGTGGTTGGCTGCAGTGTTGATGTGCGGTCGTTGGTTGCAGTGTTGATGTGCTGGTGGTTGGTTGCAGTGTTGATGTTGGTTGCAGTGTTTGGAGGTTTGGTTGCAGTGTTTGGAGGTTTGGTTGCAGTGTTTGGGAGATTTGGTTGCAGTGTTTGGGAGATTTGGTTGCAGTGTTTGGAGGGTTGGTTGCAGCGTTTGGAGGGTTGGCTGCAGTGTTTGGAGGGTTGGCTGCAGTGTTTGGAGGTTTGGTTGGTGTACGGGTGATTCAGTGAAATGACTAGAGAGCGACTTGACTGCTGTGCTGTGGTGCTGAGCATCTTATACGCCGGAGCAAGCTCCCATCGGCGCATCAGACTTGTAAGTGGGCTCTGCGTAGTGCGTAGTAGGCCACAGCCTGTCGACTACCCCACCACCGCCGACTACGTCATAATTAACGGCCCATCCCCCGCCTTTTCCCACGTCCTAGCTTATCTCCAAGTGAGAGGCGTGTTTAGCCTACGGATCATTACCGAACGTTCATTATCAAAGAATGACGTTTGAGACGCAGCTCATGAGCCGCATCCCTTGGATTTGACCGTTGTGTGACATGTTAGATTAATTGAGTGCACCCGACAAACGACCGCCGCACACTGCGTGGAGAAAGCCAGCTCAGGTTGCCAATGCTCTAAATGTCAACGAATTTGTTGCTCACTATTCAAATGATAGGTGGCGCGGGCACGAAAAACGGGCTACAACAAAGAGTAAACCAACAGAGACTTGCAATCTCGCAGCCGCCGTCCTCGTCGCCCTCTACCAATGTTTTTTCCATCGCTTGGAAACGTTGTCCGGGATCGTTGTCCAGGATCAGAGATCAACAATGTGGACCGCGGAGCAGGGAAGCTATGCTCGGCCAGCAACGGGATGTCCATCAGCCATGTAATCAAAGCAACTTGGCATCCATGGATGATTCCATGTAATCAAAGCAACTTGGCATCCATGAATGATTCTCGATGAGGTAATACCCTGAACCAGATGATGGCTCGCTCGCTCCTGCTCAGATCCCTGTAGACCTACAGCCAGTCCAAGAGCTCCCGTCTCCGTCATCCCCATCGCTCGCCATGATCCTCACGTCCTGTGCGTGTCATCCTTGCTGCGTTCATATTTCGTCGTGCGAAGCATCATGCTTCCAGGCAGCGCAGTGCACAGCCTGGCCCGCCATTCCCGTCGTGAGAGTTCCCAAACACATTCATCTTCGTCAGGACCAGTTCCGCCAAAGTTTCAAACCATGCCCGTTTGATTCCTTCAAATGCGTCCGCAGCGTCGATGCGGCACTCCGGACGTGCGCTGCTGCCTGTCGTCGGGGTATCGAAAAAGAAAATCCCAGCACAATTTCCTCCCGTTCCATCTCCGCATCTCCGTCCCGATGCCATCAGTCCGTCCGATTTCATCAGACCTGTAATTTTCTCCCGTTCCATCTCCGCATCACTCCGTCCTGATGTCATTAGTCCGTCCCGATGTCATCAGTCCGTCCCGTGTCATCAGTCCGTCCCGTGTCATCAGTCTGTCCCGTGTCATCAGACCTGTCAGCTCGGCTCCGGGGGATCGTCTGCCCGGGGCGGCTCCGGTTTCGGTGCGGGGCCGGACGCGACCTGGGCGAAGAGCTCCGTCCTCCGCCGCTCGTTGAAGTGGACCATTTCTGCCTGGTTGCACGCCACCAGGTTGAGCCTCTTGGCTCTGCTGCGGCGGACCGACACGTATATGTACCCGACGCACGCCATGAGGAGCAGGTAGACATGCACGATGCTGTTTGTCCCGGCGAGAGTGGTCAGTATGATTTCCCTCGTGTCGGGTCCAAGTCGCCATTGCATTTGCATCTCCCCGCTCAGGGCACACGGGGGAAACGGCCAGGGAAAGACGTACGTAAAGACAATCATGAAGATCATGGCATTATTGACGTCGACGTCCCACTCCGACGAGCCCGACACCACCACCACGCTGCCCGCTGGCCGGTAGATGCCGTGATCGACGGTTCCGAGAATCAGAAAACAGAAGATGCCCACGGCGATGAAGGCGATGTCAAAACACGCCGCCACGGGATTGACCGGCCACTTGCGGTCCAGGAAGCACAGCGATATGACCTCGTATGCGTTCACGAGCGCTGCGGCCACGACCTGCAGGCAAAAGCGCGCGAGTCAGCCAGCCTCGCTCACGTTTGGTGATGAAAAGGGCCAACCAGCCTGCAGGCAGGCGAAGTCGGAGCTTACCGGGAAGAAGGACGGGAAGATGACTTCGACCTTGACGCCCGGCTCCGACCTCCAGACGTTGTAGATGTAGCTGATGAAGGAGATGGTGCCGAGCTCGAAGAGGATCGCAATAAAGCGCGACGCGGCCTGGACGAGCTTGAGCGAGAAGCGCAGCGTCGGGAACTGTCGTCCGTAGCGGCGGTCGGGAGGGGGCCCATAGCCGGGGTGCCAAGCGGTCTCCATGACGTTCCAGCTTGCTTGCTTGCTTGCTTGCTTGCTCGGCGGCGAAGACGGCGGCGAAGACGGCAAGGTCCGTCTTCAGCTCGGATGCGGGGCGACCATGGGCGACCGCTGTTAGCTTGCTTCTCCGGGATGACGAAAACGAAGGAAGAGGAGTCGGAAACGAAGGCAACAAGAAGAACGAAAGAGAAAAAAAAAGGAAGGGGACCCGGGTGCAGGGTCACTCGGGCACGGTTCCCGGCCGGTTTGTCGCTTTAAATCCGACACCCTATCTGTCTCGAATGTTCAAAAAATGGATACATCTGACAAGCAGCGAGCGATCAATTTTCCGGGGAGAGGCGGGGTGGTCTTTTTGGGGGTGGCTTTCCCCGATTTCACTCGGCGTCGCAACCGCGCTTCCGCGAGTTCCGTCCAGGCTGCCATGGTGCCCTGCCAAAGAGCCCGCGGATGGGGCCAGGTCTGTGCCGCGGCAATCAGCCGTTCGATTGGCGGCCTAGCGAACAAAACGGCAGCTGGAAACTTGGAAGGATCGGGGTCCAGCCAACCACAGCGCTGCCCAGGGGCGAACCATGACTCCGCACTGCCTGGACCAGGGGATGCCAGCCCAGTCCCCCAGCCCCTTCCGACTTCTGTCCTGACCTGACACCAACTGCCCTGTGTCGTGAGCCCGGGAACTGATCCCGGTGGCGGAGTTGCATCCTGTCTTATGGGGCCCCCAAAAGCTTCAATACACGCATTCACTCGCCGTGGGGTGCTGAAAGAGGCAGTTCGACGGCCAAATGAATCAATGAATGAGCCAAGACACGTGATTGAAGCCATTTTGATCGCCTTGACACCCCATTTACATCTGCCAAGCCTGATCTTTCTCGTTAATGGAAAACCAATATTGGCGGAAAGTACTATTTTATCACTCCTGGTCAGAGATCTGCGAGAGCACCGCATCAGGGTAAAGCCCAGTACCTATTGTGGCACTGAAGTGGGATTTAGTTATATACACCTTTCTATATACTGCCGGTTCTGAGGCTGAGAATATACCGTGGGCCGGCTAACTAATTCTTCATATAAAACAGGCAGGCACCCAACCCAACCCCCTCGGTTCAAACTCTCGGCTACGGCAAAGACAAACCTAGGTACCGGATCCACGTGTGATCGCTGATCTGGTTGCTACGTAGTAGGCGAGCATTTACAGTGTGCCTAGAACTAGTCGAGTCCACTCTTGATCTTGATGTAAGCTTTTCGTTGACCAGCTGGATAGGTGGTTATACAGTTGCTGTTCAAAGATACCAGAAACTCAAGTAAACAGACGCCATGCAAGGGAATTGTCTTTTCCGTTGCGTACTGTCCTAGCCGGCGAAGAATCAATTTAGCAAGGTCGCCTGGATTGAAAATTAGACAGAAACAGAGCACTCGACTCAACATCACGACACGGCCGATGCACAGCGCGCTAGTTTAGCAGGCGGAGCGATGCCCATACTTGTCTAGTAGGTTTCCCGGCAAGTCACGCCCTCGTAGCTCTTGATAACCCTGCCGAGTGGTAAAATTGTTTGCTTGTATTTTTGTTCGTTGCCCAGTTCACCCTCCTTTGTCCCCTTAAACCTCCAGTAAACAACTGCACCAGCAACACTGCCCGTAAATCCCGGTAGAAGCAGCACCAAACCAAACAAACTCAACCAAGCAAACCCAACCAAACAAACTCAACCAAACAAACTCAACCAAACAAACTCAACCAACGACAATGGCACTATTAGCAACGCTCTTTACATGGACCGCCCGCAGCGCCCGCCGGCTGTCGTTTTTGGTGACGGCGCCATGACCCCAGGTTGGCTTCTCCAACTGGTCCAAGGCCGGCCTGTTTGACCTCGATTTTTTCCCCGCCCGCGTATCTCCCAGGAAAGACTACACGCCGTGTCGCCCGTCGTACGTCCAGGAGAACCACGGCCCATCAAGCCCGTCGATGGCTTCTTTGTACTGGGAAAGGATGCCAAGGGAAATTACTGGGCCTCGGCCTACAAGGTCAAAGGCCAATGGGCGAATTTGGAGACCCAGATCCGTCAATAAACAATCGAGACAATGTGCTTAGATTTCCAGTCATGATATGATTGCCTATGCCTACCATGCTTCTTTCCGTTTGAAACATTTCGTGACATATCAGGAAGCATACTTCCTAACCCATTCGCGCGCTGTCTTTTCGAACCTGTCGCGGTCTGTCCTGTACAAGTGTGCGATTTCGGGAACCGCAACACTGGCCGGCTCCAGACGCGGTGTTGATATGAGCTTGGTGATTTCCACAAGGACTAGATGATGGCGTAAGCGAATGGTTGAATATTTATCAGCTTCGCAGGGCAAGGAAGAAAAGCCCCCTTCTAGAGGGAGAGGTTTTTAGGCTTTCGTACCGTTGGAAATCGTAAACATCGGATACCACTGCTTTGCCAGCATTTCGACGCCCCTGATTTCGCCTTTGGAGTTTATGTTGGGGTGGTAGATCCTCGTCGTGAAGTTCACCCGCGGTTGTGTCAGGGGGTAGGCGATCGGGAAGTCTATGCTGAGGAAGAAGAAGCCGCCTGAATAGAGGGACTCGTTTGGCTGCGGATCCATGTCAGTTGAGAGGAGACACCGGCGCATAGATGAGTCACTCACCGCCATGATAGTTGCTTGCCAGTCCAGCTATAGGTGAATTGGCGTCAGTCGATCCGCCGTTTCTGCTCGACAGCCCTTGGACCAGAACTAGAATGAGTTGTCAACCTACCATGTTATCGCCAATGGGCCCAGCTGCCCAGTTTAGATTTGGATTTCGCTCCAGATCCGCGAGTTCCTTCTTGAGTCTCCTCTCCACGTTAGACATGGTGTTCCGGAGCCTTTGGTGGTCTTGGGTTTGGGATTCTGAAGTCTCAGCTATGGTCGAGGAAGAGTCCATGGCAGAAGAGAAGGCAAGAGACAAGAATCTCTTAAGCTCCGTGTCGTTCAGTGGAAGCTTGATGACGGCAATCACGGATATCTGGGCCAGGCTGAGCCCGGACAGGATGGACCACGCCCGGGACCTGGTGGTCAGTATGGTGCTCGCCGCGTCCGTCTCCCTGTCGCGGTTTCGGTTATACACCCAGGTTTCTGACAAGATGTCGTCAAAGTTTGCTTGGGGCATGCTTGCCGCATCCGCCGTGACGTTACTGCTAGGCGGTATGGGTGGAGGTTCCGGAGGATGGCCATTTCCAAGAGCTCTAACTTGGACTTCAACCTCGGCCGACTCCGCTGTATCTCCATCTGGACTGCCTGGACCTAAGGGGGTCAGATCGTCAAGCTCGATAGCGCCCGGTGGTAGATCGAGCTGCTGCAGCCGAAATGCTAGATCCGAGTCTCGTTCTAGCTGCTGCTCGATGTGGTCTTGGAGAGACGCGGCGCTATCGAAAGCCTCGACGTTGGACTCGCTTGGAGTCCGGTCAGAATTCGCCTCACAACTCGCTGAGACCTTCAAGAGGCAGCCGCAATTTACCATTGAATGATCTGGAGTAAAAGGCCCAGAGAGGTCTTGTGCTGCTGCAGTTGGCCAACGAGACGCAGAGCCGCACCCTGTTGCCATGTCCAGGTGACACGATCGCGGAGCCGTGATATCGCATCTTGAGACGATGAGGAGGCGCCCCTGACAACCGTCTCGAGCTCCGAGAAGACCAGAACGGTCTGGGTGAGGATCGTGACGACATCTTCGAGCTGGATGAGAGCAGCACGTTCGGGGTCGAGACGGACCGTCCTGTCAATGAACCGTTGCAGAGCCGTCACAACGATCTTGATGTGGTTCACCTCGACCACGATTGACTTGATGGTCTCGGGAGCATCTTTGACCTGGCCGAGAATCTTGGCTACCTGCGCCGCAGCTGACAAGATTCCAGCCACCGAGGCCGTGATGCTCAGGGGGTCCATTACCGGTGGCCCACGTAAAGATTGGACGCGGTCAACTGGCGACACAGTCGGCTCGTTTATGATACTAACTAGATAGCTCCTGGCGGGTCGAGGAATGGCGAGGCTCTAGGCTTGACGAGAGTGCAGTTTCCAAACCCCTCTCTGAGACTCAGCCGCACTGCCACTCTGCGTTAGCGCCACGACGCCTGGTCGCCAGCCAGTCTGCCTTGCCACTGGCCAATGGCTTTGACTCTAGTGAGCAAGCCAAATGCCGTCCAGTAATATGCCGGAGATCCGGAGCGCCCCGTTCATTTCTCTCCTTTTGCTTTGTAGCGCTTTTTATTCTCTGGTGTTCCCACCGCTCGTCTCCTTTTCACCGGGGTATTTCTGTTGCTTGTAAAGTTATGCGGCTTGTGTTCCGTGTTGTTATTTCCATCTCTTGTCGGTTTTCCTCGGTCATTATTTCCTGCTCTTGCCGGTTATTCGTTGTTATAATCCTCCTCATGCTCCTGCATTCCAGTCTGGTTTCTTCCTTTGCTTATATGTTTCATATTGTCATTTCCATCTCTTGTCAGTGTTTTCCCCGGTTATTATTTCCTCCTCTTGACGGTGTGTCCCCTGTTGTAATCCTCCTCTTGCTCCTGCGTTCCCACTTCGTTCCTGCCTCTGCTGATATGTTCCGTGTTATAATTCCCTCCTCTTACGGATGTGTTCCCCGATTGTTCTTTCCTCCTCTTGCCGTTGTATCCCGGTTGCTGTAATCCTCCTTTTGCTCTTGTATGCCCTATTATAGTCCTCTTCTTGCGCTTGTATTCCAGTTCATTGGGTGGCTGAAGCCCTCATTTCCATCAGGCCCAGAGCTCAAAGCCGGGAGCCTCTTCGTCGTAGCGAAGCCGATTGATCTTGGACAGCTCTGATAAACGAAACGATTAGCTACAATCACATACACGCCTATAGCTGTCATTGGGGGAGAAGTCGCGAAACTCAATTTATAGTATGAGAATGCTCTCGCTGAGTTGTCTCTCTGTAGGAACTCTTCTCCACGTCAAGACCATGTATAGAGACCTCCGTTTAAGGCAACGCCTGTGGCTTTCGGCTGAAAGAAATCTTGTCGGCACTCGCGGTGTTTCGGAATCGGCCGAGGTCCAGGACGTGGAGATCAATCTTTCGTATCGAATCGGAATGAAGGCTGGTTCAGAAAGAATCAAAAGGAGGCTTTTCTACCAAAGAACCAATGGTCCGGGAGAAGTGTCTTGGATAGAATGTCGTACGACCATCAGTATAGCGTTGGAAGAAACGCGTGTCTTGGGATTCAAACAGTAGATCTAGGGTCTAGGAACTGTCTGCCAGAGAAATCAGGAGAACGATCGAGCAGGCTTACGCGTGGCTCGTCAGGGGAGTGTTAAGCGAGTGGGCGTGTAAAGAGAAGGGAAGGCGAAATGAGTTTGAGGTAGCTTGGAGAGAATGGCGGCGTGGCGTGGCCGAGAAAACGAGAATGAGGGCGGGCATACGGAAATTGATTGGAATCATGTTGGAGGAGAAGAGGCAGGCCTGACTAGGAAATATTTTGGATAATCTGCGACCCTGCGGGGACTTGTTCTGGAGAGGGGAAGATGCGAAGGTGGTCAAAGTAGAGGCACGTCCTGTGGAAAGAGGAAGAAAAGAGCAAGGATTGCCGTGTGCAGCTCTCCTTTCCCTTCTCTAGCTTTCAACCCTCAGATGGCAACAATGAAGAGAAAAAGCGCAAGCGAGGTATGGGACGTAAGATATTGGTTTCGGTAGACGGGTGTGGGATATTGAAAAACGTATCTCGCAAATGCAGCCCGTTCTCTCCGGAAATCTGCAAGCACACCGAGTTGAAGAGGGCACCGAAGAATGAAGTGCGCGGACTCGAAATAATAAGACGAAATCTGGCCAGGAGTGTTATAATGCCCAAGCTTTCAGGGTCCGTACCTTCCATAGGGGGCATGCAATTTTTCGTAACTCTAGAACACTGCTAGTACTAGTAAATCAGCTCCTAATGGTGACAGATCTAACCCTCTATGGAGCCCTGACCCTGCTACGATCCACTGAATAATTACATATGACCATGACCTATATATAATGCCTAACATGCCGCGGGTGCTCAGATAGGTGCCTTGGGTACCTAAACTTATCGCAAGTTGGTGAAAAGATTCGTAAGATAAGGTATCTTAGTACCTTAGATTACAGTACAGAGCTAGGAATGTGGACCGCGCTCCCGTTCGGCTTTTTATAAGTGCACAACACATTCTTTTCTTCAAATTTTAACCTACCAGCCTGTCCGTCAGCTTCTCTGCAACCCTTCATACTGAAACTATCAACCCCGTCCTGCTTGGTCTGCTTCTGGCCACACCATCCCGAGGCGCGTTGGGGACTGGATCCCGACATGATCCGCCACATCCAAAAGCACCCCGAGGCGTCTCCTTTCTGCACCTCCAAGTCGACGCACAATGAAAGCCGCACACACCCAAGGCCTCATCTCAGCAGGAGGAGACCTTTGTCTCGCCTCCTCGTCCTACCCAAATCCATACCTCGCCAGGACATATGACCGTCGACCGTATCCAAAAGGAGATGGATCGTTTCCCAGTCCGGCTCCCCTCAGAAGAGGGGCTTGTCCAAGATTCAGTAGAAGCTCCAGAGGGTACGGGAGAATCTGGCCATGAGCCAAAATACTTAGGAGAAGGCCTGCACGTCTTTCGTCGATCCTTTTGCCAATCCCTCACTTCAATAGAAGAGCGCGCTCTCCGGCATTCCCTAATCGACAGCGACAGTCTCGAGCGACCCAAGCTTATGCGACTATTCCAAAGACACAGCCAACAGTTTCAGGAACCGGGCTGCTCCCCTCGATGCCTGTGGACGCCGTGATCGCCGAATCGTGGTCGCCGAATCGTGGCCACTCCGGCTTGGCCCCGTGGAAATCTTCTTCATTTCGCTAAAGCGACCGTCCGGGACCATCTTCAGGTGCGTCATGGCAGCTTCGAGAGCCTTTGGGCACACATGGCTCATTCCAGGACACTGGCTGGTGCCAGTGCCCTCGAAGATACCGATGTCGCCGGCGCCAATTTCAATAACTACAGCCGCGATGCCCTAATGCGAAAGCTCGCACGGACTGATGAGCCAGCCGCTGTGTTGTTCTTCACAACATGTTTGGCCTATCGATAACATGGGCAGCGCCATGCGGTGTGGAGAGACATGTAACTTTCAAGGAAGAAATAAACAGAATTTAATACACTTTTCTAACCTTGGCTTGAGTTCCTCACATGCGTCAAACTAACCTACTTTGAGTCTCAAGCAGGGCCGAGGAAGATTGTATCTACAGAGTACTGGTAATAAATCAAACAAATCAAATTAGTTGCCAAATTTGACAGGGTTTGAGGGTATCACTGGAACGATTGGGCCGGGTAAAATGCAGATTTAACAGACCAACGCAGATGTCCGCCTCACGAAAAGAATGCCTTGATTAATTGAGACGAAAAAGACCCCGAAGCTAAGCAAATATCGGATCGATAACGCGGAATTCGGGGCTAAGTGAATGTACGGCTCGGAACCCAGATAACCTAGAAACCAGATAACCTAGAAAAAAACGCACAGAACGTTGGCTAATATATCCATGGATGGAAAATCACTACAAATCGCCCAGTCTAACTCCAGTCTAAAGTTAACCAAATCTGGCCTCCAAAGCAGCCAAATCTGGCCTCCAAAGCAGACACATCTGGCCTCCAAAGCAGACACATCTGGCCTCCAAAGCAGACAAATCTAGCCTCCAAAGCAGACACATCTGGCCTCCAAAGCAGACACATCTGGCTTCCAAAGCGGACGATTTAACTATTTAAATTTCCCAACCTACCTCGATCAATACTCTATATTCAGACCTCCAATCCCCTTCTGCCACACGGCCACTCAACAACTTCTGTCTTCACGTCCATCCAACACATCCTGACATTTTCCCACAACACTCGACAATCCCTAAGTCTAAACCATGCTCCCCTTCGCATCACTCTTCATAATGGGCATAGTACCATACATTTGCCAGGCCTTGTATCAAAACAAGAATAAATCCCGTCTGAATAAATGCTCGCTGGGGATAGTTCCCACTTAAATCATCGACATGATCATAGTCTACCTTGAACCAGAATCAACCGTTTCGCTCGCGCTCATCTGCCGCGACTTGTACTTCAAACACTTCGACCCGTCGGTCCTCCAGTCATCGCCTGCATCAAAAGACACGCTGCCGCAGTGGCTTGAGCAAGACATCCTCAGCCTTTACTGCTGCCACGGTTGCATCCGCCTGCACACTCGGCACGAAGGGGCCGAATCCAAGGCTGGTCATGGCGTTAGACCTTATACTGGCGCCAGCAGTCAGAGATGCCAGACGAGCCAGTGGGACCTGGGCTTCGAGGCTAGGTTCCCCCACACTAGGGCGCGACTTGTGATGAACAGCCATCGCTACGGGCCCGCTCACGGCATTCGTACACGGGACCTCAACGACACGGTGGGTATGTGGCACCCTCAGCTGGGGGTACGCATCCGGCAAAAGTGGAGGGCCAGGATCATCGAGGATAATCTACACCTCTACGGAAGTGCCGTGCTGGCGCAGCTTACGGGTAGCGGCGACCACGGGTTGTGGATGAACCAGGATATCATCCACCAGTTCGACAACTTTCTAATATGCCGTCGCCTCCCAGCCCCACTATATCAATCAGGGGACGAATTATTCTACGACGGACCAATATTCGGTTATCAGCCGTCGCATAGGCTGTTTCAAGGTGGCCAGAACCCAATCGAGGGTCGAGTTCTCTCCTGTACCGTGTGCTTTACCGACTACAAAATGGAAATCGCGTTTCTAGACAACAGTCAAAGGAGAGCGACATCAGGCTCTGCTGCGAGAGCCAAAGTCTGGACCATCCGGATCCAGCGATGGCACAAGCTCGGGGAGTGCCGCTCTCCCGACGACCCGCTATGGCACTCCCTCGTGACCTCAAACCCGGGAGATGAGCAGCAACGGCGCAGCGTGTGCATAATAAGAAAGATCTATAACGACTGGGTAAGCCAAGAGCATTGAGCTGCCGTCATGCTACGGGAGAGCACATAGATCAGACCAAGATGCCGCCATAGACAGTGTGAGCACGGCCAAGTCGTACTGCGAAGATGTGTAAGACGAGTAAGGCCGAAATGAATAAGATAACTCGTCACGATCAGCTGGCATGGCAGCAACGCCACATTGAGAAGGGAACAAAGCATAACAGACGGCAAATAATGCAGCAGATTGCGAATAGTGGTATGTATGGTGGAATGCTTGCCGGTCCTAGAACTAGAGTTGGACGCGTGATGCTCTGATATCCAAATTCAACCAACTTGCCAATGCCGGCCCAGGCAGGTGCTAATTACTTCACAAATTCACACGGAACGCGTAATATGTACCCAAAATGAGTGCAACCAGACGCCTTGGCAAGTGCACCCGTCCAGGTCCAACCCTCCCGGGGGCTTCTGGGGGATCCACCCTGTCTTGTGAACCCCTCCCCCAAATTCTCTGCTTTTCTTTTCTTTCCTTTCAACCTTTCGAAAAAAGTCAAATCACAGCCTTTGGACCGCCCACCCCGCCGTCGTCTCTGCGTTCAGTTGCGTTGCCGCGCAAAAAGCTTTAACGGCACCTGTGCGAGTATGAAAACCTAGCCCTAGTATACAAGCTACCATTCTTGAAGGCGTCGTCGAGTTTACCCACGCAATGGCCACCAACGGTGTTAACGGCCGCGCGGTGACAGGTCGACGGTCGCAAAGCGAGGAGATTTTTGAGGAGCAAGGCTCCCAAGAGGAAGCGTGGCTTCGCTCTATACTATCGCAGAATCTGGTAATAAATTCGCTCCTTTGATGCTGGCTCTCGCCGTTGGATCATTACTAACCCAGGCAACCCCAACCCAATAGCGGCCGGTGTCAACGGCTCCAAGACCGTCAACGGCTCCAAGACCGGCAACGGCACCAACGGTGTTAGCCACGCCCCCCTCTCCCCCACGGCCAGGGCCGGCGACACCTTCAAATGGCGGGAAGTTCCTAAAGCTCAGGCGGGCGGCCAAGCCTCCCACAGATTCGACTCGGACGGTGTTCGCATTCCTGAAAAGTTATTAGGATGGGTTTATTAGTGGCGGCGCATGAGGAAACTATCAACCAATTCGGAAGCTGAGGGGCTTTGGCTGGTGGAATTTGTTAGAGAATAAAGCGTATCAAACCATTTATTTGTGCAGAGAATCCAGTGTCTCATCGGAGGTACGACAAATCTGCGGTATTATCTTGTAACTGTCGGTCGTGCTCCGGCTGCGTAGAGCCTTCATCAGGAGATGGAAATGCTTGCCTCAACGATGTCCGGGTGTCACCAGATGCGTATATATTTCCAAGAGCATAATGATCTCCTGAACCTTGATTATTATGTAGGCTTGTTGGCAACTAGAGCTTTCCCTTTGCTGTGGCTCCATTTCGAAAGTGGGGCGGGCCCTGAATCCTCAGTCTGATCTTCCTTTCAAGTTTCCGCTTCATATTTAATTAAGCGAGAAACCCCGTTTTTGTACATCACCTAGATACTTGAGGTAGCAGAAAGCCCAGGTACTTAGATAACTAGAGCAGCTGCCGAAGCAGACAAAAAATAATTTCTGTTCTCCCGCTTTGATTTTCATACAGTGTCTCCGTTATCAGGCCGCGAGTGCTTCGCGCTTGTTGATAATTGCACATTATTCGACCTTGCCATTAGCGTTATCAAGGCAGACCCCAGGCCAGCTGAGAGCTGGAAAGCACTACAGCGTGGGCCATGCACCAAACGGCCAAAACTTACCCAAAATTTAGCAGAGAAACCTCGTACTATCCGTGTTCTGCCACTCGCAAAATTCTCTCATTCAACGTCGCCATCATTCACATAGCCACGCCCATTTCTGTATCCAGAGATTCGAGACGACGATATCTTACTAGTTTCTCATCATCCGCTGTAGAAATCTACCATCCCCTTTCTCCGTGAAGCCATCGCGGGCACCCCGGGAACCACGCGGGAACGATCGCCATCCGCAACCTCCCGACAGGCCGCCGTCCAGACTGCACAGAGCTATATTTGATTCTTCATTTCACCCCTCCACAAGCAGATAGCCGCCGTGAACCCTTCAAGATCTCAATATCGATATGCGGTGCATTAATGACCCCAACTGTCGCCAGGACGACGAGCAAATCTCGCTTTGACCGCCACCCGTGGCCAAATGATGATATGAATGAATAAGGTTACCGATATATGCCTCTCGTCGGCTAGGTAAGTAAAGAGACGGGAGATTCAATCAAATGTGTCAATAATACGACTAGGTAGACGCCCCGATGGTAACGCTTCAGAGCAGACTCCGCCTCCGTCTTCTTCTGCGTCGAACGCCGCTCCTTCTGAGGCATCTTAGCACATGATAAACCCTGACCCGTTCGTTCTGAGAGTTGGAGCACCAAGATTATAGTGTCAGCGCCACATCTCGACAGCCGGCTAGCGAGATTCATACAGCTTCGGCCTCACCGTTGCCGGCAACAACGCCCCTCCAGCCAACCCCCTCCTTTCTTCGATCTCAGCATCTATATTTGTGCTCGGTCAAGCACGTATAGCCGTTGGACACGGTGGTGGTGGCGGAGCATGTGGAGAAGCTAGAACCCAGACCACTCTCTTGAGCCGCATCTCCAACAAGACATCAAGTTTGATACAAAGGCAGAAAGACGGGCTAGATATAAACATGTTTCCTTCGGCGGTATTCTCTCCTTCGCCGCCACTAGCTTGAGGTATTCCTGGCTCTCACCGGTTCTCGTATCAAAAAGGAAACGCACAAGGGACGTTCTGCATCACTTTGGTTGTTCGTCCACTGCCCTCCGGCACCACTGGCCTTGGCATAGAACGGATTTCTCTCGAGCATTGTGGGATTCTTGAGCAGCCTCTCTCCCAGTTCTACCGACCGCCCTTCGCGACTGCCGACAAGTCTACATCGCAGAGATTTCAAACCGGTAAAGACTACCTTTCCAGCAGAAGCAACCACGAGCGACAACTCACTTCCTGCCATATCCTTGCCTTTCTAATCGACTTACCCTGTACGGAGGCTCGGGCAAAAAAAGGGTCACCCTCCCCAGTACAAAGACTGGAACGCCATATCCCTGATAGGGACCAGATTAGACTGGCCAGCTACCTATTCAACAAGCCAATCTCTCACAGTGCAAGATCCTACTCCACAGCCAATAACATATATCTTTGGGGATTTTGCTCTATGGCTACCTGATTTCCCAGCAATCGCGCGCCAGCCTACGGGATTGGCGGGCGCCGCAGAGTCAAGACGGGAGATGTGACAGGTTCTTGCAGCAAACCAAGATGGTGATGTTCTGGCGCATCTCGAAGGCGAGTCAGAAAACCCAACCCATCTTAAGCCCGACGTAGGGGATAGCTTTGGAGAGGGGTATGAGGAACTCCAGTACGACGAGTACAGCGATGATACCAAGAACTCGCTTCAAGAAGGGGAAGGCTTCGCGGAGCTAGAGGTTTACGCCGCAAAAGTAATCCACATCAATCTCCCCTATTCGAGAGATTATACGGTAATCTTTCCGCAATACCACCAGCCAAGAAGCCCGCGCTCGCGGGCAGCGCGTCTGGCCATAGTTCCTTCGCGTCGCCTCAGCCGACGTTAATTACGAAGACTTTTGACAAACATGGCGACCTTGTGTTCGTTGTCGGACCCAAGAGACATTGATCTCGCGGACTACCGCCGCAAACCTCACGAGTCGGAAGACTCTTCTTCAATAGACTGTGTACCCCTAGCGAGCAAGTATCCAGCGGAGAAGTCTTCAAGCGTATTCTTTGACGACGACGGTTTTCTATCGAGTACTCGGACGATAAAGACCATGCTTCTCATATCCACCAACCCGGCGAGAAAACGCGAGACGAGATCCTCACCCCAAATATTATTGCCGAATATCAGCAGCAGAAATACCACCGCCAAAGATTTCAAGACCTACACATTGTGAAGGGTGCCCCTTTTTGGCCCGAGCCTCCGCAGCTGTCTCTCAAACGACCTACCCTGCACTTGCTGTATCTCCGTGCCGAGGAGATTGGCAATTCACTAGAGAGCTGAAGAGTACGCTCATTACCAGCGGATGGCCTGCCGGCGACGGTCGCCTGTCAAGTCGAGCCGCAGGCGAGCCTTACAGAGTACAGGTACTCAAAGCCGGATACTCGAAAACGCCGGAGAAAGATGCATGACTGCGTGCACTGGTCTGGGGATCTCAATTCGTGGTAAAAGGGAAAGTTGCACGGGGACACATTGGATTGGAGTCACGACAGCGGATTGGAGCCACGACAGCTGCAGCGGTAGCAGCGAGAGCAGTGCGAGCAGTCAGCACACAACCCCAGATTAGACACAGTCTCTGCTCGGCGTTGCTATCGTACCTGCCCATTGGTCTGAGGAAGATATGGGACGGCGCGACTTCTCGGCAGCTCGGATATCTTTGATTCGGCCACTCTAACCATCCCGAGATCATCGAGTATATTCCCGAAGATCTCCGCATGGGATATGTGGTGGGGGTGTTGTTGCCCAGAGTTCCAGGCATCAGGGGTCTGTTTTGTCTGGTGTTGTAGGGGCACGCCGTTGTGAGAATTTCCGTGGAAGTGGACAATAGGGGCAGCAGCAGCAGCAGCAGCAGCGGCGGCGGCGGCAGGAAGTCCTCGCGTGGTCCCTCGCCACGCTCGACCTGCCCCGCGCCGACACGGGCACCGAGCATAGAGCATGGATGACTTCGGAACCGACACGTCGAGCCGTTATACATACCTCTGTCACTGCGAGGTATGTATAACGGCTCGACGTGTCGGTTCCGAAGTCATCCATACTCGCTGCGAGGGCAAGAGCCTAGGTAGGCGAGATACGCGGTCTCGTCTGGCAAGGGAACTGGAAAGGGAATCTCTTTGCTGGGACTATTCAGAAGTGCGGCGAATGATGGCTGCCGAGGGGGTTCCTGTGGTGGGGGTTGCGACCATATAGCTGCTGTTGCCCAGAGTGCCAGGCAACAGGTATCTGTTTTGTCTGCTGGCGTGACGGCATACCGTTATAGTTCCCCGGTCACTTGCCTGGGAACCTTGGGACTATATCTATTCAATTAGTGAGAACGTCAAGGCCAGATCCCGAGGCCAAGGGTAGGACTATATATTGGGGCCTGAAAATAGAAGTTTCTTTAATTAATAATACGAAGCAAAAGATCCAACACGTGCTAGGGTTATATCGGAAATAACAGCCTAGCTGTGACCACAAAACTGCCTTACCCTGTTATGAACTTAATGATAATATTTACCAGTGAAAGTGTGAGATTTATTATCCGATGCCAGATTCTTTCTTGTCATATTATCTTCTCGAAAGAGAGCAGCGACTTTGAGATAAGATGCCGTAGCATACCAAAGTTGGTTCCGGGTACCGCGGTCTATCTACTGTAGCTTGCTTACCCGATCACTCAAACCGTTTTCCCTCCTTCAAGCTACTCCCAGCATACGCTAGTTGCCCGGAACTAGACCTTTCTAGTCCAAGAAATGATTATGGTACTAGTATTAGAGGAGTAGAGAGATTGCTCTCTCTATGGTGAAAGTTCTCTATTAGACGGTCCGCCCTCCCAACACAGCAAGCAGCTAAACCCTCTAAAACCCAACTGGGCTGTTTTGGTACGGGTTGCGACCAAATAGCTGCTATTGCCTAGAATGCTAGGCAACGGGTATCTGTTTTGCGCCTGCTGGCGTAACGGCTCACCGTTACCAGATTATAGAGGGCTGGACCCCTAGAAGTCACACTGCTAAAGCCCTAGAGTTTGAGGTCAGTTTTCCCAGCTTAACTACGCTCCATAGGGCTCCGTTAACCTGGGGCGGATGTGGTAGGGGCTGCGACCATATAGCTGCTGTTACCTAGAGTGCCAGGCAACAGATATCTGTTTGCGCCTGCTGGCGTAACAGCTCGCCGTTACAGCTGCTCATTACCGCCACCCAGGAAAACACCCCATCTTGTCCGCCTTGAGAAAAGAGCCGAGGTTTTAGCCACAATCTGTCTCGAGATTCAGATCCTCGCACGAATACCAGGACCTTCACCCCTCCCAAGGACGACTGAGAGACCACCTAGCCACCAAACGAGAGAAGCCTTTCCACATTAAATAACAAGATAAGAGGATCGAAATGAGCCGGGTATACCACAAAGAGAGAATCTAAGGGGATATAACATCAAAACGAGACGACAGCCTATCCTCAACGCGATACAATGCGTTCGTCAAAGCATATCCCACAGACAGTTCACGAAAGCCCGTTGGTAGTTCACGAAAGCCCGTTGGTAGTTCACGGCCACGACGAACAAAAGGAAGACATCCACTCCAAACGACCCAAGCTATCGCCAACCGCCACGTCGACAAACGGACCAAGCCAAGAAAGGAAGAAGGGACACTAGGATAAGAAGTGCAGCACATACAGAAAAGGAAAGAAAAATCTCAACGGAACATAATCCAAGCTCAAAGATGAGGCTGACAGCAGCACACAGAGGGATAGAAGAACGGACCCGTGCCAACCAGAACAAGGGAGAGCGAAGGAAAAGAAGAACACGAGAGACAAATTCAGAACATCACACACAGGCCAAGAAGCAGGAGGACAAGCACCACGCCATCATACCCTACCAGCTGTCTCGCCCGACGAAGCCCGACCGAAGCAACCGTCGAGAAACAAGAGAGATTAAACGAGGCGAAATCCCCTGAACACCGCTGTGGAGGTTGCTACTGCCACCCAGGCTCTCAAGCAAAAGACGCCTGGTTTGTGTGGTATTGTAGCGGTACAGCCGGTAACAAAAGCACAGGCAGAGACAGATCCGGGGGTGCCAGTAAACGAAGAGTACTAAGGATAAAGAGCACGCCGCCGGTCTCGACTTGCGTTGATGGAATAAAACGAAAAAAAAACAAGAGAGACAAAGCAGAGCCCCAGGCCGGCCGAAGCGAATAGCCAAGCCACAGTAACCGTGGGCCTCACAGACAACGGGAAGAGGAGAAGAACTACAACCGCGTTGAAACAGGGAACGCAACTCGTCTACCAGGAGGGGAGAAAGAAAAGAGCAGGAAACAAACGGAATAAGTAGGCCGAGCGAAGGAAAGAGAAGCTGTAGTCCGACCAGATCAAGACAGAGAGCTTGCGAGATCAGCTGCAAACCGATAAGCACAGAGTAAAGCAGGCATCCTACATACACACACACGCAACTAGCCACCAGCAGACATACAGAGACAGGCAACGGAAAAGGCAGAAAAGTAAACGGGGAACACGAGCGGGTGGCACGAGCAGATGCATACAAAAATAAGCAGGCAGGTAAGCAGGCAGGCAGGCAAGCAGGTAAGCAGGCAGGTTAAGGAGGGAGGCAGGTAAACACACCGTAGAACCCCCAGACCAGTCACAAAACATAACCTAGAGAACGAGAAAGCTACCAGAACAAGAACATGCCCAATCCCAAACAGTCTCGTTCCCTCCCCTCAGTTCCTCAAACGCAACCTAGTGATTACCTACAGTAGACAGGCAAGCAAGCAAGCAAACTAGCACGCTAGGTAGACAGGTAGACAGGTACCTAAGAACAGAAACAAAGCAGAATGCCCAACTAGGGGAGATGAATAGATAAAACAGCGTAGCCAGCCAAGTCAAGAAGCCCTAAAAATCCAAGCCAGACAAGACAGCTTCCGCGGCAGCAACGAAATACAAAAAGTCCTCCAGTTAGCCTCCATCTTTTAAAGAACCATCAGCCACCTGAACCGCATTACCAGTCTTTCAAGGGACGAATCTAGGAGGACAGCGAGCTCGAGCAAGGCTAGACATTACAACTCCTAACCCGGTTCACGAGACTCACAAAGCACAAGGCCAGGCAAGGCCAAGCAAACAGAGGCTTGCAAAAGCCAAAAGACCGCCAAGCGTGCAAGACAGCAGAAGCACGCGAGGAAGATTAGGGGCGGAGACGAAAGAGCATAGACGCGAACCAGATAACATTGCTGAATAAAGTAACGTGCTAGAGACAAGGTACGACCCCTCAACGAAGAGGAGCCAACTTGCCGGGTCAGGCGGTGTGCCAGGGCAAAACAGTCCCTCAGTGAAGAGGACCCGCTGCTCCAGCGCTCTCCATGACCAAATAGCCGTATGACGAAGAATCTACCAAGATATCTTCGATCCGTGAAGTTAGGAGGTTAAGGAAATAGTCCCCCGTTAAAAACCTCGGGTCGTGTGGCAGCCTAAAAGGGGGCCGAATGCCCCCGTCTGCGGTTAAGAATGAATGTATCTGGTGAAGGAGAAACAAAACGCAAAGCAAAGACAAAGGGAAAATCTCAGCGCTTGCCACTCGTCATTCCTTTCCTTTCTCATTTCCCGTTGTAGTTGTTTCGGAAGATTCGTTTAGAGAGCCGGTGAAGAACCATGTGATCGAGGCCCAGAGGTCGAAAGGAAAGACGCCGTGAGATGCTGCAAATAAAGCTGGACTTGGTTTCGGGAAAACGATTGGGAAAAGAAAAACACCAATCCCTGCAGTGAAAGGCAGTTTTAAGTCTCCGGGGACGCCCTGCTCCGAACTCCATGCAATTTTCCCCGTCGCAAACAAAGAGTACAGTTACTAGATGCCGTGGTTAGCCTTGTCTTTTTTCGACTGACCCTTTCCGCCCCGATTTCTTCTGCTTCTCTGACTGCTCCCAGACAGGGAGGTAGGGGAGATGGTGGGAGTAGAAGACATGACTGCACGAGTCCACCGTACCTGCATGCCGCCAGGAGGGGGGCCCTGGGGCGGGTTACCACCGAAGTGCTGGGGTCCGTAAGGACCCGGAGGTCCCTGGCTGTGAGGAGGAGCCATGTTCACGTTCATATAGTGCGGCGGGGGAGGGGCCGGACGATAGGGGGTGCCAACACCCGAGTTGTTCTGGGATCGGCCCCAGGACAGGCGGACACGCGAGTTGCCGATGGGATATCCCTGCATCTGGTTGATGGCCATCTCGGCGGCATGGCGGTGGACAAACTGAACGAAGCCGCAGCCCTTGCCGGGAGGAATTTTGACATATGTTATTTCCCCAAACCCCTGGAAGAAGGATCTAAGCTCGTCCTCAGTCACGTAGCCCGAGAGACCGCCAACAAAGACGGTCGTGTTGTTTGGGTCCGTGAACTGGTTCATCGGCTGCATGGGGTTGAAGGTTCCCTGGTTATAGTATTGAGGCACGCCCCAGCCTATGGGACCGGCAGGGTTGCCGGCAACAGGGGGCATCGCTTGGTTGCCGCCCTGACCGCCGTGACCATATTGATGCGACCTATAAATGGTTAGCAAAGCTAACAGTACACGCGGAGGGGCAAGAACAAACCGGGTCTTGGGGGTCGCAGTCGAAATGCGCATGGGACGGTTTCCACAGTAAACGCCCTGCATCTCGACAAGGGCGCGTTGCTGGTCAGACTCCTCCGCAAAGCGCACAAAGCCATATCCACGCGACTGTCCGGTCATAGCGTCCGTCATGATCTTGGCTGATTTGCACGAGGGGAAGCGAGACTGGAACAGCGAGACGAGGACAAACTCGTTAACCTCTGGGCCCAAATCGCCAACGAAGATGGAATACTCGGGACCACGGTCATCGCTGTATACAATTGTCAGCCCGAGACTACAGAGGGCTGGGCTGGCGGGGAAGAGGTAGACTTACCGGCGGTCAACCAAGCCTCCTCCGGAAGCCCAATTCAACTTGAAAGCGCGTGCCGAGTTGGGCACTTGGGTTCCATTCAAGGTCAGTGCCTTCTGGGCACCCTCGGGAGTGTTAAATTCGATGAAGCAGTATCCGGCATTACTTTGAGAGTTAGCTTTATCAAGCACAGGTTGAAAGACCCAGCAGCTTTGGACTCTCCGATGCGAGAGCAAGATGTTGAACTAGAACGGGGCGGTGGCTGAGACAACGAAGAGCGGTATCCAGAAGCAGCCGCGCAGCAAGGCAAAACAGGAAGATCGCAGCAAGGCAAAATAGGAAGATCGCAGCGAGGCAAAACAGGAAGATTAGAGGGTAAAATCAAGAGAGTCAAGATGGGGGGATAGCAGGAGGGGAAAGAAGTAAAGAGAAAGAACGAGGGTGCAAAGAGAAGACAGGTCCGAGGGGTGGACATCCGAGCAGCAGGAAGAAAGGACGAAGCAGAAAGAAAAGGAAGGACGAAGCAGGAAGAAAGGACGAGCAGGAAGAAAGGACGAGGTACAAAAAGAAAACAGGAACAAGGAACATACCCAGAGTTGCGGTCGCGAATCACCTTGACCTGGACGGTCTCGCCGAGGCAGGTGGAAAAGACATTCTTGATGAAAGACTCGTCCATCCAACCCTCCATCTCACCCATCCTGTCGAAGTCAATTAGACGCCGCGGCCATGAAGCAAGCCGGTATGTACATGCAGAGGGAGGATGACTTACCAGAGCGTCTTCGCAGCGTCGCTAGTGGCAGGCATGCCTCCGCCGGCGGGGAAGTTTGACTCGGACGAGCCGTTCATGGGTCCATTGTTGGAGGTGCCGGGGGCACCGGGAGCGGTATATTCAGACATCGCCGAAATGCTGCCGGTGCGTGAGAATGTTAGAATGTGCCGTGATGCGTGAAGTACGCTAATGATTTTGAGATGGTATGGATGCTGGTCGCGGATGAAAATGAAGAAATGCAGCCGAGTAGAAGAGGGAAGGAAGGACCTGCGGTGTTGTGTGCAAAAGGGAAAAAGCTTGGCGAAATTCAAAGCCAGTCAAGGTTATAGACGCCACAGGCGCCCCGTCAGGAGTGGGACACACCCTTTCCATCTGCACTGCAAACTCTCTCTGCTTTTCCAGGCTGTGCTATTGTCCCAAACTTGGACTGAGGGGGGAGAGATGAGAGGGCAATATGGGAATAAATAAACTAGCTAGCAGTTTCGGGCCACTCACCCCTGTCTGGGGCGAGGCACGCGTCTAAACGAAACGGGAGTACCTACTGCGCTTGATCAAAGACGAACGAAGACAAGAATCACTCCAAGGGCTGTCGACTGCTTCGTGACACCGCGGTTAGCTCCACGGACAACAGCTACGCCCTGTGCCGACCGAGACCATTTACCACGCCCACTCCCCAGCACGAGGTCCCGCCCCCGAGAGCAACTTGCCATCCAACACACGAAAGGAACATGTTTGCCCTCGAAGACTACTTCGAGCTGAACATAACCGAACACACAACCGAGGCTGCTCAGCGACATGCAAGCCACACGCCCGTCTGAGGCGGCAAGAAAGCCAAGGCACTACCGAGGTCCCTGTCACCCGAGGGCTACAAGAGTCTGAGGCTAAACAACCTTTGGGGAAAACGCACGCTAGGCCCGGCTGGGGACCTAGGTTTGTGTGTGACTGGCTGGTTGATCATTCAAAAGAACAAGACTTGAACGGTGACAAGCGCCGGGGATGTGATAAAGCCAAGACGGAGGCGCGTAACTGATCAGCGCTGCTGTTGCGCCGACTAGCTCTTGACGACTAGTCAAGCACTGGCTAAAACCCGTACAAGTCGAGAGAAGCAACGGCTTTTTCGACTACCGTTAAACGCTCACCAAGAACAATACAGGCGAAAATAAAGACAGGAGAGAAAAAAAAGCACAAAAACATGCAAAGACGTGGAGGAGTTATATCACCACTCACTTAAATAGTCGAAATTTGATCAAAGACGCAGAAGAGATGACCTAAATAGCATTAGTGCTGAAATTGTCAAGCTGGAAGCCAAATGGCAGTGTGACGAAAGGGATTGGGAGAGCGTTATTTTGGGACCGGTGAAGAAGGGATTATTTATAGGCTACGTTGAGGGCGACAGTCCGCCATGTGACTCTTGCGCAGCCTTCTCCCGTGCATGATACAAGGCTGTTGGTTTAAAGAGGCCCAACGAGGAAAGAACACCACAATATACCGAAAGAGTTTGGGAACAAACACTAAAAAGAGGGTGTTTCGATTAAGAAAAGAATAAACACACCTGAGTCTGGGGATCGGTCGAGAGCAGAAACCGAAGGACGATCTAGTAAAGATTGTTAGTAATGCAATTAGGCCAAAGCTTCGTCACATAGATAAAGCCGAGCACCACATCTTCCACCTGAGCTTAAGCTTAAACCTGAACATGATAGGGCATCTGAACATATTAAGTTGCGAAACACAAGCCACACCAACAAGCCTGCAAGATAAAAAAGTGGCTTGTCACGACAGTTTGCTGAAAAGCTGCGTGCCCCCTGAACGCAAAAACACTACAATAGCAGCTTGCTCGCAACAGCCATGCCGTCGCCAACTATGAGCCACACTTGATGCGCTCGGTGTGTATAATGGCAAGGGCGAGCTTTTTATTTCGTTCCAGCGAAACGTGGGCCAAAAGAAATCAGAGCTAAAGAGAGACCAGACAGAATGCATGCTTACTTAGAGTCGAGTATTTTCGCCAAATGGTATCGAAAGGTTGGTATCGAAAGGTACGACAAATACGGCGAGTAGAGGATGGTTGGTAAAGCAGCCTACCCCAAAGATGAAAGGCTTAAACACACGGTTAGTAAGACTGCCGTGCTGGACGGAAGACTGCAGAAAGATATAGGGCGCGGAACGAGGCAAAAGGTACAGAGGGGTAACAAAACCAGGCCTCAGCGCGTCAGAGGCCACACAATGGTGCCCAGTTCCTAGGAGCCTTCGAAGAGGATTCAACGGAGCATCTCAGCGGCCCCAATCACAACGAGACCAAGGTAAGAGATACTGCTTTAGAAGACAGCGGTGCCGTTCCCCTTCGGGCCTCCACTCCTCGGACCTCCAGGTCGTCATGCCTCCGAGCGGCGCAGCAAACACCAAGGAGAAAGAACAAAAGGCATCGACTTACTGATCGAAACCGGAAAAAGCAGCGACCGATTTTCAAGACGCCTGATCACGGCTGGTAGGTTGCGATCAAGTTGAAGATCGTATCCAGATCCGAACCAGGACTGTTGATGACAGGGACGCCTCACGCCTTGAAACTCAAAAACGCCAATCAAGAGCCGTCGAAGATGCTAGCATAAACCTGCGTGTTCGATAGGTTCGTTGAGATAGCGACCGGAAGAAGGCAAGACTGTGAGACTGCAAAAGGCTGTTCCGAAACCAGATCAACCTGAAGGACTATTGCCGCCCCAAAAGGACCCGAGATGCTGTGAAGACGGAAGGTATCGAAGGAGGAACACCGGTATCAGATGATAAACTATACGGCCTCCAAGTCAGTCACCACACTCAGAAATACGAGAAGACGTCTTCGGGCCACTTGGCAACAGTTCAGGAGTCTTTTGGCGAGGTCGCTGCCAAGCCATGATCATCACAGTCGACCACGGGTCCGCCAGTAAATCGTAACAATCCGTCCGTCCGCTCCAGACAAGGCCCAGCAACCGGCTCCGAAATCCAACAAAATCCGCATTGGCGGTAGGCTTCTGTGTTCTAATCTCCGAGAGGATCGTGGATTCGTGGGAGTTGTTCAAGACATCCAACGCGCAGAAAAGAGACCATGCCACCCATCGCCACAGCCCCCGAGCCTTGGCGAGATCTAGCTTTGCTTCAACCGTCTGTAGCTGCCGTGGTAGTGTTTTTCTGGGAGAGCAGAAAAGCTTTGGTTCCGAGGTCGCGAAGTTTGGATTATTGTTCCCTTCGGCTTGTTTGAAGATTCGGGAGAGAGCAAACACGACGGATCGGAAACAGGCCGGGGTAGCAGTCGGCGACATGAATTCCGCCGGACGGCGCCAGGGCACCGAGGATGGCTGCGAGGTTGGCTGAGGTTTTAGTGGCTGGGGTTTTAGTCGCTGGGGCGATGTCTCAAGCCGTGCCATAGCCTTGTCCAATACCCAAATCTCGGTGGTTCCCCAACTAGCTCCTATCCCACTTAAGACGCCGACAAATCTAAAAGCCAGAGCTCTGCCACACCAGGTAGGACAGATGCCGGGGGTGATGGGGGTCGCGGATCCTTGGAGGATGGTGGACAAAACCAAGGCCGCGTGGTTTTCCAGCTTGTCCAGGCTAGCTAGCCTCGACTTGTCCGACAAGACTCCCAGGCGTCTCAAAGCCTCTGTTCCCGTCCGCAGTAAGTGCATTCATCGGCCGCCGGCTTGAATTCCCTTCGGCGCGGTGCTCGCGTCCAGACGGGTCTTCCCTCCAGTGTCCACCTCTTCTCAAGTGTTCCAACTATTATTGCTGAGGCCCAGAGCATCTCGGGGCAAACGCTGCCGGTAGGTCATCGAGCAAATCCTCCGGGCAAGGCATCGTGCGGCCGCCAGGACGAGCCGTATCGGTGGCACGGTGTCAACTAACGAGGAGGTAGGCAATCAAAGGCGGGTAGCTGAAGAGCCTCGGAGGAAACGCGGCCTGGTTCGCTCCAAACTTCGGATCTCCGGCGCAAAGGTCGCACCATCTTGAAATGGCAGACAAAAGCAGGGCATTCGACCGCCTGACGCCCAGTTCGACCATGAACACTCGATCCGGGGCAGCCGCGCCATAAAAGGCAAATTTTGAGGCGGTTTGGCGCGCGCGCGCAAGGCCGAGCTTGTCGGAATGTCTGCTTCGTATGGGCTCCGACGGTCCAGTGTAGGGCTTCCCGTCGGGATGGCATCGGTCGAGCGCGGACAGGCGCAAAAGGGGGCAGAACACTAGCAGGCAAACACAAACAGAGGCACATTACTCACTCTTTATTAGCACCAGGCAACGAAGACAAGCCGTCCAAATTTTTCAAGCAAGCGCAACTGGTCAAAGCCTTCTGAGGAACAGCTCCGATAATCCCGACTTTTGAACTCCGAAAAGCAGCTGAAGGGACTGTCGGCGGTCGGTGACGTCGCGAGAGAAGAGGGACCTCGTTTCGATAGACAGAACGGCCAAAAGCGAGGCTAGAATCGGGCCGGGTGCAGGTCTGGCGCGCGAATTAAGGCGTGATGCGGAAGCTCGTGTCGTGTTTCTCCAAGGTCTGCGGCGGTGCCGGCGGGAGGTGTTTCGGGGGTGCGTTGCTTGTGTGTGGGAGGGACAGACAGGGGCGCGCGGCGGCTACAGGACAGCAGCGGACGAGAGACGGTCAACGCGCAAAACAAAAGTTCCCGAGGAGACGACGACGGGCTAAAATGGCAACGCTTTTGAAATGATGCTTTCCGAACTTGCAAAGTGACACGGTCGAGAGGGGGAAACGCAAGGGGGAAACAAGAGAGAAGCACAGCAGCGTGGGTGGGTGGAGGGGTAGGGAAAAGAGAAGGGAAAAGAGAGAAGAAGCCAGAGCACTGGAGACAGTGGAGCGGAGCAAAGCAACCAGTGAAGGTGGTGTGCAAGCCGAGAGGGGAAAAAATCGAGGCAGCAGAACCTTACTTGTCGGGCGCGCGGGCGGGCAGCAAGTTGGAAACTGGGAAAGCGCCGAGGACCCGTCCCGTGGGCCGCTGGGGCCTGGAAGAAAGCGAGAATTTGCCTGGCGAGTGGAGGGATTGGTGGGGAAAGTCCAAGCCCAAAAGCTTCCACGCCATGCCGGGGCCCCCAGTCCCAGTCCAAGCTTCCAGTGAAGGTTCCTTCCTTCCAGTGAAGGTTCCTTCCTTTTAGTGAAGGTTCCTTCCATTCAGTGAAGGTTCCTTCCTTCCAGTTCACACCACCTCGCCTTCCTTGCCTGCGGAGGCCTGGAGGGAGGGCGCTCCTTCCCTCGCAGCGCAATCATCGCATCAGTCTGGTGCCGTGCAGGTGCTGTGCAGCACCACCACGACACCCTAAGCCGGCGCGGGCCCACTACGCGGCGGGAAGTATGTACAGTACAGTGCATGTATATGTACCCTGCCGAACCACCCACCGTCGGGTGCGCCAGTGGGTGAGGTGCATCCATTCCCGTCCGTCCCCCTCCACACCTCACCTACACTACAGAGGCACCTAAAGCACAAAGTACCTCAGGTGCACATCGACCTGCTTCCAATGGCGAGCTCCTGCCCAGCATTGAAAACGCTGACTTCCCACTTGGACCTTTAAGCCTTCAACAGCAACCTCGGATAACCAGCCGACTCCAGCTTTGTATCTCCTCCCTTACCCTGAATATTCGACAGGAAAGAAAGCTCGGGATATCGGTACAGACTCAAACTTGGACAACAACAGCCTCAAGGGTTTACGGTAGACCGGTCTACAGGGAGAACAAGTGGACAACAGCAACTAATCTCCCCTTGCAGGGTAAAGAAAGTGATGGCTTCGCCATGCTTCTAATCCGGCCGGGCGGCTGGACGGGACGGGGCTGTTTGCTTGGTACTTGTATTGTACATGCACACACACGCGCGCACAGCACGCACACACACAAACACACACACACGCACACAGCTACTCATCGGCACAATGGAACCACGGGCTACCCCCGGGCTTGGTTGGCAAAACACGACAACTCGTCCTTTTGCACCACCGGCTTTGAAAGCTAAAAAGGGCTCAACTACTCTCTTAGCTGCGACCCGAACCTTCCTAGGTTGTAGATGCCGAGATCCCTCGATTGCATTTTGCTTGCTGAAGTGTGCTGGCGAGAGCTCTCGGGGTCCAGTGTGCGATCGAGATCCGACCGCCAGTAGAAACCCCTACCTTGCCTACAACCCCTTCTGTACATGCACACAGGTAGGTAAGGTACCTTGGTGCTACAAGTCCGTCAAGAGGGAGTGTACCTAGTTACCAGAGACAAAAGGAACAGTTTTGTGTATTCCTTGTCCTCTCCAAACCGATGCGCGGCGGCCCGTTCAGGGTCCTCTGGCGGGCATCTTGTTAAGAGATGCCGCGACTGACCCGGGCTGACCTTAGCAGGCCTGCGCCGACCTACGCTTACTGGTAACCGACGCTACTGCAAGTCTTGGACAACACCTCTCTTCCTCCCGTCTTACTGTACCGGCTGGCCGACCGACTGGACAGACAGCAAAAGGAAAGGCAGGGCCCCAACGCCCAATCCTCCGTCGGACCGAAGGTATTACTCTATTACCAACCGTAGCCAACCACGAGGGAAGACCTGCCAAGCCAACCCACCGAGCAATCCCCCCCTGCTGGAAGAGAAGGGAATGAACGGAGCGGACAGATTAGGCAGCTGATATTTTTCAACCAGCCGGCCGGGACGCCGCCCGCCCATAAGTGTTTCTTCATCCCGCGTTTCCCTTTCCTCCTTGCTCTCACTACTATCTCTTGTCTCTGCACGTCGGGGTTCGGAGTGGCCGATGGCCGGGTCTGGTCCCATCTATATAAAACGGCCAGAAAGAGAAAAGGTGCCGCTGTCTCGTCTCGGCCCTCCTGTCTCGAAATGATATCCGCGTATATGTAGGCAACAGGCTCATAAGCTTGGAAAGCCGTAGTATTTCCCCCAAAATTGTCTCTGTACAATGTTTCGTGCTTCAAAAAAAAATTAAAAAAAACTAAATAAAAAAAAACACACCCAGAAGATGACGAACATTAAAATTAGACGTCATGTTTCGTTTATTATCCCACCCGAGATTTCCCATCTCTGTGGGCCGTCTGCCCTACGCCACGGCGATCATCTCCAATGCATTGTCGGAGGATGGGAGGGGGGGCCGCCAAGCCAAGAGGCGGGACTGCGGGACGGACCTTTTTTTTTTTTTTTGGAGGGGGGGGGCGGCGGTGGCTTGCGGCGCTCTCTCGTTCGTTTGTTCGCTTTTTTGTTCTGTTTTGCTTTCCCAGTGTGGCTCAACGGCTCAGCAGGAAGAGGAAACCGTTTTCACATCTTGTCTGCCCATACGAAGTGTGCCAAACACCGCAGAGTTTATACGTAGACCAGTCGGCCCATGTAGCATCGGACGGGGCTTGTTTACAGGGGGGGTTCACTGATCATTGTTCTCCCAATGCCCCAGGGATGGGAGGGTTCAAATTGGAAAGGGCTGAAATAGCCGTGACCTTTTGGCCTCTCTCTCTCTACACAGTATCTCGGTCTGGAACGTGAAGGTGTCTGTCCATTGTGCTGTTCCCAGTGATGAACACACCACCACCACACCTAACAGGCCCCCCCTACTCCATTGCTGTAACCTTCCCCAGATCTCTCCAGTGGCGTTTTTCTCGTCTCGCGCCAACAATTCCCCTGCGCCTCGGCCGCAACGTACCCCCCCGTGTCGCATGGCATGATGATCTTGGATTTGTCCATTGCCTTGGCCGCTCTCCTACACTACGTACTGCGTACTAGTAAATCAGGTACTGTACACCTTGCCAGCTACAACACGGTAACTTGCCAGCTACAACACGTACCTTGCCAGCTACAACACAGTACCTCGGATGTAGGCCAGGCACAAGCGCGCCTCCTCTCTCTCAACGTGCGCCGAGATGTTTACCGTAGCTTAGCTGCATTGGTCACCAGCAGTGGTTCAAGTTCAATGCTGCGTATGCCGTGTGCTGTATTTACCGAGGGAGGGGGAAGCAACAACATTTCTAAACTGCGAGACTACTAACAAACGGGGGGTGCGTGGATGTGATCATTTGCTTTTGCGTAGCTGTTCTTGCCGAGCAAACACACGTTCCCCACAGCACCGCAAACAGAGAGTCCCGCCGTGCCGGCACAAGACGTCACTAGATGATACCAGATGTGTTTCCAGTCTTCGTTTTGTTGGCAGCTGAGGATGGTGTTTCTACTCCTGAACTTGGTATTTATTTTCCTAGGTACCCCCCTCTTAAGGGGCGATGGCGCGCACGCACTCATGCAGCGTTGGGGGAAAAAGCAAATTGCGCGTGCCCGCGCTCCGCTCCACATGGCAAAAGCTCTTGGCAGCAGCACAAGGCCCAAGGGAGGCAAGGAGGGTCCTCGGTAAATAACCTTTGAGGGGGGGGTGGTGTGGAATGGGAATCAGGAATGGAATGCACAGAACAGCCACTGGGAGCTTTTCGCCTTTTTCCCTCCAGCCCACGACACAAGAACCCAGCCGGACTCAGACGGAGCAGCTTGGGCAAAGAGTCGATTTGTAGTTTATAACGCACCATCTATTCTTCTTGCTAGCTTCTCCCAGGTAATCAGGTACCTTAGTTTCCGTCTCCGTTTCCTTAGCCGCGTTTTCTTCACTCCCGCACGGGCATACAACGTCATCCGTGGAAACGCGGATCCTAGGGCCGTTCGTTTGCTTGGTAAATTACTCCGTAGTCGCGTTGTTTCGCGCGTATCTCCCGTGGCTAGCTCCCCCCCTTTTTTCCCCCAAGCTTTCCCAAGCTGCGTCAACCGTGGCAGCTGGACTCGTGGAGAAGGCGAAGAACAAGAAAAAGAAAGCGATGGAGCTTCGCCAATCTCATGGCGCGCCAGGAGCACATGCAGGTCAACGAATGGCCAGGGCGACTGACGCCGCGCCTTTTCGATCACCTGCATACGTGGTTGGAGGGAGCCAAGGAGCCAAAGCAGCAAATCAGGCTCCTGGCTGGCGGGTTTCGTGCCTTAGAGCAGCGGACTAGGGTTCGAGTGAGCAGATGTGGCTTGCGGGCAGTTTCGTTTTGTTTGTTTCGTGCAGCAGCCCTAGTGTGTCCAAGAAAAATAACGGAGAGGACGGAGAGCCTAAAACGTTACAGTAGCCGCCCAAACAGGTCTAGTGCTCTCTCTCATGCTAACCCGAGAAAGGAGGGACATTCCCCAAGCACGCACGGCATTGCTTTGATACCGCAGAGAGGCTCCTTTTTTAATATTCCGTTCCCGAGTCCCAAGGCAGCTTGGTTGGCCACCTTGCCTTCGCTGGGCCGGCTAGCTCTCTTGCTTGTGCCACATGGCATTCGATTCTGGCAGCCACCAAGCCTCCGCGCGTCCAAGCACCACCGTCCGGGACGGGCGGGCTTCCCACGGGCCCCAGAAAAAAACGCGTGCAGAAACACAGATCGGCAGGATCCCTGTCAGTCCTTTTCGTTCCTCTTTCGTCGGCCCTCTGTCCGTCATGGAAGAAGCCGAGAGCTGGTGCCAGCTACTCCGTCCCGGTCTTGGCTTTCCCTATGGCACCCAGCTGCCATGTCCAGTTGCCCCCACTGGTACCGTAGGTGAGGTAGCTCGCTTTCGCTCTGGCCCAAGAAAGAGAGCAATGCTACCCATCAAACGCGTGTGGATAGCCGCGCCAATAGCTACGCTGGTTTTGCATCCTCCCGTTTCCGGTGGTGTGTAAAAAAGCAAGAAAAGATACGGCCGGTTCACGGGCATTCGTGTGCGAGTTAGGAGGACAGCGGCCGTCTTCAAGGACCCTAGGAGAACCCGGGAAAGGAGACGGCCAAGGCTTCTCAGTCATGTTCAGTGTCGACATGGCGGTAGGGCGTGGCTCTATCGGGGACTTTTTGCGCGTGTCTGTGGTGTGTTTGGCATCTCACAGACGTCTTGCAGCTCGGCTTCGTTATTTATTTTTCTGTTCGCTTGCTTCCCGTCTTGCTACAATGCGCTGCTCCCGGCCGGCCGGCCGAGCGTGCAGGGACCTTGTTCGACTGTGGGGGAGGGACGCGTACGTGTCCGATATTACCGTTCCTTGTGCATACGTAAGCCTCTCTCCCTTCCTCCTTGTGGTGTAGGGTGCCATCGGGAGAAGAGATGTTGCTCTGGTTTGTTACAGGTTGTCGAGGTTCATGTCGATGGTTCCATCTCCCGATTTAATTACCGTTGACTATGTTTGTCCCACCTCTTTGCTAGTTCTATTTGCTGGTTATATTTGCTGGTTCTCGGTTGAGGCTTTGGGGGAGCATAGAGGACGGAACGGCAGCAGCACGCAGCTCGGAACGGCAGCAGCACGCAGCTCGACGGCGGCGCGGGGGTGGCCGTGGTTCGGGTTTGCTGCTCGCGTTATCTTGCAGACAGAGACCCAGGATGCATCGAGCTTGAGAAGGCCGACGGGAGCCACTTCTTTAGGGCGGCCTCGGCGTCGCATGCTGGCCTCCCGGAAGCACCGGGCATCGCCAGCTCAACTATGAACTGCGCCCGTGACATGGGATATAAGCAACTGCCGGTCCCTGGTCCACGTCGATAAGTTGGAGAGATTGGGCCTGGGGTCTCCGCAGTAGGGCGGTGGGTGACTTTTCTTAGCCTAGTATCCGTTTTGTCCGTCGGCTTTGCGAGGTACCCCGTACCTAATAGGCAAGGCAATTCCATCCGCGTTCTGCTCGCTGCAGCCGAAAGCGGATCTGACCTGTGCTGACAGCAAGGAAGGAAAGAGAACAGCTACCTAACCTGGTAGTCGCCTCTATATCGTGAGTCCCCTGACAATGGCCGACTTCCCGTCTGCTTCGGTTTTCTCGTGCGAGTGCAAGTGCGGGCGCTCGGTAGGTCGGTTACAGGTCACGGGTTGTAGGTAGGACTGCGATAAATCCAGAGCCTGAGGTGGCGAGCGATTTTCAAATACACGTCCAGTTCCTGTGCTCCCAAGAATTGACTTTGTCCTGTGGGGTTTTTCTTCGGCCCCAAGTGAGCTCGGGCTAGCAGCTCAGATCATCCCATAATCCTATTCAAATTAAGTTGCAAGTCGCAAGCATCTTAACCTCGTAATCTAAACTTTCGTTTCTAGCCCACAGATTTCGTCAAGATTACCAAATCTACCCGAGTACTACTCAGTATTAGTACCTTACCCACTAGTCCATATCAGTATATACCAACACTTGGCTCGATACCGGAGAGCTCATCCGGGCCTATTGCCCGCCTGTCGGTCCGCCAAATCAGTCGGGCCATCCCTGGGCCAAGGCTGGCATCCCAGGGGAAGCTCTCCTTTTGACTTCCAGGCTTCGACGAGAGGCGTCTGCATACTCTTGAACTGATAGTCGGCCAAGAATACATGAGTGTCAGTTATCGATTCCCCGCAATGTACCTACCGCCTACCTATCTAATGTACCTTGGCTCCTTACGTACCCAAGTAACGTTGCAGGCTAGGCTATTTCATGTTCTAGTATCAGCCCTTTTTACACTTCTACTAGATTTCTAAGCTGTTCGCCGACAGATTGTGGTGAGTGTCGCTACAAAATACAAAGTACCTTGTTATTAATTACTCGTTAGGATTTCTATATGGAGCGGGCTAAGATTAGCACCTGTACGGCAATTCGACAAGCTGCTGTTATAGAATCGTCGTGGTGAAACGATGTTTGCCTCCAGGAACCAATTAGTCCAGCGAGATAATCTAGATATGAAAGCAGGCAATAGTTACCTTCATAATGGTCGTGAGAGGGCTACACCGTAATTATTTCGCAGTTTGCTGGCTCAATACTATCAACTTGATTGGTTTCCGTTCAATACCCAAATGAGTCCACCCAGCAGCTCTGGCCAAGAGAAGATTGAACAGGACATGCCATCATGCAAACATCGAAAACTGCCTGTCGACCTCGGTGTTCTGGAATTGGATGTGTCGTTGATCGCCTGATACGGTCCGCTAGATATACTGTGATTGGACGTTCCAGTCAGGGGCGGCACATGTCGCCGGGAAGAAACAAACAGGCTGGAGCCGCATTATGCAGACAGACCAAGAGCAGCGAAGCGGCAATCGGAAAATACATAGCTCTACAGGCTGATGTCTCGATCCGCCAGCCGCGGTTACCCGGTTCAGACGCAAAACGGGACGGCGGCTCCGGCGATCTCGACAGCCAAGGCAATCTAACGGCATTGACTCTCATACAATCTGGTTTCTAGAAGACTGATTTCCCGCCCAGTGACGCCGAAGAGGTGTTTCACCGAGGTGGACACGAACAAACCCTTGATCCGGACCACCGGCAAGACGGGGGTTCCCCAGGGGGGTAGTGAAGCGCGACACGTGGCGGAAACGAGCCATCGGGAAGGATCATCGCAGCATCATGAACAAGCCTGCCGTGGCCACATGCCGCCTCGCGTCCGGCCGCCCGTAAGTGGATAGCACGACACCATATAGACACGGACGACCAGTCCGTCTATCTTCCTGTCTGTGAAGTCGGAGAATTTCCCGTCCTCATAAGCCGCCATGCAGGTACAGATTGTCATTGACTAGGATCACCACGGATGCCTCTATATGACCCATGCTAAGGCCGGAGGCCGAGAGGCATCGGGCTGCTAGACCTCGAGGAAGCGGTCTTTGCTGGCCTCGGCCAATTTACTGACAGTGTGGACTTCTGCTGAACACTAAGCGGGCATGTAAAAGGGAGGAGCCGAAGAGGGCCATCCCACAACATGTGGTATATTTATGACCCACAACATGATGTATATTGATATGCTCCATGAACTGCCGACTTTTAGAGACGAGAGCCGAGCATTATTTTCAACACCGCCCAGTGCCAACACTGAACAATTGTAGTTTTTGTCTTTCACACTCTCATACTCTCATAACTATCCTTAGCTCCTTTATTGGTAGCTAGCTTTCAAGCGCACCGAGACAATAGACTTATAATTAGGAATTCGATTTAGTAATTGAAACTAACTCAGGCAAATGAAAGGTCCGACAGTTTTTACATAGCTTATAAATACCATGCTGGTGCCTGTGCTTAAATCTCTTGGGGAGATAGAAAAGAGAAAGGAGAAAAGGGAAAAAGAAAAGAGAAGGAGAAAAGGGAAAAAGAAAAGAGAAAAAGGGGAAAAGGGGAAAAGGGAAAAAGAAGAAAAGAGAAAAAGGAGAAAAGGGAGGAGAAGAAAAAAAACAAAAAGGAGAAAAGGGAGAAGAAAAAAACAAAAAGGAGAAAATCGTAAAGAAAAACTTAATAAGGACCCGAAAATGTTCTGGGGAATGAATGTATTGTATATAATCTGAGAGGATTTCACCTTTCGAGCTTCGAGCTTCAAAGTCTGCTGGGCAACTACTGAGTACAGGGATAATTAGTGGACACTGCGTGCCAAGGCGAAAGGTGGCCCTTGCGGGCGCGGCCCAGCTCTCGAGGCAGGGTCTCCCGATTAGTCACGGGAGGGGGCCCACGGCGGTAGAAGCAGGCATGGCGGGTCGCGGTTTTGGAGCTGCGGCGCAGACTTGGTGGGGCAAAGCATCCGTACAGCACCCTAGCGCCTGAAGCTTACCTGACCACCGGGAGGAGTGCATCATCGCGGAAGCCTTCCAACAGCCAGTCAGGCATCCAACAGACACGCGGTTGCGACCCTGACGACGAGCAGGAGACGGCGCCCTTCGTTTCGTCGCTGCATTTGAGCGTTCTTTTCGTCGTTTTCTTTCCCTTCTCCGTAGTTTCCCTCGAACCCTTTTCCTTCGTTCGCCGCGTCTTCGTCTCCAGCATCGCAGAATCGCGGAATCGCAGCCTTGGCGCATGAGCCGCGGAATCGCAGCCTCAGCGCATGAGCCGTCCCTTGAGCCACCAACCTAACCCTCCACCCCCTTGACTCACGATGGCCGCCTCTACTGAGTCTCGCGAGCTGGAGCTAGTGGAAAAGGTTGACTTTCGGATTCTGGCCGTGGCAAACAACGTCGTAAAGCTGCAGCCGCTCCTCAACACCTACCTCCCCCCCCTTCTCCTGAAAGCCGGAAGTGAGCATGCTTCTGTGCGTGATAAGGTCACCCAGATATGCCAGAGACTTAAGACGTTTATCCAGGCGCCGGGGTGAGTTTTGCTGCGACCCCTTTCATTTCTACACAGTAGTTCTCCAGACTCAGCCCGAGTCCAGTCCCTCCCCGAAACAGACCCTCCCCAAAACAGAACCTCCCCGAGTCCAGTCCCTCCCCGAAACAGACCCTCCCCGAAACAGACCCTGAGCCGTCAGGTTTCTAACTGCTCTCACAGGATCGTGTTGCCAGTGGCCGCCTTGCTCGCCCAGTACAAGACAAGCCACGCAGCTCTCGTCAAGTACTTTGACCTAGTCTTTGTCCTGCATAGTCTCGCTAGACTGGGCGTCGAGGATCGCCGCCCCCTGATTCCCGTCGTGCTCCGCGGTATTTCTGCCGGCTCTGACCCCTCCGCCGTCTCTGGCACCTCCGCCGTCTCTGGCACCTCCGCCGCCACTCTCCCAACCCTCTTCAACGTCTTCCTTCGCCTACTGCCGGACCTGAAGCTGCCCTCGCGTGGAAGCCAGGAAGATGCCACCTTCCGCAAAGACATTGGGCTCGAGGACCCCAAGGACGCCGAATTCGTCGCCGAGCACCTCGGGAAGCTCCTGCTGTTCCGCCTGAACAAGACGCCCCTCGCCGAGCTGCCCGGGCTGACAGAAGACGACATCCACTTCCTGACTCTCGGAAAGCTAGAAACTTGGAACCCGCCCGGCGGGCTTAGTCTACCCCTGACGCGCATCAAGGTCACCGGCTTCCTGGCAAGCGGCGCTTTCACCGACGAGGAGCGCTTCATGCCTGCGGTCTATGCCGCCGCCGCCCCTGACTCGCGAGTCTCGGGCCCTGGCGACGACATGCTCAAGAGATGCGTTGTCTCCCTCGAGAACGTAGACTTGGTCAACAAGCTGTTCCGGGCACACTCGGAGCTGCCGCCACCCTATCGCATCCGCATCCTGGCTCTCCTGACAAAGTCTCAGGTCTCGACCACGCTCCCCCAGGTCTTGGACGTGTTCGAAGACGACGTCAACAAGCAGCGGGCTACCCCGACATGGCACGGCGAGCAGCACGCGCCCGTGGCCCAGGCCCTGAAAGCTACGTCGGGGCTTGAGCTGACCAAACTTCACGGGGCCCTCTTTGAGTACATCAACTGGGTTGGCCGCATTGGCCCTTCCCAGCCCGGCTACGGCCCCATCGGCGCACAGCTGGTCTACAAGCTGCAAGAATTCATAAACAACCAAGGCTTCCCGGTTGGCGAGGGTCTGTCCCGGGACGACATCTCTCTCCGGGAGAGAGCTTACGAGACCATGGGGGTTGTCGGAAGAAGATCCGAGCTGAAGCCCTCCGAGTTTCTGGCCATAATATGGTTTTTCTTGATGGGCCTTTCGAAGGATCCTGCCCCTGAGGTTGTCGTCGGCATTGACAGCGCGCTCTCGTCTCTCGTCTCCGTCTTCAAACCCGGCCACGGCCTCGACCATCTACTCGGCTCTCTTCTTGAGGGGTTCATGCTACAGCAGATAAGCGGCCCCGTTGTCCGCAGCGCCCGACACGCAGTTACCAAGTACGCGAACGAGTGTCTCCCGCTGTCCGACATCACGGCTAGGTGGATCGACATCGTGGCCATCGCCGGCTACGAGGGCGAGCGCAGCGATGTGGTCGAGGAGGGACAGAGAGGCTTGGATCCGTGGACATACCACGCACACACGGACGCGTCGTCGGCGGCACTGCCCGACTGGCGTGCCATGACCCACGCCTACTTCGGGGACCTGAGGCCGCCTATACAGCCAGAGACCTGGATCGGCAACCTGGTAAACGAAGTACCGCAACCAACAAGGGACGTCGACATGGACGCACGGTCGCTACCCCAGTTCCCAAACTTTGCGCCCCTTTCGCCCCGAGCGTTCCCCATCGCCATAGACTACGTCAAGCGCATCATGTTCCTGACGGCCCTGAAAGACTTCAAGCTTGAGACGGGCTGGGAGCGTCGGCTCGAGACGTTGGCACAGTCGGACCTTGCTACTAGGCACGCGATTCGTGGTTACCTTGGGTCTACAACGGAATCCGCCAACGACTCGCAGCGGCTTACCGATCTCATAGACATTGCCTTCCAGGGCATGGTTAAAGAGCGCAATACGGATGCTGCTCGACAACAGTGCGCCCACTCCTTTGTCGATATCGCATCCTTCAGCCCGTGGCTCAATCTTAAGTGGCACTGGTTACGGGCTGGTGAGCTCTTGTTCCTAGTCAAATCGAACAAGAAAGAAGTCAGAGTTGTCGGCGCAAAGGCCTTTGGAATTCTCGCCGGCCATCGGAGAAACGACGCCGCCTCCGTTGCCAGGTACACGTCAACCCTGGTCCAGATCATCGATACGCGGGAGACGGCAGTCGGCTCCGAGCTCAATGCCGTTGAGGGGGCCTTCCTCGCCCTCGCCCACATGCTCTCGAGACACGTCTACGCTCGCACCGACGACTCGTATGTCTACGACACTACCGATTTGTCCCGCAAGTTCCCGACTCTCGACAAGGTTTCCTCGTCGCCCCTGTCTACTCAGGAGGCGCTGTTTGACGCGTATTCGCAGCTTTGGACCGCCGGTATTGGTCTCGTACCCGGAGCAGACCAGGGGGCGACGGCCGAATACATGTCCAAGTCCTTTATCGACCCCCTGTTTGTTCAGGCGCAGAAGGGCAACGAGAAGGCCACGCATGCCCTGGGCCGGCTGGCCATTTCCCTCCCGCCCGCCGCAGCGACAGAGCCCGACGCCGGTGGGAACAGCATTCTCCAGGTCATCCTGGACAAGCTCTATTCTCTCTACGAGATCAAACAAGCAGACTCGCACTTCACGGTCGGAGAGGCCCTTGCGGCGGCGGTTGCCTGCTGGGATGCCGAAGTCGTCCAGCTTGCCGTCGACGTCGAGTCCGGAAACGACTCATACCTGACGCCCAAGCGCTCTGGCCACGTGACGGCGGTTCTAGAGAAGCTGCTGACCGACTGCAAGTCTGCAAGGCCGTCTCTGCTCAAGGCATCGGGGATCTGGCTGTTCTGCTTTATCCAGCACTGCTCGCACCTACCAGAGGTGCAGGCGCGGCTGAGAGAGTGCCAGGTCGCCTTCGTGAGGCTGCTCAGCGCGCGGGACGAGCTGGTCCAGGAGACGGCCTCGCGAGGCCTAGCCCTCGTCTACGAGAAGGGCGACGAGCGGCTCAAGGGCGAGCTCGTTCGGGATCTCGTCTCGGCCTTTACCGGATCTGGTCCGCAACTGAAGGTGAAGGTGGACCAGGACACGGAGCTGTTTGAGGCCGGCGCCCTGCCGACCGGGGAGGGCAAGTCGGTCATGTCGTACAAGGACATCATGAGCCTGGCCAACGAAGTCGGCGACCAGAGCCTCGTGTACAAGTTCATGTCGCTGGCCACCAACGCGGCGACGTGGTCGACGCGGTCGGCGTTTGGGCGGTTCGGGCTGAGCAGCATCCTCTCCGAGTCCGAGGTCGACCCCAAGCTGTACCCCAAGCTGTACCGGTACCGCTTCGACCCGAACCAGAACGTGCAGAAGTCGATGAACGACATCTGGAAGGCCCTGGTGAAGAACTCGGGCGCGGTGCTGGAGGAGCATTTCGACGCCATCATGGATGACCTGCTCAAGAGCATCCTCGGAAAGGAGTGGCGGGTCCGAGAGGCCAGCTGCGCCGCCGTCGCCGACCTGATCAGCGGGCGGCCCTTTGGGAAATACGAGGCGTACTACGCCAGGATCTGGGCGGCCGCGCTCAAGGTGCTCGACGACGTCAAGACGACGGTCAGGAACGCCGCCCTCAATCTCTGCATCTCGCTGTCGACAACCCTGGTTCGACAGCTCGAGGAGTCTAGCACCACGGCCTCAGCCAAGGCCATGATGGACGAGGCGCTGCCGTTTCTGCTGTCGGACAAGGGCATCGAGAGCAGCGTCGAGGACGTCAAGCTCTTCTCGACCATGACCATCACCAAGATCGCCAAGAGCGGCGGCAAGTCACTGAGGCCCTACATCCCCGTCATGGTGCCGCACCTGCTGGGTCTCCTCAGCACCATCGAGCCCGAGGGCATTAATTATTACTACCAGCGCGTGGCTGAAGACAAGCGGGACCAGATCGACAAGCTGCGCAGCGCCATGGTGTCGCAGAGCCCCATCGCCGAGGCCATCGAGGACTGCCTGCGCAGCGTCGACGCCGACGTCATGGCCAAGCTGTGTCCCGGGCTCGAGGAGACGGTCAAGACGGCGATAGGCATGCCCAGCAAGATCGGGTGCAGCCGCGTGCTCACGACGCTAGCCATCCGGCACGGGGCCGACTTCGCGCCCTACTCGTCGCGGTTCCTGCAACAGATGCTGAAGCACATGCTCGACAAGAACGACGAGGTCAGCAAGGCGTACGCGCGCGCCACGGCCTACATCATCCGCGTGGTGCCACCCGAGGGAACCCGGTTCCCGCCACAGATCATCAAGCTCTACTTTGGCGCAGAGGGCGAGGCGCAGCGACAAAAGGTGGCCGATGCCGTGCTGGCGCTGTCCAAGATCTCGCCGGACCATTTCAGCGCCCTGGAGAACGAGCTGCTGCCGCTGGCATATGTGGCCAAGCACGACACGGACGGGTACGTGCAGAAGGAGTTTGAAGAGGTGTGGAACAAGCACGCCGGCGGCGTCTTCACCGTGCACCGCTACACGGCCGAGATAGTCGAGCTGCTGCTCGAGGCGCTCGGCTCGCCCCAGTGGGCCCTCAAGCACGCCGGCGCCCTCGCCACGGGCTCGTTTGCCGCCGCCGTCAGCAGCGGCAAGACGGTGTCGGGCGCGTCGGCCGTCGCTGTCCTCGAGACCATCTGGCCCGTCTACGACCGGGCACTGGCGCTCAAGACCTTCCCCGACAAGGAGAAGCTGCTCGAGCCGTTCCCCGACTTTGTGCGGGCGAGCAAGCCGCTGTGGGAGGAGAAGGGGGGAGCGCTGGGCGACCAGCTGAAGAAGGGGGGAGCGCTGGGCGACCAGCTGAAGAAGGGGGGAGCGCTGGGTGACCAGCTGAAGAAGGGGGCGGCGCTGGGCGACCAGCTGAAGAAGGGGGCGGCGCTGGGCGACCAGCTGAAGAAGGTGGCCTTGCGCGAGGCCAAGCGCAACAACGACGAGTACCGCCCGCACGCGTTCCGCTGCCTGTGGAAGTTCGCCGCCGCCCGCGACGACCTGGACATGTTGCTGTCCGACATCGCGCCCCTCGTGCGCCCCTACATGGACGTCTCGGAGGACCCGGACGCCATGGACGTCGACAGACCGACCAAGAAGACCAAGCTGTCCGGCGGGGGTGGCGGAGGCAGCAGCAGCAGCAACCTCAAGACGGAGACGGCCTGGGCGGCCATCGAAGCCGCCGCGCGCGGCTACAACCGTGCCAAGATGGCCGCGGACCCGTTCGCTGCGCTCGCCGACGTCGTGGCGGCCGTCGACGGCAAGAAGCCCGGCGAGATCGGGGCCGGGGCCGCCGGGGCCCCGTTCATCGCCGGGCCGGAGCTCGACGCCATCCGCCCCGCGTTCTGGTACGAGTGCGCGGCCGAAATCTTTGACGACGCCGCCAAGGGCGCTGCTGCTGCTGTCGCTGTCGCTGCCGAGGGGCAGCAGCAGCGGCGGGAAATCCTCGCGTGGTTCTTCGCCACGCTCGACCTGCCCCGCGCCGACACGGGCACTGAGCACCAGCGCCTGGCCCGTGCCAAGGCCGTCCTCGCCGTGGCCGGGCTGGGGCTGGGGCTCGGCGTCAGTGGAGGCCTGGGGCAGGTCCGGGTTGGCGAGCAGGAGACGGTCGCGGATTGCGTCGCCCGGGTCTCGGACCCCAGCGTCGAGCGGTCGGCCGACGTGCTGCGCGTCTGGAAGGACTGCGCGGCTAAGCTGCTGCTCTGATGCTGGGGGCCGAGACCTGGGGGTGGGCCGGGAAAATCAGGACGGGAAGGCGAGCGGAGCGGGGTGTTTGGCGTTTTTCTTTTCCTTTTTTCTTTTATTTTCTTTTACCTCTTGAAGGAAAATGTATTCATAGTGTCTGCACTTATCCCCCTTGGGGGTTAATGAAGAGGCTTTGGATTTAATGGGTGATGCGTGTTGTGCTGTGCTGTTTGGCGTCGCGCCTTTTTGATAAGGGGTCTTGATGGTTGTGTACATGTGTTTATATGCTTGTACTATGTATGCGTATATGTTTTTGTGTATCGGTGTTTATAGCGTAGTTCTAGACGCCTGTACATGTGTTTATATGCCGTACTACGTATGCGTATATGTCTTTGGGTATCGGTGTTTATGGCGTAGTTCTAGACGCCGCCCCCGCAACCAGTTCCTTCCAACGCTGACAAGCAAGCTATTTATCATCAAGCAGGGTGACAACCAAGTCGCTGCCGGTTTCGCTCGGGACATGCGCGGACGGGGAAGTCCCGATATTAAAAATAAAGATATTCCCTAGACGGGTCGCTTATACACAAACATACGACAGAACTTGGTATTATTTTGGAGGTCTCACATTCGCAACAAAACCGAGACTTGCCGTTACTCGTAGATTACTGCATCTCCGTTCAAATAGATTGACCTAGGTCTTCATCGGGATTAACGTCAAATGCCGGAAGAACAAGGGGAAGGGTCGATCCTGTCCTCGAAATGTCCGGCGCGCTCCAGAACGTCGTCAGCAGGGTCGCCCGCCCAAAGATGTCGGCAAAGGGCTCGAAGAAGACGCGGGAGGGGTGATGGTTCTAGGCCTCGTCAAAAATCTGGTGCGCACTCGCCAGGACCGGGACTGACGCGTCTTCACGCTCGACCGGAACGTGGACGACCACGAGGGGATGATCGGCGCGCTGCAGCACGCCGTCGCGGAGCAGGCGCGGGAGATGGCCGGCCTGCGCCGCACCGCACCGCCGAGGGCCAGGCGCTGAACATCGCCGGGCTCACCGCCGACCGCGACGAGATGCAGCGCACCATCAGCGCCTGGACCAGACGTGCAGGCCGTCGTCAGGGCCGCCCACGAGCAGACCACCAGGATCGACGGCCACGGCGCCACGCTGGAGCGCCACGAGGACGGCATCGTGGACCAAGCCAAGGACGACATCATGGACCAAGCCAAGGATAGGCTGACGCGGAGAAGAAGGACAAAAGGAAGACCAGGAGAAGAAGGACAAAAGGAAGACTAGGAGAAGATAAAGACGGCCCAAGAGCTGGGACACCTGCTTGCAAACCGCATCAACAAAACGAGTACCGTCATGGACTAGTCGAGTCGAGGAGCATACCCTGCATTAGACATGTTCAAGTTTGGGCCGACGCTGACTTTGATGCTCGAAGATGCCTTGCGTACTGGCGCACAGGCCAACATAGGCAGCCAGGACACTGCCGTTGCCGTCCGATCTTTTTGTCAATTAGGCCCGCCGATATAGTCTCCATTTGTTAGACTTTTGGTTTGCGTTTGCCTTCCCTCATGTAGCAAAATAAAAAAGGGAAAAAAGGGGGGAAAAAAAATAAACACCACACCATACAGGGTTTGGATTGAACGAAAGTTACCTTGTCTTTTATGCCATTGATAGGCGAACAATACGGCATATACGCATGGATGAACTTAAGAACACTGTTTCATTGAGTACCAGACAAACCACCAATATCCGACGAGCGGGCGAGCTGGCCCTTTGCGTGGTTTCGACTTCGTCCGCCGCCTCGAGATATCTCTGTCGCTCTCTTTCTAGTGCTTGGTTTACCGACTGCAAAAGCCGAGGCGGGCACCTTTGCGTGGTTTCGACTTCGTCCACCCCTCGAGAAGTCTCTCTCGCCGCCTTTCTAGTTCTCGGTTTTTTACCAACTGCAAAAGCGCGGGCTGACAGTTCGTGGCCGTCGCTGCTGCTCTCGTGCTGCTCTCGTGCTGCTTTGATTTTCCTAGAATAATGCATGATACCTCTCTGGAAGCCCTCAAACAACCTTTGCCATAATTATACATTCTGTGCAGCGACTTGGGTACGAAGTATGCACTGTACACGTATATACTTTGTAACGGCCTAACCTGTAGCAGTAATATTTACTGCTCTGCCAGACTCCCTGCAAATAGACGCTAGAGTCGAAACCTAGTTGACGACTCGCAATTTAAGCTAGGCTAAAAGCATGGTCGTGCACCCGAGGCCCGCTGCGTCCACGGTGCCGTGCATCTTACCTAGAATACATTCTTACACAGTAATGACCCTGACAACCGCTTGCTTGCTACATTCTACTGTTGTATTTTAGCGATAAGCAACATCGGAGGAAACTTGATACCCTGGAAAAGGAAGCTAGAATCAGGTGCAAGTTAACGACTCGCAACCTGAACTGGGCTATAGCATGGCTACGCGCCCGTAGGCCTGCTGCGTACTCTGCGCCTACGGGTGCCGTGCACCTTACCTACCTTCTTTTTGAGACTGACAACCGCTTCCAAAGTGGTGCACATCTCCACGTGCTGGCATTTCCAGTCAGTCGTTAACAACACGTCCGTGCTTGCTACCAAAAGTAAAATCCGCCACACTGGCCACTGGCCGCCAACAAAGAGCTCGCGCCATAAAAAGCGGCCCATTCTTTCAGGCAGCAAGCGGCAACACCCGTGCGCCCTGGACTTTTTACCTGAGGCATCTGATAAGTCGGCGCACGCATGTCTAATAATCCGGTTTCTCTGTTGCGTCACAGGCGGCCGCCTTGAGCCGGAGCTTCCTTCCTGCGCCCTCACCACTGCACGCCAGGACTCGCACCCAGGACTCGCACGCCGTGCCCTGATACTTCTCGTAGTCGAGGTGCTCGATAGACAAAAACCATCTCCCTCCGAGGTGCAGCAACCCGCTGCCGGTTTCAGTTTGCCCTTGCGCTGAAAGTGGAGGCTGCCCCCCCTGCCCTGCCAGTTCAGTACGTTCTTGCCCTGCAGTGCTCAGGCCCACTTTACCGTACCTAGTTGGTGCTTTCCTCAGCTGCCATCGGCTGCCGCTGCCCCTCAGTACCGTGCGTGACCTGACCCTCCTCCGTCCGCACGTCACCTCGAATGACCTAAGCTGCGGATACCTAACAAGGTGCCTTGCACCTCTTCCCGACTTTCGTTCCTTTGGTTTTGGGGCCTTATCGTCCCTTCTCCTCGCCCCGCGCCCGGCCCAGCCTAACCTACCACCGACATTAAGCATTAAGGCACATTGTTTCCCGAGTCGCGGATTTCCTTGAGCTCGGCGCCTCTCGCGCAGTCACTGTCGTGCCTTCTCCGAATCACGCACGCTACAACTACAGCCCTGACCCTCGATCGGCTTTCTGCCGCCCCCGGCCTCTCCTCTCCTCTCCTCGTCGCTCTACATAGCGCCACACCTCTCCTCTCCTCCCCTCCTCGTCGCTCTACATAGCGCCACACCTCTCCTCTCCTCCTCTCCTCGTCGCTCTACATAGCGCCACACCTGGCATCTCTCTCGACGCACACACCCAGCTGCCAGACTACGAGCGCCGAAATGGTGGGCCAGGGGGAAGTCGAGGACTTCATATCCGTGACGGGCGCTTCGAGCGAGGCGGCCGAGCGAGTGATCGAGCTCTGCGGCGGCGACCTGGGCCAGGCGATATCACTTTGGTTTTCGGACGAGGACCTCCAGCGGGCTCTCGTGGCGCCGCCGGTTCCCGAGACCGGCCCTGTAGCCACGGCTGCGGGCCCATCACACCCCCCGCCCGCCGCCGCAGCCGCCCGCCCCGCGAGGACGCCCAGGGCGTCATCCACATAAATTCGGATGACGACGGCGACGATGCCCTCATGACCGACAACGACTCGCTGGACGCCTACGAGTCGGACGGCACCGCAGGTGCCGCCAACATTGCCCGCACCGCACAAGAGGAGGAGGACGCTGCTATGGCCAAGCGCCTGCAAGAGGAGCTCTACTCGGGCGGAGCCGGCGGAGCCGCCGCCGCCGACGACGGCGTGCGTGCCCCCATGGCCCGCATCACCGAGACATTGATCGACGCTGGTGCCTCGTATGTCGTCGACGACGACGACGACGATCACATGCACGATGCCCTTCTTGAGCAGATGCGGAGAAGACGTCGGGAGCAAGGTAAGTCTCGCCGGCCTAGTCCTGGTCCTGTTTTTTTTTACTTTGCTAGGTTAGAGAACCGCTACGAGAGATGAGTGCTAACGAGTTGCCCTAGCTGCTCGACCCAACCCCTTTGCGCAGTCGATGTGGGAGAACGGGTCCTCGGCCAGCTCTGCCTCGCCCGCCATCGGTTCGGGAAACAGCCGCGCGACCCGCCTGGCGGAGCTGTTCCGCCCTCCTTACGATTTAATATCCCACATGGGCTGGGACGAGGCCCGCGACAAGGGGAAGGACGAGAAGAAGTGGATTCTAGTCAACCTCCAGGACATGGCCGACTTCAACTGCCAGGCCTTGAACCGCGATATCTGGAAGGACGAGACGGTAAGGTCTCTTGTTACCGAAAACTTCATCTTCTTGCAGTACGAAACGAACGACCCGATTGCGGGCCAGTACATCTCGTTCTACTTCCCTAACCAGTCACACGAAAACCCGAACAACTACCCGCATGTGTCCATCATCGATCCCCGCACCGGCGAGCAGGTCAAGGTCTGGAGCGGCATCCCGTTTCCCAACCCGGCCGACTTCCAGTCTCAGCTCATGGAGTTTCTGGAACGGTACAGCCTTGCTGCGAACAGCAAGAACCCGGTTTCAAAGGCGAAGCGCCCCGAGCGTGTGGTTGACGTGGACCGCATGACAGAGGAGGAGATGCTCGAGCTGGCCATGCAGAACAGTCTCGCTAACGGCGGGCCTAGCGTGCCTGACGTTATCGACCCTGACGAGCTGACCAAGTCGGGCCGCGACGCGTCTTCGGACAAGGGAAAGGAGCGAGCCGGCTCGGAGTCGCTCTCGGCTACCCCCGAGCCACAGCAGTCGGCGTTTGCCAGGATCCCATCCGGCCGCCCACACGTCGAGCCACAGGCCGATCCCAAGACGACGACGCGCATCCAAGTCCGCAACCCGCCTCAGCGCATTATCCGCCGATTCCGTCTAGACGAGCCCGTCTCTCGCATCTACGAGTGGCTCAAGGCAGAGCCGCTGGAGGGCAAGGAGGGAGTGGAGTTTGAGCTCAAGTCGATGCCTCAGGGCGCGGACCTGATAGAGCAGCTCGACAAGACGATCCAGGAGGCCGGCCTAGCTAACGCCACCGTCATGATCGAGTTTATCACGGAGTGAAGGGCATCATCTTATGGCTGCCTTATGGCTGCCCTTTGGCTGCCTTTTGGGGATCTTTACACCTCCTGTAATACGACCGTCATGATCTCTCGCTACTCGTGGTTTTTCCAGTTCGGCGCGCAACTCTACCCAGCTATATCCAGTTCACTGCGCAACTCTACCCAGCTATTTTGATGGCACGGCATAGCGGAACACGACACCCTACAACACAAGCCACACAACACATGTTCACAGAGCACTACATACAACACCACACTAGCTTTGCCTCGACGAATCTCCCAGGTACATATCACCTCATTATCGGACGGATGCACGGACGGACAGGCGGACGGACTAGGTTGGGCCGTTTAGAATGGCGTTACGGGAATATGAGACTCGCACTCTGGTTCTTTTTACTGGGGGGCTCTTTTCTGCTTTTTATTCATCGTGTTTTGCTTTCTTTCGGAGCGGATCCTGCCTGCCCCCGTTTTCCTTTTTTCCCTCTCCCACTCGGAAGCCATCACGACAAGGGAGATAATGTGTAGTAGCACACACGAGCGGGATAGTTCGGTTCGACGGAGGGTTTGTTCGGGTTCGAGCATGTATGGTACGATCGACCAAACGAGGCAATACAGCTCAGGAACGGGCATCGACCTGCCTGCGTACCTTAGATAGAGGATTGGAAGAGGCAGCAGACGAGCAGGCAATGCAATGCAATGCAAGCCTAGATGAAAAACAAAAACACTAGCGGAGAGAGGCATTTTTCCTTCTTTATTTCGGTTCGACTGGCTGTCATGTTCATGTTGTGTATGTTGTGCTCGGATGCAAAGGAAAGATGAGCTCTCGTTGCTTTTCTTTCTGGCCTATTTATAGGCGGTCGTCGTTCCGCGTTTCTCTATCTCTTTCCGTCCCGTTCTGGACGAATCTCCCCGTTCCGGGCGAATCTCCCCTTTCTGGGCGAATCTCCCCTTTCTGGGCGAATCTCCCATTTCTGGGCTTCGCATGGGATTTCACATTGGAGGGAGTTTGATTTGCTTGCTTTGTTGCGCAGTTTGCAGAGTAGAGCATTAGACGAGCTGGACTGAACTGAACTAAGCCAAGACGTTGCTTTTTTTTACTCTGTTCTCTCTTTTCTTCCTCGTGCCCGTCTTGGCTTTGGCCTTGTCTCTTCGCTTGGTCTTATCCCACTGCGCAGATGCCCGGGGTCGATATCCTGGGAGTTACTCGCTGGCATCGAGAACTGTAAAGGGGGCAGCGGACGCGGCCTTGGTGGGTTGTGCAGCAAGTGGGTGAATATACATGTTGGTGCCTCAGGCCGCAACCAAGTCGTCTACCCAAGTGGGAGAATACTATAGAGCGCTACACGGCAAACTCATGTTCGGATGAAATGTCGCATACTCCTTCAGAGTATACGTTTCGTTGACCTGGACTTGTTGGACTGTAAGGTCCACGCCGTCCAACGAACCCGCCCGCCGTCCAACGAGCCCGCCCGCCGAACGAACCCGCCCGCCGCCCACACACCACTCCTCTGATCCCAATCCCAAGAATCGTATTACCGGCTTCTCATTCGCCAAAAGCGGCATCGACAGGGTGCCCGCGTGGCGTCTCGACGACCCTAGACCAGCTGGCTCGAGGAATGCCCCTCCCCCCTCCCCCCTCTGGCTGCTGGCAGCAGCCCAGGCCGGCGCGGGATGATCTGGCCTGCGGCGGTGAGGCTAGTGACGCGATTTATACATTACCCAGCCAGGCCAGGCCAGGCCCTGGGGTCTGCTGGGGAGAGAGGGTCAGGGTTTTGATTTGCTTGCCTGTCGACGGATGCTGCCCACGACTGAGGGTTTCTTGACATCTTGGGAGGTGCTGTACCCAATCAATCAGGTCCTTGGCCCTAGCTCGCGCAGTGTAGTTAATTAGGTACTCGGCATCTCCGTCCCTACCTAGTCTGTTGGTGTCCCCTACCCCGAGTTGCAAGCACCAGGGCGGCTTGCTATTGGCTGCTCCCACCGCGGAGGCCGAGATTGGTTGGCTCTCGATGCTGCCGTCCGCCCGCCGGGAAAGGAAGGGCACTCGAGGAACTGGAGGAGAGCGAGAGAAAGAAATGGGCAAAGTACCCGGGCCAGACAGACCCCGTGCACGCCTCGCCATGCGCGCAATACCTAGGCTGTGTGCTCTTGATCCCTTTCCCAGCGCTGCTGGGCTGCTGCTTGGTGGGGAGATTGCCAGGGTTTCCGCTGTTTTACTGCTGGGTTGCCGCTGGCGAATCGTTGACCCTGACCGGTGTGGCGGAGATATCGGAGTTGCATCTGACTGCCAAGTTTTTGCTCAGGGCCGCTGCCGAAGGCTGCTGTACAGCTGTCAGGAACAGTGAAGAAGAAGCGGATGGCCGTGGCAACATTAGGAGATGGATCGATAGGCTCTGAGTGGTTTCCCCTTGGCGATAAAAATCAAGTAAAAATACAGCCGCGTCAGGTCCAATGCCTAGACTCAGTAACTCGGGGGCCCAAAAGGGAAAAAAACATGCGTGCCTGGAGATTCCCGTCCCACGGTGACAACGGCGTACCCCGCTCACTCGCAATCCAGCCTTGAGGCCCGGCCAGGGGTAAGCTGGCCGGCAGGGACAGCAAAGCAGGGGCAAGGCTGGGCGGGGTGGTGGTGGGGTGGGGCTTGCCGGTAAGGAGCCAAGGTAAAGCAGCGGAAGTTTAGCGCATTGTAAACAAAAATTGCCCACCCTGGCACCCCCAGGCCGTCTGGCGTCCGTGTTGTAGGTTTCTGCTGAATCCGACCCCACCACTGGCAGTGTCCGCACTGATACCTCCACTGTATCTACCTCCACTGTATCTACCTCCGCTGCATCTACCTCCACTGTATCTACCTCCGCTGCATCTACCTCCGCTGTATCTACCTCCGCTGTACCTACCTCCGCTGTATCTGGGTAGGAGGGAACGACAGGAACATACGAAACAGACGTCTCGCTCGGAAAGACGCATCGCGCCTAGCTGCACCGCGGCAGTGCACTGAACCTCAAAGCCAGCATCTTGAATTCTCTATTCTCCCCTAGCGTCTCTAGGCTCCGTTCCAGGTCCCCGTCTCTAGGTTCCGTTCCAGGTCCCCGTCGGTTCCAGTCCAAGTGGCCGTAAGCAGCAGCCCACCCCGCGGCAGCCAGCGCAGTCCTCGGTACCGGCACACGACACGGTGCACGCACAGCACAGCAAGGTAAGAGGAACGGGCAGGACTCGACAACATCAACAGCTAGTCCCACCCTGCCCACTCTCCCTCTGCCTCTGCCTACTCTCCCTCTGCATACTCTCCCTCTGCATACTCTCCCTCTGCATACTCTCCCTCTGCATACTCTCCCTCTGCCTCTGCCTACTCTCCTCTGCCTCTGCCTCTGCCTCTGCCTCTGCCTCTGCCTCTGCCTCTGCCTCTGCCTACTCTCCTCTGCCTCTGCCTCTCTTCTCGCTGGCCCATTCGTTCTTTATTTCGTCCCTTCTTCCTCTCGCACCCCGCACTTTGTCGTTAGGTAGGTTACGTTACTAACGGGCGTTATACTATATACCCCTAGGGACACTACTCCGTGCCTTGGACTTCGCTCCCTCCCTGGTCTCGTCTCAGCTGGCACATCCCTTGCCTCGCTGCCTCCTTCCTTCGATCGCGCCGAGCTGCGGAAGACGATCCCGAGCCCCGAATTTTGCAACACAACTACATCCGGAGAGCGGCAGACGGCTCCTTTTTTGCATTGGCACCCCCAGTTCGCTCCGACCGAGCACTCAGTGGCCCGTGGTTGCAACTTGCAATCCTCTTCCCTTGGCTTCCGCCGCGCTTGGCGAGAAGTGTCGCCGTTCCTGCCGTCTGACTTCTCGCCTCGACCCGACTCTTGGCCGAACCCGAACCTCGCCCTTTTGCTCTTTCGTCGCCCGACAGACAGACAGGCACGCACGCACGCACGCACGCGGGGTGCTAGGCTAGGCCTCCCTTGAACCCAGTAAACCGATCCGAGAGAGGTGCAAGGGCCAGAACATGGCGGACCGTAACCGCGAGCCGCGAGACTACGAGGATGCCGAGGCATCGCTCGACCCGGAGCTGCTATACACCAAGGAATACTGCATTGGTACGTCGTCTCCCTGTCTGGCCGGCCGGGGCCGCATGCCGTGTCCTGTAGGAGCGGGTCTTGCTGACTATAGGGAACAGGTGGAGGCAGCTTTGGCAAGGTCTACAAAGGGTAAATACAATCCGTGATCCGTACATGTCCATGCCCGTCCCAGGCGGGCAGCCACCGCTCGTCCCCTGTTTGCTAACATCTGACAACACAAACAGCGTCGACAAACGGACTGGCCAGGCAGTGGCAATCAAAATCATCGACATAGAAAGCGCTGAGGATGAGGTCGAAGACATCATCCAAGAGATCGCCATCCTGTCCGAGCTGCAGTCCCCCTACGTCACAAAGTACTATGGGTCTTATGCCAAGGGCGCCGAGCTCTGGATAGTCATGGAGTTCTGCTCGGGTGGCAGCTGTGCCGACCTCATGAAGCCCGGCCTTATCGGAGAGGACTACATCGCCATCATCGTGCGCGAGCTGCTCATGGGGCTCGACTATCTGCACTCCGACAAGAAGCTGCATCGCGACGTTAAAGGTAAGCCACGCCCTCCCCGCACCGACAGAGACGAGACGAACCGGCTAGCTAACCAACGGGCCTGTAGCTGCCAACGTTCTGCTCTCGTCTAACGGACAGGTCAAGCTGGCAGACTTTGGCGTCTCCGGCCAGCTCTCGGCCACCATGACCAAGAAGAACACGTTCGTCGGCACCCCCTTCTGGATGGCCCCTGAAGTGATCAAGCAAAGTGGCTATGATCACAAGGCCGACATCTGGTCCCTGGGCATCACGGCCCTGGAGCTGGCAAACGGCGAGCCCCCCTACGCCGATATTCACCCCATGAAGGTGCTGTTTTTGATCCCCAAGAACCCGCCCCCGCGCCTCGAGGGAAACTTCACCAAGGCCTTCAAGGAGTTCATCGAGCTGTGCCTGCAGCGAGACCCTAAGGAGCGTCCGCCAGCAAAGGAGCTGCTCAGGCACCCGTTCATCAGGCGAGCTAAAAAGACGAGCTACCTGACGGAGCTGATCGAGCGCTACAACCGCTGGTGTGTCACGCACAAGCAGGACGACGAGGAGAGCCTCAGCGGCGACGAGGCCAACTACGTCGAGAGCCGAAACCCCGTCGACGAGGACATGTGGGACTTTGGCACGGTGCGCTTGGTCGGCGGCGCCGGCGGCGTCGTCCACAGAGCTGGCATGCTGAACGCCATGGACGAGTCGGCAACCAACGCGAGATCCACCCGGACGAGCGAGAGCTCAGACGACTACGGCGAGAGACGACGGGAGCAGAGCCCTGCGAAATTTGCTGCGGATGCCAAGGACACGCTCAAGCCGTCAGTGGGCATGGCCGGGACGACGGGCACATCAAGACAAGTATCGCCGCAGCGGAAGCCCGTGCCGTCATCTTCTGCGCTGCCGCCGTCACCGGGCAAGGCCCCGCTCCCACGAGAGCCCGAGAATCCTCGCCCTAATCTACTCCAGAAACCAATGCCATCCGTCGCGGTGGGCAACTCGCCCGACTACGACCGTTTCTTGCAAGAGCAACTCCGGCGGGACGTGGGACAGATGAATCTGGGCCCGGCCGTACAGAGCAGTGCGGAGGCTGGACTAAGAGCCCTGCAGCAAACCCCCTCGCTGCAGTCCAGATCGTCGACATCGTCCCGAATCGCGCCCATGAAGCTGCCCGAGATTCCGCCCTTCAGGGGCCAGCAGCAGCAGCAGCAGCAGCAGCCACCCCTGCAGAGAGTCACAAACCAACAGCAACCACTGCAGAGCAAAATGCTGCCCAAGCAGCCGCTCTATAGCCAAGGCGCACAGGCACAGCTCTCGTCGCAGCAGCCGTTCCCGCAGCCACCTCAGATCCCTTTGCATAAACTTGGCTACGGCAACCAGAACATACCCCCTCTGGTGTCCAAAGAGCTTCCTCGAAACCCGTCCTCGTCAACCCCCGAACCGGGCGGAACGCCCCTCTCCTTCCCATCGCCCGCTCCGGCGAACCCGAACGGCGACCTCGACGCGCTCAACGATGTGATATTCCCTGCGCTCGAGGAAGCCCTCAAGCGGCGGCAAGTCCGGCTGCAGCAGCTCTACCGGCCCGAGCCTGGCGGCCCCGTGCCTCCCGTAACCCCCAAGCAGCAGCGGTCCGAGGCGGCGCATGACAGGATACGCAAGCTCGTCTACAAGCTAGCCCACGTCTGCAAGGAGATCGACCACTATGACAAGGCCGAGCCAGTTGGCATGGGCAAAGACGTCGGCACCTTTTTGGAGGGGCTGCTCGAGGAGATCTTGGTGCGCGTCGAGCCGCTGGACGAGGAGGAGGCTACTATTTGAGGCTGCTATTTGAGGCCGCTTCTCGCTCTGTGGCCGAGGCTGTCACGTTGAGCGGGACCTGGCCGCAATATTCTTGCTTCTGCCGAACGGCGGCGGCAGACGAGCTGATGCGCGCGATATATGTCGACTATATCGCGCGCGCGCCTGCAGCTCACGCTTATTGCGAGTCTTGTTTGTATGTTTCTGTCTGTGCTCTTGTGAGGCACAGCAGGCAGATATGACGGATTAAGATGTCGGATTATGGAGAGAGAATTATATCCCACCCACCACTGCACAGAGCTGCGGAGTGTGCCGTTGGCCACCTCTGCCCTTGCCTGTGGTACTGCTGCGGCCCGCCGGCAGTGTCGCCACTGGCGGTTGTCTAGCGGAGCGGCGCTTGACTGCCTAGATCCCTAGGCAGGTAGCTAGACACGCTCGGGTTTAGCTACGAGGAGGCACCTACCCATCCGGGTTACTTATAGTCTAGGGATCTTGCCTGCCAGATAAGGCGCCTCACATAGCTGGTTGCTAGGTAGCTAGGTAGCTGAACGACGCTCGTTCTCGGGTGTCGACGTAGCTTAGCTTGGGCAGGCAGGCAGGCAACTCGAGAAGAGAAATCATAACACGTAAAACTTGGCAAATTAGGGCGAGAACAGTGAGATATTGGTAAGGGAGTTGATGCGGGGATGTGTGTGTGTGTGTGTGTGTGTGTGTGTGTGTGTGTGTGTGTCTGCGTGTCTGAGTGTGTGCATGTTCCTTTCTCCTTTCGGTTTGCTGCGTAGGTAGTCATTTTGGCAAGATAAAATAAGGTAAGAGAAACGGCGATGTAAAGTCTTTTTCTTTTGTTGTTCTGTGCTTTCTATCACGCGCATTCACAGGGCAACGGAAATGGAGCATTTGATGCAGGGAGGTAAAGCTTGAATTGTCTGAAAAGGTCTGTCTTTTTGTTTCCTTTAGGAGGGCCAAAAGTCTCTCTTTTATAGTTATGAATAGTGGCAAAATCTAGTGGCGAAGAATCAAGTGGCAGCTTCTAGGTCCTTTTGCCCACTAATCCTTATTGGCCCACTAATTCTTATTGTCGTGACACTTTCCTAGGACAAGCACCGAAACCATGTCTCTGCTATAGGCGAGCGTTATTGATTTAGATAGTCTGTCGGTTATTGACTTCTTTGTTTCTTTCAGCCCCTTTCTTTGTTGTTGGCGTTGTTGATGTTGTCGTTGTTGATCTTTGGCCTCTTCATATACTATTGCTATTCTCTCGCGGTTATATAACTGTCTTGCCTTGCCGCCTTCCTGTCGTCTTGTTAGCTGGTAGCTATATACCTTGTCTAGCTAGCTACCTAGTTAAATAAGTTGGGAGTCTAGGCAGCGTGTCTAGTGTGATATACCTTGTGATATACCTTCTTGTGATATACCTTCTTGCTAGATAAAACAAGGGCTTGGTTGGGTTGGCGGCCGTATGCGGTATAGACTCGGACATATATTTAGCTGTGGAAGTAAGGTTGGGGCGGTGTCCATGTTGTTGCCTCGGTGTCTTTCCGTGCCTCTCTCTATCATCTTACACGGTAGTTTACGGCTGGCAAAGAACTGGGAAACATGATGACAATGTGACAGCAAGCACCCATGTTATGTAAGTAGGTACTCATGCTTGGTATTTGTATTCCCGTTCCCTTTCGCCACGTCTCTTCTTTTCTCTAGAACAAGGCTCAAGGTAAGTCGAAGAGTTATCCCGTCTTCTTCTTCCAGCTCGCACCTAGAAGAACACGATACACCGATGCACCCTTGCCTTACTCTTGCCTACCTCTCTAGAGTGCTGATGTGTCGGCAGGTGCCGTCCGATAGAGTTGGGAAGGCACCACCTAAAATGGAAACTGTAATTCACGTTCCTTCATTCTTCACCAAGTACGTGGACAAAAGGAACAAAAAAGCTTCAAAAAAGCTGCCCGAGCCCCACCCCACAAAAAATTCATACAAGTAAGCAGTGATTCTTCAGCTTTTGTCTCACCATTTTTTCGCCACAAAACCCAACAGCAGACGTCCCTCTGCCGTATGCGACCATGCTGAGTGTTGCAGCAAGCGCGGCCGCGGGCCCGTCCTGTATCCCGCCTGTCAAAAGGCGCGGCATGACGGAGACAACGGCTTCACCCATATATGGCCCACTAGCGGACGACCGACCACGACGCAACTTGGCACAAGTGCTCCTCACCGAACAGAACTGTGGTAAGTTTTCCCCACCGAACAGAGCTGTGGTGAGTTTTCCCCACGAATCAATGCATGGCATCACTACCTAGTGTTCTGGGGCCATTGGGGCTAACACAGCCCAGAGTTTCGTCAGAAGTGGAAGACAATGTTTGAGATTGCAACCACCAAGAAGTCGAGCATGCCGATCCATTAGGCTAGGTATTTGGCCGAGCATGAAGATGTCAGCGGCCAGGGCCAGACCATCGCGCGGATGAAGAAGATCACACACCTACGAAACACAGTCCCGGAGTTCGTCGCCTACGACCAAATGTACTTTGATTACACGAGGAGCTACTGGCTGGTCGAGATGTCCTCTTTGCGATCCAAACTCGGCCGCCCGGTCGACATCCCTCTCTTCGTTGGCCAGTGTCCAGTCCACGTCAGGGAGGCACCAGGAATCCTTCCCCTTTCCAACCCCTACATATACGTCTACGACCTCGACGTTCACCTCGACAGCCGAGCCGTTGCAAGCGATCTGGCATGTCAGACCATTGCACAGGCGTTCCCTCGTTCGATTTGAATGCGAGTCCTTGTCTATGGCGCCGTCGAAATCCTGTACCGAGACGACAAGGCAAGGCGCAAGGATGTGCGCAACATCAAGTCGTGGCCCCGCGACATTGGGATCGACCACGCCTACACCCTCAAGGTCGTTGAGGTCGAGTTGACGGCATCCCGGACGGCCTTCCCCTTCTCACATGCCGGCTTTGACCACCTCCCAGGACTCTGAGGCGCAGTCCAGCCCAGCGTGCCTGTCGCTTCGGAAATGTCGAGTATGAATCCGAAGGGCTGCTGCGCCGGGCTCCGCATCCGTCGCGAGGGCGGCACGCATGACAGCTGGACCACAGTCACGCACCCGTGGCTACAAGGGGGGGCGCCACCAATCAGCATGGCCAGGCTGGAACGCGGCGTCCGCATGTTTGGCGCCAACATGGCCACGGCGGCGAAACGGACCAATGGCTGGCTCAACAAGGACACAGAAAGATGGGCGCCGGCCGAGAGTCGCGACCAGCAGCGGCAGCGGCAGCGGCAGCAGCAGCAAGGTGTGCTAGGGACCAACATATACGTCGCGGGTGAGAAAACGAAGGTTCGTGACGGCTACTTTCATCGTCAGCCCTGGTACTAACAGCGAGCAACTAGGTCGGCACCATTAGCGCATGTTATGACAATCCCCTCAGCTTGGAGGTCAAGGAGCTTCTCTTTCCCCTCGGCATCGATCACGACCTCAGCCTCATCACGGCGTCCGAGGGCGCGCTGCTGCCCCCATGACGCAGATCCCCAACCACGCCCGCATCGCCAAGACGTTCATAACGCCGAATGAGATTTTGAACGCAGAGTCGCTACAAGCGCGATCGGCGAGGAGGCCATTTCGTGATAGGCGCCGCCCGCAACGCCGTGGTGGCCGGGACGGAGTACTGGTGAGAGCAGCGCCACCTAAAGATCAAGCGCGCCATCATTTAGCGGACCTTGATCGACGACTGGCCCCTGCGAGGCGGCTCTGGCGGCGTCGTGTGTCTAGGAAATCCGGCTGCAGAAACCTGCCGAGCGGCTGTGTTTCAGAATTACGAGAGCGCATCGATGTTAACCAATACGTTTTGGAAACAAGACGTCCGTCGGAAGCTGACGGGACGTAGTGCCGCAGGAGCGGCGTTCGGTGTCGGGCCCGAGTGGTCCCGTTCATCCTGACGGGCGAGTGAAGCCAGTGGTGGCTCGGAAGAAAAGAGTGTACGGTTGATACCTTGGTATGCTTGGAGAGGAGGTTCTGGCCTGGCAGTGACTCCCCGCCATGTGGCATTCCATCAGAGTCAGAATAAGGTCCGGGCTCGCCCAGTCCCTGGTTACCCATGATACCTCTTCTCAGCTAACACCAAAAAGACCGTATGCTCCCTAGCCCTGTAATAGCATATAAAATAAATAATGCCGTGGCGAGGAAAGCACGTTCCCGGCGCCCCCGGGGGTGCCATCCAGCAAGACGAGAAAGCAAGCAAGTAACTGTGAATATTCCAAATCACCACCGCTAACGCGTCCTTCCCCTGTGTGTGTGACGCCGCGGCGTGGAGTGGAGCGGTCGATCGGCACCCCCCGTATCTGTAGGGAAGGCGAGTGATACAACACAATACAACACAGCAACTAGGTAGGTTGCTCTCGGGCCCTGGCAGCGAGGAGGTACGGCACGTACGTCGTCACGCGTTGTGCGCTGCTTGCTCTTTCTTATTTCGCACCAAGGAATATGTGGCATTCGCCGTGAACACGAACTTCGGGAGCAGGTAGCTGGGTACCTGGTCAGTGCCGCTCCTAGAGACATGTGATAGAATGCCCGATTTGTGTCGAGACCAGCTGAAAGGGGTAGCAATGCCGCTAGGCGGTGTGTCGTGCGTCCAAGGGCCAGTCAAGCTTTAGCCCCCTGCATAACCACAAACAATTTCGAAAGAGCACAGTGAGCACAGTGAGCACAGTGAAGCTTCCTGTGGGTAGAAATGGTTGCATTAAAGAGTCCTGTGCATGCTGAGAACACATCTCGACTCTGGTCTATCTCTATGGCAACTGAAAGAGCAAGCAACAAAGAGCAAGCAAGATTATGCCCAGCATCTCCCTCACAAGGCCTAAGAACGTTCGCTCCCGAAGCCTTGGAAACAAAGAGGAACGCCAATTCGTAGCCACATCACCTCATTACACCCTCGCAACAACCTCGGCATATACCGCGGACTATGGTACAAGCCTAAGCTTAAGACCAAGCCGAAGCGTAAGACCAAGCCTCAGCTCAAGACCAAGCCTCCAAGTCGTTAGGCACAATGGTGACGTTCAGCAGCCCACACTCGACCGATTCGGTCGAGTAGACATGGCCCGTGGACCAGTTCCCATTCTGCCAGCGGCTTGTAGCGCAGTCGAGGGGCACTGTCGTGGTTCCAGACGCATTGAAGGTTATTCTGCCGCAATGTCAGCATTCGTGTAAGGGGGCGGCTAACCGTGTGGCCAAGACTCTCGCCGCCGGTCGCTTGTAGGGTATCGATGCTTGTAGGGTATCGATGCTTGTAGGGTATCGATGCATGTAGGGTATCGATGCTTGTAGGGTATCGATGCTTGTGGGGCTATCGATGCTTGGGAGGGTCACTCAGGTCCGGGTAGGGTGTTTGGAGGAAGGGCCGGGGGATGGCAATACCGTGACTGGGGGTCAGCGTCTGGACAGACCCAATTCTGCGAAATGTCGAAACGGCCCGTCGCCCGGTCGAAGCGGAACTCGGCCTCGCTCACCGTGGCGGCGTCTGGTGGTGCCGAGCACGAGAACCACTGGTCGCCGTAGAAGAACTCCTGTAGCTGGGAGCTGCTGGCGAAGCATGACATGGCGAATGGCAGGGCCGGGTTCCTCAGGCTGAACGACACCCAGCCGCCGACGATCTGGTGGGCCGGCGTGCTGAAGGTGACAGACGAGTGGAAGTCGAAGTCCTGGGCCGTCCACGGGAGAGCGTTCATCGACGCGTCCGAGCACGACTGCCCGGCATCTCGGCGTCGCAAACGGCTCTCGCCGAGCACGAGAGGAGCCGACGCGGTCAGGCTGGCGAGCAAGAGGCCTAGGACTAGGTTCAGGGGCAGAAAACGGCCAGCCATTGGGGGCAAGGCTGTGGAGGTCGGCAGCAGTATTCGAGGTGGACTGACGTATGTCTTGTTGGGCACTTTGCGCGAAAGCATAGACTGTTACGGACTGGCGAGAGTGGTGATTGGACTCTGCATTCTTTTCTCCGGGCTCGACAGTCTGTCAGTGATTCAGTCAGTCGGCCAGCCGGCCAGGCGGGTTATATGCTCCTCGCGTCGATGTCGGAGCGGTCCCCATGCTGGTGAGACGCCTATGGGGGGGCTGCGCCGCACAGAATAGCAATCGTCAATATTGTAGCTGTTCGTATGTTCTCTCGAGAGCAGGCACGAGACGTGAAGGAGATCGTGTGCCTCGGGCGGTTCCCGAGTGGCCCTCGCAAATTTGGCCATTCGGATCTGTGCTCGCACTCTCGAGGCTGCCTTGTGTTCAGAGGTCCAGCAGATGATGCCGTACCCAACCGTGGCCGCCCTCCTTCGTATTCTAGGGAGCCCTCGAGGTAACATCGAGTTTCCACAGGCTGAAGTTGGCGTTGCACCGTGGGAAAGACTCGCGACAAGCTCGAGGAGTAGGTATTTTGCGCCAAGTCAGTTGGCTCCGCCGTGTCCAGGCCACATCGATTGGGCCATACCCTCAGGCCCTTATCGGCTGTTGTCCGTTGGCCGTGACCAATTCGTGTCTCAGCCGCCGCCTGCCACCGCATGGTAGCATAGTGCCGTCTGTCACGAGGAGAGGGAAAGCTGTGGATGGCATCGCACCGTATGGTCGAGTCGTTTCTGCCGAAGCGGTAGTACCGAGTTGGATTTGGTCGGCAGGCGGAAGCGGTGAAAGTCGAGAGTAGGGGGGACGGGACACGGGCAAAGAAACCCTAAAATTACAGGTCAAATTTGGCCCAAACAGAGCCAAGCGGGAGTGGTACCTTGGGCAGGTACAGCACCTTGGGCAGGTCAGCACCTTAGGCAGGTCAGCACCTTGCCTTCAGATGGTGAGACCTGTATTGTGGGTTCTGGGTGCTCCGTACTCCCCCGGCAGCATGTCCACGCCCTCGGTGCCGAGAGGGACCTGCCGTGAAGGAAAGGGAAGGGGACGGGGGGATGCAAGTGATGTCATTGGTGTTCCCCACTTGAAGTAACCTGGGGTGACACTTTGCAGGGAGGGCAGTTCCGGGCAGGCACGTGAAAGAGACGCCAACGACATGGACGAAGGGAAACTGCACTCTGGAGAGGAAACCTCACCTCCACTGCCTGGCAAAGCGGCAGTTTAAGCTCAAGCCACGCCACCGTTTTGACTACCAAACACCGCCGAGCAGCATTATTAACCCGGGTCAACCAGCTTAGCTCGATAAGGTCAAGGAGGTAGGCAACTGCTAGGGTATTTATTAGTACCTTGGGGGTGGCTGCCTGAGTGATGGATCTAACGGCTTTCCCTCACCTTGCCCCTGTTCCGAGAAGACGGGCAGACAGCCTGCGGTGCTATCGACATGGACAACGATACAAGTACTTGTGCAATGGCAGAGACAGTGGCAGACACATTGGCAGACACAGTGGCAGACACATTGGCAGAGACAAAGACAGACAAGGACAGTGACAGGGGCAGAGAAAGAAGCGGTGGGGGTTGGCCAAGTCGCCCGTCAACACGTCTATCTTCTTGCTCAACGCCGCCACTGCGCCCAAGGTCATCCAGATGTTCGTCGACGCGGGCGCCGCTGTCGAACTCTTCCAGCCCAAGTTCGCCTTGGAAGGCGGAGTGGCTCCCAGCTTGTGCACCTGGTCCGGCACGCCGCGCATGCCGTCGCCATCGACACTCTCATCTTGACGGCCAAGACCCCCACGAGAACCAAAATCAAGAGGGGTGGCCTCACCGCCTACGACATCGTCGGTGTCTGGGGGGGACGAACTGTTGAAAGGATTTGCGTATTACTCGAGACTGTGTGGATACAGGTACTTTGACTTTTTTCTTACTTTCTTTTGTGTTTTTATTTGAATTTTGGTTCTATAATCTCCAATTTGCGTATTACTCGAGACTGTGGATACAGGTACTTTGACTTTTTTCTTACTTTCTTTTGTGTTTTTATTTGAATTTCGGTTCTATACTTTCCAATCGTCTCTTTACTAATGTTTTGTTTGTCCAGTGTCGCCTGGAATTGACCCACTTTTCAAGGACTTGAACCGCATTTCAGGCCCTGGTTAGCATGCAGTCTAGCTTTAATCAATCGTGCTAATCATGGTCTAGATTGCTGTTCCTCGTGCCTGTTGGTTATCATGATGATAAACTTGGGTGTGATGCCGTGTATCACATGCTTGATGTGATAGAGAATGTAGACAAGGTTCGTATTCAATGGAGCCAGTAATTGGGCCTAGTCTGACTAGGCACCTAATTAATTGACAATAACACGGCGCGAGAACCCCTAGCGAGTCTGTATCATGTCAAGAAATCAAGCAGTCCTCTCGTTTACGCTAATTGGGTTTTCTGTCTGCAGCTGACCTGCCCCTTTTACCTGGATGGAAATGCAAACAAAACAGTCAATCACAGCCGGTCCATCAGCTGCGACGCCACGTAGTCAATGTTTGACCCCCAGCGCTCGGCCGTCGTCTGCAGGTACAGCACCCCGTCTTCGATGTCGACCTCGCAGTACGAGTCGTACTTGAGCTTCTCGACAATGCGGAACGCCACCTCGTTGGTGCTGACCGCCTCGAGGAACCCCTCCTGCACCATCTCGTCCTCGCCCACCTTGAGGTACTTCATCTGGTACGCCAGCGCCGCGAAGTACTTGGCCGCGAACCCGCCCAGGTTCTGCTGCCAGTCGTCGCGCACGTCGCTGCCCTTCTTGGCGGCTGCCGCCTCGAGCGCCGCAAACGCGGCCTCGAACCCCGGCGTCAGCGTCACCGCGTCGGCCGTCTTGCCGAGCAGCTCGGCGATCTCGGCGCGCGTGGCGCCGATCTGCGCGTCGTATTCGTTGCGGATCCCGTTGCGCGCCACGAAGCTCAAGGGCTTCCCGGCCGCCGCGGCCGTGGGTGCCGTGTTGAGCGCTCTGAAAAGCGACTCCTCCTGGCAAGCGTAGTCGATGTTGGTCCCCAGGCTGCCGTCGACGAACAACACGCGCAGCTTGCCGTCGGCGGATACGTCGCACCCGCCGTACGAGAAGCGCGGCGGCGCGGCCTCTTCGAGCTCGAGCGTGAGAATGTGCGCCGGGCACAGGTCGTTGATCTCCGTCTTGAGCTCGTCGCCGTACCGCCCCGCCAGGTACTTGATCTGGTAGATGGCGCCTTCGACGTAGCTGTTTGAGGGTGGGTCAGAGGGGATGACTAGGGAGCGACGAGGGGGAATCGTGGGTTACCTCTTGATGCAGCTCCCGAGCGACTCCTTGGCGTATCCGTCGTTGTGGTACGGCCAGATGGCGTTCGGGTTCGCTTCGACCGTCCACGGCACGCCCAGCAGCTCTGACAGCTGGCCCTCGATGGACGCCTTGTTGCTGTCCCACTCGTCTCGGACTGGACGCTCGCGGCGTTAGTCATGTCATCTTGGGGGTGGGGCAAGGAGAGGGCCGTACCGTTCTTGCGGACGACAAGGGAGAGCTTCTCCGCAGGCGGCAGGCGACCCATGGCGGCGGTGGGCTGTCTGTAGGGGGGTGAGGGGTGGGGGATGTGGGTGCAATTAGATGAAGATGGGCTGCTCTTGTGAGTGGTGCTCGAGCTCTCGCTTCACCTCGGAAGCGGAAACCCTCTGCTCTTTATACCCATAATCATCCAAACCCATACCCGCCCCGAAGAGCACAGTCGTCAGAGCGCGTATAACTCCTCAAATGTCGTTAGTCCGAAAGAGGACCCCGGGGTGCGCTCGGCATCGAGGCGGACAGTGTCAAGATGCCGAGCGAGTCACACAGCAACACGTCTGCCTGGCCAGCGGCCTACCATGACCCTGTCTATCCGTCCCGTGTGTGAGGACAGGACAGGACGTGATGCAGATGCGGCCCTAACGAAGCTACCGCAACGAAAATGTGGAAATGAGATGGGTCCCGGCTGTCGTCGAGAAGCGGGGTTGAGAAACGAGTGCGAGCTAGTGTGCGGCTGAGGGCGGGAGGCAGGGGTGGTGAGGAGAAGCAAGCAGGGAAGACACCGACACGGGCTTGGCGAGGCAAGGCAGCACCCCCCTTTCTCCCTCAAGATGGTAGTAGTATGCAGCTGGCGCGGGGAGTGGGCAAACTTTGAATCAAGACGGGCACGGGAATTGGTCATGGACATCTGGCATCCCAGGACCCGGCGTTGCACCGAGGCCCGACTGGCTGCGATCCGCCGTCGAAGCGTGCATGTCGGGTCTGGTCGCTTACCAGGCTTGTGAACAAGCTCCAAAAGTCGGAGGAGAAACCACGAAAGAGCCACGGACTATACCCGTCACAATATGCCACGGGAAAAGAAAAGAAAAGAAAGCAAAAGAAAAGAAACAAAACAAAAGAAAACAAAAGAAAACAAAACAAAGCCACGCCATAGCCCTAGAGGCTGCATGCGTGTAATGAAGAAAAAAAAAAAAAAAACAAAACAAAACAAAACAAAAGAAAAGAAACGAAAAGAAAAGAAAACAAAAGAAAAGAAGAAAAGCTCCGTTTCAGATACACCGAGACACAATACAACGCACAGTCAAACAATTGAACACGACCATGCCGTGATTGTTTATGGCTCGCCAGCTGCGGACTCAGGGGGGCGGGGTGCAGACAATAGGAGCAATAGTTAGTTACCCTGGCGATTCCGCCTCGCAAGCTGCCCTGCCAAGCCTTGGCCATTCAGGGGCAGCCCCCACAATTAACCCTCCTATTGTGCAGGCTCCCTCCCTCACTCACTCACGCTCGCGTCTGAATTTCGACAGAAAACTAACACAGCTGGAAACTTCACAGCTAGAAACTTGAGAGAAAACAACCCGTCTAAACATAATCCGGCAAGAACGGGAACCGAGCATTCGTCCAAGATGCTGGCTATAGAAGATGACAAGAACTTGCAAGTCATGCTACCCACATTCCATCCCTCCCGAGCCATGCTAACCTTTGCGCATAAAACAGGCCGCTCAAGGTGCGGCTGGGGATCCGCGAGCTGTGGAACAAGCCCGACGGCGAGCTGCAACCAGCACTGCGAGCGCTCGAGAAAGCAGTCGGCGTGCGAGTGCGCCTCGACATGGACTGGGGCCTGCTTCTCAAGGAGCTGGGGCACCTGTACCCAGACAAGACGCACTTCGTGGGCGTCGTCGCCGGCTGCGTGGCCGCGTGGGCGCGCACCATGGCCGAGCTGGCCTCGGACGAGGAGAACACGGCGTGGGCCGACACGCTGGCCGACAAGGCCCAGGCCGCGCTGGGCATCGAGCTGTTCGTCGAAGCGGCCGGCGTTAGGCACGACGGCGTCGCGTGGTACGAGCTGCCGCAGCATTTCTCGCTGATCCTGCCGCGCAGCGAGCCGATCGCGCGCCCCGACGATCTTGTGGCGGGCTACCGCGCCGACATGCTGGCGTGCTTCGATAAGCCGAGCGCCGTCGTTGCCGCCGGCGACGACCGCGCCGACGAGGTCGGCAAGCTGACCGTCGACGCGGGCACCAGAAAGCCGTCTGCTGCTACTGGGCCGTCCCCGTTCCTGCCGTCCATGGCCTCGCTGCCGCGCCCCGACGAGCTGTTCCTGCGCCCGCCCTACCACCTCACCGTGTCCGGCGGCCCGCAGGAGATCCACATCGACGCCAGCCACAGCCCGTCGCTGCAGCTGCTGCACGACTACCTGGCGCACTGGTGCCGCGCCAACCAGAACGACACCACCCACGTATGTTCCCTTCTCCGTCAACTAGTCTCCTCCGTCAACTAGTCTCCTTCTCCGTCAACTAGTCCAAAAAACTAACATTTGCGCAGCCCCCGGCGATCCAGATCACACTGCAGCGGTCCGCGTTCGGCGCGGCCCTCACGTACGACCGCCTCGTGCTCAGCACAAAGGACACGCGCTACGCCAGCGACAGCTTCCACGTGTCGGTGCCGGCTGTGGCGGCCTTCGTCGAGGGCGTGCTGGGCTACGAGCGCGTTGCCGTGTCGGCGTCGGCTGCCTGGGTGTTTCGTCGCGACGCGGAGATCAAGCAGAAGACTGTGGCGCGTTGATTTCTTTTTTTTCTTTTTTTCTTCTTTTCTTCTTTTTAAATAGGTCCTTGACCCCCTTTTTCCTCTTCTTTATTTCTCGAGCCTCCACTTTCCTTCGTTTTTTTCACTCCATCATCCGGGGAGTGCGGCTAAACCGCCTTTCAGCTAAGCAAAGGTTGGCAGGACGAACTAAAAGCAAGGGATGGGAGGGTAGGCAAACTGGTCGGTAGGTAGGTAACCCTAGGTAGGTAACCCTAGGTAGGTAACCCTAGGTAGTAACCCTAGGTAGGTAATCCTATAGGTAACCCTACGTAGGTATTTAATTACCCCCTTCTCCTTCCGAATATGACCATGAAATTCCAAATCATAAACATGTCTTTATCTGCTTCTTCGAGATTCGGAGTGGCTTCTGGCCTCGATGACCCCTTTTCTCGCCTGCCATTTTGCGAGGTAACCCCCCCCCCCCATTCTCTGCCCCGCGCTCTGAATTTTCACAATCGAGCACCCCTCAGTTCGGCTGGGCAAGGAGGAGATCCCTACCGAGAAGCCAGGAAAGGAGAAAAGAGAGGAGGTAATCTTAGCTAGCTCACCGAGGGTTGGGGTTTTGGGGGCAGTCGGGGGTTGCCGACCCTTTAGTAGCATCAATCCCACTCGTCCCACTCGTCGCAGTCGACCTCTTGGGGGCCAGAGTTATTGAGCATCTCATTGTATATAATTATGTCCAACAGGCTGCTCGCTGCGTTCTCGGGAATCGACACCGAGAGTTGGCATTTCGTTCAAGCGTCGTCAGCTCTTGTGGGCAGCTATTAAGGGTCTCGATAGCCTTCAACTAATTTTTTTTGTCATTGGGAATATTTCAATAGCAGGAAGGAATGGTCATACAAAACCAAGATTGCGACCACGTCGCCGAAGGAAATCTCAATCGCCACCAACACTTCCTGCTCGGATAAGGGGCTCTTGATCTTCCCGCACACATTGCACATGTACGGATTCGTTATGTGTGCCTATACCTGGGGAGGGATGAATCAGCATATATAGGAAATTGCTCGGCTCTTCCGTGCCGTCAGGTACGTGAAATCATGGCACGCAGGGGCACCGTAGCCGCCGATTTCCATAAGGCTGTGGCGAGGCTCACACTCAACCTCGGCCACACCCACACACTCGGTGGTGCGCGATTAGGGAGCCAAGAGCAGAATATATGTAGTACCTGCCAATCCTGTAAGCCCATATCCTCCAGCCTCTCTCCTCCTGGGCCATATCCAATGTCATTTGATGACGGGGCGCGAATAATAGTACGAGTACGGCGTTCAATTTCGTTGTCAAGACGATCGGGTGCGGACGTAGTGGATGGATGAATACGCCACTAATAGTGTAGTGATCTAATTTATTTTGCTGTTGTAGATGGGACCAAAGGAGGTATTTGGGGGGAAAGTCTTGAGATGAAAGGAAAAGGGGCAGATCTTGCTTAACCCTAACCCTCGAGTTCCGCTCCGAGACATATTGGAGAAGAAAATAAAAAGACAAGATACCGTGGGAAGATCGAAGCCAGGGCCAATGGATAAAATTATAAATACCCTAGGGCAGTAATTCGTATTATCGACAGCAATGCGGGAGTGCAGCTCGACCCGAATGTGTCTTGTCGCTTGCGGTGCGTTGGAGACATGCGGTCTGATATCGTTGGCGCCTAGTTCAAGCCCAAGATGCACGTATACTTGTTGTTTTGATGCTCTCGAATCCGCAGATTTGCAAGCCAGCCAGCCAGCCAGCCATCATCACGCCCCAACCTCCCTCCAGCGTGTATATATCTTGGCCTCCCACGGCACCAGGGGCTCGCGGCCCACCCAGTCGGCCGGCACGTCTCTACGCTGCGACACCTCTCTCCAGCCGGGCAAGTCCCTTCCGGGCCAGTTCGGCACCACGTACTGCGAGCCGGGGGTCTGCTCGTCACTAAAGTTGGCCACCACCACGACGTGCGTGCTCGTGGTCCCCGATGCTTGACCCCGGCGCCACGCCATGATCTTGCCGCCGCGGCTGGCGTCGACGTGGAAGAAGTCGGTCTCGTTCTCGCCCAGCGCCGGGCACGCCGTGCGGAACCTGACCAGGTTCGCGACGTAGTCGAAGAGGGCCTGGCGCCAGCCGCCGTCGTTCTTGCGCGAGTAGTTGACCGGGTCCGTCTGCTTCTTAGTCATGTCGACGCTGCGGTCCATCTGGTCGGCGAACTCCTCGCCCGCGAAGATCATGGGGATGCCGACGCTGGTGAGCAGCAGCGCAAAGGCCAGCTTGGCGCGCCGCTCGACGTCCCAGACGCCGTTGCTCGACAGGAAGTTGTACAGGCGCTCCTTACGGAAGCCCTCAATATCGTGCGACGTGATGTAGTTGATGGCCTGGGCGCCGTCGGCGAAGCGGGTACCGCCGTCAAGCTCACCGTCGAGCCGGCAGTCGACGAGCTTCCGGACCGTCGACGTGAAGTCTACGTCGTTCGCCACCTCGCCCAACAGAGCCGCGCGCAGCCTGCCCTGCCACGGCTCGTTCCATAGCGCGTCGAGCACGCCCTGCTGCACCATCGAGATGGGCATCGACAGCTCCTCGCCGATGACGAGGAATTTGCTCGGGTCAGTGCCGGCGGGGCCCAGAGAACCGCCGTACCGCGCATTGTAGAGCTCCCAGGCGCGCTCCTTGTACGAGCGAACAAAATCCCAATTGCCAATGTTGTTGACGCTGTCGAGGCGTAGCCCGTCGACCCCAAAGTCGGCCATCCACCGGGCGAGGTGAGAGCGGTGAAAGGCCCAAGACGGGTGGACGCCAGCGGTGCCAGCGCCGGACTCGGGGTCGTAAGACTGCACGGTCCGGAGGTAGCGCCACGAGTCACCGCCATATCCGTCTCGCAAGACGCCGCTGGCATGCGACTGGTAGCTGTCCGGGTTGCTGGTCTCCAAGGTCGGGCGGATGTGGAAGTCGGGAAAGTCGATAGAGCCGTACGAGTCGTGGCCAAAGGCCATGACCACGTCGGTGAAGAAGCGCGTGTTCTGGCTGTGGACGGCATCGACGAGGCGGACTAGGTCTGAGGCGGTTCCCAGGTTGTAGTCTGGAGCAAAATAGTGTGCCGTGGCATAGCCCCATTCGTCTTGCGTCTTGGAGTCTGCGGCGGGAAGCAGCTCCAGGGCGTTTACGCCGAGGTTGGCAAGGATGGCTTCCTCATGAACGGCAGCTACGGCCGAAAAGTGGTCGCCTGGGGCGTCAGCTTTGAACAGGGCCAGGACGTCGGCAAAGGTCCCAACGTCTACATCGACGCCGCGATTGTCGTTGCCAATCTTGGCCCAGGAGGTTGGGAGTTCGTAGATGACCAGGTGGTTGTTGCTTGGAAGAGCGGCCAGGCTCGGAACGGCAGGGAGTGGAGGATCGGCGCCGTCGACGTCGCAGGGCCAGAGCTTGCCGTCGCGGAGCCTGACGACAGAGGCGGGTTGCGGCGGCACACTGGGCTCCGCGGTGTTGGCCACGCCGTAGTCGACGGCGAATGCGAAGGGATCAGAGACCAAAAGGGTGCCACGGCTCTCAGGGGAGGTGTCGTCGACTTCGAACCAGTAGTGGTAGACGCCGTCTGCTAGCGGGGGCGATACAGACTCGGGGCCGAGGAGCCAAAGGCCGCTCTTGTCGGGGGAGGGGACGAGAGGAAGTCGGGCGATCTGGGAAAAGGTCTTGGAGCCGCTACTCTCCATTACATTGCCAATGATGAGCTTGGGAGCGTTGGCCGCAGAGCTAGAGCCCGGCACCCAGAGAACAAAACTCTCATTGCGGCGGTTGAGGAGGTCGACGGGATACATTTGGGGTTGGACGATTGGTAGCCGGATGCCCACGCTCAATCCCTCGAGGCAGGTCAAGGCAGGTTGAGGCAGGTCGAGAGAAGACAACAATTCTGATGTTGATTCTGTAGAAGACGATGCCGAACCGAACAGACCTGGCGACTCTTGTTGTTCTTGTAGGAAATAATATACGTCGAGGAGTAGGATCTCAAAGGACGAGAGGGGGCACACAGCCTAGTCGTGGCTGGCTGAAAGCCATGAACGTTTTCGGCCGGCCCCCCAGTCTTAGCCTCATCTCACTGCTAGCCTATTGGTGGTTGTGATTGTGGTTGCGCGATGCACCTGCCATCCCAATGCACCGGGCCATGGCAGGGTATGCATGGCAGGGCAGTTGGCTACCAAAACAGACAAAGTCCGAAGGCGCGGAAGAGCGGCGGTACCTTGACGGTGCCCAAAACTCAATAATCGAGTGGCTTTGTCTGCTATGGACCTGCGCCGAGCTAATTGGCTTCTTGGGAACGTTCTGTTGCAAGTTCTGTTGCAAGTTCTAGTGCCGCATACAGAGTAATCGACATTAAAAGATACGATGGATGAGAGGAACTCAATTTCAGCGCTCGCTATCAGCCGCTGTCAACCGTCGCTCGCTGCAACCGTCGCTCGCTGCCAACCGTCGCTCGCTGCCAACCGTCGCTCGCTGCCAACCGTCGCTCGCTGCCAACCGTCGCTCGCTGCCAAGCCTCTGCGGGTACTTGCGCCAGGCCTACAGCGCGCTGCCAGACGTCACGGCGCTTGATCCGTGCGCGCTGCGCGCCTTTCCAGTTCTAGGCTAGCGCCTTGTCTCGCCTTCGCCCTTTGGCTTCGGCTTCGGCAAGGCGGAGACGACGAAAAGAGCTCCACCAACGCTCAGCATTTTGTTTGCGGGATTTGCTCTCCTGCTCGCTTCCCATCCAACTCTCGCCATCTCCCGCTCTCCCTCCACGCCCTCACCACACACCACCTCCGTTCTTGGTCGCTGGCGCTCAATTCCACAAGATGCTCTCAAGGAACTCCTCTCGCGCCGCCCAGGTACGTTTTCTGCCACCCTTTGGCGCGCAATTGCGCCTGCACGCCCAAGTCAAACTCCCCCGCCACAACCGCGACCGCCGTTGGCCTACCCATGAACATCCAACAGCTGCCGACAATCGCGCATCGACCCCGAACCCGCCGCCCGAAAACAAATCCCAGACCCGACAACTTCGGCTCTGGGCCCCTGCTGACTGCTTCTTCGTCCCCTCTAGCGCCTGCTGCGGACGGCGGCCCAGCCCTCGCAGCGCCTCAACTTCGCGCGCGGTTTCGCCAGCGTCCAAGACGAGGCGCCCATCCAGACCATCCAGTCAGATATCTTCAAGCCAACCAAGTACGGTGGCAAGTACACCGTCACCCTCATCCCCGGTGACGGCATCGGTGCCGAGGTCGCCGAGAGCGTCAAGACCATCTTCAAGGCCGACAACGTGCCCATCACCTGGGAGCAGATCGAGGTGTCGGGTCTCGACAATGCGACACCCACCACCCGCACCGAGGACACCTTCAAGGAGGCCGTCGCCTCGCTCCGGCGCAACAAGCTCGGCCTGAAGGGAATCCTGCACACGCCCATCAGCCGGTCCGGCCACGCCAGCTTCAACGTCGCCCTCCGCCAGGAGCTCGACATCTATGCCTCTATCTCCCTCTTCAAGAATATCCCGGGCCTGCAGACGCGCCACAACAACATCGATCTGTGCATCATCCGCGAGAACACCGAGGGCGAGTACAGCGGCCTCGAGCACCAGAGCGTGCCCGGCGTCGTCGAGTCGCTCAAGATCATCACGCGCGCGAAGTCGGAGCGCATCGCCAAGTTCGCCTTCAGCTTCGCCCTGGCCAACCACCGCAAGAAGGTGACGTGCATCCACAAGGCCAATATCATGAAGCTGGCCGACGGCCTGTTCCGCGGCACCTTCAACAGGCTCGCCCAGGACTTCCCCCAGCTCGAGTGCAACGACATGATCGTCGACAACGCCTCCATGCAGTGCGTCAGCAGGCCACAGCAGTTCGACGTCTTGGTCATGCCTAACCTATACGGCGGTATCCTGTCCAACATCGCCGCCGCCCTCGTCGGGGGCCCCGGTGTCGTCCCCGGCTGCAACATGGGCCGCGACGTTGCCGTCTTCGAGCCCGGCTGCAGACACGTGGGTCTTGACATCAAGGGCCAGGACCAGGCGAACCCGACTGCTCTCCTCCTCAGCGGAGCCATGCTTCTGCGCCACCTCGGCCTCGACGACCACGCGAACCGCATCTCCAACGCCGTCTATGACGTCATTGCCCAGGGGTATGTGGCAGTCCTCTCTGTAACCTGTTCCGTTCTAACTGAGTCTGTAGCGCTGTCCGGACCCCTGATATGGGCGGCTCCAATACCAACCACGAATTCACCCGCGCCATTCTCAACTCGATGGAGAAGGCGTTGTAAGATACCCATCTGCTTAGGGAACCGTGGCTCGCGCGCCCTGTAGATATTCCAACCGTCTGGCGCTCACCCGTCACTGCCCTTTCCCTAACCCTATAGAATGCCGGGGCTCCCGGTTGGTGGAGATACCACGACAGAGCGAGATCGAAGGACGGCTGAGGCGATAGAATGGACCACGAGGGACTGGCGACTTGGGACCTCTACCCTTGTACTGTATGTAGAGTTGGCTATGAGGGAATGCACGTTCCTTTCTTTTTTCGTACATCTTTTTCGTATATCTTTTTTCGTACATCTTTTTCGTATATCTTTTTTCGTATAGCGCTTTCTATCGTATGAATATTTGCACCCTGCCAGAGGTCAAAAATAAATGCTATCAGAACTATGCCGTATTTACTCTGTTGGTTATAGTGTTTAACTAGGGGACGAAGAACTGCGGTCGAGAGTGTTGAAGAATATCCTCTTCCAGGTTCGTTTATACGCGCTGTGAGATCTAGACAGAGGTCAACGGGAGGGGGACAAGAAAGGACAGAGCATAACTCCGGCTTTCCCGTTCAGCGTTTAACCCTTTCTTTGTTATCCCACTTGCTACCGAGCTCTTGGCATTGTGATGGTAAACAGGCAGGCGTATCCCTGCCGGATAGCAACGACACAGGAAGCACTGGCTCGCGGTGAGACCGCTAGTATATATATCCACTACTTTACTAACGTCGCTCCAGATCCTATGTCCTCCCCAGCAATGAAATGTGGCGAGTTACTTCTGGATGGTGTAGTTTCATGGTGTAGTTTCATAGTTTGTGCTGTGGCGGCTGTGACCACATAGCTAATTAGCTGCTGGTGCCCAGAGTGCCAGGCAAACAACAGGTATCTGTTCTCTCTCTTTCTCTCTCTCTCTCTCTCTCTTTCTCTCTCTCTCTCTCTCTCTCTTTCTCTCTCTCTCTCTCTCTCTCTCTCTCTCTCTCTCTCTCTCTCTCTAGCCCCCCCTCCCTCCCCCCCACCCACCACCCACCACCCAGAAACAATCACTCCCGCCGAGAAGGATCCTGCAAGCTATAAGGCGGCAGCTCCATGTCGTCGGTCCTGGTGCCATCGCTAGTCTTTGCAGCAGGCGGCGGGCGCTGTGGCAGCTCCATGGTATCGGTGCTGCCGGGGGGCTGCTGCTCGACATCACCATCGAGCTGTCGGCCTGGCGTGTTGGGTGTCCGCTCCCTCAGCGCTGGCCTAAGATTAAGAACCCACCGGCACAACTTGACCCAGTCGACGCCGCAGCACGTCTGGCCGGGGGCGCAGCAGAAGTGGCCGACGAGGTAGAACGGTACTAGCACGATGCTGACCGCGAGCCACAGGACGATGAGCGCGGCAGCTACGGGCCACATGAGAGATACCAGGAAGACGCCTGTCAGCGCCAGCGCGTACAGGCAGCCGTCCTGCCGCACACGCGGCCAGCGCCGCTTGACGTCGACCGTATTGACAAGGGCGACGGTGATGAAGATCTGGACCATGGCGACCAAGACGATGACGGTCGTCCGGTTTTCTTGTTCCTTCTGTGTGAGGGCGGTTGATTCTGACATGGTGGAGTTCGGACTGGCGGTGCCAGGTACTGTTTGAATGTAGCTTGGAGTCGTTGGTTCGACGGGTCGCGCGATTTTAGCCTGGAAATACCGTCTTGACTGGTTTGGCAAAATGAACGAAGCAGAATGGCGTGAGTACTGCGACTTTAAGCCGGGCTAGCTGTTTGAGTTCGGAATTTTGGGCTACTCCGGCTATGGCTGCCGTGTCCTGAAGATTGAAACTTAAATGGAAGTAGAGTTGTGGGGGGTTGGCTAGTTGCTGGTCGAAAACTCGGAGGGGCCGAAATTGTAAACGGTCAGCTGGTGGCAGACAGAGCATAGCGAAGCAGGCGATACCACGAGGGGTATTACCTAAGGTACCTAATCTGTGATGGTATTACTGCCACCTCTGTCAGGGAATTCTCAGGAGGCTTCCCTCCGGGCACAGTCATGCTACGATTCATCCCACTCGCCTCCTGATTAGTCAAGATGTGTCGGACAAGACACGCTACCAGATTCCTGGCCTCCAGCAGCCTCGGCCGTCATTGGCTCTAGTTACAATATGTGGTAGGGGCTGCGATCATATAGCTGCTGTTGCCCAGACTGCCAGGCAGCAGGTATCCGTTTTGTGACTGCTGGCGTAACGGCACACCATTACACAATAGTTCCTCTCAACATTACCAAACTCTGTCAACCTAGTGACTGTGGCTACCAAGATGTCGAAGTCGCCACTCGCAAGATTACTCAGAATAAGCGGCTGTCTACCGCCAATGTATTATCTTCAGGTCTTGTCCATAATTGTCATCATTCTATTCACGCCGGTATTGTAAATTCATAGCTATCACGACCGCGGTGTATTCGTTACTATCGGCAAGCCCGAGATCGGCGAGGTCCTAGTACTTTCCACACCATCCCTTTCCCACTCTCCGCTTTACTCGAGGCAGCTCGACCACTACCCGCGTGGACTTAGATCTTGGGCATGAATGACTATGAATTGGACTTTCAGCAGAGCCCATGTCATTCTCAAACATGGCGGCAGCTCCATCTCACCATTATCCACAGTATACCCTGTTACCTAGGTACCATTTTTGCGAGCCTGCCACTGCGCCAGGGGTAAGCGGTGCCTTCCCCAACTGTTGGAATAGCGATAGGAGTGACCGTCGTCTGGAAGGGAGGCGGCGCGAGTCCCGTGTTGGCGCACGTGCCTATAGGCACGTGGGCCTCACGAACCTCGCGCACACAAAACCCGGCCCCCACTGTAGACTTACTTGGACAGAACAAGAATCAAGACAACTGACAACCCCACTGACAACCCCACCGATAGTACTACCACACCTTTGACCTGCAGGCACCTCTGCGTGGTTAGAATACCACGAACACCAACGTCTCGGATAAGCCTACCTTCTCCCGTTGGTCTCGTCCCCATCGTTGGTCTTTCACCTAGAACGAGCCATACTGGGCGTTTAGGCACAAACACTCTTTGCTCCTGCCAAGAACAGCCCAGCTGGTGCAGTGGTTATTGCGGATGATGATCTAACTAACGATCCATACTTTTGTCACGATCTAACACATCCTGCGAGTTTGATTCACGTATTAACTGCTTTGGAATAATACTCCGGGGTCTCCCAGAGACTCACTCGGCTACTATTAGGAACCAAGTCTGTTGGTCTCTGTGCAGAGGATTGGGGAAATGATGAAAAAAAAGTATAGTTCTGAGGCAATATTCTTGTGTTGGTGTCTTTTGATTAACTTTTTTTTATGTGAGGGTGAATGCTAGTACTGACAACTTTGAGATAGGGAAAATCTAGATGATTAGAAAGGAGAGAAAAGGGCTGGAAAGGAGAGCTTGGTATTTGTGCTGTTGTCGCAACGTAAAGGTTTGTTGTTTGCAAAGGTTTGTTGTTGCAAAGGTTGGTTGTTTGCAAAGGTTTGCTGCTTCCGAAAGCTTGTTGCTGGTAACCACGGGCAAACAAAACTTTTTAAGAGAAAAGTGGTTAACTTTGGCCGGGCAAAAACGCTAAAGGGTAGTTGGCCCGTTTTGCAAGCGAGATCGTCAGTAAGGGGGCTGAACAAGTTTACTAGACCCACGCACCGAACGTCTTTGCCATTATTTTTGACTTTCTGGAGCCCTCTTAGATTTCAGCTTTGAAGAACGGCAGGTCTACCACACAGCCTGTCTCCACGTGCTCCTCCCCAAAACCGCGAGTAGATGGCGGCGTCCCCGGGGAAAGGCTGTCGAGGAGAGAAATTTTACGTAACCTCCTAAGCTAAACATACAAAATTCTTATCACCCGTTCAACCGTAAATGAGAAGGCCTAGACTTTTGAGTCTCTTCAAGTATTTACCTAGGTACATGTAGGAAGTTAGAAACGACCCACGATTTCCCACATCTTGACGATCATATCAAACACCATCACGCAATTAGACCCGAAGCCAGAAATTTAATCAATATATTCTGCGCGATTAAAAGATTATTAAGCTAGAACTAAGATACTGGTAGGTTGGTGAGCATCTGAAAGGGCAACATGCGAGATACAACAAAAAGACCGCGAGGAACAAAAAAGAAGTATGTCTCAACAGCGAGTCAGAGCCATGGGCTGGCGGCCGTGCCGCCATGACGGGGGCCACCCTTAAGACTCACTAGGCAAGGCTCGCAGGGCTCACTTCGGTACTCGGCGACGCACGATATGGCTCCAGCCTGCACTGCCTTGTGGCGAAAAAGCTTGTTTCAAAGACGGAGACCGCCGAATCTTTCCTCGGTTTTTCTAATGGCGGGCCCAGGAACACCCACCCGCCCGGCCGGGCTTGCATCCTTCAAAGTAATCAAGATAAAGAAAAACAACACCCCCGTATAGGGAATCATGTTTCAAGGGTGGCAATAAAAGGGATCCAGCCGAAGGATCCCAGCAAGCGGCGAGAGGGGGGGGGGGGGGGAGGAGGGGACAGGTAAGCCAGACAAAAAAAAGAAAAAGACCGAACTGCCGCCATAGCCCGAGCTCAAGGGCGGGGCGGGCTTCACACAGTGCCTATGTAGGCGGACATGCGTGTCGGTATGTCTGCAGGGTAGGTTTGATGCAGGAAGGATGGGACGTGGGCTAGGTTAAGCCAGGGCTGTGGACACATTTGAAGCGTTGAAGCCACGGGGGAGTTCCGCAGAAACACAAGGACAGGGAGAGGAGTACCTTGGGTGATAAACAGACACGTAGTAGAGTCTGCAAGCTGCACTGCAAGGTAGTCGAGTTAGTGAGTCGGACGGGCTGGGTAGATATCCAATATCCGGAGCAAGCCGCAAGGAGGAGAAAGACGAATGCGGACATGTAAATTCGTGGCGATCTCGGAAGGCCCGGTCAGCTTCGAGACCTTTGTGTAACATGACATGCCTAGGAGGGGGGGTGATGGTTTCCAGGCCTGGCTTGGACAAGGACGGACGACAGGCGAGTGGTTGACAATTTATGCTTGTGCTACCAATAAATTTAACCGTTCAAGAAAATCGCCGGCACCGATAGCCCGTGGCAGGGGGATTATTTTCTCTTCTTGGAAGTCTGTGTGGCGTTTTTGGTTTCGGTTTTCGTCCCGGGTCGGTGAAGACAGAAAGCGGAGACGGCTATTGGAGGTTCGCTGGACTGCAGTCAGCAGCAGCACAGGCGGGCAGCTGGCACAGTCCCGGTTGGTGGGCCCTGCGTGATACGTTTAGTTAAGTAAGGCGGTAAGACGGTAAGACGGTACGACGTTCCCCTCCGAGGTAAGCGCGGCAAGACTAACAAGACTCGGGAGGAGTGCATGCCACCCGAGTTAAGGCTGGGGGAGGGAGGGATCATGGCCCCGGGGACGTGGTTGGCGCCACGTTAGGGGCGGGCTGCCGGCCGCATGGACATCGGCCTAGTGAGATTCCGAAGGCGTGTTTCTCTTGCTTGGGACTGACTGGCAGCCAGACAGCCAGACAGCCAGACAGCTAGACAGCTAGACAGCCAGACAGCTAGCTAGCCAGCCAGCCAGCCAGCCAGACAGGGAGGCTGGGTGTTCACCGCCGATGAGTCCTCGACTTGCTGATCTCGCGCTTACGGCACGGAACTGACCCAACGCGGCCCCAATCCTCGAGCGTGGCCGTGGTCGGTCAGTGGCATGGGGCAGGCAATGCTCTTGTCAACTGACCATGGCTGCTGAGTGGCGGTCCAGCGAGCCGCGTCTTGAGAACGAAAGGGCTGGGCGAGGCGAGCCCGTATATAAGCACCCAGACTGACGCCAAGCTAGGAAGGGCACCTGGTTGAGCAAGTTTTGTACTTTGAGAGCAAGAAAACACCGAAAACACCGAAACCACCGAAACCACCGAAACCACCGAAACACTAGACGTAGACCCAATTTGTGAGAATATCATCGAACCAGCGACCAACCATGAGTGCCAACATCGCCATTACCGGTGTTCCCACCACCCCGGGCTCCAACGGTAAGCTCTTGCTCGGACGTCCCGCCTACCACGCTCAAGCCGCGCCTACTTGCCGTTGTCCGCTGATTTGACGGCTGACCCCGAACAACCAGGATCTGTCCCGCTCCGCCGCGAGATCCGCGAGCTGCAGCAGACGTTCCCGGACCAGTTCAACCTCTACATCCTCGGGCTGCAGGGCCTGCAGGGCCTCGACGAGTCGCAGTTGACGTCCTACTACCAGATCGCCGGCATCCATGGCATGCCCTTCAAGCCGTGGGACGGTGTGGGCAGCGACTCGGACTGGGAAGAGTCGAGCGGGTTCGGCGGGTACTGCACTCACTCGTCCATCCTGTTCACCACCTGGCACCGCCCGTATATCGCCCTGTATGAGGTAAAGCGAATCCCAGGATAGCTGCTCCATCGGACCGGGCTCGTGACTGACGTGGTGTGGGGGGTGAAGCAATCGCTGTACAAGTCTGTCCAAGCCGTGGCCGCCAAGTTTCCTGCCGGCGCCCTGCGGGACAGGTATGTGGCCGCCGCCAAGGACTTCCGGGCGCCCTACTTTGACTGGGCCAGCCAGCCGCCGGCCGGGACGTCGGCGTTCCCGAGCGTGCTCAGCTCGTCGACCATCCGCGTCGTGGACGTCGATGGCAAGACCAAGTCGGTCGGCAACCCGCTGTACCAGTTCAACTTCCACCCGGTGAACCCGTCGCGCGGAGACTTTAGCTCGCAGGTCAGCATCTCTCTGCCTCCCCCAGTGCCGGCGTCAAGCTGACAAGCCGGACACAGTGGAGCAAATACCCGACGACAGTGCGGTACCCGAACCGGGTGACGGGGCAGTCGCAGGACGCGCGCATCGCGCCGATCCTGAGCAACGAGCTGGCGTCGCTGCGCAGCAACGTGGGGCTGCTGCTGCTGTCGTACAAGAACTTTGACGCCTTCAGCTTCAACCAGTGGGACACGAGCACGAGCCCGGGCGAGTACGGCAGCCTCGAGGACGTGCACAACGAGATCCACGACCGCGTCGGCGGCGGCGGCCACATGTCGTCGCTCGAGGTGTCGGCGTTTGACCCCTTTTTCTGGCTGCACCACATGTGAGCTGCTTTCGTCTGTCCTGATCAAAGACGCTCGGCACCTTCAGGCCGAAGGGACAAAGCTAACAGACCCCAGCAACGTCGACCGCCTGTGGGCCATCTGGCAAGACCTCAACCCTTCGAGCTTCATGTCGCCGCGGCCGGCACCGTACTCGACGTTTGGGGTGACGCAGGGGGCGACGCAAGACGAAAACACGGCGCTGACGCCGTTCTGGGACAAGACGGGCCGGGCGTTCTGGACGTCGGCGCAGATCAAGGACACGGCGTCCACGTTCGGCTACGCGTACGCTGAGACGCAGAAGTGGCAATACACCACTGGCGCTGCGTACCAGGCCGCGCTGCGCCAGGCCGTCACCAAGCTTTATGGTACTAACGTGTTTGCTAATTTCGTCGCCCACGTCACCCAGCGTCGCACGGAGGTCGCTACCGCCGCTGCCACCGCCGCCGTGGCAGCAGCCCCAGCGCCTGCTGCCATCACTGCTGCAGCTGTCGCGAAAATAGCGGCCCCCGGGAAGGATGTCCACGCGCCTGCGGTGAACGTCGCGGAGATTGCGCCGTCAGCCTCGGCCTCGCCGTCGCCGCCTGCCGCTAGCGAGCCCGAAACCCCGGGTCAAGCCCAGAAGCTGCTCGGTCTCGACGCGCCGGCCAACGCGGAAGCAGAAGGTAGCGTTGACAACCCCTCCCAACCTCGTCGCCGTGAAGTCTACGTGTTTTTACTAACCCACCCCTGTCCAGGCCCGATCCCCGCCTCACTAAAGCACCTCGCCCCAAACAACAAATACACGGAATGGGTGGTCAACGTGCGAGCGGAGAAGCACGGGCTGGGGCAGCCGTTCCGCGTGTTGGTCTTCCTCGGCACATTCGCCGCAGACCCCGACGCGTGGGACGGCGAGTTCAACTGCGTGGGGCGGGTATCCGTGCTGGGGCGCAACGACACCACAACGCAGTGCGCGCGGTGCCGGGCGGACGGAGCAGCAAGGCTGATGGTGTCGGGGACGGTGCCGCTGACGTCGGCGCTGCTGCAGGACATTGCCGAGGGCGAGCTGGCGGACCTGACGCCGGCGAGCGTGGTGCCGCACCTGCAGAGACAGCTGCAGTGGCGCGTGGCGCTGTTCAGCGGCGACGAGCAGCAGGCTGCTGACGTCCCCGGGCTCAAGGTCAGCGTGGCGTCGACTGAGGTCACCATCGGCGCCGATGACGGCCTGCCCGTGTACTCGGGCCACTACGCCGTGTACCCCGAGATCACCGCCGGCAAGCCGGCCGGCCTGCGCGAGGGCGAGCAGGCTTAGGAGGGTCGCCCTGCTGAGCGGTGGAGGAACTGAACGGCGGGAAGCGATGAAAGGGGGTGCTGGCAAATCAAGGGCGGGGGAGACTGGGACATGGAAGATGGCTTTGGTAAGCAGCCGGACAAAGAGAGCAAAAACTTGGGGCCCTGTCGGTGCAGGGACTGGACAGGCGGCCTAAGACACAGAGAGCAAGAGAAGACGACAGGCGCTTTTGTGAAGGAATAGCTGGGTATGAGGACGAAAGTTCAAGCCGTAGACTGAGCCGTGGACGTGATAGGAAAAATGTAAGCCGATGACCGCCGACAGGCAACATGGTGATTTTGTCCACCATGGAAAGACTTTGTCCACCATGGAAAGAAACGTCCAAAACGCACTTCCCATGCAGAAACGAAAACAAAAACAGAAAATAATGAGAACCCCCTAAAACTGCACCCTCCGCTTCCGCCCCGTGTACTTGGACGTGGCCTTGACGATCTTGCCCTTGCGCTCCATCTGCTCCTTCTTGTTGAGGATCCAGATCTTGCTGCCCTTCTTGATCTCGCCCTTGCCGCTCTTGGGGCCGCGGCGGCGGCTGTCGAGCACGTCGACGCCGTCCATGCCCTTCACGACGCCGGTGATGTCCTGGCCCTTGCCGCCGGCGACGCTGGCGCCGGCCGTCAGGACCAGGTACAGCTTGACGTTCTTGGTCTCGGGGTCGTCCTCGAGGATGCCGGCGCCGAAGCCGGCCTTGACGGCGGCGGCGGTGATCATGTGGCGCTGGGCGTCGTTCTTGGGGTAGAACTGACACACCGCGCGGCCGCCGCGGCGCAGCGAGGCGTACAGGCCGTTGAAGAAGCGCGACAGGCGGCCCGAGGGCGATGTCTCGCTGCTCTCGGCGTTGCACAGCCACTGGATGGCGCTGATGCTGATGGCGGCGTCAAAGGTGCCGGCGCGGAAGGGCACGCCCTGGCCCATGTCGGCCAGCAGCAGGTCGCCGTCGACGTCGCGCTGCAGGGCCACGTCGAGCATGGAGGCGCTGATATCCATGCCCACCCACACGTGCGGGCCGCCCTCGTCGGCGGGCACGCTCGACAGCATCTCGCCCGACAGGCCGCTGCCGCAGCCGACGTCGAGGATCAGGCTCGGCGACTGCAGGTTGAGTAGCTCGAGCGCGCGCGACGACATGGACGCCTGGATGTTTTTTATCCGCGAGCTCGTCGTGTACTTGCGTGCCTCGACATCGTCGTAGTGGATGTCCGCCGCGCTGGCTTGGGTCAACCTTCTCCGTGCCGGGGGGTGGCAGTGCCCAAATCAGGGGGGAATGCTCACAGGGTGTCCTCGGGGCGCGACATAGTGAATTGTCCGCCTCTTGTTCTTCCCCGCTTAACGCCCTTTATACCAAGACAAGACGAGACAACTGCCCAACAGAAATCGTAACCCCCTAGAAAATCCAATCGTCTCTTCTGCGCCGTAGAAATAGGAGCAGTGGCGGGTCGAGCTATGTAACTGTTGTTGATGGGCTCGACTAATCGAACAGGCTTAGGGTAGTGGCGTGTGTTTCGGTAGCGATTCTCCTGGATTGGCGTTTAACCGGTGGGAAGTTTGGCCGGCTGTTCGTATGTGCAGTCGAAGCTGGCGACAGTTGGTGGCGAAAGTGGTGCTGGTCGGATCGGTCTGGTCGTCTTCAATGGGCACTTCTTGGTGATATTCTTGACCGCATCCGAAGCGGGGCCAAAAATATGACTGGAAAGTTGTAAGATTTTAGGTGGGCAGGGTAAAGGGTGGCATGGTGGGTAGTTGCGGGGTAAATTATTTTACTGCTAATGTCTGCCGCCTGCCCAATAGGGTAATTGCCACTATTCCCCGCCTACGCTAAGTCCCAACATGGTAAGTGTCCTCTATTATCGTCGAAAAATCCTTATCGGCTCACGCCAAAAAAAATCCGCCTCGCAGTCATAATACCACAGAACGATAGGAATCGGGTCTTTTTCTTCCTTTTATAGCCTTATACCAATTCATCTTGTTCCTATACGTCTTTCTCGTCTTTCTCGACTTTCTCGACTTTCCCGCCTTCTAGTTACCCTAGTCCATTGATCAAAGGTCCTTGTGGCGGCTCGCGCCGAATGTCCAGAGAGCTGCGCCCAGCACACGTTCGATCGACCCTGAACTTCGCCGCGGTAAGGAAAAGCCTCTCTGACTCCGGGATGTTGTCGCCAGAATACCGCTGACTACTGTTGAAATTGTACAGGCCTGTACAGGCATATACCAGATCAATCTGGCCGTCGATCGAATACTCGGGCGCACTTTCCCTAACTAATTTCGACCTCCTTTTCAGCCAGCCAAAAGCTTGCTCGACCTTCACACGCATTCGACTGTGCCTCAAGTTATAAAGTTTCTTTCGTGTTACCGGCTTGTTTGGAGACTCTCGCCAGTCCTGGAGATGGTACCGAGTCCTGAAGAAAGGCACGACGATTCTCTTTTGCATGCCAAAGCCCGCATCGGCTAGGTAACAACGGTTCTCTGGAATCCTGAACCCTTTCGTGATGGACAGGTTCAACAATCGAGAGTCATTCATCGAGCCTTCGGCACCGGCGAGTACATAAGAAAAGGAACCGTCAAGCTTCACCGCCGCGAACACGTTCTACGAGGTCTATCCTTTCCGGTCACGCCAACGGACTTGGTCCTTGAGAGGGACCCGGGCATGGATGTGTGTGCCGTCGATAGCTTCTATCGCGCCTGAATAATGCCGTACAGTTGGGTCAAGCTCGATCTCTGGAGCCACGAAGTCATCGTCAGGTTGGACCATAAAGGCTGTATGCAACCTACAAAATGAGGCAGGTATTGCTTGACAGTCCCTGAGACCGTACTCTGGCCGACCGCGAAGAAGTGAGCGGCGTTCCTTTGCGTCTCATTAAAGGCCAAGATCTATAAGGACAGCATGACCTTCAGTTCAACGGTATAATACCGCGTGTTCGAGACTAGGGAGTTCTCACGTAGTCATTCCACCAATGCCGTGAGTTCTCACGTAGCCATTCCACCAATGCCGTGAACTCGGTCTAGGTCATCCGAAAGAGATCGAAGAAGTGCCTCTCTGAGCCAGTCAACAGCTGTGCGGCAAATCTATTCGCGCTGAGGGGCCCTCCGTTAATTACAGTCCTTTCGTCTGACTGTGTTGACAGTGATGCCGTAATTTCGGCGAGAGTCATCGCCAGGAAGCCGGCTTTTCGCTTCTAGGCGGCCCGCGCGGCATCGTTGTCGTCCATTGTATCGGCTTGAACGTGGATAACCTTCGACTTCTATTATGCTGCTCTTTCTAGCAGTATACACTTTTTTGAAGCTTCAAAAACACCTCGGGCATGGTCAGATCACGTGCGCGCAAGCCGTTCAAGCCCAACCGACGCTCAAAACCAGCTTTTGAGGGCGGTTAGCGATTTGGCTGTAAAATGGCCATTTGGAGCCAGTTCAAGCGTCTTTTCTTGGCAAATATTCCCAAAATCAACATCCCGAAGAGCCACTTTTTCGATACATCTGTCGGGGCCCTGGTGCCCGACTTGCATAAGAACGTGGCTGAACTCGTCGGCACGCACTAAATCGGTGCCCAAAAGGGTTTGGTGGGTTCCTTGGCGGTTTTTAGCACGGCACACGATATTTTGTGCTGACGTGTTGATCGAGACTGTGTGAGCCAATCTCTTATCGGGTTCTTATCGCACAGATAAGCGGTCGGCCGGCCGAGGTCCGTCTCTCGGCCTGTTGGAACGAAAGCAGCGAAACACAGCAGGGCCCACTTGGGTTAGGTAAAGTCTTGGGGAGCCAGCGAGTGCCGGAGTGGCTGAAGTGGACACGTTCCCGGTGCCTGCCCAGTCTCGGCGGAGGGTGGACACGCTAAACACCCACTAAGACGCGCTTTTGGCCCCCCCTCCCTTTTAGCGTAATGGGATGAATGGCGTAGCTTAGCTTAATTGGACACGTTCCAACGACGGCAGCGCAGGTACGGATACTTGGGCCATTCCATCCGACAACGCCAAACCGAGCTACCACCTACAACACCACGGATTAGACGATTGCGGCTGCCGTCCGTCCTGCTATGCCCACGGAGTAATCGAGCGACAGAGCAGCGACACACAGCTCAGCAGCCAAGATGTGGATCCTTCCGCTTGTCGGCTACCTCGGGTCCGTCATGGGCTTCTGCTTCTTGACGCTGGCCATAGGTATGTACTTTCTCTCTAATCCAAGCCCCGAATAGTGGCACGCCGGCCTGCTAACAATGCGACACAGCGTCGGGACTCTACTACCTCTCCGAGCTGGTCGAGGAGCACACGGTGCTGGCCAAGCGGTTCCTGTCGCGCCTCATCTACTCTATCATGGGCTTGCAGCTAGTGCTCTGCGTCGTCGACCGCTTCCCCTTCTCCCTGACCCTGCTCAGCATCGTCTCGCACCTCGTATACCTCGGCAACATGCGCCGCTTCCCCTACGTCAAGCTGTCCGACCCGCTCTTCCTGGCGTCCTGCGGTTAGTACTGCCACGATACTGTCTGCGCTGGTCGGTCTTCGAATAGGGAGCCCCTTTCCCCTCTTACACGAGACGAATCCCCGCCCTTGCTGACACACTCTTCGCAGTCCTCGTCCTCCTCAACCACTACGTCTGGTTCAAGCACTTCTCGGACCACCAGGACCGCGCCTACCAGAACATGGCCTCGTACTACGACACCCCCAGCGACATCCCCTCCTTCACCGAGATCGCCTCCTACTTCGGCATCTGCGTGTGGCTCGTCCCCTTCGCCCTGTTCGTCAGCCTGTCAGCGAGCGACAACGTTCTGCCTACTATGGGTAGCAGCGAGCCGCTCGGATCGGGGCCAGGAGTAGGGGGCTCGGGGCAAGGCGTGGCCAGCTCCAGCAGCAGCGGGCGCTCGAGACGCGGCCAGGGCATGGCCAAGGCGCTCGTCGACAACGTGCTGGGCGGCATCGGTCAGGTCGGCGACGCGTTCGGCTGGAAGAAGCCCGACGAACGCCTTGCCTGACACTGCCTCGCGGTTGGCTCGGACTCGACGGCTTAGTAATTCGCACGGGCTGGGTTGCGGGATTGGTATAGGCGCGCTTTCAGGCATGCAAGCAAGTTGGGTGTTGTAGGAAAGGGGGCATTTTCCTCGGCGTTTGGGGACTCTGGGTGGATTTCCTAAAAGAGAAATCTCATATTTGCATCTGGCGGCATACCCATCGAAGGAGCATTTGGTGAGTCCTTCACTTTCTGTCTTGTTTACTTGTGTTTTGGTCTTTCGTCGTTGTCATCATGGTCATGGTCGTGGTCATCATTACGGTGGTCAACATTACGGTGGTCATCATTACCAGTCGTCATCATTACCGGTCGTCATCATTACCGGTTGTCATCATTACCGGTCGTCACCATCCCCCCTTTACCTCAAGCACGCGGCTGTCGAGTGAATAAACGCATAGCATTCCTTTCCCTATCCCACACAGTTGTCATATCTTCCGCCGCATACATTCCTATGCGCTAATTAACTCCGTGCCGCTAGGTATCAAAACAAAACAAGCAAGCAAGCAAAAAAAGGGGGGTAATCCGTGTACAATAACTGTATCAGGTGCTAGGTAGGTAAGTAGGAAACCTGCTAAGCGAACCGTCCTAGCTCAGAGTGAGATGTGCCAATATCAATCCCATAATGCGATGAAGGTGCCAAACAGAGACACCCCCTCAACCTCTCCTTTTTTTGGTCTTTTCTGGGTCTCCTTTTTGGTTCCCCTGCTGCTCCTGCTTAGCTTGTCGACAATGCCGCCCACCCAACCAACCCCCTATCGCTTTGTTTCTCGCGAGTCCCTCCCTGTTCGTTCGTTCCGCCTTTGCATGGCATCATTAGCGTGACTCCCTCCCTCCGAGACCTCGACACGGGTTCTTCTCAAATATCCAGCGTCATCTTGGCGCGGAGGCTCTCCGTGACCGTGTACGGCCCCAGCGACGCCGGCGGGCCCGCCTCGCGCGCCGGCGGCGCTAGCCCGTTCGCCAGCCGCCACTGTAGGTACCGCTCGTTGCGAACTAGGTTCGCTAGCGTCAGTGGACCCGAGCCCCAGAAGCCGGCGGCATTGGCATGGGGGTGGCTGTCTGCCAGGGTGGCCCTGGGCGTTGCGGCGCTGGCGCTCTCGCATGCCGTTGAGACGCCTGCTGCGGCTTCTGCTGCGGTGCTCCACCCCCCGGTCGCCGAACTCATGGCTCCAGAGCACGTCTCGTATCCGGACGCGGCTTGCAGGAGCTGCGGGCAGTTACGCTTGTTGCTATGCTGCTGGGCGGCCGGCTGCTCGAAGCTGGCTGGGCGCGGGCTGTCGCACACGGCCGAGATGGAGGCTTGGTCGGCTCCGTCGTTGTCGTCGTCGTATTCGTCGTCGATATAGTTCACGGCGTCTCCGTCTTCCTCGCCCAAGGCTCCGTGCAAGTAGCCATGGCTCTGGCTTTCTCCGTTCTCCGCTAGCTGCGACAAGGCGGCGTGGGCCGATGAGCCGGGCGTGCTTTGCCTCTCGTCCTTGTCCGCCGTGTCAATGTTCGCCGTCTCAATGTCCGTCCGCTGATCGTCCTTGGGCTCGAGCCGGCCGTCGTACAGCATGTCCTTGCTTGGTGAGCCGGGGAGGGGGTGGGTTTGGTTTGTTTGAGGTCGGCGTTCGTGGGGGCGTGTTGCAGGTGCGCAGAGTCCACAAAAGTCTCTGGCCCGCTTGTTTGTTCTTGGCTGTCGCAACCTCGAGTCTGCGAGGGGGTTTGTTGTCGACTGCTGGACAGGATCGCGGGGGCTTTATGCTGCTGGTCGACGACCGAGGTCTTGCCTGCCGCGCCAGGCGGGCCAGCATGAGAACCGACGAGAAACCCTCTCGTCCCTCGTAGTCTAGGAACCGGTGGTCCCGACGTGCGACATGGCTGGGCAAGGGTTGGTGCGTGTGTGGGTTGGTGTTAACTGCCCAGACTCAGGGATCGCCTCCTTGACGTGGCTAGCCATGTGGATAGCCGCAGCTCTGTCACACGCAAACAAGTTGTCAGCTACCGATCAACTGCCGGAGGAAGCGGACTCGCCCGGCTGGAACTGCCAGTGGCAGCAGCAACAGGAGGAGGAGGAGTGGGCGTGGGAGTGAAAAGCCAGGATCCAAGGGCGGCGTTTAGTGAGAGTCGCTACTGTTTCACGTAATGCTGTGGTGCCGCTGCTGGGCGTTCCAACAAGTACTGTACACCGAGTGACAAAAACAGACGTGGCAGCGAAAATGAGGCGGGCGAGCTCGCCCGGGGCCCTTTTTCAGGGCTTGCTAGCTCTAACCACCACAGCTAGAAGGAAAGCAGGACGACAAGGAGTTTCGGGCTTTTGTTTGACTCCGGCATCCCGCGAGCACGGGAACACGCACAGGGAAAGATCCAGCGCACTCGTTGGGTGGACGCTTGCGGAGCCGTGCTGCGAAGCCTGGTCTAGTGCCGCAGACACACACACACACACACACACACACAGTCGCCATGTCGCCGTCGTGGCTTGTGTGTGCGCTCCGGGCTTGATCGGGTTGGGTCAGGTTAGCCGACTAGCATCGCATCTAGACGAGCTGCCCTGGTTCCACTGGCTTTATTTGCTGGAATCATCGGTAGCCTTTTGATTTCTGGTCCACATGGCAGCGCAGCCGTCAGCGGCACCCGCAGCTCGCAGGTGTTGAGTCTTTCAGTTGTTGACAGGCGGCAAACTGAGCTTCGTTGGCAATTTCATCTGATCTGACTTTCGAACACCATGCGCTCGCTGCTTTGAGTCTTGCAAAATGCTCACAAAAATGCTCACTTCCCTGGCCTTCTGGGCAGCATTCCCAGCCTCGTCCGTGCGTGAGAAGTAGTGGAAAGAGGTGGACAGGGACGTCAAATCAAGAAGGGGAACCGGAACCGATGAGAACCTCCCAAGGAATCAACTACGGCTCAAAACCCAGTCCCAGTCCGGAGTGGGAAGCTCTCATCGCCCGGCTCAGGTGCATCCTGTGACGCTCCCTGCGGGGATCTCCTGCCTCTGGCCATCCATAGGCATCGCTGCGTCATCCGCCCACGGCGTAGCGCTAGCATGGCAGCCTGCTCGATGCTGCTGCTCTGGCCTCTGGTGTCTCCGTGCGTGTGGCGAGGCCGTGACTGGGACTGGGGCGGCCGGACGATAGTTTCCTACTTAAAAACTAAGCACCATGCTGTAGAACGCTGTTGCAATATACTGGGCAGCTTCACAGCACACCGCCGGTCGTGTCTATGGCCTCTCGCCTCGCATGGTACAGCCACGGCATGGCATATAGGCAGGCATCGCCATGCACCGCAGCCTCGGCTGCACGATAATGCACCATCCTTGCTTCCGTGATGGCAGAATCTGCCAGCGCTCTGGCGTATTGTGGGGAGACACACTCGACCGACAGCATGTGAACAGGGCCTGATTCCGGGACAGCAACGGGCCTATGGGACTCATGGCGGGCTCGTGCTGGCTGTGGCCTCCATCGGCCCGATAGACGCCTTGTGAGGATGTCGGGCTCCGTTACTCTGTAGATCATGCACGCGCCCGTCGGAATAGTTTCCATGGACTGGGAGGAGCCGCGGGTATTCTTTCCTTACCTGCGCTTATTCAAGGCATGGTTCCCTTCCGAGGTGGTGTCTACACTAGGTACTCAATATTTAGACACCTATACCAAGTGCCAAGTAATGGCCAAGCCTTTTGATCATGCGCTGTCTTCGTTCGCATCTAGCCGATATACTTGTGTTTCCAAATAATCACCTGCTCTTCGTGCCTGGAAGCAGGTCAGGTGGAGGGGGTGACGGCGCCTCCGGAGTCTAACTAAATTTTCAGGACCCCGTGACTGGGCGGCTTATTCTCTTCGTCCTGGCCCCGTATACTCATACTTTCAGGCCCCCACTGACTCAATACCCACATCGACAACGGCTACTGCGCAATGATTATTCAAACCCGCGAGTGGCTGAGCCCGCTGGATCAAGGCGGGGTGAGCCTGAATGGCGCTTTCTCGGCAGACCTCGTCACTGCGGACTACACGCCATTCCAGGACTTTGACGTTTATCTACCGAGGAGAAAGTTGAACATTTTTGCACAGCCACCCCCTATTGGCCGAACTGGGGCTTGTTTATCTGATCGACGCTGAGAAAGATGAGACAGCCGGTGCTTACTAGGCCAAGTCTCGCAGGCTTCCGAGCACGCAAGCCTCGGTGCCGAGCCTGGGCTAATTATCCGTCATCAACCCAAGTCTTCTCCGTTTGTCGTCTGATTTGTTCGGATTGCCTCCCCGCCACATTCTGGGTGGCAACTCGCCATCGTCTGACCGACATGTAGATCGGTTCCAAACAACATCAAAGTTAGCAACCCTCCCCCCGGTTTCCATTGAGCCTCATCTGTTATCCTTGCCAAGCGTGGCGACACCCTTTTTGTTCCTCTCCTTACTTCACCCATCCTGGGGTTGACATCAGACGTGACATCTCCTTTGCTAACACTCTTGGTGACTTCCAAGGAAAGAAAGCTGAAAGCAGCAAAGAAAGCTGAAAGCAGCAAAGTAAATTCGTTTCTCCATGCCGGGGTTCATCGGCAAATGCCAGCAGCCCAAAAGCACGGGCAGCCGCCGCGTCGCCAGACAAATCGGCGTAGTGTCTGCCCAAGACGCTAACTTCATTGGTGTTCTCGGGGCGCCGTGCTTCATTATCACTCGCTAGGCACAGTGGGACTAGGCCGGGTCCGTCGTCTGCGGCCTCAGCCTCGGTGGCCCCGATCGTGCTAATTTTTCAGGCAAGACCTCTATCGAGTTCAGAGGCGAGATGTGTAGGAGCTTTTTGTTAAATATTCAAATCACCGCTTGTTGGGAGAGAGGACACGGAGGAATGGGGGCAAGAGATAGATAACACATGTCTTGGATTACCTAGTTATCATAGTGAAGCAGCCATGGTGTTAAGAATGCCCAGGCAGGGGAGGTACTATGGACTTGGTTAAGTGGGGGGGTATTATAGCGACCAAGCTCACGAAAACACTCGCATGGCCGCTTCATCTTTCTAGACCAGAGCCCGCCAGCACCTTAACGGAATAGCCCCATTTACTACGCTGTTCTTTCCAAATGAAGAGCATACTGGGACATGAGAAATGCAACTGATCGAAGTATGTGAATAAGAGATGGTATTCGAGACGCGAATGGCAATCTCCTATCATTGCGCGCTATAATTAATGAATTGCCCCCGAACCCGCCGGGAGACAAGAAATGGAACAACATCGCTAAAGACACGATCTAGTTAAAGCAATGGTATCTCCGTCTCTAGTACCTTGAACAATCGTGGCAATATCCCAAGACATCACCTAAACCCAAACACGACCGGGGCGGGAAATGAAGGGAAGGAACAAACGACCCTGCTCGTTAGTTTTCTGCTCCATGGTAGATTATACCTTTCCACAGAGGAAGGAAGCAATCTGTATAAAGGCTTCTTCAGGCACGCTAAACAGAACTCTGGCTGGTTTGCCAACCAAAGTGAGAAAGAGAAAAAAAGAAACACAACGCCTGGGCTTTCGCAGCTGTTATTGATACAATGAAGAATGGGCTTGTGGAAATTGGAAAGACAAAGAAAGGGGCGCTCATCATGACAGGTTTAGTAATGTTCGCTGTGGATTTCGTGGGTCATGAGACAAACAAGCAAGATATAAGCAAGAAGCAAGAGGCAAGAGGCAAGAGGCAAGAGGCAAGGGGCAAGAAGCAAGTAAACTCTTCTTGTCCCCCCGTCTAGTCATGAAAATTTCATAGTGAGCCGCCGCGAATCACCCGCACAGTGCCCACCCGCGGGCTAGTGGGACTTGTCATTTCTTGCCCGCCGCTGTGGCACTGGGGTCCTCTATCGCGGAAGCCGGAAACACCGCTGCCCAGTCGCTGAGACCGGAGGCCTGGCCACCACCTGTCCTTCAAATCTCCCATCTCATCTGTGAGTACGGCCCAGCTCGTGGCGCAGAAGATGACTGCGTTCCATACGCCCTGGAGCGGCAGGACGACAGCGCTCGCGAGATTAAGCTTGAAGCTTGTTGCCGAGGGGTGGGCGATGGAAAAGACGCGGTTGATGCTGCTCGGGGTCCACGTGACAAGCACCGAGATAGCGAATACGAACGAGGTACGGAGGTAAGCGAGCTTGATGGGATCGAGGTTGCGCAACTTGCCCACAAACTTGTGCCATACCCGGAAGCGTTGCTTTTTTCCCTTTCTTCTCTCCCGTACGTGGGAAGACGATATGCTCGAGATGGTCATGAAGGGATTGGTGGATACCGGCGACATGGGCGAGCAGGATTCAATGTCGTCGTACCGCGAAGTCCAATCGTGCAGCGGGGCGGTTGGATGTACACTTTGCAGAACTGGAGCGATTGAGGGAGCGGGTGTTGATGGTGGGGTCTGGTTGTCTGAAGACTCGGCCGTCACTTGGACTTCAGTAGTCACCGTGCCATAGAAACCTGGCTGTCCAGCTAGGCTCTGAAGCGGAGTGGGAGGGATGTCAGCAGGCGCGGCATGTGGCATGTTCTGAGAAGGCGTCAAGTAGGACACGAGCGACGTAGGATCGTGCGACGTGGAGGTAGAGGTAGCAGCAGCAGCCCAAGACTGATCGCGGCGACGGGAGCTAAGGACGGAAGGGCTGGGCGGGAATGGCATTTTCGCTGGGCTTACCTTCTCCGCCGAGCCCCCAGCGTCGGTTCCAGGAAGGTCTTTGGCCTGGTTGCTTAACGTCAGATTGCGCAGCTGGTTGCGTTGGTGGAACACATGATAGCCGACGGCCACGTAGATGACAGCGGATAGCACGATGCACATCCATATGGGCAGATAGTAGAGAAATATGCGGAGCTGGTTGTACGTGTCGCCGATCCAGCACCAGAGCTACCAACCCACAATTAGCGCCTGTCATATCGTCCGAAGGTGGCAGCTCAAAGCTGAGACGAGACGAGAGATCGGTTCCTACCGTGGCATTGCCGTATATGCGAACATTATTCGGGGCATAGAAGAGGCAAATCACAGCAGGGAGCAGCGGCAACCCGAAGCAGATTAGGCAATAGACCCATATGTATTCGCGGAATGAGTTTGGGTTGGCCGCCATGAAGAACACCATGTAGACATTGACGGCCATGGCGAGCGACCACCAAGGGTCTGACTGCATGAACCTAGGTCGATGTCAGCTAGCTGTTGGCCGACTTGCTGTTGTCAGGCCGGTGCGGTGCGGCGAGGTCTGGGGACACCGCCACTTCGGGCATTCCTTCCTCATTGCGGGGGCAGTCGCAGACTTACATCTCAAGCAGAAAGGCCTGAACGCGGCACAGCCCCGAATCGTCTCCGGCTATGATACCGGCGTAGCCAATGAGACACGCGGTAGTAGCTCCGACATTGGCTATAGACGCGAAGACGATGAAGGTGTTTGGGACTGTCCGCAGTCGCTTGAAGAGGGCATATGCGACGAAAATCAAGGCGACACCAGCCAGACTGAGAGAGGCCCCAAACCTCTCGACGTGCTGGATGGTCTCGCGCTGCGGCGTTGTGAGATTCATGTAGCCGCTCTCGCCGGGGACAATCTTGAGGCCCATGTTGAGAGAGGGAGGGAAGATCAAACGAGAGACAAGAGGGCATCAGTGTTAGGGTCGAGGATATATTAATTGGCCGGTGGGATGCGACCTAACCAGACTCGGGAGAAGCGCGAGCGGGCTGGATCGACGTGGCTTTCGGAGGGGCAGCAACGGTATCAGTGGCCGGCGAGACTGGGCAGCGGACGGGCGTGGTGGTGTGGAGGTGTGTCTTTCTCTTGCGGGGGTTGCGGCGTGTGGTGCGGGCCAAGGAGGGCTGGCGGATTGGTCTCACTCCCACCAGCAGAACGCCCTATTTCCCGAAAGCCAATAGGGGGCTGAGGCGGGGAGAGGAGATGGTGTGATGGCGATGTTTGTCCCCGTGTCCACGATTCTGGAGCCGCCAAAGACAAGCAAGACCATCGATCCCCTGGAAGACGAGGCGTGGCAGACAGGGGGTGGAAGGATGATGTGCCTCCTCGAGACGCCTGGTCTGGGGAAGATGGAGGGTGGCCGCGAAACAGCTGAACGGCAGCCACCAGTTCTGGAACGCCCACGCGCTGCGAGGCTTGGAGGACTCGAGCGAGCAACAGGCCCGGGAGGCGGGCGACGCTCCGCTTTACGTGCCGATTAATGTCCCAACACGAACGAGAGGCTGACGGACGGCGGAGTTTCGGGGCCTGCATTAGGACAACGCAGCTGCATGCCACCTGTCGCCTGTCGGGGAGCAAACCCTTTTGCCGCCGCCCGTGTCTATTCGCTTGCCCGACCAAAGCAAGCAAGCAACCGACGACTACCCGTAGGAAACCCTCCCAAGTGCCAACAGCCCAGGTCGAGTTCGAGCAGAGAGCAGAGAGCAGCGTACGTGTGGGAGCCGATATCGTCTCGAATGTCGTGTCAAAGCGGGCCCAACGATTGCACAGTGGGCGAGCAAGGTCTTGCTTAACAGCGGAGGCCGGGTCCACGAATTTGTTTCGATCCTGCCCCAAGCGACACACTCGCTCTGAGGGGGATGAGAGTGGGACGGGGGACGGGGAGAGGCCGTGGATCTCGACTGTGCCGCGCTTCTGGCTTCAGGCACTGCGCTGGTACCTTTGCGCTTTCTGTCTGAACTCTGGCTGCCGGCTGCTGGCACTCCTGCGGTCCAGTGTTCTCTGGTCTGGTCCTGCTAGACGATCGGATTCAGGGCAATTTGTCGGTGTGACCCGAGGTGCCTTTGTCGGACAAGGTTGATTGGACGGCAACGGATGGCGACCGGTTCACGACAGGTCGGTCCTCATATCAGCTGCAGTCGATTTCAGACGTCGTGCTCACTTGAGAGAGACACGGAGACTGCTGAGAGAGACGGCGGGGCGCGGGGGCGCAACAGAGGTCGGGGGACAATGACGAGAGGCCAACAAGGATTGTGGCATCAGAAGCCGCGGATGCAGATGCAGACGCAGAGTGTAACTGCCTCTACTAGCGGTTTGTGCAGGAATTTTATTTTAATGGGCAGGTTTGCAGTACGAAAAAGAACGTTTAATTCGTTGCAGGCGTGGAGGCTTGGGGGCTTTTGTTTTGTTTGCTCCTGCGAGGCGGCTTGGCGAGGAGGGAAAGGGAAACGTGAATGGCTGTGATGAGCCCAAAAGACGCCACAGGCGTGGGCAAACACCGACTCTCCCACTGCACCTCAAGCCATCACCGTCATGGAAGCTGGAGCTAGGGCTAACCCGACCTGAAGTGCAGAAGGTGGAGCAACGAGTGCTAGAAATAGGCTCAAGTCAGATGCGAGAAGACTGTCCTGTCGAACCTAATCTCGGTGCGATCGGGGAGCAAAAGAGCTCCTACCGATGAAGACCTTCCAGAGTTACAAGAACGGAAGTTGGCCCTTCCGTAGATTTCGATCACATGAACGGCCGTTGGATGACTGGAAGCTATTACCTGGACGCGGTGTGTGCAGCTGCCAATTTCGTGTGCTATTTTGGGGAGGAAGCCCTGAAGGAAGGAGCGGCCGATTATTTCCTGCCAGATACCGATCGCGGCATGGCACTAACGTTTTCCGGAGGTAAGAGCATGCGCTTTCCTTGCCACCCAACCTGAGCTGTTCTGTACTATTCCCTTGGGCAGGAGCTATGGACGCCTTACGGCGCTAGTCGAGCTCGAGGCGTAAAGCAATCCACTCTCTCCTACCGCCCCTACCTGTACCGAACAAGAACTAGGGAATAAGGCCGTGCTGTAACTTTTAGTAAGTGCTTGTCCTTTCCACGTCGGCTAGCTGCGTCTTGCGTGAGGGAAGCTCGTCTATTGGGCCTCCACAGAACCGGCTGTCACACCGCTTGTAGACGCGACCCGTGTCTTTCTCAACCCAAGTCCTCCCGAACGTGTTTCCCAGGTCGCCAACTGGACAGAGTCTCGGGATTCTTTGCAGATTACTAGAACTAGTGAAAGCATGGAGCCGGCTTGGCTGCCCCCGCGGCGAGTCTCCTTCATCCATGCTCAGGGTTTGGGCAATTTCAGGTTTCGGGAACACGCTGGAATTAGAAGTACCTGAGTCGAGATAACTCGAGATTATGTGGGGAGCCATCTATGCTGCTGTGTCTGCGACTGCTGTACTCCCTCTCGAGGTAGGAGCATCCATACCTGCTAATTTGATACCGTCCCGAGTCTCAGCTCGCCGCAGCACGCAGCGTGGTCCGCATTGGGCAGGACTCTTGACACTTGCTTGTCGTGGGACAAACTTACCTTTGATGTCCGTGTTTAGGGTCGTTCCTGCATTAGACATTGTCACAATTTGAGAATTTGTCGAGCGAGATGGGGCCTGGGATGAATTTATTCCGGCAGGGTCCTTTGATTCTGCGTAACAGTCTCACACGATCTCGTATCACGGCACGCAGGGAGGTGAAGAGATGGCAAGGGCACTGTTGCGGTGCCTGGCAAGCAAGCGTGGTTGTATTATTCGAGCACGCATGCCAATGGTCTAAATGCCATCCATGACTTCCAGGAATTATGTCAAATGATCGCTATTAGCTGCTCTCCTACTGGCAGGACACATCATGTGACAGGCGAGGTGCGAGAGATTGGAATGGCCAGTTCAGCTCTTACTTATCTGAAATTGGCACATCATGAGAGAGCTGCTTCACTGTAGCCGGATCTCTAGATAATCGGACTCGCTTGGCAAGGCTGGACAGGTCGCTGGGAGAAAAGTCCCAGGCCGCGGCCGAGACCGACACACTTAGATAGCAGGCACAGAGATACCTACTTAGATAGCAGGAACAGAGATACTGTTGGAATGTGTCAAGCAGAAGTGCCTCGAAGGTTCTAGATAGAGACTTTGCCACCCACTTCGCCACCACAACAGTAGTGTAAGAAGGGGCCTTCTGGCACTGCCAGAAAGCTAGAGAGAAGAACACACATTTACAATCCATCACTTGAACCACCAGCTTTCGGCGTACAGTTACGCCCTGTTGATTCCAGTACCGGTACCCTGGTGAATCCAATAGATACCTAGCAATCAAATAGCAAGCAACGCCCGATCGAAGTATTATTAACCGCTGAAAACTCGTTTCCGCCTTGGCATGATTGTTAGTCGCGTGAAGCACCTTACGGTACCGCCGTGGTGGTGAGGCCGATAATTCAAGGTGTCGTGGTTGCCCTAGGAGACGGTCAAACACGGCTCGGTTGCCACTAGTGGTGGTTTCTTTTGGCAGGTCATTTCTTTTGGCAGGTCGAAGGAAGAAAATGTAGAAAACTTCGAAAGCAGCGCGTTAAAATCAACACGGTTGAGCGATGATGTGAATTCTGTAATGCCTCTAAAATAATGCTCGGGTCTGTTGCCTACCTCAGCTCCTCTCTGCCGTTGTCGTGGTCACGATGCCAACGCGTCCGCGCGCCCGCCTCCCCCAAAGCGACGCGAAAATCACGAAATTTGGAGCACATACTACGCGAAATAATTGTATAGCTGAAACACCAGGATACAGGATCCACGAGTACTTTCCTGCTCCAAGATTACTGAGGAGTTATTCAATGTAGACGAGCGGCGGCAACGCGTTCGACTGCCACCCACTGCGTTGATTTCGGAGACCGTCACAACACCATATGGACACTGACCGGAAGAGGGACGTAACAAAAGGTCTCTAATGAAATCTATTTAGCCGCTTGTGCAACGACGCGACATCCACACAGTCAGAGAGCCAACGCCAACAACGAGAACAACTAAACATACTACTGCATGCTGATTGATCATCAAGTCTTTCTTCTCCATGACACCACCCGTAGGCGGCGATCATAGCGAAAAATGAAAAGTTAGGGCCGCTCCAAGGAGGCAGTGTAATACCAAGGAGCAGCGGAAAACAAAAATTATACGAAAGTCCGTGGTTACCCTTACCCCAGGACCCACGCTTTCCAGCTACTGGGGGGAGGGGACTAGGGGGAGGGGACAGTAGCGAGAATGAATGAAGTTAGTTATGAGGGAAAAAAAGAGAAGAGGTTGAAGGCGGGTAGGCCGAGTTATTTTATAAAGAAACATGGTGGTCCATATACGAGTGCAAAAAATGGTATGGGTCCCTCTCTTCACTCGTAGTGGGTTCTTTCCCTTCCCTCCTTTGTCTGAAGTCGAGGGAACCGGGCGAGGAGGTGGGCGAGGGAGGCTTCCATGGCCTTCCATGGTCAGGCAGGTCCAGAGACGTCCCGTAGGCGGGCTAGCCGCTAAGCGATGCAGCTCGACCATGAGCGAATCTCGCCCTTTCCTGGTCCCTAATACGTTGGTAGAGTAGCTGTAGGTATTGCTTGAGGTCCTGTTGAGCAGGTCATTTAAATTACCTCGCGTCGTGATGCTGCCTCGCCTCGTCTTGCCTCCCTTTACCTTTGACTTGCCTTATCTCGTCTCGCCTACCTTGCCTCGCTCTAGAAAAGTGGAGCACCATCGCCAAATAAAAAAAATTGAAGCATCCCACCTCTGGTTCCAGCGTGTCTTTGATTTACGCTAGCATGAATGAGAAACCAACCCCTCAATTCACATTCTTCTCAGCGCCCTCAGTTAACAGTAAATCAACAGATTCATACCTCTGCCGCAGCCTTGCAAGCTCCTACGATCACCTTTCACCACAGCCACCAAGCGGCGCGTCCTGAAACCGACAAGACCCTCACATACACCAGGATACAAACGAATGATCAACGAGCCATAAGAATTGGATTAGAAAATCGCCACCTGGGGCTTTATCGCCAGAGATGGAATAAATGAGAGGAGGAGACCACAAGGCATGAGACAATAAGGCGGATGCGTACACTCGACGCCAAAAAGCAGCAACGTACTGTTGTGGATGAATAATATTGGTACGGCGAAACTATATCGGATGAATCATTCACTCACTGGAACTGTAACGGCGTGCCGTTACACGCCAGCGGACGCAAAACAGATACCTGTTGCCCGGCACTCTGGGCAACAGCAGCTATATGCGATAATACACTGCGGGGTGGAGAGAGGCCATAGAGAAGAAGATCGCCACAAAGTTCCACAGATACCTACCCTTTTCTACACACATGCGGAATTAGAGGACAGAAAAAACCCAGCAGCGTCCGAATAACCTCAAAAGTATAAATCGAAACCAAAGCCACAGCCATATTCAATCTATATAGGTTCCCTAGATACAATATTCACCGTCTATACACGCCATCAATGGTATAGTCCTTTTTGGGGCCCCTGACGGTGTACGCGAGGCGCCAGTCGCGCATGTTGACAGCTTGGAAGTTGAAGTCGTAGGCGACGTCGTAAAAGTCGTCGACGCAGAGGTGGCCGGCGGAGGCGCACCAGCCGCGCCCCTCATCCACCAACGGTGGCTCGGCAAACTGGACTTGGTGGAACAGGTAGTCCGCGCGCCTGGGGTCGTCGGTGCGGACGAACCACACGCTGAGCGCGTCGGCGGGCTCGCTGTAGCGCCACACGTAGCGGCGCGAGGCGCGGAACCGCAGCCCGTTGTCGGCCGTGAAGTCGCCCTCCTCGATGTACAGGTACTCCATGCCGAGGTCTGCGTCTGCTCCGGTCTCGTCGCTGTCGTCATCCACCTCTTTGATCGCGGCGTCGTCCCCGCGGCCGTCGCGCGTGCCCTCGCGCAGTAGGAACCGCGCCGTGCCACTGAAGTGGCCGCTGGGGTGGCTCGGCAGGCGGCTGACGAGGCTGCGCTCGAGCTTCCACTCGCCGAGCAGCGAGCGGAAGACGGCGCGCGCGACGAACCTGGCCGAGGGCCCGAGGCTGGCGCGGACGGTGGCTTCAGTCTGGCGAAGCGAGGCGGCGACCTCGGCGCGCTGGGCGTCACTGAGGGTTGCGGCTGGGTAGCGCGCGGGGGTGAGGACGTCCATCGCCTTGTGCGCGGGCGGCAGCCGCGGCATGTTGGACGGCGGCGGTAAGCGTTGCAGGCCGAGCGCGGCGGCAAACTCTTGCATGAGCCACGCGTAGTCGCCCATGGGGAACTGGGAGGCGCGTGGGTCAGTGCGCAACGCGAGGGTGCGGGCGACGGACGTGTCGCTGTCGAGGGCGGCGCGCAGGGCTGGCGGCAGCGAGCGCGAGGCTGGGCCGCCGGCTATCCAGAGCGCCGTGACTAGGCGAGCTTGCATCTCCATCACGCCCCAGTACGGCGAGCGGTAGAAGCCCACGAAGCCGAGCGCTGGCACCGCCGGGTGGTGCGTGCCGTGGAAGGCCAGGGCGAGCGTGTTGTTTAGGTCTGAAGGGGAGAGGGATAGCGTCTCGCGGATTGAAAGTGGCAGGAATGAGATGGAGGAGGCAGCTTCGAAGCCGGTGGCAAGTATCACGGCAGCGATATCACCGATCTGCTCTCCCGAGGGCGAGAGGGTGGCATTATGGTCTGAGAGGGACTCGAGCTTGCCGTGGGAGACGGATATGAGCCCCGAACGGACAAAGTCCATATAGTGGTCGCTGACGGCGAGATACGGCGGTCTGCTGGTATCCTCGGCTGTGACAGCGACGGCTGGCGAGAAGATAGACTGGTCATTTCCGAGAATGGTTTGGTAGATGGAGTGAACAGTCTTAGCTGCATCAACCGATATATGTCCTTGGGTGTTGACCAGCGGCTCTGGGCGGTTGGCAAGGTTGTAAGAGCCCAGATCCAACGGCAGAAAAGGGGGCGACAAAGACGCAGGCTAAGTGAGTGGTGTTGTTAGTCAAGGTTTGAATTCTTTTCTTGGCGGACTCGACTATTAGACCAAGACTTGTTATCGCTCTTTTCTCACCTTTGGAGACGTGTGCAGCGGAAAGACCCAGGCAGGTTTTTGGGTGATATGATGGATAGAGTATTTGCCTGAACTTGGTATAGGACTTTTCCCAGGAGAGTGTATCGCGGACGAAAGATGAGAGGCAATGGTGCCGGCGATTTCAATGCCCGACATCTGACCTCCGACGATGAGAATCTTGTCCCCTTTCCCCCCCGTCCCATGGAGCAGGCCGGCCAAATCCCGGTACTGGCTGCTGTGTATGACGGGAACAGCCGGTTGCTCGGCGGACAGGGTCGAGGGGATGGCAGGCCGGCCGAAGAAGCCAGACGCAACTAGCAGAAAGTCAAAGGCGAGTTCGCTGGTTTTTCCATCTCGAGAGCGGGTGTGTATACGCCATGCGGGCCCCGTGTCACTAGCGGGAAGTAGCTCGGCCTTCTCAACGCGGCAGCCGAGGTTTAGCTTTGCCTGGCGACAGTATGTCTGGAAGTAGCGCTCTAGATAGCGGCCGACCTGCCAGGCACGCGGCAGTTCAGGGTCGGCGTCTCCCCAAGCCAAGTCACTGAACTGGACGGTGTGCTTGCTCTGGTTTGCTACCATGCGGGGGTGGAGCAAGCCGACGCTGTCATTTTTCTGCGCCGGCCATAGCCCGCCAATGCGAGACTGGGCGTCGAATATGGCGACGTCAAAGGTGCCGCTCGGCACACCGTGGAGCAGCGACTTGGCAGCGACGAGACCGGAAGGCCCGGCCCCTAGCACATGGCGAGTGGCGTTAGCAAAGGATAGTCAATGATTGACCATGGTTCATGATTGATTGACGGCGGCCTAGGGACTCACCGACGATGCAGACCGTCTTGGGCATCGAGGCAAAGGCGCGGGCTCCGAATTCGGCTCGGACGGTCAGCGCGTTGAGCTTGAAGCTAGCGACTCTAGCTGCCTTCGTCCGACGTCGGGATCGGACCGCAGATAGACAGCGGGGCCGAAGCAGGGTGGGCAACCTCTAACCGCCGATGGGGGCGGGCTCGGGTGCGGGAGATCGGAGACGGGTTGAACAAAGCAATTTCCCGAGTCCATCGTGGGGCAATGCGATAGGCTGCGACGACTCGGAGGGGCTGATGGGATGGGTAATCGAGGTCTTGGCTCCGAGTGGATACCTCATAAGTAAGACCGACGCATTCCAGGTTCTTGGGAATATGCCCGTATTAGAAGGTCTGCATTTTATAGCATACCTATGCCGAGGAACTGTTAGTAGGCAGGCTTGTCTCGAACCAGAAGCTATGAATATGAGCTGATCAGCTAGGATCAACTACTAACATCCTAATGCTGATTGTTCTTGTTTCGTCCTCTGGCGCTGAACCCTGACCCCGGGAAATGTAGCTCTCGGCTTAATCCTTAGCGTCCTAGCTCTAAAAGCTTGCTTACACTGCGCTCTGGCCGCACCTGCCTCGAGCTAACTCTGTCTGCACCTGCCTCGAGCTAACTCTGTCCGGATCTGTCGTGCTAAGCTTCAAAAAGGCAGGTTTACATAAGCGGCCCTTGACATACTGTCAGTCGTGCCTGCTGCTCACGATGGATCGCTTTCAGATCACTTGCAGCCAACTGTATGCACGTCTAGTGCTGGTGGCCATCGCTGTTTTAGGGGAGGGGCTAAGGTTTTCGTCTGTCCCCACAGAGTGCAGCCAGATTCCATCCCGTCACCATCTTCGACTGCTTTGCATGAGCAAACTTGCAAAGGAGAAACGCAAACAACGCAACATGGGAACAAAGCAACCTGGTTCTTGGGTCGCATTTTGTCGCGGCTGCCCCGACCCCGAGTCTGATCGGATCTCTTCAACTTGGCGTGGCTGAACGCCTTCGGAGGCCACGTCCAGTCGCGTCGTGGGGCTCGGGGAATCTGGGCGCTGTGGGTGCCCTGGTCACAGCGCTCATTAGGCTTGAGCGGCACCATCGCCCCAACACCCCCGAACCGAACCGCGTTCCAGAATCCAGACCCAACCCAAGAAGGCACACGACGTTGTGCTGGTTCATCGCCAACGACGGGACGACGCCATGTATGGATAAGGCATTCAAAGCTCTTCTCGCTGGTGGGCGTGCATCTCCGGCCTCGATCGTCCGCTGGGGGTTCCCTTCGACCCCGCGCGACCTGACTTGTTGAACACCTCACCTCGAGAGTATCGAGCACCCCCACCACCTCAGGACCGACCGCATTATTTCCGACGATAATATTGGGACGTCAACGCCACGGCAACACGACAGGTGCATCCGATAGTTTGCGAATCCCCGACCCACCAAGCGGTGAAAACGCTTTCCAGTCCAGCAAATGCATTTACTCTTGGCACACTTCCTTTCATGGGAAGATGCAAGCTTCGCTCCGGCCGCCCTATGCGCCTAGCCAGACGCCGTCCGTCGGGCACCCGACAGCTCCTCCAGTGGCATGGCAGAATTCTCCGAGCTGAATTGCTCGGGAGCAGCCCGGTTTGACACGGTGGTGGCTAACAAAAACATGTTGCTCAACAAAACCACAACGGGAACTGACCGAAGAACAATGGTCGATGGTCGTTCCTTGCCTTGCCTCGGCCGCCCGTGTGACGCGGCAGACAAATCCCCTGGAGCTGGCGCTGGTGGTGCTGGTGCTTGCGCCATTGATGCACCCCGCAAGTTCCCCAGCTGGTATAGAGTCTCGTTAGAGCTAAGATCCGGCGTCTTGCTTTGTTTGCTCACGCGAGCCAGCGGATGACTGTGTGCCCCGCAGCTGTGAGGCATGCCGAAGCCGAGGGGGGCCGACTCGATTGGGGGCCCCTGGACCGGCGTGAAGCCTGCGAGATAGATACGACTAGGCAAGCGGTAGAGTAGCAAGGGCCGCCTCTCCGTTTTACGCAGCCTCATTGCCAATCACAGCCAAGAAATAGCCTCTGCGAATAAACGCCCACCAGCCTTCTACCAAGTCAGCATTCTACCGAAACTCGGCGGCCTGTCACCACTCTTGCTCAACATTACCGTCCCCATTGCGTAGATGGGACCCCTACGGGCCCGACGCGTCTCGGCTCCATGGCAACAGAAACGTTCGGCCCCGAATGCTCTCTATCGGACGGACAGTACAGCAGAATGTGTGTAAGCCTGGTTTTGCTGGGCCGGCCCTGGCACCCTCGGCCGTCAGTTGGACAGACTCGGGTGAATCAGTGACGATGAGGCAGTTGGGAGGGACACCAAGACCGAAGCGGATAGCCGCAGCAAAAGATTGTGACACCATCTCCATGTCCAATCGTCCACCAGTGGAAGTGCCCCTACAGCCACGACCACAGCTATCAGCGATAGCGAAAGTGACAGCAACAGCTATATGGTCGTCTGGACCATTTACTGGCCGCGGCGCACGTGGACGTCGAGCCCCATGCCTCCAATCCGCGGGCAACTACTTGGGAAATGCCATTGCAGGCAGACCGAGACCCGCAAGCCACAAATTCACGCATGGCCCGGACGTCCTGTTGGTTGACATATCCGATATTCCGGGTGCACACACAAACGCGATGCCCTGGCCAGCAGGCACCCTTGCCAGAGAAGCGTTAGTCGAGAGCAAGCGACCGTCGCCAGAGCCGCGAGCTCCCGAAGTCGACGGATGCCATGATGCGAGGATAACGCCTCCAAGGCCTAAAGGTGAACTTTATTCGGGCTTGCCGCCCTAAAGAGTGCTACTCTTCGACCTAGTCGCCACACGGGCATGTCGCACGGCGAGATGTTCTTTCCCGAGCGAGCGAGCAGGGGCGGGCGCGCACAATAGTATGCACCCACGAGCGAGAGACACAAGAAAGCAGCGGTACTTTCCCGGTCAGTGACAGCACCTCGGACTCGAATGGCTTCAGTCTGTCACACCTGTCCGATGTCGCCTCGAGCGTTCTGGACATGCATCTTGTGTGCGGGTGCCGTCTAGGATTTGCGAATATTGTGGTGATGCGAGTGTGGGACATATGTGCTCTGTGCGGAGTGCCGTCCTTGTTTCTGGATGCCCGTCGGTCTTCCCGTACTCGAGGGATTTGAGCGCACACAAAAGCGATACTATATGTATGGACGCGGCTACGGGCCGTGTCCCCAACCTCAAAAGGGCGGACCCTCAAAAGGGCGGACTGAAGGGGGTTTCTTTGTCGGCGCCCCTTCTCTCTTTCGCTCTCTCAGCCTGGTCTGGTAACCGGTGTCTTTGCGCGGCCGTGTAAAGGCCGTAAATGGCAGAGCACGCTGAATGTCTCGAGGGTCGGCTGGAGTCTGAAGACAAGAGACAGATTGTTAGGTCACACCGTGCCTTTTTAAGCAGTCGGACTGACTGGCTGTCTGGCTGGCTCGCCAGCTGACCGGATGCCTGGTACGTGGTCTGAGACCCGATGACGGCAAAGCTAAAGGACAAGAGCACCGTAACATCTCTGGCCAAGCTCTCGTCTATCTGGCATGCGTCTACATCATGCGAGGGTCCCACGGAGCGGTGGAGACTCTGGAAGTTCCCGCTAGGGATGTAGCCGGGGCCATGGCATGAGGAGACCAGAGGTAAGACAACTCGGCTCTGACGGTTCGGGACAGGGGCCCACAACCTAATTCCTCTCCCACTGCCATCCACTCCCGTCGCCTCCCCTGTCAGCTCCTCGACTACCTAGTGTACTAGCCCGTACCTAGCCCAAGACTTCCGGGGCAGGCATTGGAGCGGTTCTGGAAACGCGGGAGCTCTCTTGGCCATGGGTACGGACCATGGAGATCTAACAACCACCAATCCTACGGCAGCATCCTACTCGGCTCTCGCTTGGGGGTTCGGGCTCTCGCTTGGGGGTTCGGACTGCCGCATTGGCTTTGTCGAGGCCCGGTAAGTGATCCGGGGCTAAGAGAGTCCAGAGCGTGCTGGGCTCGACGGAGGCACAGGCCAATGCCGTTTGTTCTATTGAGGAGCGAATGGCAGAGCGCATTCGGCGTCGTCACGGAGAGTGCACAGACAGGGCGAGCGAGGGGCCAAAAAAAGCTACTAATCGACTAAGCAGCGGTTGGCCGGGGGGTAAAAAGACACGGGTATTGCGTCTGCATGTCCGTCCGGCCGGCCAGAGTTGCCAATGTCGGGGTCATTTTGAGACAGCATCCGCACAGTGGTGGAGGGTGGCATCCGCGCGTGGAGTTTTCCATTTGGCGCAAGCAAGCCCACCTCATACTTTATTGTATTCCCCAACTTTAAAAGCTTGCCCAGCAGGACCAGAGGTGTTGCTGTTGTTGCTCGTGCTGGAGCTGCTGCTGCTGCTGCTTCAGCTACTGCCGCTGTCACGTCCGCACTTTTAACTCGCCACCTGCTGTTGCGTTGGTTTGCTTTCCCTGTTCTTAGACGGTTTTGTCGAGGCCCCTGGCGCCGCCTCCACGACGCCTGGCCGTCGCCAACCAATTGCCGGTCGAACGGCACCTCCCTCGACAAGGGCGGGGCCTTTGAGATCATCGCCGACTCAATTGCCGCTTTTGACTATTCCGCAGAAGCCTCCTCCCGATTTCCGTCGCCCTCTTCCAGGTTTCCTGCAACGCAACCCCGTTGCAGAGAAAGGGGAGCCGTCGAGGGTCACATCCCTCCCCCCTCTCCACCTACCTAGCCCCCCTTCTCCACGCGCCCGCATCTACACCCACACGTATTCCCGTGGGCCTTTCGCTGAGAATCCCCGTCTCAACGGCGGCGCCGAAGAAAGCGGAGCTAGCATTTGCGCTTGCGACTAATGCCGAACGAGAGGTTGTTCTGGGACCAGTAAACATGAGCCATGGGTGAGTGATGAGGCCAATGCACCCTCAGCGAGCCCCGGATGCTTTTTGGCGGCTCCATGTTCCCTTGCACTCGGCCTTTGTCCACTGGTCCCATGATCGCTCCGTTGGCTCCAGGTCGTCCAGTGTCATTTTGACTTTTGGCATAAGTGATCGAGTCTCGCCGCAACTTGTTCCGCCTGGATTACAGTTCACTTCCCCGGGTTTATCTTCCGTCCCTTGCCTCCCCCCTCTACCTGGCCTTGGTCCCCCGCTGTTTGCCATCTGGAAAACTCGAACCAGAAATTCCCCGCGAAATTCATTTCATTTCCTGGCCCGACTTCCCCTTCCCTCTGCATAGCTGCTGTACACCATCTCTTCGAGCACGTATGGGACCTGCCAGCGCCAGCTAACCCCAGTCCTCTCCCGGGCAAACAGCGAGGACCGTCAAGTCAAGCGGGTGGTTCGCCCTCGAACCTGTAGTGAAGATGAGCGACGAGAAAGACGTCAACTCCAACGATGGCCACCGCAGCCACGATGAGGGCGCGCTGGATCTCCCCCCCGACCCGGATGCCCACCTCAGCGAAGCCGAGAGGGCGGATATCGTAAGTGCCCGCTCCGGTCCGTCCGTCCCGTTGCTCGCCGAGAGATGCGTGCTATGCTATACGATGCAGGTGTGCACATGGCACATGTCGCAAATGGCTGCACACAGAGAGCTGACGGCTTCTTCCGCTTGTTCTAGGACCGCAAACTCCTTTGGCGCCTTGACTTGAAGCTTCTTCCATGGGTCAGTCGTGCAATCTGTGCCCCCCCCCCCCCCCCCCAACAGTGCCCCTCCCCCCCACCACGGCCATCCGATCTCTGTTTGCCCCCTTTTCCCCACCCCCTTAATATGCAGTAGGAATCAGCCACGCAGCTAGATGCTGACAAGGTGCTCCAGCTATGCTTCCTATACCTGCTGGCCTTTTTGGACCGCACGAATATTGGCAACGCCAAAATTGCTGGCCTCTCGCAGTCACTCCATCTCACCACTTCAAGCTACAATGCCACTCTCTCTATATTTTTCGTCTCGTACGCCGTGTTTGAGCCTCTGACGAACATCCTCCTCAAGAAGTTAAGACCGTCCATCTTTATCCCCATCATCATGTGAGTACAGTCTTCCCCCGGCTCTAGGACCAACGAGCTCACGGCTCTGCGCAGGGCTCTGTGGGGCTGTAGCATGCTGGGCATGGGTTTCGTCTACAACTGGTCTGGCCTCATGTCGGCCAGATGGTTTCTAGGCCTCACCGAAGCCGGCCTCTTCCCTGGCGTCAACTACTACCTGTCGTGCTGGTACAAGCGCTCCGAGTTCGGCGTCCGTGCCGCCATCTTCTTCTCGGCCGCCGCGCTGTCGGGATCATTTGGAGGGCTGCTGGCCGCCGCGATCGAGAAAATGGACGGTATCGGCGGGAGGCCGGGGTGGGCCTGGATATTTATTCTCGAGGGGCTGCTGACGGTGATGGTGGGGCTTGTGTCCTTCTGGATGGTTCACGACTTCCCAGACGAGGCGGCGTTCCTGTCGGACCAGGACCGGGCGCGTGTGCTGCGGCGGCTGAAGATGGACCAGCAGTCATCGGCAGAGCATGAATCGTTCAAGATGGCGTACTTTTGGTCCGCGCTGAGGGACTGGAAGATGTGGCTCGGCATGCTCATCTACATGGGCTGCGACATGCCTCTCTACGCCTTCTCGCTGTTCCTGCCCACCATCATCAACGACCTGGGCTGGAATTCAAGCGTAATTCGCGCCCAGCTCATGTCGGTTCCGCCATACGCCGCGGCCGCCATCTTCACCGTCGTCATCGGTTTCATCGCCGACCGGACGCACCAGCGTGGCCTCTGCAACATCATCGTGTCCCTGTTCGGCGTCGTAGGCTTTGCCCTACTGCTCGGCTCCGACAACGCAGCCGTCCAGTACGTAGGAGTCTTCCTCGGCGCGCTGGGCATCTACCCATGTATCGCCAACACCATCAGCTGGATGGCCAACAACATCGAGGGCGTCTACAAGCGCGGTGTCGTGCTGGGCTTCGTCATCGGCTGGGGCAATCTCAGCGGCGTGATCAGCAGCAACATTTACTTCAACGGCCCGCGCTTCCCCGAGGGCCACGGCGTCGTCATGGGCTTCATGGCCGTGTTCCTGTTTGGCGGCTCCTGCCTCATGACAATGCTGCTCCGCCGTGAGAACGCCAAGCGCCGCCGCGGCGAGCGCGACCATTGGGTCACGGGCCTCGGCGACAAGGAGATTGAGATGCTGGGCGATCGCCGGCCAGACTTCCTATACACTCTTTAGATAGTGCCTCTTATCTCTTCTCTGTTCTCTGCACGCCTGGTTCTACCCGCCTTATTCTAGTTCATATTCTTTTCGTGTTTTGCCTCCTTTTTATTTTCCCCACATCGGCGGCAATATTGGGGGGACAGAAGCAATAAACTATCAAATCTTGACATTTTGGGACGGAGGGCCAGCTAGCATCCGTTTCCAGATTTTGATGAATGGGATTATTCTTACCCTTGTGAACTGCGCTTGTCCCTGCGTGCGTGTGGTGTGCGCGTGTGGCATGTTCATGTGTGCAGATCTCTCCGGGTTGTGTTGTCGGGGTTGTGTTGTCGGGGTTGTGTTGTCGGGGTTGTGTTGTCGGGTTGTGTTGGATTCACCAGGGTACCGGTACTGGAATCAACAGGGCGTAACTGTACGCCGAAAGCTGGTGGTTCAAGTGATGGATTGTAGATGTGTGTTCTTCTCTCTAGCTTTCTGGCAGTGCCAGAAGGCCCTTTCTTATACTACTATTGTGGTGACGAAGTGGGTGACAAAGTCTCTATCTAGAACCTTCGAGGCCCTTCTGCTTGACAAATTCCAACAGGTTGTGTTGTCTGGGTTGTGTTGTCGGGTTATGTTATCATTTTATGGGCTGGAGGTTGATGACGTAGGTGTGATGCGGTTGCTTGGAGACTGACTGCGATCACGATACCTGAGTCGACAGACAGCCTCGGAGTCGTAATTATAATGTAATTTACAGAAATATCAGACAGGCAGGGACAGTTTCCTCGTATCACGAACCCGTTCCGAAGATCACCTAACCAGTCGTCCAATTATCTGTCCATTTATCTGTCCATTTATATAGGTACGGAAATAGTATTTTTCATCCGGTTGTTTTAGCTCATGAATTTCTAGACTGTGGTCTTAGTCTGTGGATAAGGTTTGGTTAAGAAATAGAATAAAACAAGTACAATATCGTATGTGTAGAGAGAAAGTTAGAGAGGATGAGAGAGAATTTACTTAGCATATGTGTCAATTGTGCTTCATTTCGTCTAGTATACTCACACCCCATGTGACGGCCTAGGTAGTCAAGTACTTCCGTCGTCTAGACAGCTTAGTTATCCTCGATATATGCGGTAAGGTTACGAAAGCACAGGTTGGGGCGGTTGGATTGCAAGCCTCGGCTCAAGCCCATTTGTAGGCCTGGTGTTGTTCTCTGTTTTCCCTATTTACCCACTTTACTGTATATTCTCTTTAAAGCCGAAATTAGTGGGACTAGAGAAATATTCTAGAGTAAATTGTAATTACAAAGCATTCTGCAGCCCTAGAAGCCATTGACGGGGTTTTATATTGCACTGTATTTGCCTTTCATTAGCAACTTGGATGGATTTCTTTTATTAGTCGCCTTACTAATAATCTTCAACCTTTGAGAGAGTGTACGGTGTGTATTATTTTGCCTGCTTCAATAAGGCTTTGCTTAAGGAGGGACTTCCAGAGGTAGATTTATCACAAAAGTGAAATGGCTCATATCCATTATCACGTGCACGTTTAGTACACGGTACATAAATCATTTTATAAAGTACGCATTGCAATTCTGGTTTCTACTTTGTTAAAGTAACCAGGAGATACCCAAGATTATGTCTCCAGGGTAAGAACGACTGCCTAGCGAACAGAATCGACATTTGCCACGTATTGGACCAATTTGGGAGTTTCCCGTCTCAGTCCCTCCTTCCTTGAAGTTTCGAGCTCGGACACAGTGGTGTGATGGGCCACCATTAATTATCGGCCAAATCTGCGAAAATAATTCTACCTACTGAGAAATGCCCAGCCGGAGACGGGAAGGCTGTGGCATGCATCAGCTGTGCCAGCCAGAGCTGAGTGGCAGGTCCTCGCGCTTCCATTTCTGGACGATCTGCAGGAAGCCACGCAATATTACGTGCCGAATTTCGCTACAGGCGCCGAATTCCGTATCTACGGCCAATACCGTCAGGCAGCGAAGATGTGAAGGCTGCAACCGTGGACTGACTTCAAAATAAGGGCTGCTGGCAGTAAATATTTCCCAATGTATTGGGGCCGCTGTTCATTTGTCAATCGCATTAATAATGGGTTAATGAGATTGACAAGGTGACGCTCAACTGCGAATGGATTGGAACCCGACCGTCAAGAACTATTTGCACATTTTTCTTCATTGATTATCTCCCACCATTCAACTACCCGAGTGCCTACCTTATGCAACTATCATGGCGCCAACCAGCGTGGACGACCTGTGGATGCGCGCGTTAGCCGAGTACGAGGAGGAGACAAGAGTCGAGCTGAAATCCAGAACGAACATGTTCCAAAAGATCATGGCGTATTGGAGGGGAGAGGCTGGCAGCGCGCAGTCCGAGTCCGCGATGAGGGCAACAAGCACAAGCCTGGTCGATTATCTCGTGCAAGAATGCTCAGACTTCAAGACGGCAAGACACGGCAACGGCGTCATGGACAAGACCCGGAGCGTTCTCTCCAGAATATCGGTCCCTCTGAGGTCGCTGGCGCCCACTGCCGGCAATGCTGCCAGCGCTGCCTTTCCTGCTGCCCCCGTGCTGATGGTCGTCTTCACCCACATACTCGGCGCGTGTGCTCGCCTGAGCGACGACTTGGACTCGATCGAAAAGCTTTTCGAAGTCACCAACCACTTCCTCGACCGCCTGCGCCAGCTCGAGGGCAAGCTGCCGCCCGATACCGTGTACCAGGAGCAGGTGACTCGAGTCTTTTGCGCCGTCTTGGCCTTTTGTACCAGGACGCACAAGCTTGTTGCGCCCCCCAAGCCGTCTAGCAAGATAAGCAAGAGCTCCGAGCCGGCCAGGCCGCGCGTGAAGAGGCTGAGTGCATGGTTCAAGGCAATGGGCCGAGAGGGAGGGGACCAAAAGCTCAAAGAAGCCTACGAGAATGTCATCAGGGCTCTCGCCGATCTAGACTCGGCCACCATCATGCAGACACTGGCTTCGGTCAGCGAGTAGCGCTCCGAGGCCAGGGGGGCTGCCGATCGAATTGAAAAGGCCATGGTGAGCCTCAAAGGCGAATTCAAGGGATTCACACGGCTCTGGGAGACGCCCATCGAGCAGCAGGCCACGCTCCTGAGGCAAATGATGGCCATGCTCAAGCGCCTCGATCACCCGGCCAAGCCGAACACGGTAATGGAGCAGCGAGGAAAGCCCGGCGAGATTCCCCGACAGGACAAGGTCAGCCGTCTCGACAACTTGCCCAAGGTGGATGGTCCCGACCCCATGGAGCGCGAGTCCCAGACGCTCGAGTCCATTGCTCACATCCTAACGGTCGGCGTCGAGAGCCAGGTGGCGCTGCGCCTGGGAATTCTCGAGCAATCCCACGTCCCCGGCATATTCGACCAGATCAAGCGCAGGGACGAGTACCGAAACTTCATGTCAGACAAGGAGCGCCTCTTGTTCGTCGGCGGGGCCTGCGGCATGGAGAAGAGCATGCTGTCGTACTCGATCTACAAGGACCTGCTAGACGAGTTCAGCGACAAAAGCTCGACTTCGGTCGTGTACTTTGCCTTTGACGACGAGGCGCAGGGCTTGCAGTCGGTCCAGAACATGCTTTGCTACTGCGCCGTGCGGATTGCGAACCAAGATGACGCGTACTCGAACGAAGTTCTGGACCTGATCCGAGGTGGCACCAAGGCCGAAGACGACCTTGGCCGCAACGCGTGGGACAGGCTTTTCCGCGAGCGGCTCGACCCCGAATTGAAGACGGCGAGGAGTCTGGTCGTGATCCTCGATGGCGTCGACCAGCTGCCAGCCGAGGAGCAGAGGGTCTTGGCCAAGCATCTTTTATATTCCCAGGCGTCAAATCTCCCCATTCGCTTCCTCCTGGCCGGGGAGTCGGAGAACTTGGAATCGGAACCGGATCCAGAGAGAGCAGTCGAGGTTCCAAAAGGTCCCGATGCCCTGGCCGTGGAGAACACGCTGTTCACCTCTGTTGTCTTGCCGGGAGTCTGGGCGACGCCGGAAGCGGGTGAGGGCAATCTCCCTCACACTCTTCGAGGGGCTACCATCGTCCTCGACCGAAACATTATACGCGACGAAATAAGGCGAGTTGCCCAAAGCCGCATCAAAACCCTTCCGGGACTCTCCCATCTTCCACACTGGCTGAAGACCAATATCGTCAAGAAAATGAGGGAAAAGGCCGACAGTACGTCCCACTTGGGCTTTTAACTCGGCCAATCAAGTAGGGAACTAGCCTGAGAACTGACAATTGTCGCACCGATTAGGCTTCCTCTACGTCGAGCATACACTGCGCCGATTCAACGCTATCGGGAACTGGTCAGGAATCTCCCGAGCGTTTGATTCGTTGCCTGAAAACACCACCCATTTACACAGTTCGCTCCTGAACGAATGCCTACAGCACCAGACGGACGCCCACAAGGCGGCTCTCCAGAGGCTTTTTGGCTGGCTCGCATACTCCAAAAGCCGGCTGAGCCTGGGCGCCGCGACACGGCTGCTGACGCTGGGCTATCCCAGTTCCGGCCTAGTCATCGAACAGGAAGTTGGCGGGCAGCTGTCGAGGTGAGAAGGAGAAGGGCGGCGGGCACTTGGCTGGCACGTGGAAGCTAGGCTGATTGGGTTCGCGTTTGTGGCAGAGTGCTCGACATAGTGGATCACTACGACCCAAGCGAATACGACGACAGCGACAGCGACAGCGACGATGCCTCGAGCAGCCACAGCGTGGCAGTCAGAAAGATCAAGAGCTTCCTTGGCTTCCAGGAGCGGTCGTTTCGAGTATACTTCCGCAAGGCCCTCGAGTCAACCGACAACGACAACCTCCGCTTTTCGGACCACGCCGCCCGCGTCATGATGTTTGAGATGACGGCCGAGATTCTGACCATGGCTCAACCTGATGGCGGATACAGCGATGCCGAGAACGAGCTGATCTCGTACGCGTCGGCATCATTCCGTGGACACTTGCTCGGCTTGAAGGGGTTGAGCGCCGAGGAAGCCGGGCTGGCAACAACGCGCCTTCTCGCAGTGCTGCAGGACACCAACGGCGCCCTGAAAAAGCTGGAGGAGACCAGCGACCCGTACCGCGGCGATCAGCCGTATAGCGTCTTCGGGTCGACGAGAAAGGAGGTAGACGAGGCATTTCGGGTTATTGTGGATCTGCTGGAGCTGACGTCGGTAGTGCCATCCGTTCCGGCCCTTGGCGACCAGCAGCTTAGGCCCCTTCGAGATGCCGAGCTGACCGTGAACCAGCTTGGAGATCGCGCAGCTATCCTGGGCCACACTGCCAAGAGACACATCCATAACTGGCTATTTGAGGCCGACCTGCCGTCGACGGCCTACAGGTCTTTTCGGTTCGCCCACCAGGCCCTCTGCTACCTCCCAGGCGCCACCTCGAATATAATGTTTGACCGGCTGGTCGCGAGCGAAGTTGTCGACGCTTTCCGCACGGAGCGGACAGAGCTGGCTGTCAAAGACAAACATATCACGCCAGCATCATTTTCAGCCGTCGCAGATTGGGGCCACTCCGGCAAGACAGCAGAGGTCCACAAACGGATCTCCCTAGCCCTGTTCTTCTACAATTTCGTAGACGAGGCACTGCGCCATGCCCGGCTGGGATTTTCAATCACCAAGTCGGATCGACACAAATTCGAGCTGAGCTATAGGATCGCCCGATCAAAGTTTGCCATGTGGGAGGCTGCCTTCAAGCCGAGGAGCAAGACCTTCAGCCGACTAATCGAGGCCGAAGCGAATTACCCATTGGAGAAGGTCGAGGACGTCGAAGTCCATGCGGGCGAGGTGGACAAGAGCAACGGCCTCGAAATGGCGACGGCAGGCGCTGCCGCGGCGGACGTCGTGAAGGCACTGGAAACGTGTTTGGCGTATTGGGCTAACGGGCTTGGATCCGATGAGGGTCTGGGTCTAATGTATAACATCGCGTACCAGATGAAGGCGAGGCTCGAGGTGACCCTGAAGGGCCGGGAAGGCGAGGCCATCGAGAGCATGGAACACGCCGAGGCAATGAAGACGCCGGGCTCCAGGATCCGCTTCTTTGATGAACTCATCGAGGCACTGGGAGAGGGCGAGATGTGGGGCCACATTGTCAACCTGCTGAGAAAATTGAAGAAGGACAATCCGCTCAACGGGAATAGGTGGGATATGACGTATCGGGCGATCCACAGGGCGGCAAAAGAGGGAGAGCCCGAGGACCGGGCGATGGTCCAGGAGCTGTACCTAGATGCCATTCCAGCCTTTTTGGAAGGGGCGGGATCCGAGGCTCTAGAGACGATGCTGTGGTCTGCCAGGTTCCACTACCGCGTCCTCAACGACGCAGCCACGGCCAAGGAGCAGCTCTCGAGCATCCTCGAGGTTCGCCACTCGGGCCTGGCCTGGTCCGCCAGCGCCAGCAGGGCGCTTGCCAACATCTTGACCGAAGAGTTCCGCATATCTAGCGACCCCGACGCCAAGACCCGGGCCATGGACGATATGAGGAGGCTGGTCGACAAGGCTGAGAAGCGGCACGCGGGCTCGGCCAAGACGGAGCAGGGGCACACACGCATCCCCCTGGCTATCATGCGCCGGAAGATGGGGCCAGCCAAGGCATTCTACGACGAGATGAACACCATATTCAACGGCTGCATCGAAGCGCTGCGCGACAATCGGTCGGATAACGACAACTACAGCTTTCGCATGCTCGCCAAGACGCTCGCTCTCGTGCCCGGCCTGGAGACGCAGGCCCGGGTTGCGCTCTCGTGTCAGTTCTCCATCGCAAACAGAAAGCTGTATGACAGAGAAATGGAGGAGAGCAAGCAGAGGCGTAGGGACGACAAAGGGGCTGATGGTAGCAACGCAGGAGGCCCACCTCGCTCAGAGCCGTACGAGCCGTACGTGAATGACCGCGTAGCGAGCCACGAACCACACATCAGCCACGGCTCTTTTGCATCTAGAGCCACGTTGGCGGACCGGGAGGGCAGGAGCCAACGCTTCGGTTCCCAGGCTCATGGAGATGCGGCCAGTCCTCCATACGAAAAGCAGCCACACCAGTACCCACAGTACGAGCGGTCACAGTTATATGCGGACGAGCACGAGTTGTCCGTGCTCAAGGGCTCTCATGTTGTCAAAAGCGAGCCAGAAGAGGGCGAGCAGCCCACGCCGCCGCTCTCTCGAGCGGCTACCATGGGCCTTTACGGAGCGATCAAGGGCAGCAAGGACAACAGCGACCATGGCATCGGGAATAGCGCCGGCGGAAATAGCGGGTACTGGAGCATCACCTGTGCGGATTGCCGGACCACGACGACCACGTTTGAGGACGCGGCCGGAAAGCACTGGTACCTGTGCTACTACTGCGCCGACACGGACCTGTGCGAGGCGTGCTACGACGCCCGGGAGAGACGACATGGCGCTGATACGCCCGGAACGAAGGATAAGATCGAGGCGTGCCCGCGCGGACACGGCCACGTCAAGGGCCCCGTGGAGGGGTGGAGGGGTGTCGACGACAACGGTGTAGTCAGATATGGCAATGTCGAGATCGAGGTGCAGGACTGGCTGACAGGGCTGGGGAAGGAGTGGAAACAATGCTGGGACGAATATTGGCTGTGAATATGCGGTGGCAGGCTGCGAATGCTACCAGATTTGAATATTTCCGTTTTCAAAACCGGGGCATGATTAATTCTCCTCTTTAAGTGCCTTGAGCGAGACATGTAATTACTCCTATTCATTTTCCTCGCCAGCCTTGTCTCCGCCGCTCTCCCGCTCCTTGTCTCCGCCGCTCTCCCGCTCCCTGTCCTCCTTTCCCACCTGCTTCTCCATGTCGACCGTCACCCAGCCGGACGTGTCGGGCGTGTCGGGCACGTCGGGCGCGTCGGGCGCGTCGGGCGCGTCGTTGCCGCTCAGCACCTCCACCGTCCCCATCCCCGTCGAGCGGTCGAGCTAGTAGAAGGCCAGGTCGTTAATATCGTGCTCGGGCAGCACTCCCCTGGCGGAGCAGGCTCAAAGTCCCACGGGACATTCCGCGGCCGCGCCGCGTCGGCAAGCGCCCAGATAGACTCGAGCACCTTCTTGCCGGGCGTGGCGAGGCGCGGCCGCAGGCTGCTGGCGCTGCGTGTGCTTGTCGGCGACGAGTTCGGAGCAGGCCTCGAGCAGCGCCCGCGCGTCGCTGTGCTGCCCGGCCAGCGCGCTCAGCACGTTCAGCGACGCCACATCGTCCCACGTCTCGTCGAAACCGTCGTCGTGCTGCACAAAGCCGCGCGTTAAGATCGGCGCCACCGCCTCGCGCGCGACCTGCGCTGGCTGGCTGGCTGGCCGCGCCAGTCGCGGCTCCGGATGTGGAACATGTCGGCGGCGGTCTGGTTAGTTATGAGGTGGTAAGTTATGGGGTGGTAATGATCCAGGCACCAAGGTAGGTGGTGGGTAGGTATGTGATTACATGGGGCGAGTGATTCTTGGGCTTGGGGTCAAGTCTGCAACACGTTGGCGCCCTGCCAGAAGCGGCAACGATGAGAAGCGGTAACGATGCCCACGCTGTGAGTATCTGTCGACTGCGCTTGTGTGCTCGTCCATCACCGCCTACTGCATCTCGTGGTCGTGTCTGCAGTAGCGCCGTACCATGTAGATGATGTATGTACGCACACGAATCAACGCCTGGGTAATCGTCACGAGGCGGTGCGTTGTTCTTGCATCGTGTAACGACAAAGGTGCGCCGAGACTGTGAGGGCGGAATCGTGTTGCACTTTCTCGTTTCCTGCATGTCGTATGCGGTCGGTCCAAGTTCAGGGCGGACGTGAACAAACAAGTCCGCAGGTGGCAGGCAAGCAAGCAATCAAGCAGCCTGTGGGCGCAAAGGGACAGACAGGACTCGGCCAGGAGGATTCGGGCTGAGAAACCGGCCCATCATGGCATCACCAGATGACAGCCACCAATTGCAGATGCAGGCCGGGGTTTGTGTAATTAAGGAAAAACGGCCCTTTTCCCCTAGCCCCTTGGTTCCTGTGTCTTCGCGCCAAATTCATGTCGAACACGTTAATTTAGACCTGGGGAGGCATTCGAAGCCGCCGGCGGGTTTTGGCGGCGGCGACCTTTCTGCAGCACCACGGAGATGCGAGCTTGCCCTCCAGACGTGGACGCATACGGGCGGCGAGAAGACCGGTCGGGTTTTGTGTCGTTCTGATTCGCCGCCCTGTGCCTCTTGATCTGCAGATTAGGTTGTGATAGCTGTGTCTGGGAAGTGGGCGAGCCGCAAGGCTCTCGGATGGGGCAAGGCTGCTGTAGCGTTGCGGCGTGGCAAAGTGCCATGTTTCGGGCGTTTTGTTTCGCGCATCTTTCGGGGCTTTGGGCTTGCTTTCCTGCACTTGTGATTGACGGAGCGGGCTGTGGGGGTCTGCCTGCATGCTGCCGCGCAGTGGTGATCGAGGCCGACAAGGCCTGCCGCCGGACTATTATCAGTGGGGCCGTCTCCTCATACTACCTCACGTAGTGTGCCCTGGCTTTGCCTCGTCGTTGCAGCCTCTGCCGGCTCGACTCCGCCTGCCGAGGCACCCAATCGGCTCAGAGCGGCCTCTTCGGAACTTTGGTGATGTGGCATGCACGCGTATTCCCCAGGCTTGGGTTGCTTGGCCATGTCTTGATTTAACTGATCGGGCTCGATGTTGGGTCCTGCGTCAACCAGAATAACCTGACATGCAAGAACATGGACAAGGGACAAGCAAGAACATGGACAAGGGACACGCAAGAACATGGACAAGGGCCCCGGCCGTTGTCCACTACTGGGCCGCTGAGCAGCATGCAGCTATGTTGTGCAGATTCAAAAAGTCATGCTCGGGGCCTGGTCCAGTGCCGAGCTGCCCAGTGCCGAGCTGCCCAGTGCCGAGCTGCCCAGTGCTGCGTGCGGTGTTTGGCCACGAAAAAAAACCACCTTTCTCGGTGAGTCATGCACGCTCACAGGGCTGGGCTCGACCGCCTCTCCGTTTTGGCTTCGCATGCATGGGCACAGTGGAGAGGGCCATGGCATGGGCGAGCATGGGCAAATTGGTCAGACAGGACCTGGGCCAGAGGAGCCCAGGCTTCACCGCTCCGCCGCTCCTCCTAAACACAGCCTCCCACGGCCTACAAGACAGCCAAATTCCATCACACCTATCAGGACAGGAGTGCACTTAGTGCCCAAAGCCAGCCTGACAGCGTTGGGGGTTGCCGAGTTGGACTCACCTCGTCAATCATAGAAATGTTGTATTCATACTCGTAGTCTCCTATTCAACGTCTGCTTGGCTGGACACCGGACCCGAGCACTCTTCCTTGCACGTTCCCCATTACACACCTTAGCCCGTCTTCTATTTATTCAGAAAGGTCCGACTCCAAACTTTGCTTGTTAGTCTCTCAAACAAGTCCCCTTCCCGTCCTTCACAGTTGACGATTTGAACCCAAATTGTTTCCGCACCTCGTCGCTTTCAGACTCGCCAACCACACAACGCCTCTTCAAACTTCTTCCCAAACCGGCTCTACACAGCAATTTACCTCGGTGGTCAAACCAGAAGAAAGAAAATGGCATCTACATCCGGCAACACCGACACAAAAGAGGGGAGCACCACCGAGAAAGGTGCCGCGGAAACAAACAGCACGAATGATAATTCGCAATATCAGGTAATGCGGCCTGAGCTTCGGTTTTTCGGCTCCAAAATCAGACGATAGCTGACAGTTTCGGACACTGGCCGGGAAGATCGAGAAGGCTACTAAGCGGGATAGCCGGCGCTACTACATCTGCGCCTGTCAGGTCTGCATTTGCGGAAGGTCTGTCGACTACCCCGGAGACGCTTGCGACACGTGCTCTCGCCACGCATTCTAGCTAGGCTAGTCCAGGGCGACCACTCAAAAGCCGTAAGTTGCAATGTACTCAAAGACGCTTTGAATACAGCAAGGCTAATAAACACAAAAGCCCGAGTTGATCAGGAGCCACACAGCGCCCGGACCTACCACGCTCGCTCGACCCAGTTCAGAAACATGGGATGAAAGAGGCGGGAGGGATGCGGGGATACTTCTTGTAATTCTAGCATGAGTTTGGCACGAGACAAGACATGTGGTGGAAGCTAGGGGGTTGTAGAAGACCTCCCACAATGAACTTGATGACTTCCTCACAGCCCACAGGCAAGCACTGGCCGAGTACTCTCAATGAAATGAGCGGATCGCCCGTGAAGCCATCCAGGACACGAACTGGACTGACTCTCGGGGCACCTCCAGGACACGAACTGGACTGACTCTCGGGGCACCTCCAGGACACGAACTGGACTGGCTCTCGGGGCACCTCTATGACACGGCTTTCATGCTCCTTCTGTCCAAGCCCATTCGATTTACTGTGCTGTCGCATATCAGTCTTGTTTCAAGGGCAGGGAATTGACGTGAATTGATTGCATCTCCAAGTGCTCGGAATCTCAGCCTCTGGACAACACAGATGACGAACATGATACATACTGCGACAAACTAGGGGGCAAGGAGCTTTTAATCTTCACTGTTCGGAAACGAGTATACAAACCTAACCACAACTTGTATACAAACCTGACCACAACATGTATACAAACCTAACCACAACGTGTATACAAACCTGACTACAACGTGTATACAAACCTGACCACAACGTCAAGAATACCCCAGCGCGGCCTCTCCTTGCATCTCAAACCCAAGCCACCACAAAGCCCATTGATTCATTCACCCACCACCGCATTCCCACTCCCCACCTTTAAAAGAACCACCCATCATCAGACACCCAAACCAACCCATTACCCAATCACCCCTTCACCCAAGAAAGAGCACGCTCGCGCCCGCCACCGCCGCCGGGACGGCCTGGACAAAGAGAATACGGCGATTGGCCGTCGCGCCGCCGTACACACCGGCAACGACAACACAGCCCAAGAAGAACAAGCGGATCTGCGCGGCGAACTCGGGAACGGGGTGCGCCAGACCCCACGCCAGCCCCGCGGCCAGGAAACCGTTGTAGAGGCCCTGGTTGGCGGCCAGCGTGCGCGTCTGCGCCGCGAACTCGGCCGTCAGCCCGAACGCGCGCCGCCCTCGTGGCTTCGTCCAGAGGAACATCTCGAGTACGAGGATGTACGTGTGGATTAGTGCGACGAGGGCGGTCGCAGCGGCGGAGACGGGGGACATTTTGTGCTGCGGTGCGGGTGCGGTGTGGTGGTGAGACGACGGGGGTGAGATGAGATGAGGTTAGGGGGCCGGCTTGTCGTTTGGTTTTGGAGTTGAATCTGTATATTTTCGAGAGCGGCGAGAACGGTAATGACAGCGAGCGACGGTAATCACAGCGACGGTAATCACAGCGTATGTGGTAAGTGACGGATATTTGCAGTTCAATGGTGGTTGGGAGGAGTTGAGAAAAGACGAACTTGGAAGCGACGTGAGAACGGGGAGGCGGTAATAAATCAATGCCTGGCGTGAGTGATTTTATGTGCGCAACGCAGCCTCGTTTATCAGGTTGCAAGGCACGCTATAAACCGAATCAACAGTCCTTATTCGGCCACGAGATTTCCTTGCTGCAAGCGTGTATTTGCTGTCAGACGGCCAGCTAATTAGCCCCTTGCCTCTTGCTTGACTCCTATGGAGGTCCTTTTGTTCACTTCACACGGACCCAAGGTTTGGCAGCCGATGACATGACTTTATCCCGCCAGGAGAGCTGCGACCCAGCATTCTTGACCCACGTGATTGTTGGCTCCAAACAAAAACACATTCTCGGCCGGGACGGGACCCTTGGGCCCCCTGTGGAGCACGATAAACGGCTGAGCTAGCAGGACCAGGGTCTCTGGCGTCAGGGGTCGGCCCAACCGCGTGGCGGGGTAAGTCGGCCCTAGCATCGTCCAGTGCCTTGAACCTTCCTCGACGGATGCGCACCTTACCTGAGGAGGTGCAGCACAGTAGGTGCAGCACAGTAACGTAACAACTGGCACCTACCTACCTAGGCGATGCATGCCTTAGTGTAAAGCATAATCGCCCATGTCCCATCGTTAAGCCGAGAGCGGCCTGGCATCTTGCTGCTGCGTTTTAATTCCTCCCAGCTCTCCAACCAAGACGCGCGGCACAGCAGTGGTACCTGCCAAACAAGTCGCGGGCGTTGGGCAATGCCCAGATTCACCATGTTCTTGGCGTCGCACCAGGCAGCTTGAGCCTCAGCCTCGGGAGGGGCAGAGCACAAAAGCTCAACATCACTCCAACTTCCCGCTCTACTACCTAGATACATACCATCGCCCAAGACCCAAGGTAGCTTAGCTTCCTGAGATAAACCTACACGCCATCTCTCGACCTCCAGCATACGACTTGCTTGCCTTGCAACGACCTGCTTGCCTTGCAACGACTTGCTTGCCTTGCAACGACTTGCCTGCCTTGCAACGACTTGCCTGCCTTGCAACGACTTGCCTGCCTTGCAACGACTTGCCTGCCTTGCAACGACTTGCCTGCCTTGCAACGACTTGCCTGCCTTGCAACGACTTGCCTGCCTTGCAACGACTTGCCTGACTTGCAACGACTTGCCTGCCTTGCAACGACTTGCCTGCCTTGCAACGACCTGCTTGCCTTGCAACGACCATCCACCCCGCCGCTGTTGAGCATTTCTCTTCTCCTAGGCTGAGCGACTGTTCGGTCCAGACGCGTCGCATTCCTCCTCTCCCCAGCAAGCCGTCCTACCTACCCACCCAACATGAAGCTCGCCATCTTTGGGTCCAAGCAGTACGACAAACGCTTCATCTCGGCCGTGTTCGCTTCGTCCGAGTTCGAGAGCAAGAAGTCGGTCGAGCTGGTCTTCCACGACTTCCCCCTCTCCACCGACACAGTGGCCCTCGCCCAGGGCGCCGAGGCTGTCTGCGTCTTCGTCAACGACAACCTCAGCGCCCCCGTCCTCGAAGCCCTGCACGGTGTCGGAGTGCGCGCCATTCTGCTGCGCTGCGCCGGCTACAACAATCTCGACCTCGAGACGGCCGAGCGCCTTGGCTTCTTTGTTGCCAATGTCCCCGCCTACTCGCCCGAGGCCGTTGCCGAGTTCGCCATCGCCCTCATCCAGACATTGAACCGCAATACGCATCGTGCCTACAACCGCGTGCGAGAGGGCAACTTCAACCTTGACGGGCTGCTGGGTAAAACACTGCGTGGAAAGACTGTCGGCATTGTCGGTGTGGGCAAGATCGGGTTGGCATTGGCCAGGATCTTGCAGGGCTTTGGGTGTCGGCTGCTCGCCTTCGACCCCTTTCCGACCGATGCCTTCAAGCAGTACGGCGAGTACCTGGCCCTTGACGACCTGCTGCCGCAGTGCGACTTTGTGAGCCTGCACTGCCCGCTGATGGATTCAACGCGGCACATCATCAACGAGCACTCGCTGCTCAAGATGAAGAAGGGCGCCATGATTGTCAACACGTCCCGCGGCGGCTTGATCCACACTAAGAGCGTCATCGCCGCCCTCAAGAACCGACACCTTGGCGGCCTCGCACTGGATGTGTACGAGGCTGAGGCTGCGCTCTTCTACCAGGACCATAGCGACGACATCATCCAAGACGACGAGCTTATGCGGCTCTTGACCTTTCCCAACGTTCTCGTCAGCGGCCATCAGGCCTTCTTCACCGAAGAAGCCCTCACCGAGATTTCGGAGTGCACTCTCCGGAATCTCGACGACTTCCTCCAGAAGGTTCCCTGCAAGAACTCGCTCGTCAACAAAGAGAAGCCGCTGGCGAAGCGGGCTTCCATTCCCGTGAGAATCTGACGAGGCTGTCCGCCTTTTCAGCACTACACGGCTCTTGAAGCACCACTTTGGTGGCCTGCACTGGGCTAAACGTGTTTGGGTGGCTTCTATGACCCCCTGGTGGCTTTATATTACGGCTGATGACGAATAAACCACACTCTGCTCGACCACGACACGAAGGAAACGAGATACCTACCTATATAGACTGGGCGCAAGTTTGTTACATACCACTCAATACACAGAATTCTCATGCTTGCCTGCTGTGCGTGGCTAGGATGCATCTCCGTCGTGGAATGTATGCCATGCTTGACTTGACGTGGGTTCCCCCTTACCCCTTCAACGGACTAACACCATCGCTCTATCACACGGCCGCAGCAGCTGCCACCAATTTTAGTTCAACATCCTATCCCCACATGGGAAGCGAAAGACGACGAAAAAAAACGCAGGTTGCCCTTCTGGCGTGACCGAAACGTCCACAAGCGCCTGAAGACAAGGGAAAAAAAATCTATCCAAGTTGCCCCCTAATTCTCTCCTTGTTCCTTCCAGCCTCTCGGTCAGCCCAGACTATTATCGTCGGCAACCTCAAGACTGACTCGACTCGGCAGGGTTCCCATTGAATGCGATCAAGTTAGGACTGTTTGGGCCCGGGTCGGTGACGAGACTAGCCGTTGCTTTGTCAACGACCAGTTTGCGAACCTGATCTGGTGCCAATGGACCGTACAGGCCCATGAAGTAGGCAGCCAGGCCAGCGACGTGGGGCGAGGCCATGCTGGTGCCACTGAGCACGGCAGTGGCGTCGTCGGCGGCGTTCCAGGCCGACGTGATGCTGTCGCCGGGCGCAAACACCGCGACCCCCGCGCCGAAATTGCTCCAGTACGGCCGCGTGTCGCTGTCGTCGATGGCGGCCACAGCGATGGCGTAGTTGCTGCCGGCTGGCGAGACGTTTGCTACATCCTGGTCTTCGTTGCCCGCCGCCACCACCACCGTCACGTTGTAGTGCTGCGCTGCGTTAGCTACGGCGTCGTTGACCGACTGCATGACGCCCCCGCCCAGAGACATGTTGATCACCGACAGCCCGAACGCGTCGCGCGCCGCCGTGTCGTTGCACGCCCACTCTACCGCCTGGATCACGCCCGACCACGTCCCCTCCGAGTTCCCGTCAAAGACCTTGAGCGCCACCAGCCGCGTCTTGACCGCAACTCCATAGTGCAGGCCCCCGATTGTGCCCGCCACGTGGGTGCCATGGCCTGCCTCGTCGTCTTCCGAGTCGTTGTCTTCGATGAAGTTTTGGCCCCACACGGCGCGAGACGGCCCGTCCGAGTCCCCGTTGACGAACTCGGAATGCGTTAGCCGGATCCCGGAGTCGATGACGTACACGGTCGTGTCGTCGCGCGGCTCATAGACGTAGCTGGACACACCGCGATCTCGGTGAGATATGCGTGCTTGGCCCCTGGGTGCACAAGGTGTCAGTGACTGCTTCCCTCGAGAGGCTGACAGATTCAAGGCGCCCTTGACATATCCTCGCATAGTCACATGCCCGCGTTGTGTGTGGATGATAGGAAAGACGTCTAGCCACATTACATACCAGCTGCCCGGCGTTTCCACGGTGCGGACATTGCCGTATAGGCCTCCCGCAGCTGCGGCGCTCGCGCTGCCGCTATCGAGCTTGGGCTCGGCCCTGCGGTTAGTGTCAACGTGCTTGCCTTGACCCATAGGCGAGGCGAGGCGAATCACGGCGTCCTGCTCGACGCGTTTAATCTATTCGCGGCCGAACACATATGTTAGCTAGCCAGCTTCAGATATTCCAATGTTGTCGCCGGCTTTCTCATAACGTCCCCAACAGACATAACGCCCAGTCCCAGAATAACCAAGTCAGGGAGAAAGAGAAACGCTTACGAGGTTGTCATCCCTCAGCTGTTGGACCTGCTCGGGAGGGAGCTCGCCGTGAAAGGCCGAGAAGCCGCTTCCGATGTTGATGTGCTTGATGACGCCGCGGTAGGCGCCGGCGGGGTTGACCACGGCCGCGGCGTGGACCGAGTTGAGGTGGGCGACGCGCGCCGCCGCCTCGACGCTGTCGTGGTACTGCACGATGTAGTGGTTCGGGATCGGCGTCGTGTTGCTGAAGGCCACCGGCGGCGGCGTCCGCGCTGGCCCGGACAGCGAAGGGGCCCGCGCGGAGCTATGGATGTTGTTGGTGGTGACCTTGCTCTCGCATTCCCTGCTGCCGATGGCGAGGACCAACAGGAGCGAAACATGCCTTAGGCGGAAAGCAGACAGCGCCGCCATGGTTTGACTAGGTTTTCGTGTTCTGGACAAGGAGACTGGCTGGCTGGCTGACTGAGAGCGCGAGTGGCAGAAACAGACAGAGTTTGCCGATGGACGTGTAGTCAAGCAAGCAAGCAAGCAAGCAAACGGGTTATTACTCTTGCTGCCGAGTGAGATAGCTGGATGGATGGTGGGTAAGCAAGCAAGCAAGCTGGCTCGGAAACCCCCTTAAAACGCTGTCTTGATAGTCAAAGATATGACCCCGAGAAGAAAACTCACGCTTGCGCACGAGTATATATGTGTGAGTGTGTCAGTACAAGCCAGTCAGGTCCATTGTAGACACGTTGGCGACGGGGTCGCTTTTATAGACAGACTCTAGACGAAAGTAAAAAGCGGTTTCCCTGTCAATCTGTCCATCTCGTCTCTTGCTCTCACTGTGTCCGTGTCTATGGGTGTGGGTGTGTCCGTGTCTGTGGGTGTGGGTGTGCTCGTATGCCGAGTTTGCAACGTGTGCAGAGAGCATGTCCATCATTCGCGATGTTCGTTCGTCTACTCCGCCGAGACCAATACCAGAGTCAAGCCACGGAGTCGATATTGCCACCTGCTAGTCTAGTCCGATGGCATGGGATGGAAAGCGCTGCTCGACGTGAGTTTGGCCCCGTTCCGGACAGCTTTGTTTTCGCGACCGAGGCCATCCGTCCATCCACGCATCTGGAGCAAGGCAGCTGGGTAGCTACCTCTAGCCAGGCATGTAGGTACGCAAGTCATTTTTGTGTGCCAAGTCACGCGCCAAGTACCTATCGAGTCCGCGTTGGGATAGATATTGGAGTTTAGTCTGAGGTGGTCGTATTCTAGTCATCTACTTACCTAGTCACTGGCAAAATCCCCTCACCCGCCCGGCCCAGCATTCCGGGTTCGGACGGCGTCGACACACGTTCGGTCTCGGGCATATTGGTAATTGTGCAACGGTGGCTAGATGGGCTTGCCACTCCGTTTACTCTAAGACTAAAAAGGAGTGGAAAGTGAATGTGTGGCGTTCGAGCTCCCTGGGCCTGTAGTCATTCACCAAGAAGCAGGGCTGGCGATGTCTCCTTACAGTGGCAACCTTGTGACACGGCGCCGCATCGGCAGCCTCGCAAAATGGAAGGTAACAGTGGTGGGAAAATGTAAATATAGTTATACTCGCTAAATAGGCCCGCAATCCTGCCGAGGAGGCGCAAATATGGTCGTAGATTTTCGGTAGAGTCCGTGAAGATATCTGAAACATAAAAAAAGGAGCACGCTCTAGTATTTAAATGCCAAGAAATCATATATCCGAACCCCAAAGTGGCTAACACCTAACAGGAAATTTCCTCCACGGGCCCCATCAGGAAGGACAAGATCCTGCCCGGACACCCCTTTCCCCGAGAGCGAGTGACACAATCGCCGTGGAGGCTGAGACCAGAGGCTGAGACCTGTTCCACAAGAGCCGCCAAGTCCAGTAGGAGGAGTGGTAAGAAGCAAGGCTGCTGAGCGACTCCGAGGGACACAGAGCGTAGCCAAGCCAGGCGGGGAATTTTAAGATCTGCGACAAAAAGTTGGCAGTTCGTGAGTCTCGTGCCATGTTTCTCGCTGGGGCCATTGGGTTAGATGCGAAGCAAAAATGCCGAAGCGCTGGCTATCGAATCAAGCCCGGCCAGCAGCCTTCCTCGCCGAGGACTGTCGGCGTGCATACTCGGCCGGGTCCAGAATTTGTCCCGGACCATACGGCCGTGAGTTGGTAGGCGTATATGGGGTGTTATTCACGTATCCATTAGGGTAATATCGCTCCGGAGACGATTCCTGGTTTCCTATTGGTGATGCGCGTGCCGGCGACTGTGCATATGCCTGAGCTTGCGTGTGGCTATTCCTCTCCTCTGTCTGAATCTTGTCTGGTCGTGGCGGGGGAGGGGGTGCATCCATTGGGGGCCTCGAGTAGCGGCCATCAGCCCCGTGTTGCAAAATAGCGGACTGGTCGAGCCTGGGGGGCGCGTGTCCGTTCGGATCGCCAGTGGGGGCGGCAGTTGGCACATATCTGTGTCCATTTCTGCCGTCTCTATCGTCTCTGCTGGCCTCCACAACGCGGGGCGCAGCAACTTGCGGGGCTTGCGCTTCTTCAATAGGCTGGCGTGCCGGGCGCCGCGGCTGCCTCGCGGATGGGCTGGAGGCTTGTCTCTGCCTCTCGGAGACTTTGGCAGTATCCTCTTCGGAGCTGTCGCCAATATCGTCTTGATCATCTTCCGGCTGCTGTAACCCGTGTAAGCAATAATGCTCGGCGTGTCCGTTAAGGGGGTCACTTACCACTCTCAACTCCTTCCGCATGGCTAAGCTGGCGCATATGTCCTTGGCCTCCTCAATAGCCTTCTTCTGTAGCTTGAGCGTCTGCCGCCGGCCCCTCGTCTCCTTGTTTTCTGCCGCGATTGCTTCGATGACCTCGTCGGTCATGCCGAGGACTTCGACCGAGTTGAAGATTCCGTACATCCCCTGGAGAAGATGGCGCTCCACGACCTGCGTGATGGTGTTGCGGATGAAGCTCTTGGCTGACAGCTCATAGTAGATAAGCATCTTCTCCAGCACCTCCTCGGCTTCCGAGAACCTCGCCTCATCTTGGGAGGACAGGGCCTGCCAGTTTCTCAGGCGCTCCTCGTACTCGGGGTCGTAGGGCTGCACCTCCAGGTTCATATCCTGCGCAAGGAGGTCCAGTTCCTGCTGTGCTTTGGCCATCAAGGCCTTCATCTGGGGGTCCAGGAAATGCTGACGAAGAGGGTGTCGCATGCGTTTGGGCCACGCGTAAGCGATGACCTCGGCAAGGAACTCGTTGCAGACTACGCCGAGGTTGTCCTTGTGCTCCTGGGCAAACTTGGGCCAATACTCGCCATAGCTCTGGAAAAGCATGTAGACGGCTCTCGGCTTGGGGTCCATGGGGAATTCGGAACCGCGGATCTGTCGCAGCAGCGGCTCGACCTCCTGTCGGACAAAGTCTCGCTTGGCGCCAACAGCGGGGTCCTGGTTAGGAGACCGCGGATCCGGCGCAGAGAAATTGAACTTGCGGCCATGTGCTCTGACCTTGGCGGCGAATCGGTCGTTCTCTTCAGTCGCACGGGCGCGCAAGTTCTGCGCGGGTGTTCCTCGTGGGTCCGCAGTCACGCGGAAGAAGGCCTTCTTGGGCGGATTTTTGTAGAGACCGTACACAGCGGGAATGACGAGCTCCTTGGAAGCCGAGAAGAGCTCGACTAGCTCTGTTCGCATCTCTTGGGGTGTGTCTTTTCCGGTGCCTAGGGATTTCAGCTCGGCCTCGCAATCGTCCAGGGCCTTCTGGATCTGTTTGCGGAGCACCTTGACGTGCTTGCCGATGTGGCGTTGAAGCTGCACGCTGAGTTTTTGCATCAAGGCGCGAGCTCCACGCATGGATTCGGGCACCGAGCTCCATTTTCCGTGGGTGAAGAAGTCCTCCTCAATCTGTCGGCGCTCGTTCGCATCGGGCCACGGCTGGCCCTGGTCGCGTGGCCCTGGGTTCAGCAAGACATACCAGCCGAGGCGGAACTCGTTCCTCTTGTCCTTGTTATTAACCAGCTCGATGAACTTGTCCTCGAGTCCGATGGTTTCTGTGAGGTCGGGCTTGGTCAGGACGCCGATGGTCCTTGACCCCTTGGGGTCGAATACGCGCGTCTTCGTCAGGATTGGGGCTTGCACGTAGTCGCTATTCCCGCCCACCACGGCGAGGATGATGGTCCGGGAGCTCTTCATGTAGCGCTCCGAGAGAGCCTCGATAGTCTTGATGTCGTCGTTGGACTGGTCGTTGTTGGCGTTGCGGACGAGGCCGGGGAGATCGACAAGGGTCAACAGGGGCATATCGGGGCCGCGCTTCTCGACAACCAAGATGTCGCGGGCGGCAAAGCGGCCGGGGATGTTCTTGGGGGCGATGAGCTCGACGGCGGCCCTCATGAGGCTGTCAAAGGACATGTTGATGTCGACCATTCCACCGAACTGCCTCAGCCGCTCCTGCTCCTTGAAGTTGCGGTTCTTGTCCGGGATGATGGAGACGGCGATGGAGTTTTCCGGAGCCCTGCGCATGCGGATTTCGGTGGCGAAGCGTGTGCAGGCGCCGGCATCTCGAGGAAAAGGGGTGCCTGTGATGGCCTCGAGGACGGAGCTCTTGCCGGCCGACTGGTCGCCGACGACAACGATTTGGGGCAGCTTGACATTGTCGAGCTGGGCAAATTGGAGCTTGTCAATCAAGTCGAGAAGCTCGCGCTGGTCGCCAGCGAGCTCCTGGGCATCGAGGGCCGAGCCGAGGCCTGGTGCCATTTTGTATGTCTGCTCGTCGTTGCTTTTGGAGGACAAACTTTAGGTCGGGCTCCAACAAGGTTGGTTCAACAATAGCAGAAGTACTAGTAGGAACAGCTCGAAAGTGGGAGGCTCGAACAGATTTAAAAAGGGCGAGAGACAGGGCGAGAGAGGCCAAGACCCGATACCCGTCTGTCTCGAAGGGCAAACGCAAAGCAGAGAAATAGTTTGGATGAAAAGGTTGCAGACTGAGAGGGAGCCTACCGTCACTCGACGTAGGTGTAGACAGACAGACGGACAGACGGACAGACGGACAGACGGACAGACGGACAGACGGACAGACAGACAGACACAGATAGGGCTATGAGGACATGATGGAACAGACCAAACCCCGCGCATTTATTCGCCTTGCGTCGCGGTGCGTTGGGTCGCCAGCCGTGCTCTCTTGCCCTGTTGCCCAAGAGCCGCGTGGCTGGGGGCACAAGAGCGCATTTTGACACATAGAGCCCGCCCAATGGCATCGCACGAGCATGTGCGCGGAGAGCAGCCCAAGAGAGCCTCGTCTGCCATCCGGTGCCGTGGTGGTGTGCTGCCTCGGGTCGAGAATTGCTTTGCTGCGATAGCCTTGGTGGGGGGTGACGACGAGGGCGACGTGTCGCAACCTGTCGGCCGCTCGCTGCAGTGGCAATGGATGACCACTGACAGCAAGCGGACCGCTTACTCCCGTCAGCCTTTCAACTAAAAGGCTCTCTAACAGTGGGACAAGCTGTGGCGGCTTGAACGTCCCTTCCTTGGGCAGCGCGTTGCAGACTGGACCAAATCTTGGGCAACCGGACGACACTGGTTCAAACTTGCCTCGTTGGGCGATCAGCAGGCTAACGGGGGCTGTGGCGCCTCCTCTGTAAACTGGCTGCCAAAATGCGAAATTGTCGAGAGGAAATGTGGCGCAGTGTGTAATGACGCGTGGCGGTGCAATGTAAATGTGCTTGGCGCCTGGCCCTCCCATTGAGGCGATACACCTGCAACCACTTAAAGTTGGGACAAGAAAAAGATCAAATACTTGAGGCACATGGGCATCGTGCTGGTGGTCCTGTGGGATATCAAAAAGGCAGAAGTATCGTCGGAATAATAGCAACTTTGTTGCTCGTGAAGGATCCCAAGTGATTATAAGGCAGAACCGACGCGTGCTACCGCGCTAGCAGAATACGCCTGTAACTTTGAGCGGCCTGTTAGTGCTATATTGTATCACAGTACCTTCCAACAGCACCCGCCAACAGCACCTTCCAACAGCACCTTCCAACAGCACCTTCCAACAGCATGTGGAACTTTGACAGATGTGCAATCTTTTGGCATCCAGGACCAAGACAAGGAAAATTTATACCGTGCAGAGATTCAATAAAATGACTCATCGTACCCAAAAAAAAAAAAACATCATACAGAGCATCCGTAGAGGCAATGTAATTATTGAAACATGTCGATGCAAAAAAACGGGATGGCGGGGTCCGAGATCCGTGTCCCAGCTCCAACAGGGCCCCAACAACCAAACGCACGAGCCACTTTGGGCTAGAGGGTGGGCCGGGTCACGTCACCACGCATTCGAGTGCGTCTGGTAGGCAGGTGCTCTGGGACCCGGCCGGCACTGGCTGGCAATCTGCGCCGCTGCGCTGCAGCGTATGCTATGGAGCTTCCAGGCTCTGCCCAGCGCCAAGCTTGAATCCACCAGCCTTCGTCGTCCAAGCAAGCGGGTCGCAAACATAGTAACGGACATCACAAACGCAGTTACGGACATCACAAGCGCAATAACGGCATCACAAACGCAGTACGGACATCACAAACGCAACACGCTGCAGCCTCCGCAAAGACCAGACCCCTTCCCTCAACAATCTTCGAGTCCACACGGCAATCCCGGCGTTCGATGATCGCAGCAGACAGCAGCCGTGGACATGTTTGACGGCGGCGGCAAGGACAAGGAGAAGTGCGGCGATGATGACTGGGTCGGCCCGAGCACCAAGGACACCCAGGTCCAGCTGGTCATCTCGCTCGCCCTGGGCTTGTCGGCCTTTCTAGCCTTCTGTGTAGGTCGCGTGTCTTTATGACGAGACCGTCGACACGACACGGCTTCGTGCTAACCAAAATGTGCGCCCCCGCCCCAGACCCTCCGCCCGCGGTGGAAGTCGCTCTACGCTGCCCGAAAGCGCCATGTCAATTCCGCCATCGGCCTCCCGGCCCTGCCCGACACCTTCTTCGGCTGGATCCCCGCTCTCTATAAGGTCACCGAGCAGCAGGTCCTCGCCTCGGCCGGTCTCGACGCTTTCGTCTTCTTGACCTTCTTCAAAATGTCCATCAAGCTGTTCGGCATCATGTTCTTCTTCGCAGCCGTCGTGCTCGAGCCCATCAACCAGCACTTTGTCGACAACAAGAAGAACGCCACAGCCTCGGCCGGCTACTCCATGTTTAGTCAGTATCCAACCTACCGCGACTACGCATCTGCGAGGCTGTTCGACGACGGCGGCGGCGGCGACGACGACCACGACGACAACAGCTTCAACAAGAACATGGGTTATCTCTGGTCATACCTCGTCTTTACGTACTTCTTCACCGGCCTCACTCTGTACTTCATGAACAGGGAGACCTTCAAGGTCATTCGAGTGCGCCAGGACTACCTCGGTACCCAGTCAACCATTACCGACCGGACATTCCGCCTGTCTGGTATTCCGAAGGAGCTGAGGACTGAGGAATCCATCAAGGACTTGGTCGAGAAGCTCGAGATTGGAAAAGTCGAGAGCGTTACTATCTGCCGCAACTGGACCGAAATCGACGACTTGTTGGACCGCCGACAGACTGTCCTCGCCAAGCTGGAAGAGTCATGGAACGTTTACCTCGGCCGCAAGCTGTCGCAAACCGCTGAAGGGTACGGCCGCTCAGACAATGGGAACGGCGGCAGCGACTACAACGCCCGAGACGCCGCTACAGAACCCGAAGCTGTCGACGAGGAAGCAGGAGAAAACGACCAGCTGATGCGCCTTGGCCCCCATCGGTTTGGCGAAAGAGAAAGACCCCAGACCAGATTCTGGTATGGCTTCCTGCGCCTGCAGAGCCGAAAGACAGACGCTATCGACTATTACTCGGAGAAGCTTCGCTTGATCGATGAGGAGATCCGGGCAGACAGGAAGAAGACGTACGAGCCGGCCGACCTCGCCTTTGTGACAATGGACTCGATTGCAGCCTGTCAGATGGCGATCCAGGCCCTCATCGACCCACATCCCGGCCGCCTGTTGACCAAGCCCGCTCCGGCGCCCTCCGATGTGGTCTGGAGGAACACGTATGCCCCTCGTCTCCAACGTCGTATTCAGTCCTGGACCATTACCATCTTCGTGGCCATCCTCTCCGTTGTGTGGCTTGTTCCGGTCGCCGCCTTGGCCTCGGTCCTCAGCCTCTGCACGTTGAAGAACGTTTTCCCAGCCTTTGCTGATTGGCTCAAGACGCATGATATCGCCAAGGCTCTCGTGCAGACAGGCCTGCCAACCGCCGTCGTGTCGCTTCTCAACGTTGCCGTGCCCTACCTCTACGACTACTTGTCCTACAACCAGGGCATGCTCTCGCAAGGCGATGTCGCGCTGTCGGCCATCAGCAAGAACTTCTTCTTCACCTTCTTCAATATCTTTCTCATCTTTACCGTCTTCGGTGCCGTCACGTCCATCATGGACGTCCTACGAAGCAGTCTCAAGGACACCACCTACATCGCGTACACCATGGCTCGAAAAATCGAAGATCTAAGCGTCTTTTACACAAACTTCATCATGCTCCAGGGTCTGGGCCTGTTCCCATTCCGCCTGCTCGAATTCGGGAGCGTTGCCCTGTATCCCATATTACGGCTGGGCGCAAAGACTCCGCGCGATTTTGCGCAGCTGGTCGAGCCCCCCATGTTCTACTACAGTTTCTACCTCCCCACAGCGTTGCTGGTCTTTATACTCTGTCTCGTGTACAGCACTCTTCCGAAGGGGTTTCTTGTCCTCGGCCTCGGCGTCGCCTACTTTACCCTTGGCTTCTTCACGTACAAGTACCAGCTCCTCTACGCCATGGACCAGCCCCAGCACGCCACGGGCGGCGCCTGGCGCATTATTTGCTACCGCATCATCCTCGGCCTGTTTGTCTTCCAGCTGACCGTCTCCGGATACCTGGCGCTCCGTTCGGCCTTCACTGTGGCGTTGCTTGTCGTGCCGCTGCTTATCGGCACCCTTTGGTACAGCTACTCGTTCAGGGCCAAGTTCGAGCCCCTGACCCACTTCATCTCGCTCCGCAGCATCAAGCGCGGCCAGGGCCCGGGCGGTGACGCCATCCTAGACGAAGACCTTGGCGGTGAGGGGGAGAGACAGCGCGAGTTCCTCAGGAGGGGCAGCACTATCGACGAGGACCGAGAAAAGGGCCTGCGCTTTATCAACCCGAGTCTCGTCCTACCGTACGTTATTTTCCAACCGGCCCCAGCCACCCAACCCTACCCGCTTTCATGATATGTGCTAACACGCTACAAAATAGCCTCGAACAACCGTGGATCTACCAAGATCCCCCGCCCCCGCAGTCAGACTCGGACGCTAGCGACGGCCTGGAGTTTGATGTCCGCGGCAGCGAGCGCGAATACGAGCCCCAACAATCACCGCCCTCCCTTGGCTCGAGAAGCGCTCGCCCCGGTACCGCTGGACGTGGCGGTGAGACTAGTAGTGCCTCGTCAACAAGTTTAGGAGATACCCATGTTTGGAGGGAGTAATTGGCTTGTCGGTGGCATTGGGCTGGTGTTTTTCTTTTGCGTATTCCTGGGTCTGCCCTTTCGTCTTCGCCTTTGGCAGGCATTGTATCGAGGTGGTATTTTATCTCTGGCATTGAGCGAGCATAAAGGGGGGGGGGGGGGGGGGGGGGGGAAGTTGGCACTTGGCGGTTGGGGCAAGTTTGTCATTTTTTGACGTAGTTTGTTGTTCTCGGACGAAAGTCGCTGCCTGTCTGCCATTCCCTCTGGATGGAATGTGTTTCTTTTCTTTTCTCCTTTACCTTTTTGTATTCCAGGGTTACGGGCGTTACAGTGCGGGTGCGTAGGCATATACCACTTGAATGACTTACAAGGACATGATGCAGTGTTGTCTGTTTCTTCCCTTGGTCTTGACATAGCGGCGCGCAGTGACACAACTGCGCGCAGTGACACAGCTGCGCGCAGTGACACAGCTCTCAGTAATTAGGAGCTGGCTGCCAGCGTAAGAACACGAATTCAGGGATAAGAGAAGTGTACCGGTAGATAGCACATCGTTTACGAGTAATGTATGTACCTAGGATAGACGACTAGCTAGTTTTTTGAGCATTAATCCGCAGCACCTTTCAAGCTGCCTTGGCTACGGAAAAAAAAATGAAAAAAAAAATTGAATAGAAGCCAGTTCGATAACCATCCCAGTATCTCTCTAGGGCCGCAACTCAGCATGACAAATAACCCGAATAAAAATACCCTCATTGTTGACAAGGTGAAAGAGATGAACAATGTTCTGTGCCAAAGCAAACATCAGCCCTGCAGATCGGCTCCAAATCGTAGGTTCCGTCACAAGTAGATGAATAACAGGAAGAATGCGCTTCCGTCCTAACGCTCCCACCAACCACAACTGCTACGTGAAAGTGGTGTACTGACATCGGGGAGGCCTCATCTCGGCAAAGATCCGAAAAACGGAAAATTTCTCAGGCGTGACCACGACGATGCAGCTTTATCTGCAGGCCGACCAGAACTGCTCTGGGTGTCCTGTTTGACGTCCTTGACAGCCGGGCCTTTGCCCTTGTCGTTTTCGATGCCTCGGTGCGACGACGCTTTGGCGGCATCGCTGGCGTGAAGCTCACGCTCCAACTGGTTGACGGGCCTGACGCCCACACTGCGCCCGAAATCGGACTTGCCCTCAGCGCTCCTCACGTCCCTCTCTGGGCTCGACCTCAGAAACTGAAGCAATGAGAAAGAAGGGCTCTTCCTCAGCCCTGGCCTCGCGCTGCTCTCGGGCCGACCTGGCTCGGCGTCACGCGAGACAGGTTTGGGCTGCGGCTCGACGGGCGAGGAAGACCTCAGCAGTGGAAAAAACGAGAAGTAAGGGCTTCGCCTTCCCTCCGGATCCTTGCTATTCTCATTCTCGCTCTGGTCCTCTTGTATTTTGGCCGGTGAGCTTGGACGGACCTCACTTGACTTGCCGTCTGAACGCTTGCTCCGTCGGGTCTGAGAGGCGGCAGCGGTAGTTTTTCTGCGGGGCTGGGAAACGCGTGGAGGGTGTGGGCGGCCCAGTTTCTTGCGAGACATGCCAGCTCGAGGCGGCGGAGATGGGGTGTCACTGTCCGACGTCTCCAGCTCCCATTCATCTTCGCTGCTCGAGTCAGATGAGATGGAGATGGCTGACTGCGATCCCTCTTGTTCTCGGGTCTTCATGTATTCTCTGCGGATGTCGGCTATGCCTGTCACGGCATTGGAATTTTTTTCAGGCTGCTTGCCCTTGCTCACTGAAGATGTGGGTGGACGTTCTGATGAGGCTTGGAGGCCTTGTTGACGTTCCCTAGCCTCCCTCTCAGCCCGAAACAAGGCGGTTATCAGACCTTCCCGATAGAAGATTCGCCTAGCACTCGGAGGAGGGGTTTCGCATTTCAGCAAGCTGGATACTCTGAAGCCGTCATTGTTGATGCCCGTCAATTCGATGTTGTGCTGCCAGCGAATGCGACGTAGGTGGGCCCGCATGACTCTCTTTTCGCCTTCGTCGCATTTCTTCTTCCAATCCATCAGCTCTTCCTTGTCTGGTTTATCCAGGACGGGCTTCTCAGCCGAACGCGGCGTGTTGGTTGTGTCTTTCAAAGCGTCGTCGTCAGCAACCTCGTCCATTCTGACAGTGAACTCGGTCTGGAGCCTCTCCAAATAGGATTCGAGGGCGGAATCGTCCATATTAGATCCATGTGCCTGCTTGAGCAGGTCTGGCAGAGCTAAGATGAGCTTGTTTTGCTCAGCTTCCCGGCTCATCGGTCCCGGTTCCTCTGCTATTTGTCTGCTTTGCAGAAATCCGGACACCTTCTCGGCATTGCGAACGATTTGTGGCAGAAAAAATCGGCGCGACAGGTCGAGGCCGTGGTCTGTTTCTTCAACCGGACCACTGGAGAGCCTGTGTGGCAACGATATTTGGGCCGCGTCGGTGCTCATGACGCTCCGACCTTCAAAGTGCACATTCAATACACTCTTGGGCTTCCAAGAGTTCAGGACGCGCGCTACCAAGTCCGGGTCGTTAGAAATGTATGTAGGTAAGACTGGGAGGGGGCATGGGTTGGGATTGTTCGACTCACCAATTTCCGGAAAGTGCGTCGCGAAAAACACGCGGCAGCCAATATCGATTAGACTCTCTGACATTGAAATGGCGATTGCCAGGCCATCTTTACGAGATGTCCCACGACCTAACTCGTCGATGATGACGAGACTATTTTTTGTCGCTTTCCTGCATCAAATTGTTAGTATCATGGTAGGATTTTACGTACTCTGAGGGGGGGTGGGGTTTACCTTAGTACCACGTTCATCTCCCTCATCTCAACACCCAAAGTTCCCAAATTCCCTTCGGGCCTGTCCTCTGTCGACACCCGAGTGAAGATTCTGTCGCAAATCGGAATGCCAGCATACCGGGCTGGTATAAAACAGCCCATCTGTGCCATAATCTGAATCAGGGCGATGGTTCTGATGAACGTACTTTTGCCACTCATGTTGCCGCCCGTGATGACAAGAAAGCGTTGACCATCCTTTCCTGAAAATACGTCGTTGGCGACGAAATTTATCTTGCGGATCTCTGTGATCGGGTTTCGCGCGGCCTTGAGGACGAGCGAGTCGGCAATGACAGGCCTGACATAGTTCTGGGACGTAGAGAGGTCGGCAAATGAGCAGAGCATGTCCAGCTTTGCTACCGCGTCGCTCATGGCCAGCAATGCCGGCGCGTGGCGTAGGAGTCGGCCCTTCAGCTCCAAGACGAGTCTGTCGCTTTGAGTCGTGACGATATCCGCCTGGAGTTGGATCTCTCTGCTTCTCTCGAGCAGCTCAATGGTCTGGCAGTAGTAGTGCTTCTTGCGTCGAACACCATTTACGATCGGCACGCCACCAATCGTGTACTGCTTCCAGTGATATGCGTGCCCGACCTTTTGAGTTTCAACCTCTCGCCAACGCCGAGACACGTCATATTTCACGTCCTCCCAGTGGAAGCGGAGGTGATAGTGCCTATCTTTGTCGTTGTCCATGCATAACTCGGCAATCATACCCAGGTGTTCTGGTGGACGTTGTTAGCAGGGAAAAGGAGATCAATTGTCGAAGGCAGATCAAACGACATACTTGTAAAGTGATCATTGAGGCGGTCGACATATTCGTTGAGTTCATCAACGCGGCGTCGGAACAGCTTTCGCGCGCGCTCCAAGATCCCGTTCGGCTCGGCCTGCAACATTGTTAGTTGCGAGTTGGCAAAGGGGAAACAAAATACTAACCTTGACTGCCCATAGCCTGTTGTTTCTGATGTCGATCGGAGCATTGCTGTATGTTGCATCCTCTTCAATGGAGTCAATTAAGACCTGGACAACGGGGCCAAGCGTCCCGAGCGAGAACTTTTCCAGGATCGAGTCGACTAGGCTGCTTGCACAATGCGCAGAACTGACGGTGCGGTGAAGATGCTGCACACCGGCAATATACCTTCGGAGCATCAGGATGTGATTGAGCTCTCGCTCCGCCTCGTATAGCTCGGCGTGGACTGGGAGGAAGATCTGGTAATGCCCCTGAATCATGGCCACACCCTCGTCCAGAGCAGGATGGGCGTCTGCTGGCTTCTTGGCGAGCTATCAATGTGTCAGTCTAGCGAACATGATGGGAAAGGGTTGGGTTAGATTGCACGTGCCCAGGGGATTGACCTCTCAACGTCCATGCCTGTGAGATCCTTGAGCCCCTTGGACACGTCCTGGAAGAGGTCCTCGTCGTCGCACAGCGCTTGGAGCGCGTCGTAACGGCCTAAGATCTCCTCCTTTTTGATACTCGGCTGCAACATAGTGGAACGAAGCAGCCGCCTGCCTTGCGGTGTGCGTGTGTAATTCAACACCCCGAACAGGGTGGAAGACTTGGTCTTTGGCCCACGAATATTGTACAACAGCTCGAGGCTCATGATTGTGGACCGGTCGATGCCCATGGCATCAGCCGGCCGGCTGTGTCGAATCACGAGCGATTGCTTCGAGAAGAAAATATTTAATTCTTCCCGCACATATGTCATAGCCTGGTGATAATTGACTGTCAGCTGCCTGCGGCTCGGCGGCAACAGGAAATGAGATACGTACTGCTGCAAACGCGCATGACCCGTAGAAACTGCTTCCAAGACTGTCCCCGGTGGCCTTTGCCTGTCTGTTGACAGAAAACAGATCGATCAACCGATGGGCTTCGAGTTTGTTCCAATTCTCTCGCACCAGAGGAAGGATAGGCACATCTGGAAACTCATGATCGAGGCTCGGAGCCAGCCGGGACTTGCTATTCTCGCTGACGACATTCTTCAAAACCAAGAAGACCTCGGGTGTACCCTGAATCCTCCACAGAGTCTCAAACAGCCGCTGGTATTTGTCGTCGTTCAGAATCGTAACTATGTCGACCTGTCCAGCCGTCAGATTGATAACCGCCAGACCTAGCACATCTGACGAGCGACTCTCGCTGATAGCGCAAATGAGCTTGTCCTTGTCTTCGTCGCCACCCAGCCCTTGTCTAGGCGTACTCGTTGCGCCGACGAGCTTCCCTAACTCTTCCTCTTCGTCCGTATCCCAGCCCGAGTCCGAGTCGCTGCCGAGCTCAGATTGTACCATCTGTTGGAGACTAAGGATGCCGGCATCGCTCGAAACCATGGCGCGAGGGGGAAAGCCCTCAGTGGATTTGCTGATGTCGGCTGCGACAAGGGAGCTCCCGCGAGCCGTGTCCGCCATTGAAGAGTCGTATGGGTGAGCCCTGGCGCTATCGAGAGACGAAGAGTCGTTATGCTTTCGCTTCAAAGCACTCCGGGCTGAGTTCGATTGGGCACTCTCGCGTTCAGAAATCTGGCGAATGTCACGCTCCAGGGCCTCGACCGATAAGCCAGGTCCAAAGTGACGAGAAGCGAAGTCTGTGCCTAGATCTCTCGGAACAATCGGGCTCATGAAGTCCTTTCCCCGACTAGGCGGGCGATCGCATGGCTCAGGCTCGAAATCTGCAGTGGAAGGACTCGAGGTGTGCTGCGCCCGCTGAGAGTCGAGAGCTTCTGTCGAGGGACCGGAGGCGCACTCGACAGAAACAGTGTCAGGGGGGGAATGACCAGACCGTTCGCCAGTGGCCGAGGAGCTGCCAACGTCGGATGAATCCACCGCTGTCTCTTCTGGTCCCCTCTGGTGGGGCTGTACTGGACGAGACGCGAGTGAAATACTCGAGCCGTCGTGTAGTCTCCATCCATCTTCCCACGCCACATTTTTCTGAGGTAGAGGCTGAGACTGGCTCGTCCGCAGTTGAGGGGTAAGTCGGCGGCTGCTCGAAGGCATGCCATCTCTGCTCTGGGTTCCCAAGTTCCGAGTTTTTGCCTCCTGCGGATGGGTTACGCTTGCAAACACGCATTCGGGGGCCGAATAGTCAAATGGGATCTCGGCTCTGAGACCATGACGGTAGTCGAATACAAAATGGATGCCACGACGGTGATAGATCTCGGGGATAGGGGAGACGAGGTCCTTCGACTTCTCCTTTCGGAACTTCGGCAAGGCTTGAACAAGGACTGCGTGCTTCTGGTTGGCGCCCATGAAGCGTCCTAGTCTGGTGTCAAAATAACCTTGCCGCTCAAGATAGTTCCTTAGAGATTCAAGTTCGTAAAGCTTGCTCCACCTGTAGGGGTCGACAGGCTCAGGCCAACGGGTCTTGTTGCTGGCCACGGGCTCTGGGTTTGAATCGGGCTCCACGACGAGAGGCTGAGGCTCCGATTGCGATTGTGTCATCTCTCTGTCCAGCTCTTGCTGGTACTCTGCCGAGCTCTTGAATGCAGTATCCATTGCTATGATGCGAAAGATACCGGATGGCTCCCTTAAGAAGTTCGGCCGAAGGGACGGGCTGGGGCCATTAGGCACTCGGCCTTGACCGTCCCCGTTGGAACGGTTGCTCTCCATCGTCTGGGGCGCTGGTGTGGTTGACGACAGGAGTCAGGGTGTGTAGTCTGCCCTGGGTGCTTGTCGATTGTCGATCGAGGACTTGGATTTCTTAAACAGACGGGCGAATTAAAAACAACGAGGTTGATGACGATGAGTTTTGGGTGACCATCAGAGGGATAACGCTTTGCACAAGAGACAGCAACACTGGAAGAACTGGAGGACCGAGCGTGTTGCTGTTGGTTGTAGAAATGAAGGTTTTTCGGGGGTAAACTAGTGCCCCTGGAAAAGAGTCACTGGAAAAGAGTCAACTTTGTGCGAGGAGATAGTTGCAGAAGGCAGGTGCGTTGATTCAGGGCGCATAGGCTCTTTCCCTCTTCGACTACACCTCGCAGGCAACTAGCTCTCGTGTACAAGACACGGATGGAAAGTCGGACAGGGGTCTGGACATTTGTGGTATGAAGTTCTTGAAAGACAATCTAAGGTGCCCCAGAAATTGAAAGATCGTGGCACCTGGGGGGAGGTTCGTCAAGTTGCTGTGAGGTCAATTTATCTGATTGTGTAACCAAGTTCGCTGCTGGAGCTCTTGACAACTCGCTCCGAATTCAATCGTATGGCTACCTAGGTAGGTACATATACATAGTCACAGCAAGAGTTCCTCTAGCTGGCCAGAGACTGTGTTACTTGAATACTGTATAAGGTAATTACGTGGTGGTCTTTGGTCTAAGCCGAGGCTTGGTGGTTTGGTGGTTTGGTGGTGGAACTTCTATTCGCGAAGACACGTTCAGTTTCTCGTCTGATTTCCGAGTTCCGACTCTCGACTCGAGTGCTCCTGTCGAGCTTGGCTGGTACCCAGAAGTGCGAAGAAACCGAACCCCGATCTATGGTTTTTAATCAAGTGAGCCCGTAGCTCTTCCCTACAAACCGGTCACTCGACACCCTGCGCGTCTGACAGACCCATGCTCCAATCGGCAAACCTAGGTAACTTGCTCCCTTGGAACTCATATTGGTCGAAGAGGCAGGTACGTTGCGCACAAGTCGCCGCAGGTCAAGAGACGGCCCGTTTTCAAAAAAGCGGCATTTTGACTCGGGCCCCTGACGGAGTCTTGGGGCTACCTAAGTAATTACAAGCAGCTAACTCGACATTTACAAGAAAGCGAATAAGTGGACACATTGAACGAAAACGTTTAGATTTATTCTGCCATTAATTAATTAACCACCAGAATCAGAAGACCTGTTGTTTGGCTCCTAATTAGACACGAAACCCTTAGGTGTCGCAGCCGTTGAGTTAGTTGAGTAACATGTTTTAACTCTTGAGGTTCACCGTTCAACCGACCATTCAGCTGTGGCCGGAGTTGTCTCCGCGTATTCCCAATTTCCTGTTACACAGCCGTTCAACCCTACCCCCATCCAGCCAGCCATAGCGCCGAGACAGTCCGCGTATCCAAGGCCAGTACTTACGGTATGCCAGTTATGCGTGCCGTATTTATTGAGCCATACGATGGTAAGTCCACCACACAGGGTGTCTAGGCTTGGCGAATAAGTAATACGCCCCCGACGGGCTAACAGCATGCCAACCGAATGCACGCCAATGCCGTACGCCGGCTCGGACTCTGTGTTTGGTCAACCAGTCGCCGCGATACTAAGGGTTGCTGATCCTCAGCCCCACCGAGCGATACCCCTGGTTCCCCTCCCTCATTTTCGTCCCGCCTCTGCCGTGAATTCCGCACGCCTGCATTCTGCCGTTTTCGTGTCGACTGTTTCGAATCCTTACTGCTATCAGCAGCAATTAGCTGTGCTCTTTGTTCCCAACCGACCCCCTAGTATAGGACCCTCGAACCTCTGCCAACAACCAGCCAAACCCTCTCCCGACATCCCGTTCCACCGTCCAGCACACACACACCCGCACGCACACACACACACACAAACACACACACACACGCACACACACATACACACACGCACACACACGCACACACACATACACACACACACACACACACCATGGCCGACGATGCCCCTGCCGCTGCCCCAGCTCCCGCGGCGGAAGCGTCGGAAGACGCCATCAAGCCGGCACCAGCACCGTGGCACTGCAAGTGCACGTCGTACATGATCTCGTTCTGGACGAGCGGCGCCACGGCGGCGAGCCTGCCGGCCAAGGCGTTCTCGCCCCTGGAGCGCGCCTCGGCGTTTGCGTCGCCCGAGCAGTCGGGCAGGGCCGTCGGCGGGCTGAGTATGGTGCAGCTGGTCCGCTACACCGACACGCCCGTCGGGCCCTACGACGAGCTGATCCTGGCGCCGGGCGCGTTCGAGTATTCCGCCAGCGACGATGCGGCGATGCCGGGGAATAAGAATAAGAAGAGGAAGAAGACGGCCAAGGCGATGCGCATCACGCGCATCTACGTCAGCCAGAAAGAGACGTGCTGGAACGGGCGCACGCGTACGTGAACACACATGTCTTGTCCTTCCTTTCAGCCCTACTGTTCCACCGCGCACACCAACGCCGGCTGACCCACGGCACCACCACAGTATGGAACCTCCCCAAACACCTAGCCCGGTTCGAATGGAGCACGACGTCCTCCGGCGCGACGCACGTCGCCGTCTACCCACACGACACCAGCACCCCCTACAACTCGCGCGAGGCGGCGCCCAGCAACGAGCCCTTCTTCCAGTGCAGCATCAAGACCATCCCCTTCATACCATCCTTCCCGCTCTCAACACGGGTACTAGACAAACTGCCCGGCGTCAGCACGGTGCTCGTGCAGCCGCCGCTGCCGGGCAACGCCGACGCCGCGCACGGCGAGCTGCCCGGGACTAAGCTCTGGTGCCGCCTCGGCGACTACGCGCAGTACTCGCGCACGACGAGCCTCGCGTGGGCCGACGTGCGGCAGCCGGCGAGGGAGGCGAAGGATAGTGCGGGCGAAGAAGGAGAAGAGGAGGAGGAGGAGGAGGAGGAATATTTTGAGAACTTCTTCCCCGGCCTGAGGAGGTGGAATCTCGCGCTCAAGATGGCTGACGGGGAGCTCTTTTTCCCGGCCGGGGACACGTGGGAGGCGCCCAAGGATCTGTCGTGAACGGGAGCGGCTTTGTCTATGTGTGCCCTACTTGTTGCTGGCCTGTCGGGATATATAGGTAGGTAGGAATGTATTTCCCGTGGAATTAAAGTAGGGATAACTAAGCTCTCGGGAGAGTTTACGAGCTGCCTACCTTGGCTACCTCCCAACTGTCTTGGGTCTGCCGACAATTGGCGCTGGAACGTCATGCTTGGATCTTTGGCAGCCGTCTCTTCCTGTCGGTGGCTCTCTTCCTGCCGGTGGCTCTCTTCCTGTCCGTGGCTCTCCCTATCAAACGACGCGTGGGGTGTCACTGATTACACTGCCGTTATGCTATGCCTGCATACAAGGACGAGAGACTGCACATCAAAAGCCGAGGACATGCATGCATGGGACGGGTTTAGAGGCTCGGGATGGCCAAAAGTAGAAACTTGATAAGGGAGTCGTTACCATGTCCAGACTACCGAGTGCTCCCCGGCTCCCATTTTATAGGGTTCAGCAAGGAGCAGAAGATGCATCTGCCTGCGTCGTATCGTTCTGGCCATCTTGTAGTGTCACTATGGATGGCTCGTATATCCAGAGAATCAGCCACCACCATCGTCAACATGAACAAAAACAAGGCCGTGGCCACGCGCTCTCCATTCCAAGCTCGTTCTCGATCCAGTAGTTGGTTACTATGAAATGCCCGAATCGCGTTATGCTAATCAGAAATCCCCCCTGACTTTGCCTTGCCTTGCCTCGCAACTTCCACCCAAAACTTCCACCCACATCCAACAACCCCCCTCCACACGCAGCGCGTGTCATATCTCCTTGATGAAGCCGACCTCGACGACCCTGTCCATAGCGAGGCGCAGGTTGGCGATCTTGGCGCGCGTGTTGTCGCGGATCCACAGGAACACGGACAACACGACGCGGCGGCCAATGGACGACGTGCCCCTGACGCGCATCTGCTCCTTGCCGACAATGTACATGATCTTGGCCGCGTAAGCGCGGTCGAGGCGCGCCAGCTCGGCCGCCACGGCGCTATCGCGCAGCTCGAGCGGCGGCAGCGCGGCGAGGGGGCGCTTCTCGAGGTTCCCATTCCCGGTCGATGCGCTGCTGCTTTCCGTCGCGTCTGCGACGGGTTGAGCGCCCGATGATGCTGCTGCCTTTTCGGTGTCGCCGCCGCCGTCGCCGTCGTGGTCGCCGTCGGGGTCGTGGTCGACGGTCTTCTCCACGAGCTCCAGCTTCTCGGCGGCCTGGCGGATGATGCCCTTGCGCACTTGCTCGTAGATGAGTGCCGCGAGGTCGGGACTGATGACCTCGTCCATGAAGCCGTGCTTGATGACGAGGCGGTAGCAGCCAGGCACGGCCGTGAAGCGCGACACGGAGTAGCGCTGCTCGGCCGGGACCGTGGGTACCTCGACGGGGTGCAAGTGGAAGAAGACGGCGATCTCGGGCACGGCGACGAACTTGCTGACGAAGTGCGTGAAGACGGCGGGCGTTAGCACGCCCGTCTTGTCAAAGTAGATACCCAGCCCGCGGATGACGCTCAGCGCGTCGCCACCCCACCTGTCCGTCAGACGCAGCTTGTTGTCCTCGTCCTTCTGCACCAGGTGCGCGGGCCGGAACCGGTCCTCGGCTTCGGCGCGCCACTGGGTCTCCTTACCGAATCGCCACAGCAGGAAGAGCGAGGTGAGGATGCCGGCCAGCGTGAGCGTGAACCAGGCACCGTCGGGCACCTTGTTCAACGCCGACGAGAGATACAGGCCGTCGATCGAGGCGAAGCACAGCCACGGAAGGAATACCAGCAGGGGCGAGAGCTTCCAGACGAGCAGCGAGACCAGCGTCACCATGGACGTGTCGAAGAAGGTGACGAACATGACGCACACGCCGTACGCGTTGCCGAGGCGCGTCGTGTCGCTGTAGACGGCCGTGACGAGAATGGAGCCCAGCATGAGCAGCCAGTTCAGGAAGGGGACGTAGATGTGGCCGTGGAATACCCGCGACGTGTGCACCACCTTGACCTGCGGGCAGTAGGACAGCTTCATGATCTGGCTGATGAGCTGGAACGTGGCCGTTATCATGGCTTGGCTGGCGACAATGGCCGCGAGCACGGCCACGACGAGGCTGGGATACAGCATGCCGGGGGGCACCGAGTTGAAAAACGGGTTCGTGTACGCATCAGGGTGGACGCTGATGAAGGCGGCCTGGCCAATGTAGGCCAGCAGCAGGCAGGGGTACGTGTAGCACATCCAGCTGAGCTGGATCGCGCGCATGCTGAAAGCGCCTAGGTCGGCGAAGAGGGCCTCGACGCCGGTGAAGGCAAGCAAGATGCCGCCGAGCATACGCCAGCCGTCTTGCTTGTTCTGGACAAAGAATTGGATGGCGAAATACGGGCTGAAGGCCTTGAGGACGCTCCAATCGAACTTGACGAGGTTGTAGATGCCGAAAGCGCCGTTGAATCCGAGCCAGATGATGACGATCGGGGCAAACGAGGCGGCCAGTTTCGTAGTACCGAGTGGCTGGATGGCGAAGAGCAGGATCAGGATGCCGCACGACGTGCCAACGATGGTGGCGCTCGAGATGCTCGAGCTGACGACTTTCAATCCCTGCACTGCGCCGAGGACCGACTGGGCCGGCGTCAGAACGCCATCCGACATGACCATAGAAACGGCCAGCACGCCGATCGTCTTGAGCAAGACGTGGGTGAATTTGCTTTTTTCAATCTTGACCCGCAGCAGGCGGTTGGGCGGTCCAAGGTCCTGAGACAGATGCCTCTCCATGCGCACCGTGACCTCCTCTCGAGGATCTCGGTTGGTAATATTGACCTGAGCCATGTGTGAGTGTCCATGTGGAAGAGATAGCACGATTTGATTCGAGGTGATGGCAAGATGCACTCACAAATCTCGTGAGCAGGGAGTAGCAGCTGAATGTGCCTCCTTCGCCCTCGTTGTCGGCGTGGAGGATGATGAAGACGTATTTGAACGTCACCATAATGGTTAGAGACCAGATGATGACAGAGAGTGTCTGGACAAGGTCATCGTATGTTGGCGTGTCCGAAAACGTCGACGAGTAGACGTAGAGCGGGCTTGTTCCGATATCACCGTAGATGACGCCTACCGACTGGTACGCCAGCCTGCGAGCCTGTCAGCGTGAACTCGTGAGAAATCCCCTATCACACAAGCGCATATGAGAAAATACCAAAGCAGCGTCTTGCCACGGAATATCTGTTTCTTCTTGCCATCGATGTTCCGCCAGTCGTCACCTTCCTCGACATCGTGGTCGGCACGGCGGTCGCGTGAAATGCGACTAACACTTCGCCTGTCGAATGATGCCCGCGAGATGCTGCGGGTGTGGTAAATCCCGCCGGCCAAGGCCGAGACTGCGGTAGAATTGCCACTGGAACTGGGATCGGGTGCGCGGAGTAGGGAGTCCTCGTCAATTTTGATGGTTGCCGGCGCCGGAGTTGGCCCGGGCACCGAGGATTTCGGGACCTCCATTATTTCCGAAGGATTTATTTCCGGGGGGTCTTGAGCATTAACAGTCGGGTCGGGCTTGACCAAAGCAGTGACGGGGAATGCGTGGGCCGAGATGCCGGCGTCAAGTCGAGCAAGACCTACAAAGCTCAGTTGCTCACGGTCCACACGAACATGGCTGTGGCCGACACAGAACACGAGGGGTGCGGAGGGTTGGAGAGGGGATATCTCGTGGGTAGATAAAGTATGCGAGATATATTTGCTGATCCTCTGATCCTAGACCGGACTTTCCTACGTCAGCATTTTTTTTTTTAGCTAACTAGTGGTGCTATGCTAGGAGCTAGAGGGTACCAACGCCTCTGAGAGCGTGGTTGCGGTGGTGGGGTATCACACACGAGCTAGACTGTCTTCCGACCAGTTCTCGTCTGAAGGGCGAAAGGAGCGCAGTGCAGCCGACCAGGAATTGAGCTGCGGACCCGTAGCTGCATAATCTGCACCCAAGTCATGGCAAGAACGGACCAACCCCGAAGCTAGGGACGAGAATGGACGGGTGGAGAGCCGCAACTCGGGCTGCCATGAATTGAGGTGGAAGGTGGGTGGGAAAGGCCTCTCTCGCCCAAAGTCTTTGACGGCCTTGCCGCTTGCAATTTGCTGCAATTTGCTGCACGGCAGCTTTCCTTCCTGGGCCATGATCACAAAGACGACAGCTTTTGCGAGACGGGGGCAAAAGGAGACGGATGGATAGCGGGAGAGAACAAAGAGACCCCTACAAAGTCCTCTCCAGAGTCGCAGCCCGGTCCATGCTAGCCCGAGCCACTACCCCGCCGTCAGTAAGCCGGCGCCCAGCGGAGCATTGGGGGAAGCTTAATCTCACAACCGGTTTCAATCGGGTCAGCCACCGAGAGGGCACATGTCAGAGGGATGTCAGAGGGGCAACAGCATGTTTCGCCTGCGCAATATCGGCCGTTAGGCTGAGCCCCGTTCTTCTTTCGGGCTACCCTGGGCTCCCAGACACTGTCATATTTCGTCGACTGGCGAGCAAAGCGTTGCGTGGGGACGAGACGACGATTTCGAAGAGGGAACAAACCGGATGCCGTTATGCTTGCCAGCCAGTTTATGATAGCCTGCTGCCGAGAGCGAATCGCATAGTGGAAAAATCAATCAACAGGGCACCCGCAGCGCCAAGAACATCTTGGCAGCCCAAGCTTTTTCGTCGCATTGCCGAGAGAGACCTATCACGCCGCCGCTAGCAAAACGTGTGGGTGAGAGCCGCAAGTTTCCAGTTGCTTGTTTTAATAACGACAATTCGCGCTGGCGGTCTGCGAGATTGCAACTTTGGCCGGGCTGACGATTGTCAATCTCCGGTGTCGAAGAGGCCAGGTTGGGCTTCCGTCCCACAGCGCTTCATGGGCTGCGAAGGCACGCTCATGTGGAAGGCACCTCAGGCACCTCATGTGGAAGGCACCTCATGTGGAAGGCACGTTCGTATGGTCGGGATGGGATGGCCCTCAGCGCCAAGCCTGAGGAAGGATGGGATGGAGGAGCACGCAAAAGGAAAGTGTTGATAGCCCAGCTCTTCAAAGAGGAAAGAGCCTCTGAGGGTGCGAGGGGGAATTGAACTTGAAAGCCCGCCTCAGGCGAGCTCGAACTAGAAAGACGAATGGCCCGAGGGAGGTGAGGCGGCATGCGGGAGAGGCCCTCGCCCTTGCCGTGGGTGAGGGGTTTATAGCACCTGAGCATTGAATGGAAGGGCCTTGCCCTACTAAAGACGCGCGGTCAGCATCTGGAGCTTTGCAACTTGCAGCCAGAGAGCTTGGCCGGATACATGTCGAGGAAGGAACGACGAGTGATGTATGGCTTCCATTTTCCCTTTCGTAAGTCAATTAGGTTGCGTCTTGTCCGTGCTCGTGCATTGGCTAGGCCGGACAGTTGCAATGGAAGCTGGGACGGAAGGTGCAGCTACGGCGGAGGATTCCGTGGGGTTGAGGGGCAGCTCTAGCAGGCACGCTCCCCGATAGGACGATAACGCAACGGTACGGGAGCTATGACCGCCGCGCGGGGGAGGGGGAGGGGGCTCCAAACCAAACCGGCATGCAGGTCAAGAAGCATTGGGAAGAATTGGTGGATGGTGCAAGGCAAGAGCCATTATTGGCTGGCTGGTGTTGTTTCCAATTCTTGGAACTTCCGGACAAAAGGTGGTGGGTTGCGGCGCTGCTTGGCCTTTCAGTGCGGCCGCAAGATCGTTTTTCGTGGCGTCTGTGCAATAGGCATTGGCCAGTTGACGACGGCGGGCAAATATCAGGGGGCTATGACACGAGGATGAAGTTCGAAGACGATCGAGGAACAGTGTCTGCCAATAATTGGAAGTCATCAGCAAGTCAGAGAAAGGCACCCCTTACCATGCACCACACTCCTTACCATGCATCACCATGTCACTGCAGATCTCGGCGGCCGAGTTTACCTATCTTCTGTGACCGGGCTCAATATCACGACGCTCTTAGTCGCACAAGACTCGTCACTAGGTAGAGTTATTTGGCAAAGATGCAAGTGCCATTTAATACCTCTATTCGTGGGGGTTCACCACCCAAACCACCGGTTGGACCGCCGGCCACGGACAGGCTCGTGTTCAGGATGATGCCGGGCACGTTGGTTTTTGGGTTGTTGGCCCCGGGGCTGGCACGGTGCCGAACAGTTATACCTATTTTGCGAGAAATAGAGTCATAATACGGGCTCCTCGGAGATTTCCAAAAAGACAAGAGATAATTGGGATACACGCGTGAAGAAATCCAACGCTCGTTTTCCGGAAGAGGACAATGAGAAAGATGACTTGACAATACTTGCGGAGATTCTCAGCTTCACGAGAAGGAGCGGTAAATCACTAGAAACATGTATCAAGAGGGGGAGAAGCTATAGTCTATGCCAAGACAACCAAGGATGACTACAAGAGAATGTTAACTCGAAATTTGTAGTCCAAGATGATAACAGACGGCCAGGATGGATCGGCAGTCGAACAATACGCCATGGTTCCCGATATTCCACCACCGGGAGGAAACATGGCCCCTGGTGATGAACCTCCTGGTCGACCCCGTTGCAGAACCGAGAAGCGAGGACGTGTTCGCCCGGAGCTCAACGGCTTCTATGCAGATGCATCTGCGACCCAGGCTAAAGATATCCTCGCCTTTCTCTGTTGGTGTTGTTTTTGCCCAATTGTCTTCCTGGCAGCTCAAGTCGGCCTTCACCGCAGCCTTCACCGCAGCCTTCACCGCAGTCTTCACCGCAGACTGTCAGCTGGAGACATCTGGGCCACCGCGAGCATCGTCCTCGGCGGCACCCAGCCAAGCCAGCTCGGCTGAGACATGCAACAAGGGCAACAAGATGGCGAAGCGGAAAGCGAAGACGTGGACCCGGCTACTATTCAGATCTCCGTGTCGAAGAACGGGCCAAGACCCAAACGCGCAGACTGAGGTCCTGCGAGTTCAACGAAGTGTGTAGTGCCTCCAGCGGCACGATTGGCGGCTAGAACAACGACCGGCCGGCGATACGACCGTGCTTCCTGCATGCCCGAAGTTGGCAGCGAGTAGCTCTCGGGTCTCGCGCCCTGGTCTCTATGGCACATCCGAGTCGGCATTGCCCGGGGCTTGGCCGGCCTCGAGGACACCAACCACACCACACCACCTACTTTCCACTACACTACTTTCACACCACACTACTTTCCACTACACTACTTTCACACCACACTACTTTCCACCACACTACTTACCACACTACTTTCACACCACACTACTTACCACACTACTTTCACACCACACTACTTTAGCGTCGGTAACACTGCCGTTGTAAGGTGCAGTTGCCCACTCACCCACCCAATCCAAGTCCATATCTCTCTTCCTCCTGCACTCCGCAACAAAACTCGCCAAGATGGCGGAAGATGCACAAACGACCAACACGCAGCAGCAGTGGCATCCAATAACAGCAAGAAAGTGACAGTGCTTTTCCCGATCTTTATGTGTGTTTTCTGGTCTAAAACTCCGACCGTCTAAACCATCGGATGTCGTGGTCGCGTGCCGTCCTTCGACCTTGTTTTCCCACCTCACCCTCCCAGTCTCTCGGGAACCCGGTGTGGCTTGCTTACTTCCATTGGCAGTTATCTCTCCACTTCCACCTTTTTTTTTTAGTTGCTCTCCCACCCCTCGCATTTTTACACAATCCCATCACCTGGAATTTCTTCTCTACCCACACCCACGGCCACCCTAGAAGGATGCATGGCGTCCCACCCCTCCTCGTCCAGCGCGAAAACAAAACGGGGCAGTCCACGATCTAGCGCTCGGTCCCCAAATTAAAGGGGGGGTGGTCTAGATCATGTAAAACATGACCAGCGACCTCTAGTCAAGCTGGTCGATCGTCTGCCCGTTGGTATCACCAGCAGGATCAGCAGCAACGCTGCCCAGGATGGCCTTGGCGTCGCTCTCGCCGACGAGAAAGCGCCAGCCGAACCGGTCGTCCTCGCGGCCCAGCTGGATGCCCTGCAGCTTGGCGAGCAGCTTGGCGCACAGCGCGCCGGCCTCGTCCACGTCGGCCGGGATGTACGTGACCGTCTCCTGGCCGTCCTCGAGCGCCACGCGCGCGTGCGCCTCCTGCTGCTGCGAGGCGCCAGCAGCAGCCACGCGCCGCGTGATGGAGCGGATCGGCACCAGCGCCGCCGCCGTGCCGGCGGCCATAACCTCGGTGAAGCTGGGCAGCTCCGAGTAGTTGATCTGTTGTTGTGTTTGACTGTCAGCAGGGTTTGGGGAGAAGAGAACTGCAGGTTCAGCGAGAAGAGAACTGCAGGTTTGGCGAGAAGAGAACTGCAGGTTGTTGGAGAAAAGGAGGCGTGCTTACCGGCCGCTTCTCCACCTTCCAGCCGAAACTCTTGGCGATCTGCTGGATGCTGTCGCTGGTGACGCTGTTGATGACGGCCTTGCTGTCGGGCACGACGAGGGTGACGTCGTCACCGTCGACCAGCGCGCCGATGAAGCCGCTGGTGCTGAACTCGTCAATCTCCTCGTGACGCTTGCTGTCGAGGTGCAGGGTGATGCCATAGCCCTGGGTGCGGGCGCGCTCGCTCCAGCGCAGCACGGGGGCGTAGTTGCCGCCGACCTTTGCGCTGCCGGTGCCGTTGGGGGCGGCGCGGTCGAAGTCGTCCATGATCAGCGCCTTGACGGGGTGGCTGCCGTGGTAGACGCCCGTGGGCAGCACGAAGACGCAAAAGGTGTACTCTTCCGGGGGGTTGAGGCCGAGCTGGGCCGAGCTGCCGTAGACCTGCGGGCGGATGTACATGGCGGCGCCCGTCTCGTGCGGCGGCACGTACTCGGCGTTGAGGGCCACGGCGCCCCTTACGGCGGCCAGGAACAGGTCCGTGGGCACGGGCGGCACGCTGATGAACTCGGCGCTGTGCTGCAGGCGCTCGGCGTTGCGGTCGGGCCGGAAGATGGAGATGACGTCGTTGCCGGGCAGGCGGAAGGCCTTGAGGCCCTCGTACGCCTGCTGCCCGTAGTTGAGCGCCGGCGCCATGCCGTGGATCTTCATGTAGGGGTCCGTCACGAACACGGGCGCCGTCCACGTGCCCGTCTTGACCGAGTAGTGCGACTCGACGTGGCCATTGACTGCGCACACACACACGCATCAGCCGGTGGCCACCCTTTTGTTCCGTGTGTCTAGCTGGCTGCGGGTGTCCCGGTGTCGGGCTTCACTCGCAGCCAATCTCGACAAGGGCACGAGACTCACCTTCGCGCACGCGGAAGCCCACGTTGGACCAGTCAATGGTGTTGACTGGAGGAGGAGGGAAAGGCGCCATTGTCACTGTGCTGTGCTGTGCTGTGCTGTGCTGTGCTGTGCTGTGCTGTGCTGCGTTGCTATGTGCGCGTCACGATGTCCGGTTTGAAGGGGTTTTTGGTGGAAGCTGGAAGGCGAGAGAGTGTGTCACTTGCTTGGCGTGAGGAAAAGAAACAGAACAGACCAAGGATTTCCACTTTCCACTTTCCGCTTTCTACTTTTTTCTCTGAACAAAAAAATAACTCGCCGCGCCACAAATTAAGCGGTGTGAGACGATTATGGAACCCAGTAATAAACACCCTGACCTGACAAACAAATACACTTGTCGGTGAATGGCCTTGTCCGACGGAGTGAGGTGAGATGAGGTGAGTCGACGACCTCGGATTTTCGCCCCCTTGTTTCTGGGGACGGCTGGCTGGGTGCGCAACTCCGATATGCGGACGTCGCGGGGTCAGCACCGCGCCCAGCCCTGGCCCTGGCCCTGTTTGCCCTGCATCCAAATCGAATCGCCAAGCTCAGCTGTCGGCGAGCGGGCCGAGATTGGCTGACGCAATGCGGGGTGGCCTTTGGTGCTGTGGGGGGTGGACGGATTTCTTCAGCGAGCTGGACCAATACCTGGATGGGGGGTGGACGGATTTCTTCAGCGAACTGGACCAAAACCTGGAATGGAGGTGGCTGTCCGACAGCACAACGCGGCTAATTATCCACTGGTTACCAGGCTAGGCACTGGCTACCAGGCTAGGCAGTTACCAGGCTAGGTGGGAGCTTAATTCGTGTCGGTATCGACAAGAAATTACAATACGACAACCTGGGTCCCTAACTTAATACACTAGCTCGAGCAAGATGTCGAGGACCTTGATGGATAAATATATGCAAAAGCCTAGAGAAGGACGGCCCCCTCTTCTATAAAGTTAAATATCTTAGATAGGGGTATCGAAAACATCGCTAAATGATTACCTTGTCTCGGCGATCCAAAGCAGAGCAGAGAGCCCTTAAAGTACGCGTCGTAGGCCAGAGATATGCTCCTGAAAGTGCAAGTCGTCCTTTATTATCCCTATATTATCTACCTTTGTCTCGACCACCTGCCTCCGTCACCGGCAGGCGAGTAGAGCAGAGCCTCAAAAGTATAGAAATGCTTATTAAATTATAGATACGCGATTCAACGCACGAGTCCTCGTACTCTCTACCGTCCATTTAATACCAAACCGCCTTCGCCGAAAATTAGGATAAGAAAGCGTATCTCTTCTTATCCTGTTTCCCTTCCGATATAGACGAGGAACTTTAAAACGAATCTCAAACGGCCCGCTCGCTAGTCTACCCGAGCCGTATCTTATAAAAGAGAACGAAGAGAACGAAGAAGAGGTTAGGCTAAAAGTTAGAGACGGTGGACGACTTCGCAGTCTAAGCTCTCGCTCCCACGGCCTCGATTAAGCTTCTAGATATGGATAATCCTAGAAGACATTAGTATTACTCCAAGGACTTCATTTCTAGAGAGTCTTATCTTGAGAGAGCAGGAAAAAAAGAAGATATCGGATTAGATTACGGTATGAGCTTCGGTAAGAAATAAACCTTAATTGATACAGCAGCACCAGATGGAAATACATGCCCCCCTTACGGTCACGCACGCAAGCAGCCAGCGAGAACAAGACGTCATATGCTTTTTTCGTATCATACAGGACTAAACTAAACAGAAGTACCGCCAACACCGTATCCATGAGTGAGTGCAATGTCGCGTGAGCCATGTTGCAGAGTCAATTCACCCTCCCGCCTTTCCTTTTCCCTCTCCCAGACGGAGTAAGGAAAGGTAAAGCAAGGCCAGGAAGGTTCTCCTCCTCCCCTCTCCATGTCGCCACAAAAGTCTAAAATGGTATTTTATATTCCGCCCCGAGTATCCATCCACACTAGCCCTCCGTCGTTCTTGTCCTCCCCTCAAGGACCCGGCCCCATGCTCGCTCTCACCGCTCGGTTGCTTCGCTGGAGACACTCTCGACACAAGCCGTTTGCAGTTCGCATTCATCCTATCAAGGTTTGGTTTTAAACGATGCAGGTTGCGTAGGTGGCCTGCGCCGTGTGTCTCCTCCTCGATAAGCGCGGCTGCTGGAGGTTGAACAGCGGGCCCGGACCTGGTTCCGTTCCTAGGCCTCGGTCTTGGCCGAAATCTTCGAGTCCTTTTTCCGTCCATATGTTATACCCCGTCCCATTTCCCCACACCGTAGAGGTGTTCAGCTCCAGATACTGACGCCATTCGGCCCTGCTGTTCAGAAATGGCCTCATCAGTTCACGGCAGATGGACAAGCAGGCCATGGTCAAATTGCGCACAACAGCACTAGTAAGACACGACGATAAAAGACGCAGGACCTTGCCGCTGAGCAGGGTTGCTCACTCGCAGCAGGCAACAAACATGGAGATGAATCGGAAAAGAAGAAAAGGAGAAGAAAAGGAAAAGAAGAAAAGGAGAAGAAAAGGAAAAGAAGAAAAGGAAAAGAAGAAAAGGAAAAGAAGACAAGGAAAGAAGACAAGGAAAAGAAGACAAGACGAAAAGGAAAAAAGAAGAAAGCAACTATGAAGCCACAATCCAACGCAACAGAAGACGTCTTGTAAGAATGCGTGTACGCGCGCTTTCGATCAGGGAGCAGGCAGCAGGCAGGCGGCAGGCAGGCGGCAGGCAGGCGGAGGCAGGCATGCAAAAGGACTAGCAGGCGAATAAGGCAGTGGCAATGGCAGAGTGGACAGAACCCACGTCGTAGTCAGGCTGGCCAAGAAAGAGGCCGAGGCTGTCGGCGGCGTGGCATACGCCGCGGCGATAACGATACACCTAGCGGGCTCTGCGGTATTACCGCCAGGTCCAAGTGCGCGCGCTAAAATCACGAGGCGACTGCTTACGCGGATTGTGCCAGCTTCTGCAGCGCCATGAGGACACCTGTTTTGTGGCCGTCAGCACTGACTGTCTCGCTTGGACCTTGGCCATTGGCCAACACGAACAAAGGGGAGGAAAGTGGCAAAGCGCTTACCGCTTACGCCCTGCGTCAGAGTGGCGGCTGCCTCGGTATTCCGGCTTCCCAGGCTGACCGTGACAACCTCCTTGACCATGCCCTCCCCGCCCAGAGAGTTGGCCCACTTGAACACCTTTTCGTCCTCGCGGCCGTCGCCTATCACCATGAGGAAGTCGACGGGTGACTTGTGCCTCTCGTCGGGGGCCATGCCGTCCTGCAGATCCGAAAAGATCCTCGCGGCCGCCGTCGTCTTGGTCCAGTCTATGGGTTCGACCAGCACGCAACCGTCCAGGGGGATCGCATGCACGTGTTGCTCCTCGCACGCGTCGTTGATGTGACTAGCACAATCCGTGGCCTGCCGCATTGCTGCCTCGTAGTCCTCGGCAGACTTGTAGTGGAAGATCAAGGAGCAACGGCGGTCTTCGATTTCCGCCCCCGGGGTGCGCTCCAAGTAGTACGTCAGGATGTTCTTGACTGACTCTTTCCACGACCGGATCTGTTCGGAGTCGGCCATCTCGGTCCACGTCGAGCTGCCGCAGTCTTTGAGGAAGCAGCCGTTCTCGGCGATGAGCCCCAGGTTGGGAACGCGGTGGAACAGGCGGTCCAGCTCCTCTGGCCGGCGGCCCGACATGACGTAGATGGTGTTTCGGTCATCGAGAAGAAGATCGTTCAGCACATCGAGAGTGCGCTGTGTTCCACACCCACGTTAGAACACACGCAAACACTCGAGGCGTGCAGTGCACTGCGTTAGTAGGGGGGTGGGGTGGGGCGAGGGGGGGGAAGGGGGGGAGAGGCGAGGGGGGGGGAAGTGGGGGAGAGGCGGAGGGGGGGGGGAAGGGGGGAGAGGCGAGGGGAGGGAAGGGGGGGAGAGGCGAGGGGGTCTTCTTACCTGAGGGCTGACGGGAATGATCTGGTTGACGGGTCCCCAGCTCACCAGAGTGCCTTCAAAGTCGAGGATGAAAAGCCTCCGGTCGGTTCGCTTGTACTGCTGGCCGAGAGCGCTCATCGAGAGCCGCGGGACCGACGTCTGGTCGCGGCGGTGTTGCTCTTCGTAGACGCGGTCCAGCCTGGACATGAACTCGGTGAACCAGTGGGAGCCCGTGTGGTGGTTTACTGCCTCGTATAGCTTGGACCAACGCCGCTCCTTCTCCTTGTCGCCCATCTCCAGCGCCGTCCTGATGGCTTCGGCGCAGGCCCGGTAGTCCCACGGGTTGACAGACAGCTCGTTGCCGCCAAAGAGGGACGACGTGCCGGTGAACTCGGACAGGATCAGGGACCCGTGCTTCTTGTCGCCAATCTCTCCGTCCTGGCAAAAGAGGTACTCGTGTGACGTCAGGTTCATGCCCTCGCGCTGGCTCGTGATCATGAGGGCGTCGGCGATGCTCAGGAGCGCGAGGTACTGGGCGTAGTCAATGTCCTGCTTCAGGTAGACGACGGGCTGGTATGCCAGGTTGGCCCACGACGAGTTGACCCGCGTCACGATGTCCGAGACCGTCGCATCCAGCTCGCTCTTCTCGCTAGTAGAGAGCGCAACCTGGATGAGCACGACCTTGTCTCGCCACTCGGGATTCTTATTAAGAAATAGCTCGTACGAGAGGAGCTTCTGCCGAACCCCTCGGACGTGGTCGAGCTTGTCCCGGGCCACGATGAGCTTCTTGCCGGCATAGCGCTCGCGCATTATGTCCAGCCACCTCTTGACCTCGTCCTCCTTGCGATGGTGGCTGAGGCTCACGGGGTCGATGCCGATGGGCAAGTTAAGCACGTCGACGAAGCGGTCCTCGAGCTGCAGCCCGTCGGGCGTAGCCTCGGCACTAAGGAGGCGGCTGCACGTCTGCAGAAAGTGTCGGGTGTACTCGTGGATCTGGAAGCCGATCAGGTTGGCGCCCAGCATGCCCTCGAGCAGCTCCTTCCGGACGGCCAGGCACCTGAACACCTCCGACGACGGAAATGCCACGTGCAGGAAGAAGCCGATCTTGGCGTCGGGGAGCTTCTTGCGCACCATGCCGGGCACGAGCAGCAGGTGGTAGTCGTGGACCCAGACGACATCCCCCCTCTTCCAGTTCTTGACAATCTTGTCCGCGAAGGCCTGGTTCAGGTTGACGTAGTACTTCCACGAGTGGTCCTCGTACGCCTTGCTCTTGGGGTTGTCGGGGATCTGGTAGTGGAAGACGGGCCAAAGGATCTGCTTGCAAAAGTGCGAGTAGTGGCCGTCGAAGTCCTTGTCGGAGCAGAAGACGGTCAGCATGTCGTGCTCCGTCGCTAGCCTGTCCTCGATGTCCTGCAGCTGCTGCGTGCCGAGCAAGGCATCGGTCGGCATGCCCAGCGTCCCGACCCACGTGTAGTCTCCCAGCTTGCCCTCTCTTGAAGCGGCCTCGGCAGCATTCCGCAGCCCGCCGTTGCCCTGGTCCGCGCTCGAGACTTTCCAGTTGGCGTGGGCAAAGACCCTGTCGTGGCTATCGCTCCTGACGAGAGTCCTCGGCTGAGTTATGCCCTGGCGGCCCAGCTCCTTGGCCTTTGCCTGTATGTTCCGGATGTTCTCCAGGATGGAGGGGGGAGGAGGCGAATTGGCGCGCGACTTGGGCTGGTCGGCGCGGCCGCCCCACGTGGGAGAGTTCCGGTCGATGGGGGCCCGGAGCCCGTCGGCGGGGAGCTGGAGGGGCGGCAGCTGGATGCGCAGGCCATCCTCGTTGGTGAAGGGGTCGTCGCGCTTCCGCTCCTCGGTCGGGGTATGAGGGGGCGTAGTTAGGTTGACTTGCGGCTGGAACAAGCTCGGCTGTCTCTCGAGGGGGAATCTGTCATCGGCGGGGGGAGGCTGCTTCTTCTCCGAGTGCGAGCCGCGCGGGGGGGTCCCGGGAAGTGTGAAGTGGACGGTTTTAGGAAGGAAGCTATCCCGGAGGGACCAGCGTCAGCCATCTGCGCAAACCGCGCTACGATGCATTGCAATCTCGAGAACAGAAGCTGCCTGTAGGGCAGGAATGCCATGCAGAGGGGCCAATGGCGAGTACGAGGGGATGGGTGGGAGCAGCAGACTTACAGCGAGGCAATGAAGACGGTCATGATGGGCGAGCTTAGGTGCAGTAGGACGACCGAGATACAGGTTCAGACGAATTGGTTCGTAGGATGTGCTGTGTGCTATGCAGCAGCAGCGTCGACTGCGCCGGGAGTCAGTCTGAAGGGGGAGGGTGGTGGTGTTGGGGCGGTAGCTGGGGCGGTTTAAAGCCGAGAAAGAAATCGCCGTCGGAGAAAGAAAGAGATGGCCGCCGGAGGGGAAACAAACCGCCGGAGAGGAAACAAACTGCCGTCGGAGAGTGCGCGGGACTGCAGCAGCTATAAATAAATATGGGCCGCGGCTCCAAGCAGAACCGGTGTCGCCGTGTTTGGCCTGGCCAGAGGCAAACCGTCTCCTACACACGTTCAACTCGGAGCTGGAGACGCGCGATACCGAATACCAAGACCATCTGGGGTGTTTGTTTTCTGGGCAGGTAGGTGGCTGAGGCGAGGCGAGGCGAGGCGAGGCGTGATTTTGTAGAGGTGGTCTTCAGGGTTTCCGAGGAAAGATGCGCAAGACGAGATGCGCAAGACGAGATGCGCAAGACGAGATGCGCAAGACGAGATGCGCAAGACGAGGTGAGACGAGGCGAAACGAGACTCAAAAACTAGCGCGATTGTACCCGTAGATGTGTTTCCAAGGTTGACGGGGACGGACTAGAATCCGGGGGAGAGTTGAGACTTATGGGAGGGAATGCGGAGGGGGTGCGCCAAGAAGGGACGAAGAAAGCGACCCAGGGAATCGGATCCTCTGAGCTAGTCTGGCGGATGGAAGGGAAAGAAGCTGTTACTGTCTCACGAGACTAGTCAGTACCTGGCACGGGAAAGGGTTGGCAGTTACAGTCGCAGTCGCAGTCGCAGTCGCAGTTGCAGTCGCAGTCGCAGTTTCCGGTCGAGGTCGAGGTCTGCCCAGGGCCAAAAAGTGGCAGCTCAAAATAAAGCCAACAAGGGACAAGGGCAGCGGCAGCGGCAGCGGCAGCAGCAGCAGCAGCTTGGGGCAATGACGATGGTGGTGTTGCTGGTGTATCCACCCAAAAAGGACCGGGACTAGGCGGGACTAGGCGGGACTAGGCGGGACTAGGACTGGGACTGGACTGGGACTGGACTGGGGGGGGACTGGCAAAGTCTGACGTAACAGTTGTTGGCCCAACCCAACGCTGCTTGACGAGGCAAGAAACACAGGCCAATGCAGCACGTAAGCCGGCAAGCTAGGTATGACTTGACCAGGCCGTTGCCGCTTCAGAACTCAAAGACCCAGAGAGAGAGGCCAACAACAGAAACCAGTCGGGCCGGTCGATACGAAGTGCGAAGCGGGAGGAACTTGCTTACGTGCCTTGGCTAGGACCTGGACGCCGCAGAGCTTGTCACGGCGTGTGTACGGATGATGCTTGGCTGGAACCGCGTTGACGGGACGAGCAGGTACAGTAGGTGCGTAGGTACGGTAGGAAGACAGGGAAGCCGGTCAATAGGAAGGGGGATCTGAGGTAAGGTAGGTAGCTTTAGAGGTAGGTAGCTTTAGAGGTAAGGTAGGTAGCTTTAGAGGTAGGCGTAGGTATACGGCAACTCTCTATTCCTCATCATCTCCGAGTGTGCTGGGGCGGGCAGTTGGAGGCGGACAGAGACCTGAACTGGAGAGCAATGGAAGGGAGCAGATGCAAAAGTTTTTCACTCCGAGCGGCACCAGCAAGCAGCAGCACAACAGATCCAGGACCACTACCACAACCAGCAAGCAATAAGCGCCTCAGCAACGGCAGGGAGCTCGCTTGACTCGGCCAAGGAAGTTCTCCGTTCTCTTGGAAGCAGCGGAGGTGGGGCGGGCGACTGGATGCATTGCCTGCCCTGCCCGCCCCGAGCTGCCTGCCCCGCCCGCCGAGCAGCCAGCTCTTGGACAATTCTGTTAATGTTCTCTGTTAATGTTCTGCTGCAGCTTCACTGCTCGTCATTGCTGGCCCCGGGGCGGGCGGCTCTTGTTGGAATGGTGGACCGGCTGGGGGTCAGGTCAGGCCAGGCCAGGTTTTGGTTGCCGTTTGGAAGCCCGCAATTGAAGGGAATGGGACGGCCGAACGCTTGGCGCAACAGCAGGGAGCGAGTGGGAGGGGAGTGCAGCAGGGGGCGAGTGGGAGGGGTGCAACAGGGGGCGAGTGGGAGGGGAGTGCGACAGGGGGCCAGGGCTGCAAGCAAGCTGCGAGCTGTGAGCTGCGAGCTGCCAGCTACGGGCGGGTTCGAGTTCGACAACGGCAGGGCAGGTTCGAGTTCGACAACGGCAGGGCAAGCAGTTCCAGTTGAGGTTGCAGGGCAGGGGGGCAGGTTCAAGCCACCGATGGGCCGCCGATTCGCACAAGCGCCACGGCAGCCTGCCTGCACCTCCCGTTCGATAAAGGACAGACAGTGACTTGCTCCTGGTACTGCATTGTACTTTTAGTTCTTTACTGTTAGTTCTTCAGAGGACTGTATTGTCGAGCCGAGTTGTGTCGAGTCGAGTTGTCGAGTCGAGTTGTCGAGTCGAGTTGTGTCAAGTCGAGCTGTGTCGAGTGACAAACCACAATCCGGCTCTTGTTAGCCGTTACGTACTCCTCTCTGCTCACGAGTATTTCTTGTCACGCTGGACGAGGAATGCGTGCCACCATCCTCTTTGGAGCTGCATCACGTAATCTAATGCCTCGGGACGCACTACAGGCCACATGCTGGCACCAGCTGATAGCCCGCCAACCCAGACAGATACCGTCGACGGCCGTTGGCAAGTCTTGGCCACGTCCCGTTGGAGCGGTGCAACAGCCGGCGCCCCGTGGCCAGCGGACGGATCGACGGAGCAGACAGGTCACTTTGACGTCTTGTCACAGGCCCGGAGCTCACCTCCCCTCCTCTTTGTTGCCTCGCTGCGTTCGAGTTTAGCCACCTTCTGCACATACCAAGTACTACCTGCCTAGGTTAACAGTTCCCCGAGACAATTCAACTCAAAGCATGTTGCGCGTCTCTGGCGAGCGGCCTCCCATGGAGTGGAGTCTCGTCAGCGCGCATGCAAGGCTGTCTTGGCTTGCACAGCACTCGCCAAAGTCAATTCGATATATCACAAATAGGTGCTGCACCAGAGCCAAATCAGAAGAGGATCACCCAGCCGGCCGTCTCTTTCTCGGGTAATATCAACTTCATGATTCGCCGTGCAGGATACGTATATAATGCATACATGCATACATGCGTACATGCGTAGATACGGTAGTAGGTAGGCAAGTAGGTAGGTAGGTAGGTAGGCAGGTAGGCAGGTAGGTAGGTAGGCAGGTAGGCAGGTAGGCAGGTAGGCAGGTAGGCAGGTAGGCAGGTAGGCAGGTAGGCAGGTAGGCAGGTAGGCAGGCAGGCAGGTAGGTGCGGTAATTGCTGGATACGCCATGCCATGCACCCTCCATCAAACTCTGCGACGGAGCTAGGTTCCAAACTCAAAAGACCGATACAAAAACCTCCCCGATTAGAACAGGCTCAAGGTTGCAATTGACTTCGCCCCTAAACTCAACTAGACTTTGCCCCTAAACTCAACTACCTGGGTAGTTAGGTACTGTACCTGGATCTACCAAGTACTGAGTAGCTCTGAGAAAAGCACGTGGGGCAAGGCTTTCCTCCAGAGTCTCTCCACAACGCACAACGGCTTCACGTCCGTCAATCCGGCCGGGACCTTATCCGGCCCAAAAGAAGTGCCAGAGAGGGGCTGCGGTTTGGCGGTTTGGTGGTCACGTTGGCTTCGGCGTGGTTTTTGTCAACCCCTCCCCCCTCCATCTTCCACCTCGGGACATGCTGTCAGCGGTAGCCAGGTTCCAGCAGCCCACGGGCTTGGGCCCTCCGGCATCCTCGCCCTGTGGCATCCGTAGTATCTTGCTCGTTCCATTGCTTCAACATACCCGAGCCATGCTGCACTCGTACGACCAGATATTGGCCTCGGGTTGCCAGCCTCTACGTAGTTCGGTTGCCAGCCTCTCGTAGTTCGGTTGCCAGCCTCTACGTAGTTCGACCTGGCAGCATGTGCCCGCCCCTGTGCCGGGCTGTCTGTACCCGCCCGGTGCTAACTTCGGGTTGACATTTTTGGGTCCGCCGTAAGCCCGATTTTAGTTTTTGCGTTTGCCCGTCGTTTTCTCTGACGGCCCCGCCCTCTATCGGAGGTTCAACTGGACTCGGCGGTAAAGAAAGAACATAGAGGAGAATTCGGCCGTCGTCTCTCCACGGCCACCCAAGCAGCCTGTCCTGCCAGCCACGGTCCAGTAAGAAACAGGAAACCAGGAACGTGCTCACCTCAGCGTTTCACTACACGTCGATGGCGGGGACCCAAGGCTGGGGCCTAAATATATCTGCCTCTGTACGAAGTATGTCTGTCGTATGTACACCTCGATAGACTATAGCCGTGCTGAGACATGAGACATGTGCAGCACATGCACGTAGCCTGCTAAGGTATTCGACTTTGCTTTTTCGGCCAAGGTATTCGACTTGCTTTTTCGATTGTGGCTCGAGCCGCACTTACTGATAGATAATTCCTCACACGGGGGGCCGGCCGGGCCCGACTACAAAGAGCTAGACTCACTCCATTGCAACGGCAACTGTCTCTCCGCAGAACACTTATTGCCGCACCTTGCAACATGGCATGCCTACCTTGCCCAAGTTACCAACTCTAGCAACTGAGGTAGCCCCCAGTGAACCCCTCCGGTAGCGAGTGTGAAAATTTTCACTCATGCCCAGCACGGACTCGGTCGACGGGACCCTAAGTCGGTCTCCAGAGCGAGAGGGCAAGTCTTAAAGTTTAGATTCAGCGCAAATCCGGGAATCCCAGCCGCGTGGATGGGCAGGGCAGCCCCAGCCGATCCGAAATTTCCCGAAAGGATGGGCACCATGACAGGCTAAAACCGGCCGAGCCAGCCCACCTTTTCGTTTTTTTCCATAGGCTCTCCGAGTCTCTGATCCAGCGGGAATCGCTGCCGCAACCCGCATCAGATCTTTTTTGGCCGCCCGCCGCAAGGTAACATGGTAATCGATCCAAGCTAGACCCACATCTCGAAACATCACAACACCATGCTCTCAACAATCTCGGCCATACCCATTTTTTTCTCTTTAAAGTTTGTGCGCGCTTGGGGGGGCTGCTCACAACCACCCACCTCTCGGAGGGAATGAAACAGCACGCTGATGCAATTGAGTGATTTTCTCCCCCAGTCCATCAGTCAGAGACGGGCCATGGCGGTCGTTTCGCAAATCTTACAGGCCCGTCACAGCCGCCTGGAGAGTATTTACACGTCAAGAAGTAGTCTCGGCAAACCCTCTCGTATGCCAGAACTCCATACATGCACAGGGCAGGGGAGATTAGGAGGGTAAGGTCCTTGGATATCCAACCTGACGGAGCCAGAAAAATTCAAGTGTCTGAGAGAGAAAAAAAGAAAAAAGCAAAAGAAAAAAGCAACAAACAAAACAAGGCAACCGAACCGAAGACAGAAAAACAGTAGCGTCCCAATCGACAGCTTGCAGAGGGACGGCCCGCAATTGTAGTGTATCGTAAGGCGGGCAGTCCACACACCTCCAGTAATGGATGCCCGCCCTTGGGAACCTTGCTAGTAAACCCCCCCCTCGCACGGCATGTGCAAACGACTGTAAAAAGAAATGCAGCACTGGCCAACCAGCTGAACAGCAAACAACAGCAAACTGCAATGACTATCTCCCATACACTATGTCCGAGTTACGAAGTACTTTTCAAACGAATTAATTTTCTCTCCTCGGTGACATGTTGCACTCTTCCGGGAGGGGTTTGCGTGTTAGGGGGTTTGTTACCTCGGTGTCCCCGCATTGGCATTGGCAGTGGCGCCGAGGCGCTGAGGGCCTCTTCCGCCGAGCTTACTTCTTCGACGAAGCTTCTCGGCTTGGCTCAATGCATGTAGGTTAGTAACTTGCAAAGTTGGGAGTAGCAACTTACAAAGTTGGGAGTGAGATACTGTACAGCACTGCACTCTACTTCACTTTTATCCAGCCTAGGTGTGCACTATACATCCAACCTAGGTATGCACTATACATCCAACCTAGGTATGCACTATACATTCAACCTAGAACCTCTAGCTAGTTGTTAGTAGGCATGCAGGCAAAGTTGATGTGCATTGGGCGGGAGAGGCACAGCGAGAAAGAGCGAAAATCACCTCATCCAACGAGCATCTTGCATGCATCGCATGCGAGCCAGGCCCATGAACTAATACAATCCCCAGGCAGTGGGCGAACTAGTTGCGGAACGAGGGCCGGGCCCATCACGGGACTTTTTCGGCGTCTGCGCCTGAGAGAAAGGGGAGAGACGAAAAGATGGGCGCTGCAATAGTGAATGGGCGTATGTACATACGCAGAGTCACCACAGACACGGAAAGAGGCTAGGGATTGACGTATGTAATATGTACGTAAGTTTGCCTTTGCTCTCCAACTGCTCAACAAAAGTGCGTTGGTCGTTTCCCTTTGGAGGACGGAGCCGCCATTGCCGCGGTTTTCTTTTACCTTTTTAAACTCTTGCCCGTTCATAGGGCTTCAGGGAGACTCTCCACAGCCGGCTGAGCCTGCAGCCAGTTAACAAACACTTCCCTTTCAGCGGCTAGGGACCCGGAAGAGATATGCACCACCTAGGCAGGCGAGAAGACGCCAAAGAAAGGAAACACTGGAGTCTTCAAACAAACAAGCATCTATCTAGGCGTGCAAGAAGAAACCAAGTCAAGAACAGGAGGGGCTTAGCCCAAAGACTTCATTATAGCAGCCGAGGAGGATACAGAAGGACAGAGACTCCTACGAGCCCCCTTTAAACGCGCCTTGGGCATGTATGTAGAGACCGGGCTAGTGTAGGTAGTAAACATCAACGAACACCAACTCACACGTGCCTTACTTGCCTACCTTGGTGCATATACGCAGCGCGTAGAGTATGCATGCATATATATAGCACAACTCGGGCAACCGCATGAACTAGTACCATTGCCTGTTCGCTGCGCCCACGTTCACTGTTATTTTTTGTCTCCTTGCCCCTCGCACAACCATATCATATGCCCAAGGCAGCAGGCCGGCAGTGTGTAGTGCAGTGTAGCACTTGTCCACACAGTCAATACAATGGATAGGTGGGTAGGTACTGTTGTCGGACTGTTCCAAAGATAGGTAGATACCAAGCAAGTCAGTCAGTCAGCCAGCCAGTCAGTCGCGAACACATGCCGTCCTTTCCCCATGATTCCGCGAACCGCAGGCGCATCGCGTGCATGCCGGTACAAGTCCTTTCCACCATTTCCGTCTTTATTTCCCTTCGTCTCCCTTTCTCCTTATCTGACCTGTCACCTCCGAGCATCGTGCCACCTGCTTAGGTACTGGTTCCCCGGGTTCCCCATTCGGAGGACGGTCGAGGAATAGGGATGAGGTGGTGGTGGTCCCATTTTTCGGCCTGTAGCATTCATTATCTGCCGTAGTTGCCTACCTTGGGGTTCGGCTTTCCTAATCTGATGTGTCTCCAACAAACTCGTTTTTCGTTGCATCCAAACTGCTTTGGCGACGATGGCTAAGCGCTCGCTTCGGGGGAGCTCGGCTGGTATCAGCAGCGCATTACCATCGCACTCACACACTCACATTCACAGCAAAGATAGCAAAAAGTCACGCAACGGCAGTTTAAATAGGGAGGGAGGGGGTTTGGCCGCTGTCGTCATCCCGAATTTTGTGCGAAGGGGAGGGTATCATTCGTTCCCGCGTCTCCATCTTTCTTTTGTGCGCGAGAGTTCTAAATTGTGTGGTTTTTTTTTTTTTTTTTTTTTTTTTTTAATTTCTCCACGTCCTGACGGCCTTGTCCTTCCCGCCTGAACCGACCATCTTGCCGTCCGCTGCCCAGTCGACGGCGTAGACCTAATCGCACACAAAGATTAGTACACGTGCAAAAGCAATGCGATCTCGGAGCTGGGGACCGGGTGTTGGGTTCCACGAACCTCGTCTTCATGTCCGGGAAGGTCCATAGCAAGACTCCCGGTGCGCACGTTCCATACTTTCAGCGTGCAGTCCTTGCTTGCCGTCACGAGCAGCCGGCTGTCGGCAGACCACCCGCACTGGTAAACCTGTGCTCGGAAATCGATTAGCCCGTCGTGTTCAGTGTCGGAGAATCGGAGGCAGCAAGCAGGTAGAGATCGACGTACCGGCGCAACGTGGCCCCGCAAGCTCTTGAGAAACTTGCCGTCCCTCGCGTTCCACATCTTTGTCGAGTTGTCCCACCCGGCACTCGCAATCAGTGTCCCGTCTGGCGAGAACTGGACTTGGTTGACCTTGTTCTGGTGTCCCAAGAGCCTCGCAACGGGCTTCGTGCCGTTGTTGGTGGGATCCCACAAGTACATGGTGAAGTCGTCGCCTAGCGTCGCTCGTTAGCTGAAGCCGGGAGGCACGATTCGCGTGCATACTCACTCGCAGAAACAAGGCGCTCTGCTACCTTGCCGTTGATCTTGGCCGCGTTCTCGAACCGCTCCTTGGCCTTGGCTCTCCTGCCCTCTTCGGTGTCGGGCACATCCTTGGTGTGGTCGAAGTACCCGGTTCTGAGCACGTGGTCGCTCGAGAGGGCGATATGGTTGATCCAGTGGGCGTGGGAGATCAGAGTGTGCACAAGGGTGCCGCTCACGGAATCCCAGACGCGGATGGTCTTGTCGTGCGACCCTGTGTAGATCAGGCCGGTTCCGCCCCATCTCACAGAGCCGACCGAGCCCTTGTGGCCACTGAGGACGTGCTCTGTTCGGCCCGTGTTCACGACCCAGATGCGGCACGATCCGTCTTTGCTTGCGCTAGCAAGCCGAGGGGTGTCATCGCGCCATACTAGGTCAGGGCATTAGTATAAACCGGACTCGGGGTAGGTAAGTTCTAGCGACCTGGACTTACAGTGGTACGGCTCCCACGCCATGGCGAGCACCCATTTGGCGTGGCCTTTGAAGTCCGAGCCAGAGGGCTTGCCGGTCTCGGGGTCCCATATCCTCACTGTCTTGTCCATGCTGCAGGTGGCCAGGCGCTCGCCATCGGGGCTCCAGCTGACTCCCAGTACCCAGCCGGTATGGCCCTTGAGTGTGTGCTTCGGCGTGCCAGTGTCTGTGTCCCAGATTCTGGCCGTGTTGTCGCCGCTTCCTGTAGCGAGCCTGCTAGACGAGTTCGGGGAGAACTGGCAGGCAAGTATGGGCTGCCCGTGGCCTGGGATGCGATGCGCCAGCCGCGAGACGGCCTGGACTTTGAAGACGGACTGGGGCTCTGCACTCAGGGTAATGGTGGTTCTAGAGGTACGCGTCAGCCTAACTTGGACTGTATGCCTTCGACTCCATGCCGACTATTCTCTGCCGACTATTCTCTGCCGAATATTCTCTGCTGACTGTATTTCGGACTATATTCTCGACTATACTTTGTCGACTACAGTATGGTCGACTACATATATAGTGAGAGAGAAAAAACTGAACGCACTCGAATGGGTTCTCCACGCCATGTTTTTGGAGGAGGCCTAGGAGGTCGGCGGGGTACTGGTCGACGATAATGTCCTTGCCGGGGATGTGAATGCGGAAGCGGTAGGGGGTGAAGTCTTCGCGATCCTGAACGAGCACAGTAGCGGTCAGTTCAGCGCCCAGCGGAAATAGGCTTTAGGGTTCGGGGAACAGAGGGCGGCGCACCCTCTCCAGCAGCGTGTTGAGCAGCACGGATATGTTCTTCTCGGATGCGTCTTCAAAGTTGATTTCAATGACCTCGGTCATCTGGTTGCCGTCGCTGTCGACAAAGTTGGCCTTGAAGGAGCCCAGCTCGGGGGCGAGCAGGGGAGCGACATCCTGCTGCGTCTGCGTACGCTCGAGCTCCTCTCTCCGCTGCCGCTTCGAGGGCGGCGGTAGTACGGTCGCCATCTGGGAGGGCAGTAGCAATCGGGGACGGATTCGTGGCTGTCGGAGAAGGGCGCAGCGTCGTCGTAGTGGTGCTAGGAATTGGCGGGGAGCGTAGCCCCTCAATCTGCGAAATCACTGCGCTGCTTGCCCCAGCTGCAGAAAATTTTAGCGGTGAGAAGGTGCAGAATCTGCGCTACCTTGACAGGCGGGCATAGGGCGGGCGATGACGATCTAGAGGGGCCGATAAGGATTTTTTAACGAGAAGAATACGCCGTAGGCTACTTGGGGACTAGCGTAGGCGGTAAAGAGGGGCAGCTGTCCAATGAGGCAGGCGGTTTACTACGGCAGTAAAAAAGTTACCCCTCCGACTAGCTAACCGAATCTCAGCGAATTTATCGATCAGGGCCTTATCGATCAGGGCCTAGCCCTTGTTGGATAGCGTGCAAGGCGGTTTAAGGAGCGTTCGCCCAACCACGCCACTGAACTTTATCCGATGCATATTCACTGCGTGACTTGATTGAATGGAATACAAGATTCGTATTTCCTACTAAAGTGCAACCTATTTATATAAGAGCTGTCCGTGACAAAGGAAAGGAAATGCGCCAACTCGACTGCCGTCACTCTGTTCCCTTGTTCCAGCGCCTTACCAGCCCATTCATCGCTTCAAGCCGCCCAATCCGCACCCTCCGATGTCTACACCTGGCCTGCCTCGGCTGCTTGTCTAGTTCTATTATCTACGTGTCTCGGTCGTGGGCATCAGGCTGCTACCTCTTGCGGCCGCGCGACTCCTCGTTGTACTTCTCATTGTACCACTCGTCCTCGCCGTCCGTCTCGTAGCCGCCGCGCCTCCTCTCGCTCTCGTGGCCCCTGCGCTTCTTCTCCCTGGTGCGCGGCGACTCGAAATGCACCGTCGAGCTTCTGGGGGCGGGCCGGAACGCGACATCCGAGAAGCCTGTGGTGACGGCAGCAGGAGCAGCAGCAGGGGCAGCGGGGCGCGGGTACGTCGCCGTCGCCTGCCGCTGTAGCCGGATGAACTGGTCAGGGGTCGCGCCCACGCGCCGCCCGGGCTCGGGAAAGTACTCGATGCTGCCCGCGCTCTGCGGCTCGGGCGCGTACGAGAACGAGTGCCGCCGGCCCCGGTCCCGGTCCTCGTAGGCCCGCGAGCTGCGCGACGACTCGCGGCTGGTGCGCGACTGCGACTGGTCATCCCGGTACCGCGACGACTCGCGCGAGTCTCGGGACTCAGGGTGGTGGTGGTCATGGTGGTGGTCGCGATGCTCACGGTGTTGCTTCTCGTGAAAGTCGCGGTACTCGCGGAGCTCGCGCAGCTCGCGGTCACGAAGCTCACGGCGCTCGCGCGATTCACGGCTGCGCGACGAGTCCCGCGAACGAGACGTCGATGACGACCGGCTGGCGATGGTGCGGCTCTGCGGGTTCTCCTCGAGCACTCTCATGTGCGCTCGAATCCGGCGCAGGGCAGGCACTACAGTCACTCACCGTCAGAAGATGCTCTGGGTCGTGCGGCACGCGGGAAAAGACTCACAGTCTCTCTCGATCTTGGCCACCATGAACTTCTCGTACCACTGGTAGTATTCAGCACTGGTCAGATACCCATCCTTGTACGCCCGGCGCAGCCTGTTGAAGATGCGTGGCGCCTCGTCTTCGGCCAGCCTCGTCTCCTCCTTCCGCTTCATCATCTTGCGGAGCTCTATGGCCGACTTGATCGAAGTCACCAGGCTGCCCGTGGCAGCAAGCGTTGCTAGGGCGACGGGAACAGGCATTTTGGTGGACTTGTTTCCTTTTGCTTGGGAGACGTGGTCACGGGAGGGGCGGTCCGGCGGGAAGGGCGATCTGTGGGCGATCCTTTGGTGATTTGCGTGCAACGATCCGCGTTCAGAAACATGCGAGAAACAATTTCGAAGAAGATGCGAAGATGAAGAGTCGGTCGTCGAGCGACAGCGCTGGCCTTCCTTGTATGCGAGTAAACCCACGCGGCGAGTCGCAGAGAGTCGGAGGACCTGAAGCGGAACTGTCTCGGACCGCGGTCAGCCCCACGATGCAGCGTAAGAGAGATCGGTCTTGTGACGCGTCCGCAGACTGACGGCCGGCCCAACCCTCCGCCCTTGCCCTGTGTTTCTGTGGCATGAAACGGCGCAACGGGGCCCACTCCGGCCGGCCACGCCTCAGCCGGGCCGGCCCCCACCACCCGCCCCGGACCAACCTTGTCAAGTGCGCATTCAGTTCTGACGTTGTCCCCCGCACCAGGAGCCGGACCTCGTAGATCTGATACGGGATAGCTTTGCTGTCTACCGCGAGCTGGCTTTGCCATATTGCATGCTGTGGCGTGGCGGCTGACAGAGTGTCAGCCATTGACGCAACGGAAACGAGATGCAAGATGCCATTTACAGGCGCATCTACCAACGAACTTGACCATTAGTGGACAGTGACGTATTTATCAGTTCTATTACATCGGTAGATCAATTCACGTCGTGTCGCGAATAACTTGTGTGGTCAACAAATCCCCCTTTGTCCCCTAGGCCGCACGGCCCCCGAAAGTAAACAAGTCTCGCCTTTGTCGAGTCCAACAAAACATCATCCCGCCTACCCTTTCCCCCCTTCCCCCCCACCAGATTCCCCGATCCACCCTTGAATCCAATGCGGGAATTACTCCACCATGTTTTCCCGGAAACCTTGGACGGGTGCACGCTGCTCGTAATGGCCAATCCCGTCGGCAAGGTAATTAGGTAGGTCACTCGCGCATGGTGCGGCCTGCCGACCGGCCGCCCGCCCCCCGCCGCGGCCACGGCCACGGCCACGGCCCTCGGCAGAACACACAAATGAAACGGCGAGGTTTGGACCATCCCCCAGGCCAAGGCCGGGCTTGGCTCCTGCCGGCGAGGATGCACTTTTCTCCGAACGCGTCCCATTTGTTGAATCGCTTTCCCTTTTCGGGACGCTGGAACCATGGCCCGGCCAAGCCCTCGTGGGAGTCGCATTGACTTCATGCCCATGTCTGTGTGCGTCCCTGGGGGTTGGTTTGGTTTTGGTGTGTTTGGTCTGGCTTTTGTCCCGTTTCGTGTCGCAGCCTGTCAGGTCTGTTGTTTTGCGTTTCCTGGTTTGCGAGGTTTGTGTTGCGAGGGCTTGCGTTGCGAGGGCTTGCGTTGCGAGGGCTTGTGTTGGTGCATCCGTCCCAAACGGCGAGAGTAATGTCTCGGCTGGATGCTCCCTTGTCCACAACTGCTGCAACACTGGCCAACACTTGGGGTTTTAATTTTCACTTGAATCGTACCGTGTGCAGTGGCCTAGCGCCAAGCAGCGTACGTGCCACATCCCAACCTGAGAATCGCCGGGGAATAATCCCGCCTCTCCCAAACTGAAAGCTCAAAAAGACGGCAAGAGGCGAGCAGCAAGCCAGCCATTAAATCGCATTTCAAAGCCCTTGCCCCTTGCTCCTGGCTAGTTGTGGGAAGAGCCAGCCTCCATGGCTACAAACTGAAAAGCCCAGTCTTGGAGAGGCCCCAATGCAATTTTCCTTCCCAGAAAACGAACCCTTATCTAGTTCCCCTTGACTCCCAGTTGAAATCATGATCTCAACCCCGACCGCCACTCGCCGCAGCTTGCAGCATTCTACTCTCGAAGGGAAGCCGCGGCATGCCGCTTTGGCCCCTCAACCCTTCCCGTGCGGCAAACACGAGATGTTGAACGGATTTGCCTCCCTTTTCATTGTAATAATTTCCCGGTCTTGACATCACGACGCACCACATCTCAAGTTCAAGACGCGTCGCTTCCAGGTAATCAAGTAGAGTAATCAGACCCGCGCTGCGGAGGGTCGGAGAATCATGATCAACACCCACTACCATCCCCTGACCCGGCAATCTGATTTCACGAAGAGCGAGCAAAAAGACGCACCCACTCACTAGCTCACCTACTCACCCACTAACTCACCTACTCACTCACTAACTCACCTACTCACTCACTTACTCACCGACTGACTGCCTAAAACACACAAACAGTCCGGGGGGGGTGGTCTCGCAACACGGCCGCCGAGAGAAAACCCCAACCAGTCAGTCGGGTCGCGAGCCTGGGCCGGCAGCCCTACATAAGACGGGCCGCGACACTGCGTCAGACGCGGACGGGCGCGCACAATGGGTCTTCCCCCCCATTCCCTCCGCCCTCATGACGCGGATTCCGCGGGGGTGCCAAGGGAGGACGAAAGCAGCAAGACCCAGCTCATACGAGAGGTTTTTTCACAGTTGTTGGTCTCTAGCTGCCATCTTCCCATCGTGGTCACTCAGATGGATTTTCTTCCTTCGCGGCTGTTGCCACCGCCGCCACCTTGCCCAATTACCGCACATCACATCACCACGCGGCAAGATGAATTCAATGGTCATATAGTAATATTTACATCTTTTAGCTACCTGACGTGAGAGCCAGCGAAATCGTCTCACGGCCATGCGAACGAAGGAGACGGAATGCCACCACATCGTCAGCCGGCAAATCCCGCCAGGGCATCCCCCGGCTGCCGCTCAGGATGGCCAGTACATAGCAGCTCTTTTGTGTTCGAGATACATGATAGTAAAGTACAATCAAACCCATACCCTCTGGTCAACATCTGACAGAGATACTGGCTACCCATCTACGTAGCGGAGCCGCCGCCGATGGCGTTGGCGGCGTCGGCGTTGGGGTAGAAGAAGGCGGCGACGGCGATGATGACATAGGCAGAGCACAGCAGGGCGCCCTCGAGGTAGTTGCTGCGGCCGTCGAGGACGAGGAAGTTGACGATGAAGGCGCTGACGAACATGCTAATGGTCTCGAAGAGGGTGAAGAAGAGGCTCATGTCCTTGCCCATGATCCAGCCGAGGATGACGACGAGCGGGGTCACGAACAGGGCGATCTGGATGCTGCTGCCCAGCGCCACGCCGATGGCCAGGTCCATCTTGTTCTTGAAGGCCACCGTCACGGCGGTGACGTGCTCGGCGGCGTTGCCCACGATGGGCAGCAGGATCAGCCCGATGAAGGCCTCGGACAGCCCCGAGTCGTTGGCCACCACCTCGTTGATCGAGTCGATCATGAACTCGGCGCACACGGCCACCAGCCCCGTCGACACGAGGAGCAGGATGATGGCCGTCGTGCGGGACGTGTCGGGCTTCTCGTCGTCCTCGTCGTCCCCCGCGGCCGTCGTGCTGGGCGCGTCGTCGACCAGTATGGGGACGATGGGCGGGATGGCACCGGGCGGCGCGTGGTACGCTTGCGAGCGCTCCGTGGGCATGGATCTGGCACGCTGGATCGGGCGGTCCGGCCCGGGGCTGAGCACCGGTGGCGACCCGACCGGGTTTATCATGGGGCGAGCCGAGAACACGGGCGAGCGCATAGATCGCAGGGAAAAGGGCTTTGGCCTGGTCTCGTCTTGGGCCTCCAGGCTGGGGGCCAGTGCGAAGTCGACGCGTCTCGTCTCTTCGGATCTAGAAGCCTGGGCGAGCTGGACAAGCTCGACGCCGCTGTTACCGTCCCCGGGACGGGGCGTCTTTTTGCTGTGGTGCTTTCGCTTGTTGTGGTGCTTCTTCCTCTGCTCGGCAGGTCTGTCCGACTCGCTGAGCGTGCCATCGGCGACGGCATCGAGGGACATGATCCTGTCCTCGTCGCCGACCGATCTCGAAGTCTTGGGCCCCATTGTGCTGGGGGTTGATGATCCTGGCTCTTCGCGAATGCTGGCCGAGGGGGGGTCCTGACGTGCCGGAGACCGCTTCCCTCGCTTCATCATTCGCTTCAGTCTATTGGCGGTGCTGGTGGAGCGTGATGACGACCCAGACTCGGAGTCGGACGACGAGGAAGAGGACGACGAGTCGGACGACGAGCTGGAAGACCCGTTGAAGTACTGGGCGGCCGGTCCTGGAACAGACTCGCGCTCGATGATGTGCTGTGGGGTTGACTCGTACATGTACGAGTGAGAGCTGAGCTGGAAGAGCAGGTATAGGAAGTATACCAGCAAGAGGATCACGCTCGTGCCACGGCTGACTTTGAGGACTTTGTCGTCTGCATTGTTGACGTCGCTGAAGGAGGCGTGGAAGGCGGTCGGGAGCAGCAGGCTGGTGACGCTCAGGGAGAGCAGACACGCGCTCATTTGGGTGACGGTGCTGTTGTAGATCTGCTCGCGGTACCGCAGGCCGCCAAAGAGAAAGCACATGCCCATGATCAAAAGCAGGTTGGCCAAGATAGAACCAACAAGAGAAGCCTGGACAATTCGGATCTCGTCTTTGACAAGAGCGATGCTGGACCAGAGTTAGCCATCTATCTAGGTATTGAGTCAGGGCCAGGGAGTTGAGAGTGCTTACATGAAGATGATGAGCTCGACGGCGTTTCCGAACGTCACGTTCATCAAAGCGCCGATGGTGTCGCCGAGCTCTCTGGCCACGATCTCAGTGGCATGGCTTAGTAGTCCTGCCAGTGGGATGATGGCGATTGCGTTCATGGCAAACACGACCCCACCGGGCAGATGCGCAAAGTCTAAGAGCAGAGACGGCAAATCAGAATTCAAAGCCCAGAAACATCAAACATGGGATCACGACACGTCGTCAAGGGGGGGCAGGTAAAGGGGTGGGGCACTTACGCACTGCTATCCCGACGGGGACAAAGACCAGGAGAACATTGATGGGACTCGAGAACAGGATGTCCTTGACTGTTTGATAGAACCGGACGGCGACGCTCTTCTTGGACCTGACTGAGGGCGCTGATATCGCCTCTTCTGCTGGCTGCTCGGGTTTTGACTGCTCAACGGCTGGGTCCGGGCCCGGCGTTGGTGCGGCAGAGGCTGGGAAGGGGACCAGCGGGGGAGAGGCGTGTATTGTGTTGCCATTGCGCACTCTGGAATTTGACCTTGACGGCGTCGATGTGAGCGACGGCGAGCCATGAGGCTTCTCGCGCGCCTTTTGGCGGGCCCATGCCTTGACCCGATCTGCAGTGAGAGTGAGGTTAGCACGGGGTGTAGAGAGTGGTAACGCCGCCACGGCCCGTTTTCGTGGCCATGTCCCCGCTCAGTGAGGTAGATGGGGCGAGGTGAGAATGAGAAAGGTGTGGGTGTGGGTGTGGGTGTGGGCGGCGTGGGCATGAGGGATGCCGATGAGGATGATACATCACGTAGGCTCGAGACATGTTCATGAAGGAAGAACTAGGAGAGAAGGTAGGTACTCACGCATGGCTGAGTTGAGGTTAGATGCGTTTGGATTAGTAGGTGGGAGACCGCAGGATTGGTAGGTAAGAGACCGCAGGATTGGTAGGTGAGAGACCGCAGGATTAGTAGGTGAGAGACTGCACGATTGGTAAGTGAGAGACCGCAGGATTGGCACGGTAAAAGCGCGCGGCGTTCAGAGGGAGCTGGCTTGAGACGCGGCGGATTTCATGGGCAGCGTAATGTGGTCGTCGACTCGTGGCTGGCGAGGGTCGAGTACCTTAATGGCTACGACGCGGACCCCTTTTTTGCCCTTGACTGAACTGAACGGAGGGGGAGATGGCCAGCAAACGTGGCAACGGGCGGGAGATCGCCTCCCCGGGTTTACGGCGAGGTTCCCGAGTAATGCAGGCAGTCGACGTGGAATTACCTTGGGTGTTGGGGCAATTAAGGTCAGGTAGTGCTGGTTTCGACGTGTCGGCTTCAGTGGTGGCGACCAGAATTCAAAGTGTGGCCCACAGCACAGACAGGGCAGGGCCAAAACAGACAGCAGCGGAAGAGGTCAGTTGGGTGCAGGCCGCTGGGAACGCCATTGCGTCACTCCCATGTTATGTGGGCGCCAAGCCTTTTCCGCCACGCCCCAATTCTGCAACATTGTTGGCGGCGCAGAGCGCTAAAATACCGGATGTTTGTCGGTGCGTCATGTGGATCTTCTGTGCCCTATCGGCAGCGCAATTCATTGGCCACAAACCGGACGGCAATCCCTGCCGTGTTAGCCTCCGCTTCCAACTTCCTCAAGCGCCGTTTCCGAAATCTGACCAATGATAAAATCCATCAAAGCGTGCGCGTCTTCCATCAACGCGTGCAGCGTCTTCCATCAGTCATCGTCCCCAGACAGCTGTCCCGAGCTCAGCGACGCATGCAATGCCACAGACTCACTATGTGCTTGAGCCAGCCGTCATGTCAATTCGGAGGCATCGAATCGTGAAGCTGCTAGCTAGTTTAGTTCCATGCAAACAGCCGCTTTGACGACTGCTTTCAGGGTGTTGATAATCAAAGTGCATCAACAACAACAACCGGTAATGATGATGACATTTCAACTAGCACGCAGTCTCGTTCATTGGCTTCTCCTCAGCCAACAAGACGTCTAGTTGGAATCGCACATTGCTCAGTTTCGGGGGGTCAAAACAATCAGAAACCACAATCGTGTTTAAAGATACAGGCATTCGAGTTTCAGTTCCTATTAAAGTCTTGCCAATTCAAGGCAATTGCAAGTGGACCCCCAATTTCAAATCTCCGACAGAGCCATTTTGCGAGCCGGTTAATGAATAAAGCGCAGAAGCGAAAAATAAAAAGAGAAAAGGTCAAAAAAGAGAAAAAGGTCGAAAAAGAGAAAAAGATCAAAAAAGAAAACGAAGGCTGCGAGATGCGCGATCCGAGGTTTGAACTCGGGTCCCTCGCTAATCCAAGAGGAGATGGGAAGCGAGAATTCTAACCACTGAACTAACCGCGCCTATTTTTGTTGAAATCCATCCCTTCTATTTCAACCTAAATTATGTGGACACTGGGGAGATACTAGTTGCCAAAAAAACCAGGACGCAAGCACCGCCTGCCACGGTATCATCCTCAACAATCGGAACTCACAGGCAAAGTTGTGGGCAATATGGAGTCAGCTCAACCTGCGGTTCACTGAATGTCACGCCATTTGGAACAAGTTCCCCCTCCCTGACTTGCTCTGGACCTGTCACGCGCAAAACCAAATGGTTGAAGTGTGAAAGCGGTACCATTCAAATCTATTTACATGCGGCCCTCAATCTCCTCGAGGAGGGTCAGTGGCCATGCCACTTTATCTGTATGTGCCGCACCTATGGCCCGCTCCATCACCTCCATCGCCAGGCGCACAATCGGCGATAAGCTGTCCATGCCACTTTGTTTGTATCTGCCCCATGGCAAGTTCCACCGCCGGGGGCTGGGCCGGGGGCGAAGGACCCCCAACCCGTGCCCAGCCCTGTTTACAACAGACGTAAACAGAAGCACAAAAACAACACAATACCCAAAGGAAGAATGCACAAAAAAATAGCAACAAAAGAAAGTACAAAAAAGAAACGCAAAAAAGAAATACAGGAAAGAAATAAAAGATAACAATATAACAAAACGAAGCAAAAAAGAAAGGAATACAGAAACCAAGAAATCCATGTCTCCCCCAGAGGAACCCTAGAGTTCTCACGCGTGCCACGCGTTTGTTGATACAGGAGCTGAACGAGAATGATTCAACACCTGACGTAAAGTTCGCGTTGAAGTCGAGCTCTGATCTCTCGGCTTGCCGGAATCCCGAGCTCTCATGTCCAAGACTGGCGAGGCGAATGAGTCTTGGTGCGAATTTCGTACACGGGAGCTGGGATCCTCTGTAAAACACTGGGTCGGCAACTCGAGGTCTTGAGAGGACATGTGTGGGCGATCACGTGAAGGAGATACGTACCCAGAGCCGAGAGATCGGAGTTCGACTTCAACACTGCATGTCCGCTCGCACGGCGGAAGCTTGGCATTTCGATATTTATGGACTTAGATCGGCTCCACCGTGCGAGCGGACATGCTCCTTTTTTTTCTGAATATGAAAACACGAACACGTCGTCCTCGTTTCTCATTTCTGTAACGGAGTCGATCAAGAGGATGAATGCACTCTCGAGCCAAGCATGTAGCATACGAGACAGTCGAATAAGAGGTGGTGCTATCTGAAATTGGACCAAGGTGGTTGTCTAAAAATGGTGCTGGCATAGGGAATTGAGCCCTAGTGCAACCGAGGAACACCCGATGAGGGCATGTTGGAAAGTGTCACCTAAGATTTGAGCCACGGCTATAACCGAGTTGAACCTTAAAAGGCCCTCTATGACGCTCACTTCCTAGTATCACGAGATTTCCTTTGTTTACTTTTTGGATATAGATAGGGGCTTCTTTTCCTGTATCTAGACCTTTTTAGACAGACAATTCAGACAATTCAATGCGCTGTCAACTACGATCACGTGCAAGAGAAAGCGGATGCGCTCATCCCAACAGCTTGTTGCTGTCTTGCTGCGGCATACAAGGTGTTGACCGAGGTGAACTAGAAGATGGAGAAGGATGCCGCTGTAATACATTGCCGGAATGAGTGCAAGGTGATGTCCTTCGAGTTTGGGAATGGAGACTTGATTGATGTGGGGTTCCCTGCGTGGAATGTCTAGGCTAGCTATTGATTGCGGCGAGCACTGGAGAGGTGGCGCCGATCAGAGCTGGAGGAGAGGTTGTTTAGAGAGTTTGGAGCCGCTGTTAACTCGGGAGCAGGAGCGAACAGGCTAAGGAGGCGAGGGGTAGAGATTGACCGTCGATGATGGTTGAAACCTGTGCGTTCCGCCTGTGCGTTCCACCTGGAGCCTCAGCTTGCATTCCGTTGGAGTTGTGCCGTTTCTGGGGATCATCCGACGTTCGCCGGCTGCCAACTGAAGATCAGAGCACAGCATATCTGGCGATTACATAGTGATGAGTGAGCAATGGCTTGTCTGGCAGAATTTAGAGGAGAGCGAGATACCTAGGGCCAGAAGTGTGTGCTATGGTTGCAAGTCCCCGAGTTGATGATGGCGGTGTCGGCGGCAAGAGTGAATCGACCTGAGTGCAACTCCGAAACTGAGAAAATGTATGGCACTCTTGTGACTGTGGTAATCAAACCCTCTTAGGCTCCGAGTTCAAGTGTGTGTCACCACAATAGGGACCAGATCGACGGGCGACAATGCCAGTGCGTATGGACCTGGGGTGTAATCGACATGTGCGTAATGTGAATCTTCCTCAGGCTTGGCCTTGGTCTTCATTGTCTTGACTGAGCTCTGCGGCCGCAGCGTCAACGGCCGTGCGACATCTTGATGCTGGCACCGGGCAGATATCGGCCGTTATTGGGCATGGTAATGAGCCTCTAGACATCCTGGTGCAGAGCTGACATGGGTGTCGCCAAATGCTCAAGCCGAGGACAGCACTGTGACGAGGGTCGAGAACTCGGGTAGGGGAGTATGTCTCTGCAGGCCTTTCTACTACTGTCCACGGCGGTGAAGCCATGCTTGAAACTGCACAGCGGAGCTGAGGCTGTAGGGAAGACAACAGGATGCAGAACGGCAAGAAGGACGCTGGCAGAGACTTGGAGAAATGATTCAAAGACAAAGAGAGAAGAGTAGGTAGAGAGACAAGAGCAGAGCGAGAAGAGGGAGATCAGATCAGCGAGCGAGCGGATGCTGGATAACTCAGAGAGGACAGTAATTAGAACTGAAAAGAGCGTCACGGACAAAACGTCGAAGAGGAAAGAGGGAAAAGAGGTGAGAATCGGAGCGAAGCAGGGCGAAAGAGAACGAAAATCTCTCAAAATCGTGGAGGGCAGTAACGGTGTCAAAAAATGACAGGGAGTGGAGTAAGAGCCTGCCTGCCTGCCTGCCTGCCTGCCTGCAAAAGATACATACCTTACCCACTAATCGGTGGCCCAGCTCAGGGCTAAGGTGCCTACCTACCTTGGTTTGCACCTAGCATTTCAGACAGCGGCCCTCGGAGCTCATGGATCTGAGTTCTGAAAATACCGCCTGAAAGGCTGCCTGAAAGGAAGGAGCTGATGGACCTGGCCAGGTCCTCCTTTTGAAAGCTGGAAGACGCGTCATCGGCCTTCAAAGCTCCCCCTTGAAGCCTCTCATGTCGTGTCGTGTCATACGGTTGTCTTACCTGCCCTACTTTTCCAGTTGGGTAGATACAGCAGGCAATGAACCTACCAATCTGGGGGCCTGACTCACCTCAACAAACCGCGCCCAAAAATATGGATCGACACTGCATTTTGGTCATGATTACATGTTACCTGCTGAAGATGAGTTTCCGATGCTGGAAGGTTCAACGGGCAAATACCGCTCAGCTGCCTTCGTGGAATGGGTGATTTGGTACCCGAAGTTCGACGAAAGGAAAGGTCCACATCCCCAGTGGCTAAGATTCGAAGTTCTACAGTGCTGCCTCGTCTGCGAAGTGCCGTCGTACACCCACAGATGAGTCGAAGCTCGTCGACACCACTGCGATGGCTCTGAAGGTGGGGAGGGGCCTTGGTCATTTCCTTGAGCTGTGAAAATTGGCTCGCTGCCAAGTCAAGCCCAACACCTTTTGGATGTAGCGTTCTGGATCTTGCACCGGAGAGTAGAGAGGGTGATGCTTCGTTTTGACTTTTGCATCGAGCATTTGTACTTTGTACTATGGCAGCTGGGCGATGAACCAAGCTGGAAATTTTAAATCACAACGAGGCTGGGACTAGAACTGAAAGACACCGCTTTGTTTATTTTTTATGCAACTGTGAAAATCTACGCGCTGTCTAGTTTCTGATTCTGAATGTCACAGATCCTCTCCAGGCCCTGCTCAATGTACCATAAAACCGAATACCGCTTTTTCTAGTTAGAAGTCTGGCGCAAGGCCGTACTAAGAATGATGAAATGATGAGATGATGAAATGATGAGATGATGAAATGATGAGATGATGAAATGATGAGATGATGAAATGATGAGAAAAATGAGAAAAATGAGAAAAATGAGAAAAATGAGAAAAATGAGAAAAATGAGAAAAATGAGAAAAATGAGAAAAATGAGAAAAATGAGAAAAATGAGAAAAATGAGAAAAATGAGAAAAATGAGAAAAATGAGATTAAAAACCAAGAATAAAAATGAAAGAAGATAAGAAAAAAAATAAGAACGCAGAAAACTCAAAAAAACCCATCGACCGAGAACACGATGGTGGCCTTGCTTACTGAGGGTAGGCCCCTATTCGCCTAAATTTCCCAGCGACAGGTTCCCAAGCAGAAAGAAGAGAGCCGCAAAGAAAAAAAGAACAAAAAAGTAAAGAATAAAAGAATAAAAGAACCGCCCGAAACGCAAGGCATCGCATAATTCGATAATAGCTAATAGCTAACAGTTATACCACCCACCCCTCTCCATCTTCTAGCGCCCAGTCCCCTCAAGCTCTCCTCACTACTCTCGCCACGAAGCAGCTGCGTCCTATGTAGTGCTCGGGGCGCGCCTCGGCTTGGGGACATTACTAGCTGACGCATCATGGTCGCGGTCGAACTCGTCAATGACGCTGCGGGGCTTGGCAAAGACGCCCAGGGGCGCGTAAGTGAGGTGGTCGAAGCCGAAGGCCTTGGGCCCGCCGAGGTCGAGGCCACGCTGCGAGCCGGTCCAGCGGTCCGACGCCGCGAGGCCGAGCACCGCCACCAGCAACCCGTATCGGTACTCGGGCGTGCCGATGGCCTCGCCGTTCTGCGCGTCGACCACGCACACGAGGTCCGGCACGATGGCCAGCACGTCTTCCTGGCTCTCGAGCGCCGGCGCGTCTGGACTGTCTGTGGAGCTGCTGCTCTCCGTGGGCTCTGGGATGCGGATCGCGGCAATGTTCTCGTTCTTGAAGGGGATCTTGATGCGGCCTGTGAAGCGGCCGCCTAGGCCCTCGACGATGCACTCTCCGTAGATGTGGCCCTTACGCAGCGTGCGGTGAACGCCGACAATCTTGCCCTTGAACAGCACGCGGCCCGAGGCGTCGCCGCCGCACTCGTCGACGATGGTCTCGGCGACGGCGTCGACCGTGTTGTTCTGCCTCGCCCTCGCCACGGCGCGGCCGATGCGCCACGCCTGCGACACGGTGTGCTCGACGGCCCAGCGCTTCATCTCGGCGCCGGTGACGGGGGGGTCCGCGCAGCCGACCTGCGAGCCCATTTCGCTGAGGGCGACGCGCATGACGCGCTCGACCTGCAGGTCCGAGGCGGCCTTGGGCATGACGACGACGTTGCCATTGCCGTCGGCCACGGCGATGGGCGACCAGATGGGCGACCGCTCGTTGAACACGACGGGCGTCGTCTGCCACTTGGTCGGGTATGCGCGGCCCATCCAGTCGCCGTCGACGCACGGGATGTCCATGTTGGAGCTCGCTGCCAGCGTCAGGCCTTGTATCCCGTTGCCGCCGCCAATCTCGAGCGCGATCATGTGCGTGGCCCGCTGCTCGCACATCTTGTACAGCTCCGTCTGCGCCTCCATCATCTCGTCGCCCTGAAGCTTCTCGATGCCCACTGTCGGGCTGCCTGCGCCGCACCCGCACCCGACCGCAGAGTCGTCGGCCACGTCGTCGGGACTCACCACGCGCACGACGGCTCCCGCGCGGAGAAGCTGCCGGAGGAGGATCATGTGCGGATAGGGAGACCCGCCGCCGCCGGTGCCCAGGACGTAGCATCCGGTAGAAATCCAGCCGAGGTCTGTCTCGCTGATGTACCAGACGCGGCTGCGTACATCTGGCTTGTAGGTTCCGATGTCGACTTCTGGTGCTTCGACGGATCCGGCTGCGTTTGTCTGTCCTTTTTGTCGCGTCTCAGTCTCTCCTGCGTCTTCTTCTACCTCTGGCCTAGACTCTTCGCTGGCAGGTGGAGACTTGGCGAGGTCTGTCCGTGAGAAATCAAATTCTCCGGCTGCCCGGACGATAAAGCGGGACTTATTGGCAATATACTGGACGAGACAAAATTTGTTAGCGTTCCGCTCGCGAGGGAGCGCGGGAGAAGGGATAAGACGTACCTGGAGTGGCAGTGTCTCCATCTCGACGACTTTGACAGAGCCCGGCGTGGCACCGGCCGCCACCGTCTTCTCGATGGCCTCCTTGCAGATCTCGTCGAGCAGCTGCTGGGATGTCTTGGACTCGGTGGACTTGACCGTGTCGACGACGGCGCTGACGCGGGCCGTGGCAGCGCCAATGGCGTTGGCAACTTCGGACCACCGCGGCTTGAGCACCTTGGTCGCGCCTTTCAGCTCGTTGGGGGCGATGATGGCCCCGCCGCCGACGAGAATCACCGGCAGGTCGTCAGGCGACGTCTTCATCGTGTCGATGACCTTCTCAAGCTTGCGTCTCACAACATTCTCGATCTCCGCCTCTTCCTCGGCCGTCAGCATCCCCTTGACGAGGTCTGCATTACCAATGCGAAGGCCGGGGTCGGCCAGCACTGCGCAGTCTGTTGCGGTGAGAACCTGCCCCCCGAATATGGTGGCCTCGTCCGTCAGCCTGTAGCCCACGCTGTCTGGACCGATGGTCGTGGGCTTGCTGTCTGTTCCTCTCCTGACAATCGAGCCGCCGCCAAGCCCAATGCTTTTGATATCTGGGCACGAAAAGTTCTTCATCGGATCCGAGTCAGCAGCCAATCAATCTTCTCCAGGGTGGATCCAGGGTGGAAGGGGGAAATGCGAAATGCACACCATTCTCACACCGGCCAACTCGCTGTAGGCGGCCTGCTGCCTCGGAAAACCGTTGGCCAGCAGCAGCCCCACGTCCGTTGTCGTTCCACCAATGTCTACCACCATCATGGCCTCGCCTTCGCTGCCATCCGTACTCTGTCGACTACCTTGGACGAGGAAAGCCGCGCCTCGCATGCTATTCGTTGGGCCACTCGAAAACGTCCGGATTGGCAGCCGGGCGGCCATGTCCCCGGAGAGAATGGTGCCGTCATTCTGGGTGATAAAGACAGGGCAATCGAGTCCCAACTGGCGGACAGGTTCTTGGAACGAGCGGATGGTGGCGCGGGCGAAGCGGAGGATGGACGCATTAAGAATGGCGGCGTTCTCGCGCTCCAAGAAGCCCAGGCTGGCCACCTCCTTTGAGCAGACGACATCGGAGCCGGGAATCTCGTCCCGCACAATGGCCGCGGCGCGCTCCTCCTGGCGCTCGAGATTGTCGATGGGGCTGAAGACGCCATTGACCACGACGCTGCGGATGCCGCGGGCGCGGATCTCGCGGCACTGGGTGCGGATCTGGGCCTCGTCAATGTCGCCGATTAGTGTGCCATCCACCTCGAGCCCTCCCCGCACCAGGGCGTAATAGCCCAGCACCAGGGCCCGCATGTCGGCGGGCCAGTCGACGCACGGCGGGACGTGCTTGGAGAAGGGCCCCGACAGGCGAAGCACGGCCACGGGCGAGAGCCGCGATGCGTCGCGCTCGACAACTGCGTTGACGAACGCCGTCGTGCCGATCGTCACGCTGGCCACGTCGCCGGCAGAGATGCCGGCCGTGGTGAACATGTTGATGATAAGCGCGCTGATGCCCGTGCTCGGGTTGCTCGTGGTGGCCGTCTTGTGCCACGCCACGATGCCTCGGTCCTCGTCCCACGCCCGTGAAGGCTCCAGCACGACTCCGTCCGTGTTCGTCCCACCGACATCTACCCCGATCCGGAGCCGTCTCCTAGGCCTTGCCTGGGGCTCGGCCTTGGCTTCCATCTTTTTTTTTTTTGTACTTTTGCAGTATTAGCACGAGATGCGCGTCTCCTACACGCCTGCTCGGATATGGTGTCGTCTCACTTGGCTCGCCGGATGTCGAGGAGCTGAGGAGGCTCTTACGTGGATGGGGATGTGGAAGGGGAGGGGGAAATTGCAATCGTACGATTAGACGATCGTGTGGTAACACAAACCTGAAGGAAGAAACTCAGAAGGCGATTGGGCGCTTCGGCGCTGATTTCATGCCCCAACAATCCTCTGGGGAGCTCGAAAAAAAGAAGGCAGCTCCCAGTGACTGAAGTTGGCAAAAATAATTAGAAACGTCGATGTTGGCGAGCTCTTGCTGCAGAACATGAAAGGAGGCGATAAGGTTGTCGTGCTTTCCCTGCCTGCATTTGCTTTGCAGCAAGCGGCAGGAGTCTGTCTGGGCTGGTGCACAAAACGAGATAGAATTTACCCCACGAAAGACGGGCAGCCAAGCCGTCTAGAGCCGTTCTCGGAGTTAGTTTCTGCGCTGCTGCACCCAGGATCCACTAGCACCCAGGATCCACTGGCACCCAAGATCCACTGGCACCCAGGATCCACCGGCCGTTACTATCTGCTCATCTGATAAGGGGCCTTGGCAGCGGAGTGCAGTAGACGATCCCTATTGGTCCCATTTGGCTCATCTCCAAGGCGGGAGTGGGCCGTATTATTCCCTAGAGGACCACTGAGGACGAAGTCCTGGAACCTGAAGACAACGCTGTCGATGAGGAACCAAACCCGAATTCCCTCAATAAACCTGGAGTTATTTTCCCAGCTCCTCCTGGACCATGGCCACGACCTCAGATGTCGTGCCTGGTGATGACTGGATAAACAAAGATCTCGAGAAACTCATGCCAGCTATTGCAGAAAACCTACCTGATGGGCTTTGTAACAGCCCTCATGTCCCGGGAATTTATGTGACGATCACGCTTCCTACATCTATAATAATAATGAGCTTTGATGCACGCACCCACCACTTTTTTCCTCGCACCTGCCTGGGGACCTTGGCAGCTGTTGGCAGTTGAGATACGCAGAGCCTATTTTAGGCCGGTAAAATCGTGATATACCATCTTCCCGCCCATGCGCTTCCCATGTGCCAACCCAGCCGCCCGGCCGCCCGGGTCATCAACGTTGAAGCCATCAAACCCTTCAAAAGCCGTGAAAACGCGTTTACCGTAGTGTTTTCCATTTTGACGATTTCTTCGTCGTTGAGTCGGCCTCGGAATTGTTGGAATTTGTCAAGCAGAAGGGCCTCGAAGGTTCTAGATAGAGACTTTGCCACCAACTTCGCCACCACAATAGTAGTATAAGAACGGGCTTTCTGGCACTGCCAGAAAGCTAGAGAGAAGAACAGACATCTACAATCCATCACTTGAACCACCAGTTTTCGGCGTGCAGCCACGCCCTGTTGAGTCCAGTACCGGTACCCTGGTGAATCCAACAGAATAAAGGACCTTGCAAATGGCAACTCTGAGGCCCGGGTTTGTACGTAAATTTGCCAAATTTCATGGTAGGCGCCCAGTTGCCTAAATGATCTATCTGTTCAATCCTGATTTATTAAAATAGTGATGCAATTCCTTGGTGTCGACTCTATCAATCTAGTAACCTAGTCTATGTCAACCTGGTCACCCTCGCCGCCCTTCCTACGAGGATAAGGATCATCTTCACGGGACAGCGACAGCCAGCGCGAGGGAGCTGGGGACAGCGAGGTCGAGGGAGCCGGAGCCGGGGACGGCGAGGGCGAGGGAGATAGGGAGCTCGAATCGTCAGAGGAAATCTCGATAAAAGGCATTAAGAAGACTGAGCGGAAAGGTAGGTTGATGATGTGTTCAAGGGTTGTTTGGCAAAGGAAAAGCCTGCAAAGGCCACTGGCCGCTGCAGACCTTAAAACACCAACTGCGCACACAAATGCTGGCATGTGGAAGTTTAAATAGTGTCATTTTGACTTTGCCGGGCTTCCTTAGTGCCCAGTAGGCCGTTGGGTGGCTGCCATGCAATACGGCATTTTACCATACAAAAAGCGGTCCCTGCGTTGCCAGCTGCCAATGGCCCCCAGGTAGGTGCGAGGGAAAAGGTGGTGGGTGCGTGCATCAAAGCTTATAATAATCGTCGCCCCACCAGAGTCTGGGTACTCCCATCTCTCCCATAACACCTTGTACAATTCGGTTACGAACTTCAACTTTCCTAACTGAAGCGTGAGAATATCACGGAGCATGGCCCCGCTATAAATTTGCTTGGGGGGGGGGGATTGGTTCTAGAGACTAATCCCAATCCTGCAAGTCCTCTGCAAGTCCCCTGCAAGGGGCTTGGGCCGCGAATTCCGACCTGGCCAAGTCTACGAAAAGAGGTTCCTAAAATAAATTAGTCGAGCGATCCAAAGACAATGTGGCGTCGCTGTCGCAGCTGAGTGAATCTAGATCTAGGTTTGCATCCGGAGGGCCGGGTTGTCCACAACTTTAGACGAATACGAGTGTAAATATATGTGGCAATTGAAACCGACCGCAATAATTGTGCTCTGATCAAGAAAAGGGGTTCACTGAATGTCTCAGAAATTGCTCGATATCTCATTATTTATCACGACTCGTGCACGAGCTCAGGCAACGCTTTTCACATGGTTTCTGTCCTGTAGTCATCGATAGCTCGAGCCTGAGATGCCAACTATTGCACAGCTGGGCTCAGCTCACTCGTGACCTCCTTGTTGTGCAGCCTTCCCCGTTTCGCCGCAACTAACACGCTTGGGGTGTTGGTGTGGCTTGTCAGCCCGCCTCGAGGATGGACGGCGGCTGGGGGCGTCTTGAGGCGTCCGGGGTCTGTGTTCGGACATATGGGGGCACAATTGATGGCGTTGGGCGTGGATGGTTGAACGGCTTTTCCTATTTGCCGTTCCGTGTAAGAGAACGATGCTGTCTGTGTCTCATTATTGTCTCAGCCGTGAAAATAGTGCGTGCACCATGGCTTTTGTTCAGTTTCGACAACCATGATAAAGCCTTTACGGACCAACCCACGCACAGAACGGGCCAAGCCTTTGATAAACAATCATGCAGTAAAATTTCAGGAAAAAGGTCTCGACTTGCTGGCGTGGGGAGATTTTCAGCTCGCAATTGTCGCAAAGTCTTTCCGGTGCTAACTCTTTTGAACTGGCACCAAGCCATGAGACTAGCTCTCTAGCTGCCGGGAAACCAAACAGGTATCGTTTACCGACATCGCCCCAAGGCCGTGATCAGTTTTCCTGAACTAGAAAGGTTAATTGGCGTTTTGGCGAGTCCTCGGACTCCGTGGGAGTAGGGACTGGATATAATCAAGGAGCCAAGTCACCTACGTTCATGAGACGGGTCTTTTGCATCATCGACTTCAGCAAAGGCAGCCATGATGTCCTTTCGCTCCCTCGGCCTCGACACCCTTTGGGGGGCGGGACTCAGTGCTGCTACCAACGAGCTCACGGGCGGTGGTCAGCTCAGCATCACCGGGGGCTTCGCACCTACCAGACTCTACGCCCTCAAATATCCCGGATCTTCCGAACCATTCGAGTGATCCGCCATTTCCCCGTCATAGGCCTCAGAATGGAGGACATCAGGCCCCTGCGCAGGTCCGGTGACTCGGATGAAATGGTGTGCTGCCCCCCCCCCCCCCCCCCCCCCCGGACCATCTTCACAGCGGCAAATCCTGCGTCTTCCTCGCCTCCCAGATCTGCCCCAATAGCTTCACGCTCGACGACACCCCTAAGAGCGTCTGCATCGGCAAAAGCCTCCTTGCCGGGAGACTTCGTCCTCAGGGATGGGCTCGGTGTTTCTACCAAGGACCCTCAATGTGCGGACCCTCTCGCGGAATTCAACAAGTAGACGCTCTAGTGCGAGTCTACCGTGGGCTCCGTGTGCGATGGACGACTATTGAAATTCAATGGCTCTCTATGTATCTCGCTCAAGTCACCATACTGCCCTCCCGGCTTCGAACACAAAGGCAAGCGGTGTGTCTCGACCCAAAAGCCGACAAGCAGTTCGACTCGACCCAAAAGCCGACAGGCAGTTCGACTCGACCTGGGAGTTGCGTGCACTCTAAGCCGTCATCCTGCAGCGCTGTCGCTGGACCCCGCGACCAACGTCTGTGTCAGCAAGGACAAGGACCCCTCCAGCCCCGACGGCACCACCCTCGACAAGGACAAGGTCAAGTGCATCACGCGCTCGTGCTTCGTCATGCTGGCCTGCCCCGACGTATTTGACGACACGGCGCCAGCTATCGGCGGCGATGGTTCTCCCTCGCCGGCTGTCGGCAGTGGCACTCCCTCGAGTCCCCGCCGGCTGCTGTCGACAGTGGTTCCTCAACGGGTGCTGACGCTACTGCTTCCCCCTCGGCGGCTCCCTCGCTAGGTAATAGTGGTACGACTCGCCAGTGAATGATGACGGCGGGGACGATCTGGAACCATATGATACCAATCAATTCGGGCTCTGAGGCTTTTCCAAACTACCCTGGTTTGACGTTTGTAAATGTTCTTATTCAACATTTAAGTGCCTACCTACTTGAAATCTTCATTTCCTTTTTGGAATTATATTAATCACAACTTCATATATTCAATATTACTTTATTATGTACTCAATCAGTCCTCTAATTAAATATCTCCCCGGGATATTTTCTTTCTTCAAAAAAACGTTCCACGTCCCTTGGATACCGAGGTATTCAAGCCTCAGGTTGCGAGGCTAAACCCTTGCCTCGGTATAGAATATGGAAACCGAAATATTAGTGGACGAAGAGACCATTGGTCACGGTTCCTTTCGCTTGTCATGCTCTGTAACCGTAGCACAATACTGTGCTCTGGTGCGTTGCTTGCGACGCTATCGATCCTATGCCATGAAGGAAACGTGCCCTTAGCGGCCATTTAGAGAGGTGCCAAGCATGATTGACGATTTGGCGACAGTCAGAATCTTCTCAAAGGGGTTTACAGCGCGATCACATTATGTACCCGATGCCAGAACCCGATAACATGATAGAAAGCAACCTGCATACCACCCTACATGGAGACGAAGGCGAGAGTCCAACACGGGCTGCCATTGAAGCGCCAAGAAGTGGATACCCCAACCAACATCCACGGATAGAAAGCGGGGAGCTAGAGGTAGCTTAAAGTTATGATGCACGGATACCAATAGGTACTATTGCAAAACGTTTCTACTAAAGTACCTACCGTACCTTGGGATGTCACTTGACGGAGTGCGATGGAGTGCGAGAGAGTGCAAATCTTGGCTGATTTTGCCAATGTCGCATCTGCTAGTCTAGGTCACATTACATCATTGGGAACCTTTGCTTTACCAATAAAAGCCCAGCCGTTGACGGATCTCGGTGAACTAAAACGGGCCTGGCAGTTGCAGGCCCAATAGCGTGTGTCGACACCGAATGGCCTTCAGTTTTGGGGTTGCCTGCTCCGCCACAACCCCAAAGTCTTATGACGCGTTTCCCGGTCGGGCGCCACAAGGCGCACTGCTTCGTTTCCCGCCTGACAAAGGCCCGATTGAGGGTCCATATGTAGACAACCTCTGGCACTGAGCTGGGCTCCGCATTTCTTCTTGTTCAGCTCTGCATCAGGCTCTGGTCCAGTGCAGCGCAGCGCAGTGGCCCCCTTGGGCACGACAGACACGAAAAACAACGAAACACAATTCAACTGTCAGCCACCTCTCGGAGAGACTTGTCAATCCTCGACAAATCCATCCAAGATGCCCTTCAAGAACCTCTTCAAAAAGTCGTCCCCCGCCCCGGACGAGACCAAAGACGGCGCATCGTCGCCGTCGTCCCCGACCGAACCGAAGCGGTCGCTGTACCAGCGGTTCCGCGACTCCAAGACGGGCGAGATCAGCGAGGAGGACGTGCTCAAGTACACGGGCAAGTCCAAGTCGCAAATCATGGAGTGGGCCAAGAATGAGCCGGGCGTCGCCGGCAACCGCGCCGCCGGCACCCTCACGATGGGCGAGACCACGGGCTTCGGCGGCCTCGCGACCGCCGAGGGCTACGGCGGCTGGGGACCAAACTCCAACGCGCCCCTCAAGTTCCCCCCCAAGCAGCCCGCCGGCAAGAAGGTTACCGACGAAGACAGCGACGGTCAGTGAAGGTTACTTCTGGGACAGCGTGGGACAAGCCTACAAGGCCTCGAGGGAAAAGGGAAAAGGGGGAAGAGCTGATATGCTTGGGTGGGCGCGTGCATGGACTCTGGAAGCGAGAGACAGTCCGTGAGAGGCTTGGTATCTGCGCTGCCTGTCGACGGCCTAGGTGGGGAGAGCCTGGATAAGGCAGTTTTGCTTTTTGGATCATGATAAGTTCAAGTAGCTTTTCCTTTTAACAACGGTATTTATTCCACGTGTTCTCCCCATTCTGCAGAGGGGGTTTTTTTTCTTTCAATTTCCCTGCTTCCTGCGCTTCCTGCAGTGTCTTCCGTAACACCTTATGCAACTACAAGTTTCGGCTTGCCACCGTTAAACATAGGAAATTAGACGAGCAAGATGTATTCCAAGGTAATTTTTCGGTTTCCATTACTTGAAGCTAGAAGAAAGGCCTTTTTGACAGAAGTCAGAGGCAGAATCATGTAGAGCACGGGCCGTGGAGACTTCTCAGGGCCTACAGCCATCCATCCGTCTTGGAAGCAAATTAAGCGGGCCAGGTGACATCCACGAACGAGGAGCTGATTTCCTCGTTCTACGGAGTAATTGGTGCGGCGTGCTCCTTTAACGTCACAAGCCTCACTCTACATCGATGGCGCTCCCGACTAAGTGCAACTGCTAGAATCGCAATCGCCATGGCGAGAACAAAATGAATCAGGCACAATAACGAAGGCCCCCCTCTTCCCTACGTCGTTCGGGGTGAACACGGTCGCCGCATCGACCAGAACCCGAACCCGAACTCGAATCCGAACCCGAACCCGAACCAGCAGAGCCAGAGCCAGAGCCAGAGCCAGAGCCAGAGCCAGAGCCAGAGCCAGAGCCAGATTGACAATCAGGACCAAAATCTCATTCCTAGCCCCACATCGCCCGAGCCATCAGTACCAGCGCTATTGCAACTGCCCAGTTTCGGCCCACTAGCCCGCAGAATCGACTTTCTCAGGTCGGTGCCGCCGAGGTGGCCATCGAGATCCTGCGCTGCCTTGACTACGCCGACGTCTGTCGCGCTGCCTTGGTGTGTCGTGAATGGCGGGACCTCGCCGACAACTTCCAGGTCTGGCATTACATTTGGGAGCAAGACGCTGGCGGCAGTGTGTCCACTACCCCGTTGGTGACGGATGCCTCGGCCCCGTCTCAAAGTCATGATCAAACAACGCCGGTGGACTGGAAAGCGGCATACGCAGACCGCGCGGAGCTGTACGTCAACTGGGAGCTCGGGCAGAACCGCAGGGCCCACCTCATCCCGCTCGAGGGCAAAGCCCCGTGGTTTCCGCAATACTCGTTCGGCGAGAGACACGAGCTCTTGACTGCCGCCGGGGACGGAAAACTCGCCATCTGGAGCCTGGCCACGGGTAAACGTCTCTGCCTCATCGAGAACCTAAGCGACGACGACACTGAAAACGCGCCTAGGCTGGCAGCTTTCAATGACGCCGTCATTGCCGTGAACCAACGGCGCTACAGGGCCTTCAAGCCTGGAACCGCTACACGGCCGAGCTCGTTCTTGACGAGCGCCGCATCATAGCCATCAGCTTGGCTGCCAAGGCCAACTTGCTTGCCACCGCCTATTTTGGCGGAGATGAAGGAGGCGGCGGAGTCTTGTTCCGGGATTTCACTGTACACCCCCCACCCCCCCCCCCCCGAACCTGGGCCTCCGCATACAAATCCAGGACGGAGACACGTCAAAGGTGGCGGGCGGCGTCATGATAGACCTGGGCGTAGAAGTCTTCGCGCTAGACCTGGACGTAGCATCGCGTACAGTGCTGGCCGCCACGACCCAATACTTGCGGCTCGTCGATCTCGACACACGCCAGTGCGTCAGGGTCTTTCCGGGGCGCCGCACCGAATGATCTTTCCTTGATCCCAGCGACGCCTTCTTCGACCTACTGCCCTAGAACCGCGGCATCGACGGAAGACTGGCGGCAGCAACGCCTTCTTCGACCCACTGCCCTAGAACCGCGGCATCGACGGAAGACTGGCGGCAGCAACAGCCCTTGACCAGGCCAGCCTCGAGGCCGCCTTCCGAGGGTCGCTTGGCCCTGGCTTTGCTGACCCATGCAGAAGCTTCTTACCGACTTCGCCTTCGCTGCAGTCAACCGTGCCATTACTGAAGCTGCAGTTTGGGACCTGTTGGCGCCAGGCAGCGGCAGCGGCAGCGGCAGCGGCAGCGACATTGACAGTGACAGTGACAGCGGCATCGTTCGAAGCCTCGGCCCTCACATAGTTCCGGGGCGCACTGACTGGGACCGCATCATGCGGCCGCTGCCATCGACTTCGCCTGGCCTTGCTATGCTAGTTCACGATGCCAAGTCCTACAGTCCTCTTGTAGAGGTGTGGAACTTTGCCCGCGGCACCGTCGATGTGTACCAGAGAGGGCCCCATGTCCCATGACTATGAAACTTGGCCCCAATGGCGCCTATACTGCCACGATCACATGCGAGGGTCTGGGCCGCACATATGAGGGCATTGTCGTTGAAGACTTTCAGGGGGTTGTTAGCAAGGGCGGTACGTCCCGCTTGAGTAAAGTAGGGAAAGGAACGAACACAAAAGCCGCTCGATATAATCCCATTTCGAGTAGAGATTTGGCTCTAGCTTTCTGAAGAGGGTCCTGAGGCCGGTTACCTCGTTTACACACAGGCACAAGATGCGGGCTATCCTAGCCTGTTATATCCAGTTCATTATCATCTCCTTCTTAGCTGCCCAACTTACTCAATTTGGGTAGCACGCCGTCTTTGGTCCAGCGGGGGGGCGTCCTCCCTTGTTGTCTTCCCTAGATTCCTTCGAAGGAACCTCGGCGGGTGTTGTGAGAATGTTTCAAGACTTCTAGATACACGGGCGAGCCCTGTGTTTTGCTTGCAGGTACGGGATTTTCTAAATCTCTTTTGGGCTTTCGGCGAGTTTAATCAAGCTTTCCTTTATCACATGGTTTTTCTTTTTCCTTTCCAAAACGAAAACTTTGAATATGTATTTCCTTGGTGAGTATTTGCTTGGTGAGTATTTGCTTGGTGAGTGAAACGAGCGTCGGGAGTATTATCACAGGGTGAATTTTAAAGCGGCCTGGCGAGCTCCCCCGTAACAATTGGAAATATTTCCCATCAAAACGGACTCTTCTTATTCGTGCCCTTGTTCTTTGCATCCCAGTGACGGGTTTGATTCTCGAGAAATTGACGGAGCTTCTGGTTTACTACGATTTCTTCTACGTCCGCTGCTAAGAATTCCACATCTCAAGCTTGCTGGCATCGCAGATCCCCTTCAGGGGGAACAGATAGGATCTAGAAACAATATCGTTGTTTTATATGATACAAGCGGTGGAACTCCATCTGTAGTCTACACTATGATTCATACTCTATATATACAAACTATGCGCAACACGTGTGCTCAGAACGCTAAACTAGCTCCAAAAATACTCTGTAACGAAGCCAGGGTTTCCTCATTAATACCGCGACTGTTCAGCAGGCCTGGTTCGGGTTAGTAATTAAGTATACCGTCTAGCGAAAGGTCTATATCAAAGCAGCGGCACTATCGTCAGTCCATTGTCATATCAGCCTGTGTAGTGGGGAAATAGTCAAGCACGCTTACATCCTCTGAACCGTGGACGGCTAGGCTCGTTGCCATACGCTAGCCGTCGAAACTCTTCTACGGCTAGCCCGCCATGGAATCGTATCGGTCCTGTCTGGCCTAGTCCGAATGTCGAATTTGCCGACGTGGCGAAGCAGATGTCGACGGCGAGCTGTTTTCCCGAACTAGCGCTTCTGTACACGACGTATACGTGCAGGTCGAGCAGAAACCTATCACTGCCATCCAGGTCAATCGGACAGTCATCGCGGTCCTGCCACCCGAACAAAGTGCCTTTCGTCATGCACCAAGGCTCGTCTACGCGCATTTGGACGCCCTCAACCATCTAGAGCATGTCCGCTGTTAGCCACGGTGTTTCAATGTGTAGCATCTCAAACGGCCTTGAAGAGGAAACGTACAGGCTTATAACCGAGTCTTCCATTTGGCTTTTGACCGAGCGATGCGAGCGCCACATTCACCAGGGCAGCCAGGTCGACGCAGTTGACCAGGTCTTTCCTCTTCATCATGATGCTCTCAAAGTTGAAAACGCCCTTCTTCCAATGGTGCCGGTCCGTTCTCCAGCAATCGTAGCAAAGGTCCTCTCCCCCAAGCACCCACAGCCTGGTTAAGATACGGCCGACGATATCCCGCTCGACGTCGGCCCACTGACTCCCGCACACCATATTGTGTTTCGGGAACGACAGGCGGATGAGCTCCAGGGGGAAGACGTCGCGGTGTCGTTCTAGGACTAGCGGTCCCTCGTGCGGCCCGAGCATGAAGTAAATCTCCAGATCTGTGTGGGCTGGGGCCACGTCCGCGGCTGGCGCGTGGTACGGGCTCACGACGACAGTCCACGTCCACCTGCCGTGCGCCTTGAAGGGGCCAGCGGGAGGGGGCGACAGGTCCGAGAATTTCGTTGCGATTAGGAACCTTCCTTCATCTGTGTTGAGTGGCGCCGAAAGGATCCTGAACGTGCCGCAAGCTCCCAAAAGCCTGGACCGAGCGAGGTTGGCCCCGCTGGGCAAGTTGTCGAGCTGGAACTTGACGATCAGCGGGACCACAAACGGGCCTCCCTTGTAGAAAAAGGCGGTCGGGACTGCGACAGGGTGATCGCCGCGCTGGTAGATTGAGCTTCCGCATCCACTCTGGATATAGCGAAGACTGTTACCGAGTCCCCGGGTGATCCATACGACTTCGGGGCTGTAATGCTGGCTGTAATCCTGCCTGATCTCAACGATTTCTAGAGCCATGCTTGGTAGTACGAGGTAGACGGAAACAGATATAAAGGCAGCCGCAGATCTGGTGGTGGCAGGGTCTGGTGGGGACGAGGAAGTCTGAGGGCGATTGATCGTAGCTGAAGGGTGGATGGTGAAGGGTGGATGGTGAAGGGTGAAAGGTGAAGG